GGGCAGTGCATGGGGCTCTCGCCCACAAGGGTGAAATATTCGTATGTAGTCACAGGTGCCACTTGTGGACCCTAGTGAGAATTATGGTGTCATATCGTATAACAACCGCGTTGCAACTCTCTCAAAAAGGGAATAAAGAAAAAATGCTATGGCAGAACAGAGCAGAGAAGAGAAGAGCAAAGCAGAGAGAAAGAGAAGTGAAATCGTAATTAAAAACATCTACGTTTTTGTTGTTGGATTAACTGTAACAGTAACTGCTGCGCTTAATGCCGCAACAGTACGGCTACACTCACAGAAATTTATCACCTAAAATGTCTGAAAATAAATGCCTCAAATATCAACTACATTTGCAACCAAGGAAAATCGTTAGTAAATCAAGAAATTACTTTACAAATTCCTATACAAATTTAGCCAATTTTTTATCAGTTTTTAACTAGTAAATTTAATTGCATACTTATATTTAAATAACAAAAAAACAAAAATTAAAGAAAGGTATTCTTTTTTATCTCTTAGCTCTTTTTTTATATATTGTAAGTACATATTTAATTACCAAAAAGTATAAAAATAAATACCTAAAATAATTTAATAGACATTTTTTGTATTTGTTTAATAGAAAAAGGCCTCCCCCCGCCCGGGGGGGGGGGGGCCGGGGGGGGGGGGGGGGGGGGGGGGGGGGGGGGGGAGGGGGGGGGGGGGGGGGGGGGGGGGGGGGGGGGGAGGGGGAGGGGGGAGGGTTTTTTTTGGGGGGGGGGGGGGGGGGGGGGGGGGGGGGGGGGGGGGGGGGGGGGGGGGGGGGGGGGGGGGGGGGGGGGAAAAGGGGGGGGGGGGAGGGAGGGGGGGGGGGGGGAAAAAAAAAAAAAGAAAAAAAAGGGGGGGGGGGAGGAAGAAAAAGGGGGGGGGGGGAAAAAAAAAAGGGGGTACCCCCTTAAAACCAGAAATAGCCCAAATATAGACAGAAAAGTATTGTATTTCCAGGTGTGCAATTACGTTCGCATATGTACATAATTCGCGGAGGTGTGGGTTCTTGAGGCTTTTGGGTTCACTGTGCTCAAGCATGCATGAAGCGTGAGTTTTGTTGCTCTTTCTATATTTAATAAACAAACTTTTTGTGCCGTTCCTGTTTTCTTGCTCATCTTTGAGCGTTAGCCCCCCCTCCTCTTTGCTTTTTATCTGAGATTGTGAATGCAATTGTTATAATTTTTATGTTTGTGACACTCAAATAAAAATAAAAATATAAAATACAGAAGCAACAGAAGGATAACAGTAGGAGAAAAATAGTCAGCAAATGATCCACAAACGAGGAGAGAGAGAGAGAACGATTTACGTAATTTTCATTCATGAATGGAAAGAGTTGAGTGAATGGAAACGTGACGGCGATCAATTGAAACATTCGCGCAGCAGCTGGAAACGTGAAACCCAATTATCACTCGAAGCGAAAATACTCTTTTGTTCACAGTGGGATCAACGTCATTTGTCATTTGAGAATCCAGAATGAGGGCCAGAGAGAGAGAGAGAGAAAGAGGGGGGCTTAAGACTTACTAAGCTACTGACTTAACGAGCCACAGGCACTACTTAGGAGATCGCATGTGAGAGAAGTGAAATAGTAAATCAAAGAGGAGACAAAACGGCTCGGATTTGTAGGAATGGTGCGTGCAACTGTAGTGACCCACACACACACACACATGCCCAAAAGTCAATGGCAAAAGCTAATCAAAAAGCACTTAAATAGAAATAGAGGCACATTAGTAATCCCTAAGAGAAAGAGAGAGAGAGAGAGAGAGAGCAGAATCCTCCTTAGACACGCAATGTTTGGTTACCATTGCTGATCCTATTATTGCCATTGCCATTGCTTATTGCCATTTTCCTCTTCCATTTCTCTGCATCGTTCCCCGCTGCTGCCACTTGTGGTTATTATTATTACGAGCATTACGGGCATACAATATGTACCCTGTACGCTGATTGACTCGAGTGAAGGTTATGACATTCAAATTCTATTTTCAATCAGTGGCGCCACGCCGCACCCCACAGCAAACAGACTTGATGAAGATGCCTTCATCCCAATCGACGAAAGAAAACAACAACAACAACAAAAATCAACAAAATCACGAAAACGATGACAATACTGAGTGGCGGTGGAACGGAACGGAATGGAATGGAATGACTACTTCTGGGCGACATCGTCGACCAGACCCGGGACCCAGACCCAAACAAACACGAGGAAGCCATAGTGGAAAGAGGAAGAACCAACTCAATTATACAAATATTATACAAACATTACAAATACATCAGAAATAACGAAGGATATTTGCCAGAGCAGGGGGCTGGGGGGCTGGGGCACGTGCACGTAAACTGCTGCCACTGGGACAAGGATTGGTGGGGCTTGACTCTTACTCTAAATACTCGTAATATATGGCGGTGGGGTACGGGAGCCTTGGCACACTACTCTTCAAGGCACAAAGAGCGCCCTCAAGAGTGTGACACAGAAAGGAATAGGCTCTACGTTATCCCCCCTCTCTAACACTCTGGCAGGGCAGTCAATAGCACTGTGCAGCCAAAAAAAAAAAAAAATGGCATATACATATTTATAATATAATATAATATAATATAATATAATATAATATAATATAATATAATATAATATAATATAATATAATATAATATAATATAATATAATATAATATAATATAATATAATATAATATAATATAATATAATATAATATAATATAATATAATATAATATAATATAATATAATATTGCAATATTTAATTTTATCTGATGAAAAGATTATATTAATTATTTAAAAGGTTTCTTCATTTTGCAACTGTTTCAAAATCGTTTGTTGGACAGTGTCGTTGCCTTTGCGATTGTGTCGAAACAATGACCAGAGAGGGGGGGTGGGGCAACAGTAAGAGTAGTTGTAACCTTCGTTGAATGCCCCGCTCTGTTCTGGTCTCTTTCCTCACTGCTTCAGTTCGGCAGCCCCGCAGCTGATTAGCAGAAATTTAGCTATTTTGAGCTTTAAGTTATATCCTTTTTCGTGAACAATAACTTGCTTCCGACTTGCTTCGTGTGTGGTAAATCATCATGCCTAGTCGAAAATATATGAATTGAAGAAGTGGCCGGCAGCCTCGTAAAGTTCCAGCAGATACAACCCAGTCCAACTTTTGCTATTGTACAATAATTGTTTAATATCAGCAAAGTTGTTTGATATTCGTCAACATTGCAGCCAGCAAAAGGCACGTGTTCGCAATGGCAAAAACAATTAAATAAGCTTTGCAGAAAAATACACAAAAGCAGAAGAGCAGAAAGCGGAAAAATATTTGTATATATTTTAAAAAAGGGAAAATAATACAACAAGCATGATTGTAGTGGACTAATTCTTAATTTATGGCTACACTAAAACCACAAAAATACAAATTAGTTGTATTTAGTTTTATCCCAAATTTTAAGCTTATTTAGCTGTGAATCTAGCCCGTGCCGCACTGCAGCACTGCTGATGAGCTGTGTTAATGCTGACGACAACAACAATAACAATACAACAGAGTCGTCACGTGAATGAACTTGTTTGCACATGCAGAGAGAGAGAGAGAGAAAAGAGTGTCCCAGTCCCGCTATTTGTTTCCCCGCTGCTGCTTGTCATTGGTGAATATTGCTTTCGTTTTCTGTCTTAGTGTCGCTGTCGTTTTGATACCCTCTTTTATTGCAGTGGATTTTCTTTTGTGCCGAATATGTAGCTATTATAATAAATATATTCCCAAAGGTACCAGCGGAAGCCTCCGTTGCTCACAAAAGAGTCTCGCAACTGGATAAAAGTCTCGCAAAAGGCTCGCTTGCCATATTTCTTGCAAATATCGTAAACGAAACCTTAAATGCCCCAAACTGAACGACATGGGAATCAAATTTTAATCTTTTTTAATCAAATTGCAAGAGCGTCTGGTTCGTTGGGGGCATGGTATCATAGATTGGTCATAGTAAAACAAAAAACGAAACGAAACAAAACAAAACAAATAGATAATCCAATCAAACTTTAACCAAAAATTTGTTTAAAATCAAATGACTAAATCTATCCTAGGTAAGGGGATCCAGTCCACTCTGCGAGTGAGTGGTATCCAACAAATTCTGTTGCGCCGCCACTCCAACGCCAATCAATTTTTGTATAGTTTATGATTATTGTTTATCAGCGGAAATTCAGCTTTGTGCCTCCCCCCCTCCACCAACGTGTGTCGCGTGTCGCATTCAACGAGATTTCTTCCTACCTCCTCCCCTCCTATTGTTTTTCTTTGGACAGCAAATTGTCTGTCTGTTCTCTGCCCTCCACCCCCATCATAGAATTTGATTTATATAATATGCTTCACATTACAATTTGATGACTGTGGATTTGGCTTCGTGTGAAAACAATTAGATGAATGCAATTTGGGATTTTCTGTGTATATATGGGGGGGTGTTTTGGGGTAGCTTTTAGTGGTTGCATTGCATAACACATGGAAGGGGGGGCGCTGGCGGCATTGTTGTTGTTTTGTGGTCAAGCGCTTGGCATTGAAATTGCAATTGCAGTTGTGGAAAAACACACATCTTTCTGTCACGGAAACTACTGCACGTGTAAGCCATACATACATGTATGTACATATGTATGTATGTATGTATGTATGTATGTTTTCTATAGATACTATGAATTCTATGTATAAGGCGGCTGTTATTTTCACAATTTTAAAGATTCAAAAGTAACAACATCGAAAGCGATATAGCGCCATGTGAGATACCCAATAAGTTGAGGGAAGATAAATCCTGGGGCTCTGAAGTACAAGCGAGAGATGCCCCAAGAGAGAGAGATTGGGATTGCTGATGTGCGTGGCGGGGGGGGATGTGTGTGGTGGGGGAGGGAATATTGATTTTGCGCTTGCATTTGGCAACACACGATGATTGATAAATTGTGACGATTGATTTGATTGATCTCATTCAGAGTGCAATCCAAGGGGGGGGGTTTTTTGGGTAATATACCAAATTCGGCGACGAAAAAGTCGCGCAATTTCAATCGAGATTTCTTGGGCTCCTCGCGCGGATGATGCACCGTTATTTGATCGCCATCGGCCGATATCATCGTTTCGCTGGGCGGCGATATCGAATACTGTTGCAGCAGGCGTCGCTGCTGTTCGGTCAGATCCTCCAGCGGATCGTGATTGTTGGCGGCCGAACCCAAACAACTGCTGCTGGCAGCAGCAGCAGCAGCAGCGGATGTGCTGGTGAATGACGATGACGTTGCAGCGTTGGTGACGGCAGCGGCAGCGGCAGCAGTAGCCGTTGCGGTAGCAACGGCAACCGCCGCCCCACCAGCAGCCGCCAATTGTTGAGCGATGAGCAGCTTCTGGGCATGCTCTTCGGCCTCTTTTTGTTTTTTGAAATCTTTTTTTTTTTTTGTTTTTTGCATAGATCATACATAGTACAGGGTACATATGTTTATACAAATTGTATACATATAGATATATATTATATAGTTAAATACATATATATATAAAGAAAACCAAAGAGGGAGTGGTAGAGAGGTTGTAAGAGTAGGGGGGGGGGCTGGTTGGCAGGGTAGGCTTCGGGTGGGTGAGAACTTAAAATAACAACAGCCACACACAAATAAAAATGAGCGAGAATCGGCTTTTCATCTTTTTACAAAGGATTAAGGATTGATCCAATTTGTATCTAAAACTTTCATGATATTCCAGGGTTCCCATTGTAGAAAGAATATACCGTACATACATATCTATTTAAAGATTGCCTCGCTCCCTTAACGATGTCAGAGAAAGCGAGAGGATAAGGATGCTAATGATGATGGGCTGACGGGCCCACCCCACTTAAGTGGGCCCTTAAAATTCAATTTCAATTTGCAATTTGACAAATGAAATTTTACCAAATGCTTCTGCTGCTTTGATGACAGAGCGAGCGGCTGATGACGCCACATACTGCTTGCTACACGTACTACGTACAGTAGATCAAAATTAATGACATTTTTGTGTAGTCAAGGATGGACGTAGGCGGGCTGGGCTGTCATGACCTAGCCCACTTGGATGACCTTGTGGTTTGGTTTGGTTTTTTTTTGTTTTTGTTTCGTCCACCTTTACCTCGTCACAAAATGCCCTTCCTTTTCTTCTATTCTCCTCTTTTGGGGTGACAAAAAGAAGAAGCAGAAGTGGGGAATAGAAAACTCATTGCGGAAATGGACAAGAAACCGAAAAAGAGCAATGGTTGAAATGCAATTTTCCTGTCAGCCAGAGCTAAAGCTGGATCCGTTCCCTCCCTCAACCATTTTCCCCATTCCCTCAGCCATGTACATATCTCCTAACACTTGCAAAACGAGTAAAGGGAAAGGCACTAAGCGGATTACGCGGCAACCCTAGGAGATGTGGGATGTAAGGCGGCAATGGGCCAAGAGGGATGAGTAAGGCAGAAGGCAAAACTTGATAAAAAAAAAAGTGGAGGAAGGAAAAATGTAAACTATTTAGCGCTTTTACGCTTTTGAGTAGAGTTGCATGGATGACGACGCTGAACGCGAGAACTCGAATCAAATAAACGATCTGTGTTGCCAGTCACCCATCTCTAATGAGAGCCATTAACTGTTTAAATTCGGCACTCTCATTCTTCTGAGGCTTAGTCATCTGCTCTACCCTTATTGATGATGGGCACAATCTTTACCAGAAGTCTTTCAGGTGGAAATTCTCACGTGCCGCCCATCTCTAATGGAATCCATCTAACGGTAAGCGTTTTCTTCATTTTCCAGCTTAACCCAACATCAACAGATGAACTTCCCTCCCATGCTGTTAGCCCGCTCTTTGCCGATCCGCTCCATCTCCAACGAAATCTACGTATCCAACGGTAGAAGTTCTGCGCTCTCTCTCTCTCTGCTTACCTCCCTCTCCTTTCTCTTCTCCACGACTTTCCTTATCGCACTCATGTGACTAGCCATTCTCTTTGTCGTTTCGTTTCGTTTCGGTTCTGTTCCCCCCGTTTCGGTTCTGTTCTGGTGGGTGCTCTTTTCCCTTTGAATCATTCGCATTATCAGTTTTTCCGTTTCATTGGATAGACGGGCCGCAATCGTCGTGGCTATGACGTCATCAGATTTCGACTCATCAGAGAGTGCGAGTGCGAATGGGAGGGGGATAGCAATAGAGCTCTGTTAAGTGATCATAACAGAGAGATGCTGCCTGCTGGCTCTGTCGTCTGCTGTCTGTTAGGGTTATGTAAAAACTAATGAGACCAGAACGGAACGGAACCCCCTTCGGTGGATATGGGGAACTTCTGCTATTGCTGCTGCTGGCACTGGGCACCTCGACACTGGGGCACTGTTATTGTTGTTTGCATTTTTTCCGAGAAGCAATGAAAATCAATTAAAATTAATTGATTCAAAAGTCAAATTCAAATGGTCAAAGCAGAGGGAGAGACCTTTATGGCAATTTGTTGTTGTGGTTGCATTTGGTATGGGGCTGTTGTTTCAATTTAAGCGAACAATGTGCAATAATTAGAAAATGCAATCATTTATTATACGGCGCTCTCCCGCTCGCACACACACACACACACATAGACAGACACACGCACACATAATAATAAATTAAAAAATAGGATCAGGAATCGGGATACGGGGATAGAATGGGATTGTAGGGATCGATCAGGGAACGGTACTTACTTTCCAGCAGCCTCTGGATAAGACTATCCACATTCAGATCGAAGTCGCCCATTTTAATAGCCGCTATATTTTCGTTTTGTCTTTGGCCGCCGCTCAGATGTTTTCCTTTACGTCTAAAAACGTTCAATAGACCCCGTTCAGATGGTCTTTTCGGCTAAAATGTTCTTGGCCGCCTGTTTTTTTTTTTTTGTTTGTTGGTGGAGCCAGCTGTTCTTCTTAGCAGGCGGTATTCCAATTGGAACGTTTCTTTTTTTTTGTTGGTTTTTGGGTTGGAACGCAACACCATACGCACACAACCGCACCTACACACGCACACACACACGCACAGGTGCTGTGTTAACAACAATCTTTACTTGCTTCGCCTGTGTGTGTTAGCTTGTACTTAATTCTTCTCTTTTTTTTTTGTTGGTTTCCGCAAAAGGCAATTTCACTTTTTGTTTTGTTGTTGCGGCCGCTTCTTGCCGTCGCTGTTGCTGCTGCGTTGCGCGGGGAGTCGTCGGTAGTTGTGTGCGGGGCGCGCGGTGTTTCACTGATGTTCACAGACAAACAGAAAAAAAATTGTACACTCGTACGCGAACGAGGTACATTCACTTTAAAAGAGTGGCACGATCCAAACAAAATTACGATTCAATTTAATTTTTGTTACGGTCTCCCGTAGAGGTGTCAAACCATCGAGGGCACTATCGATAGTATCGATGTTTTGCTGCTATCCGCTACTATCGACAGTTTAGCACTATCATGATAGTATCGAGCTACAGTTGCTGCGCTTTTGATATGTTTGGATTGGCTGCTCCAAAATACGAAGAAAAATTTATAAACAAATCGACAGGTGGCATCTTATTTTTACAATGGACAAGTATCTAAAAGGTTTCAATGGTTTTTTAATAATTTTTTGAGCCCGATACTACTACGATAGTATCGATTGTTTTCTTCAAAACATTGAAAACCATCGATGGCTCAACTATCAATCGTTTGACAGCTCTAGTTTCCGAAGGACAGACAGACCCACAAGATTTATCAATAAAATATACCGCCTGACCCTCAGAAATATTCCGAAATATACCTTCTCATTTTCAGAATATACCGTAAATACACCGAGGAAATAAACGAACTTAGCCCACGTATCCCCACGCTGTTGAAACAGATGAACACCTGGAGTTATAACGCCAAAAATAATGCATACTGCCCGAACATTATTTTTGAAGATCCTATCTTTCCTCTTTAATCACAAGTAAAACTACCAAGATATCTTTCACCTGAAATTCATAAAAAATGTTCAATTGTTATAATACACGTGCGTAAATTGAAATATTCACTTGTCGACAATGGGTTAATCGTTCCCTGTCCATCAACGGAAATTAATTTTAATTAATAGCGGTTTGAGCGATGTGGATCAAGTATGTATGTTTTGGAAGTATTGACATATAATTATAATTATATACCGCTAAATTAGTGTTAGTAGCCGTCTCCATAGTGATATCGGGCATAGAGCAGTGGCTTTATTAGCTGCAAGACGATGTTCACCAACACTCAGTGCTGATTTAGATCAAATCGTCATGTTCCGGCGAGAAACGTCAGAAAATTAGAAAGCAAAAGATTCCAGGCCGAGAACGAAGCGACAAGGACGTACAAAATTCGATTGGTAGCTGCTCACACCAGCTGTGCAACCAGCTTAGACTTTGGTTCATTGTGATTGTTTCTCTTGCTATCCTGGTGGTCCTTTCAATCGTTTGGAACGTTATGCTTGAGCGTCTCATGCGCTTGCAAGGACCAGCCGGATATCACGAGAAACAACCAAAATGCATCCATGTCTACGCTGGTTGTATGGCTGGTGGGAGTGGCAAATCAACGTGTGCGAATCAGGCGAAAAACCATGCAGAAAGCCCAGCAATTGTCTCCAATCGAACTCCAGTTGCCGGCGTCTAGCTGCCGAAAACCAAGCGGCGGATCAAAAAAGCAAACGATTCCGTGCCATTTCAAAAGCGAAACCCACCACGACGGAATGGATAAAATAGAAATTGAATTTTTTCCAACGGCTAAAGGTAAGTGCAAGTTGGAAATACAAACACACACCACCCACCCGTTCGGTGGCAAGGTGTGTTAGCAGAACGAGGTAGCCTACAATTTCAGTTGTTTTATTTGTTTTTATTTTCCATTTTTGCGGAATATGGTACTCCAGCTGCCAACTAATAGTTCAACATAGTTTACTCAGCTGATTATTATTAATCTTTAATATAACATTTTATTACGTAAATTATTGTTTGCATGGTATGATATTTACGCATATTTTTCGATTGTAGATTTTTTTTTGTATTTTGCTGTGCAGCCCTGGTTACCGCGCAAACTGAGTTTCTCTTTTGTTTTGATTATTTGTAATATTAAAACCAGAGCCAGAGCGCAATGAACTATTTTCCAAACTACTTTTCGATCGAGGATATATTTGTGACCCAGGAGAAGGTCGAATGCAAGGTCAACACGAAGCTGCAGCGGATGGGTGCGTAAAGCAAGTTATTTACACACTCCTGCACGATCGGAATCATTGGAATTTTGTGGGGTTTTTGTTCAAGGCTTCTTGGATGCCGGCGCCGAAGGTGACGACCTGGATCCGGGACGCACCATCAATCTGCCGCTGTGGTATATCAAGGAACTGAAGGTGAACAATGCCTACTTCACCGTCGCCGTGCCCGATATCTATAAGAATGTGCACAAGGCCGTCTGTGAGGCGGAGACAACGCACATCGAACTGGGTCGACTGCATCCGTACTTTTACGAGTTTGGCCGCTATCTGACGCCCTATGACCGCAACCATGTCATCGGTCGCATCATCTTTGAGACGATGCGGCAGCGTGTGCGTCATCTGCTGGACATATCCAAAAACGATGGACAACTGGCCAAGTCTGAGCTGCGACTGGACAACATCGAGGCAAAGCTGCATGAGGCGGGCGTGCGCACCAATACCCAGGTAAATGACTGAACCTCTCTGTTGTTCATCGCTTAATTATCACCGTTGCAGTACATCAACTGGCTGCAAATGACGGGCAATAAAATTCTCATCTCGGAGCTGGTGGAGGAGCATCAGAAGAAGCGAAAACGTGACCGCAGCGACGATGAGGGGGACAGTTTGCCCAGCAGTAAACGTGCCACCCTGTGACACACCCTACCACACCCATCCCCGAATAATTAATAATTTTGGTTCTATTTTTTTTTTTTTGTTTGTTGAAACATTTAGCAATTTTATTCTGTAACTCGCTGCACGCTGCCCAGATCAGATTCTATGCCATACCTTGTAAATACCCATGCAACACTCCACACACACACACAGGCACAAACACATATATGTATATGATGTTTCATTTCATGCCACAAAAATACAATACAATCGGTCTACAGATGGTAGCTTCCAAATACATACAGATCTATACGCGGAATACATATCTATGTGTGTATATATATATTATATGTATATATGTCATTATTGCATGTCTGTATAGCGACAGCAGGGATTAAGTTTTTCTTGTTTAGTTGTTGTAAATACATAATAGCTAAGCATTTCTGACAGGACAGAAGCACAATGCACACACGGTTAGGTACCAAATCTATAAACTCTTACTGCTGCTGCTGCTGCTGCTCCACTCTCTCTCTCTCTCTCTCTGGCTATATATTTGCTCTCCCTCATGCGTTGGCAATAAGCCAACGGAACAACCATCGATCGTCTTCAAACCATGCATGCACACATATATTGTATATATGTAGATATAAATAGGTAACTACATACACATACACTATATATATATATATATATATATATATATTTATAACAACTTGTTGTAAGCTCAATTAAAACTTTGATTTCGTTACACATTTCCACAAATAAAAATAAAAGAAAAACAAAACTGCGATCGATAGGTCGATTAGGGTGTGTGTCCTGCCTCTTCACTCCAATCAGTTATAGTAGTTATATGTAGATATATAGTTCTATATGTTGTTTGTGCATTTGTATCAACAATCCCCGCTCCATGCCCCCCCCCACTCAATAAACTCAATAATTCGCCTGCCCCTATCGATGCTTAAACAGACAAAAAGAAACATTCAATGTGTACCGTTTACCGTGCAACAAAAGAAAAGAATACTACGCACACATACACAGACACATACATATATCTTACTAATCACTTTGGCTTTTGCAAACATATACATACACATAAACACATACACATATCTATATATATATTCAATTCAAAGAGACAGAGGAGTGATCGAAACTCTCTTTTGGTTTAACAGTTTTTCTTTTTTAGAACATAAGCTCGCCTTTCCGTTAGGGTTTTTGTTTTTGTTTCTCATTAGTGTGGGATTTTGCGCTTAACAATATATATCTATATATTCTTGTTGTTGTTGTTGTTGTCTGGGATTATACAATAGCAATGGGGATATAGGCAACAATTGAATGCAACATTTTTTTCAACATTAATTCATTAATTCAACGCCCTCGTTTCGTGGCTATGTGGGGGCGTGGGGGCAAGCTCAACACATACATACATACATTGTTTATTCTCCATTTCACTTCTTTTGGTAATTTTTTGTTTAGTTCGATTTTTATAGGGTTTTAGTTGTGGGGATGTGGTAACGCAGAGAAGGAAACGTTTCGACCCCATAAGTATAAACCAGATCAAACGACAGCGGCGCTGCCGCTGCTGCGCTGTCTGCTGCTGCGCGTCTCCGTGAGCGCCATAAGGCTAGGCCAACCAAATTGGTCCAACCAGGTACCCACTGTAACAGATCGCCCCCCCCTCCGCCCCCACGGAGCCCAATAGAAGCCCACAACGCCCACATATACCAAATAATTTTCATTCCCCCCCCCCCCACCACCACCCCCGGCCGGGGGGGGAGGGGGGGCTCTATGTATTAGTTCGATTTTTTTTGTTTGTTTGTTTTAATTTAATTTAATTTAACTTTGATCTTTTCGTTTATCCGTTTTGTTTTTTTGTTTTTAGTACATAATGTCTTTTGTTTAAAAACTAAATATCTGTCTACGCACGCCCGGGGCTCGGGTACCTCCTCCTCTGTGTGTCCTGTTGTCTGTTGTCCGTATCTTCGGTATATCCGTGTCCGTATTTAATTCGTTGGTTATTCGGTTATATGTTGGTTTATAGCAGTGGCATTATACCTGGCTGCTGGGGTGTGGTGGTGCAGGAGGGCACTTGTATAAACTTGTATAAGTAACAGCTGTAGGGGACATACATAGCTGCGCCTCAATATAAATACATAAATAGCTAGAGCTTTCCATTCGCTTAGCTTAACAAAACAAAACAAAAACTAATCATCGATTTTGCACTAGTTCTTGCCATTTATTATGGCGGTGGTGGGTGTGGTGGGCGTAGTGGGCCTTGTGGGACTTATGGGAGTGGCTGTCGCATCCGGTGGTTGTCCATTCTTTAGTGTCGCCGGCGGCCTCCGTTTCGGCAGAAAAACCTGTGAACACAAAACACGAAAATGAGCGAGATGGCCACAACACACACACAATACAAAAGCGAAAGGGTGGGTGCGATGGTGGGTTTACCTTGAGAGCGCCCAATACCATCAGATAGAACCAATAGAGCTGCGGCAAGAAGAGTATGGCAATGCTGACCAGACAGCCCCGTGGCAGGCCGCTCATGGCCGACCATAGGGTGGCCGCCTCAATGGCCAGGCTGTAGCGCCACATCACATACGGCCACATGCAGACGCGGCACACAAAGAAGGTGGCCAGCATGAGCAGACCGTTGGCGATATACACGCGCGATTCCTTAAGCCGCATCGTGCTCAGGATGCTCCTCAGCGACACAAACGGCGTGGAGAACTCCATCATGAACATGTAGCTGTAGATGCAATGGCCGCCACCACGAATGTACTGCAGCAGCAAATAAGGGAGAAGAATCGGGGTTAGAATTTGCATCATGTGGAAATGGCTGTCGCTGTCGTCAGACTGTGTGTCTTACCGTGACCACCAGCAGGCCAAAGGTGCCGATAAATACGTGATGGATCATCATGACCGGATGCGTTAGCACATACTTGAGGAAGTCCCAGCGCCCGTCCTTGGGTATCTGCACACAGGCGCCATCATAGTCACAGATCTCACGCGGAGTGCCCGGAGTGCTGCCATTGTTGTTGCCGCCCGCGCCAGTTGCCTCCCTGCCCCTGCCATTGGTCGCCTCACAGTGGCTCCTCACATGACCATTGACCAACAATGATGCATGTCCCTGTCCCTGTCCCTGGCCCTGTTCCTGGCCCTTGGTCAGGCGCAACAAATGCAGCTTGTCGGCTATCTTCTGGGTGTGCACCTTATACATGGACCAAATGTCGTACATAAAGTATGCGGTGCCGAACCAGCCGTAGGCCTCCATCAGGAAGTGCGAGGCGTAGACAAATGATTTTGTGCACGTGGATTTGCAAACGATGAGGCCCACCAGAAAGGAGAACGATGCCTGAATGGCCGAAACGATTCTGAAAAGAAATTCAAATCAAATAGAGTTGAAAAGAGCAGCAAAAATAGATAAGATATATATAAGAAATAGATATTGATGCTGGATGGGAAGTAACTGAGAAGTATTCAAGTCGCAGCACGTGTGCCGCTCTCGCTCTCTCCCCAGATCTCTCTCGCTGCTGTTGCAGCACTCGCTACATTCGAAACGTGTGTGTCCATTCGCTTAGAGGGCATTTGTACAGTCAGCTAGGTAACAGGAGCTAAATTAGAACCGATTCGCCTGCGCAGTTGAGTTGAGTTGAGTATTTTGTTGTTGTTCGCTTGATGCGAGTTTTACGTCAGAGAAATGTCGAGAAGTGTACGAATTAAACAAAACCTTCGACTTTCGACGGAAATCAGTTATCGGAAATAGCTCAAAATTTTAAGTACGACATCAGAAGCAGAGAGCAGAGAGCACAGAGCACAGAGACTCCATCCATAGACACGGCAGATGGAAGCAAGAAAATGCCTGCCGGAGGCCGATCCCTGCCCCGTGCGACAATATCTCGCACGGCAGGCCGAGGCCCAGGCCAATCAGCGCCAGAGCCTCAATCAGTATCTGGAGAAGACCATGTCCGATTTCCCGCCGCCCCACCTGCCCGGCGAGGCCACAAAACTCGCCGCGTCCGCGTCCGCCGCCGCCACTTGCCAGTGCGTGGCCAGGACCAGGCCGAATGCGATTCTGAATCAGTTTGTCGGCGGTGGACGCAAGCCGGGGAAGCGCCTGCTGGTGCCGGATCTGGCCACCGATTGGTTTCGCAAACAGAAGGTTTTCCTTGACAAGATCAGCCCCGAGGAGCTGGCCCAGGGCCAGGATCGCCAGGATCGCCAGGACCGTTGCTTCGGCCACCTCGATGCCTCAGAGTACCGGCTGCCAGAGACCCGTTGCGCCTGCCCGGCCACAAAACGGAGCCAGGGCCAAAGTCGCGTGTCGCTCGCCCGACAGCGGCACCAGCAGCTGCAGGGCAAAGCCACGTGCGGCTGCCGGAGCGGGGCCAACGGGGCAGAGGACGCTCCAGCGGGAGACGAGCAGCAGCAGGATCAGCAGCGGCTGGCCAAGCAAATGTCCAGCAGTCAGACCATCACACGCTGCCGGCCCCATGTGGCAGGATGCGGCACCGAGGGTGGCATGAAGAACAGCAGGAGCAGGAGCAGCAGGAGCAGAAGTAGGAGCAGCAGAACTAGCAGAGGTGTAAGCAGAAGTAGGAGCAGGAGCAGCAGCAGGAGCACAAACAGAAGCCGAGCGAAACGCAGGAATGCTGGCGGCCACAGTCCCCATCGCCGACACCCGATCGTGCGGCGCAGCAGCTGCACTTGCCTACGGCGCAGTCCCTCATGCCGCTGCCCCGGCCAGATGCAGTTCCAGAGCGACGGCCAGCCCATGTCCAGGGAGTGCCAGCTGGCGACGCGTCGCACAGAGCCGCTGATGCCGTGCCTGCGGCGTAAATATGAACTGCAGCGGGCACCGCAGCGTCGACTCGAGCCGCAGCACTTTCGCCGCATCTCGCCGGAGTTCTTTGGGATACTGAAGAAGTACGAGGCGGCGATGACCGAGAGCTGTCCGCTCTACGGCATCTCGATACGGCACTGGGGCGAGTCGGCGCCCTGCTGCATCTGCGAGGAGGACGATGCCAGTCCCGAGCACATGCAGTGTCTGGGCGATGAGTCGGTGCATGCGGCGGGCGCAGTGCCCTCCATTCAGCAGTTGATGGCCTCCGAGGCGGACACGGAAGAGTATACGGCTGCGGGCGAGCATCCGGGCGTCGAGGAGCAAGGTTCCGAGGCTCCGGCTGCAAGCAGCGGTCCATCGCCCTGCAACGATGACACCTGTCCCGTCCGAAGGCTCGAGCCCCTGCCGGCACCAGTGCCGAGGGCTAAGCCCAAGGAACCGGAGCCGAGACCACAAGAGCCGCGCAGGAAGTCCGAAGCCAAGCAAGAACAAGCCGAACCAGAAGAAGATCCGCAGCCACCCAGCAAGGAGCCAGAGAAAAAGAAAAGCGGCTTCAGGTGCTGCCCCTGCTGGTCCAGGGATCCCCTTAAGGATGATGATGCTGCCGGAACGCAGCGGGAAAAGCCAAAGAAAGAGAAGAAAGAGAAGAAGGAGAAGAAGGAGAAGAAGGAGAAAGAGAAGAAGCCAAAGAAGGAAAAGAAATCCAAAAAGGGCGACAAATCCGCCGGGGAGGTGCCGAATGCCATCATTCCTCCGCAGGCATTCTTGAGTGGATTTGCGGGCCTGTGCAGGCGCTGCATGCGCTCGGGCCGCCATCTGCTGTACAGCCACAATTCGAGCTACCAGCGGATCCGTCGCCAGAACCAGGGCTACCGCAACGAGCAGGCTCCACCAGCAGCAGCAGCAGCAGCAGCACCACCCCCAATGCCATATCACATGCGTGGCGTGTGTCAGCTTCAGCCCGATGTCTGGCAATTCGAGCAGCAGCCAAGGACAAGACAACAGACAGCCACAGACACGGAGACGGAGATGGAAGCGGAAACTGTGTCCTGGGCAGCAGTAGGAGCAGCAGGCGGAAAAACGCAACCGGAATGGGAGCCATCAGAGGATGAAGGCGGCTCCCTTGACAGCTGCAATTGCAGCAGCACCACCCTGAGGCCCAGCTCCAGCTGCGAGGCCCAGCCCAGCCGTGGCCCTCTCTGCACGACGAGACGCAGCCAGGCGGGTGCCTGCAACCTCGATGGCTGCCCATCATCGGCCATTTGGACGCTGCAGAAGCGTAGCTCCAGACCGCTGAAGCGGCGATTTGTTAACGAGAACTTTGGCAGGCGAAGGCTGCCAGAGAGAGCCGAAAGAGCCGAAAGAGCAGAAAGAGCCGAGCAGGAGAGAACAGAGGAACAGATCAAGGGCGGAGAGGATGCCACGCTGAGGGATAATAATACGTCGTCGTCGTATGTGGAGGGTTTCTGCCTGAAGGTGAACAAGCATGGCACACGGGCCTGCTATCTGGCCAACGATTATCTGCAGCTGATGAAAATGGTGGCCAGAAAGCGGGCCCGTTACGACTGCCTCAAGACCAAGAAGACCACCTGCCGGCCCAAGCCAGAGCCCAGTCCCCGGCCCACGGCGCGCAGTCGACGAGCTTCGCCCGCGGCAGCAGCGCGCGGCAATGCAGCAGCTGCCGCCCACTCGAATCGGTCACGGAGTACCGGAATGCGTACGCAGTCCGCCCCCGCTGCGGCAACAACGGCCAGGCATCCAAGGCGTAGGCTACCACCACCCAAGATGCTGGCGAGCCCATCCACAGATGCCGACTCGGATGGGGCCAGCAGCTCCCAGGACGGGGGCAGCCGCAAGGCGGAGAGGAAGAAAGGCACAAGCTCCGCTAGAAATTCACAAACAAGAAGCTCCCTCAGGAAGCGACCGGCCAGAGCCAGTTCCAGTCCCAGTCCCAGTGCGAGTCCCGCCCGCTTAAAGTCGCGCTCGGCCCGCAGCTCGTCGTCCAGCAGGAACGTGGAGAGAAAGCCAGCATCGCCCACACGTAGTGCCAGATCGTCGGCAGCCAGGAGACACTCGGCACAAAGGCAGCGCCAGTCGACGGAGTCGCATACGAAGGCTGTCGATCGTGTGGCATCGAGCAGCGACCTCGATGAGGACTGTCGGCCGAATGAAAACGGAACTTGTGCCCAGTATCGTGCCGCAATCAGCCACAGATATCCGGACTATGCCATGGACGAAACGGAATCCGTGCCGCAATTCAAGCCATCCGATTCGTATGCCAGTGAATGCCTGTGCAAAACGTATTCCTATTCGAGGGCAGGAACCAATGCCATGGCCACGGCCATGGCCCCGGCCGTGGCCCCCCAAGATGTAACAGAGCCCAGTCCGTGGTCAGCGGAGACCGCTGCACCCTATCAGGGTAATGCCGCTGCAGATTGGACCCAGGAGAAACAGGCAAATGGCCGCAAAAGCCCCGAAGCCCCGAAGAGCCCCGATTGGATGGGCATGGAGGAGGAGCAGCAGCAGCAGCCGCAGCAGCCGCAGCAGCAACAGCTGCAACAGCAGCAGCCGCCTTCAGTTGCAACGCAGGATGATACTCAGTTTGATGAGAATCCCGTGGAATGGGTGGAGGAGCAGCGTGAGCCAGCGGCTGCAGCTGCAGCTGACAATTATGCTGAGCAGCCAGCCTTTGCTGGGCAGCGAGAACTGTGCCACCAGGATTGTCCTTATTGGAGGACTGTGCATGAGGAGGAGAGACTGCAACAGCAGCAGCAACAGCAGCAGCAACAGCAGCACCTTCAGCTGCAACAGCAGCAGCCACAGTTCTATTCACAGGAGGGCGGCTATGATCAGGACGATGAGGAGCGACCCACAACGAGCAAGCATCTGAAAAGGCTGTCGCGCTCATACAGACTACGACCGCCATGCGGTGGGCCACTGCGTTGGATTGCCAATGGATTCACCAGCTCCAAACGGAGCTCCCTCTCGGACAGCGCTCCCTTCGAGCGGGGAAGAGAACGGGCACCACCAGCAGCAGCAACAGCAGCAGCAGCGGCAGCAGTTGTCAAAAAGCAGAGGCCACGACCACCCATAGAGAGGGGACGTCGCTACTACACGGAAACGCAGCCCAAAATGTGGTACGATCAGTGTGGCGGGCTGGATGGGATGAGCAGCAGCATTCGGTCGAGCCACTCGCGCTGCTCGATACGTGCCCTCAGCTCCAACGCGGAAACCGTTGAGTGTCCCTGCCCGCCGTTACCGTCAATCAAAAGTGAGAATGTGAAGCCAGATAGATGGGGCATGCAGCAGCCACAATTTCAGCAGCAGCAGCGGCAGCCACAGTTCCAACAGCAACAGCAGCAGCCACAGTTCCAGCAGCAGCAGACACCGAGGGTGACTCCTCTGATGCAGCCACGGCAGACACAGATGCAGCCTCAGATGCAGCCTCAGCTGCAGCCTCAGATGCAGCCTAAGCTGCAGCCTCAGATGCAGCCTCAAATGCAGCCTCAGATGCAGCCACAGATGCCGCCACATCATATGCAGATGCAGCCACGGCCAATACAGCCACAGCCACAGCCACAGATGCAAATGCAAATGCAGCACGCGATGGAGTACCAAAATCCCAACCAGAACCAGAACCAGAACCACATCGAACAGAATCGCTATAGGCACTACGAGCAGCAGCAGCAGCAGCAGCAGCAGCAAGCGGCTGCTTACAATCCGATGCTGTCGATGGCTACTGCTGCTAGTCCACTCAACTTTCCCATTGGCTCGGGCTTTGGGCCCAGCAAGAAGATACCCAAACTGTTGAGCAATCAGCCGCTGGAGCTGAAGCCATCGCTCGCCCAGAAGCTGGAGGCCAAGAAGCCCAAATGGATGCACCACAATCACGCACCGCTGACGCTGCGCACCGCCCGACCGCGGGCAGAGGCCTACTACGAGGGCAAGATGCGACGGCGTTGCCTCAAGTTCATGTTGAGCATCGAGCAAGGCAGACAGCCAGCAATACCACCAGCACAGGCGCCTGCCGAGCAGGAGGACTGGTCCATCACCGAGCAGCAGCAGCAGCAGCAGCATCAGCATCAGCAGCAGCACGAAAGTGAGCCATCCGAGGAGCTGCAAGAGGAAGAGGAACAACCACAAGAACGCGTGGGGCAGCAGGAAGAGCAGGAGCCATTGAACGACTCATCGGAGGAACAAGTTTGGTTTGGAGAGCCCGGCTACGACGTCGATGAGGGTCCGCAATGGAGCCAAACGCGTCGCTCGCTCTCCGGCAGCGTGGTGATGCGTCCTGCAAACAATGCGGCCACGCGGATCGAACATCCAACGCATCAATGGCCGTATTCAGGTCAGTCGCAGCGGCATGACGAGCGCCCGAGTCAGCCGAGTCCCACATACGATCCCTACTATCGTGTGGACGCGGACCACTGGCCGCCAGAACAGCAAGCCGCCCATTGGGAGACGCCTCCTTACCACCCGAAGCAGCAATCGCCACAGCAGCAGCAGCAGCAACAGCCGCCACTCAATCAGAATTATCAGGAGCCACAGTCTCAGCGACAGACTTCACGCCGGCCACAGGCGCAGCCGCAGCCACAGCCACAGCCGCAGCCACAGCGGCAAGCACAGCCGCAGCCACAGAAACTGCCCCAGCGGCAGCCACAGACTGAGCGGCAGCCACAGCGCCAGGAGCAGCCACAGCGCCAGGAGCAGCCACAGCGCCAATCACAGCGCCAGCCACGGCATGAGCAGCAGCAGCCACAGCCTGAACGCCAGCAAGATCCTCATCTTCATGCCCATCCCCCCCATCCCCATGCCCATGCCCATCGTCAGCCTCAGCCTCAGCCTCATGTTCAGCGCCAGACGCCGCTTCCGCCCCCGCCACAGCCGGACATTAATGCCAGATGGCATTGGCGTATACCGAGATCTGTGTCAGAGACCAGACCCTTCTACGACGAGGAGGAGGAGCAAGACTATGCCCCGCAAGAGGAGCGACAGCCAACCAATTGGCAGAAGCATGCACCGCCGCCGTCGTACATGCAGCCAATGCATCACCACGGCGTGGCACGTTATTCTGCTGACTCTGGCCGGGCGGCTGCAAGCCGTAGTCCCCCCCGTCGAGCCAGCAGACACCGGGCGCCGCAGCGGCAGGGCGGTGGTGCGGCCGGTGCCATCACCGCAGCCGCACTGGGACTGAGGGGCCTGGTCCAAGCTCTGGGCGGGCCCAGATATGCGAGAAACCTCTCGACGGTTTCCGGCGAGTCCGCAGAGGGGGGAGGCGACCATGGCAATGCCCTCGATTGCGGCCAGCCTTCAGCCCATGGACTTCTCAAGGGAGCAGCTTCAGTTCACGGTGGAACCGGCAACAGCGGTACATCGCGGCGCACCGCTCGGCGCCACGGAGCAGACAGCACCAGGGGCAGTCCGCAGCTATGGCTGTGCGTTGGGCAGAGAGCAGCGGGCCCGGACATACGCTGTGCAGAAAAGACCTTCGGCATTTCTGGCCCGCTCCAGCCGGGTCAATGGCTACTCCAAGCCGCCATCCACGGACAACGAGCGGAGCTCTCCCCTGTCGCTGTTCGCCGTGCCCACATCCAGCAGCAATCTGGCGTGGCGAGCCGAGACGAGAGCCGCCAGAACGATAACGAGCACGCGAATCCCAGGCGGTCAGGAGGAGCAGCCACGCATGCCGCCTCCAGTCTCGATTCTCTCCGATCTGGACTTTCACACACATTCCACATCACACAACAGCATCTGCTCGACATCGGGCGGCTATCGGGCGCCGTTACCGTCTCTGGCACTGTCCGAGGATGGCACTTCGTCCCTGGCCGTATTCCTGGACAATCTTCGAGCCAGAAATGTACTGCTGCTGCCCGGTAAGCCCAGCCCTCTGGCGGAGTTACCGCCCAGCGGAAGTGCAGCAAAGTGCAGCGGAAAGCAGCATCAGCAGCAGCAGGAGGAGGAGGAGGAGGAGGAGGAGGAGAAGGAGAAGGTGGAACCCACGCAAGGACGTCGCTGGTTTCCAGCTACACCGCTGGTCATCCCGCCCACCTACAATGCCCTGCTGGAGGAGCAGGTACTTCAGGAATATCTGCCCACGCCCAAATGCAGACGCTTCAAGACTTGAATGTTCCAACGATCCCACAGCAGCAATCAATCCTCCAAGTAGCCATAGCCCGGATAGCTCAGCGTTTCACATCAAGAACCAATAAATAGCTCAGAATTTCCCTTAAACGAATCATCGATGATTGATTGATGATATGGCTTTCATTTCTGCTACACAAGATACGACACATCTGTAGATCCCTGAGCCATCTCAGTTGATGGCAAGTAGTGCCGTGGATGCACCCAAATTGGAAGACATCGAGAGAAAACTCAGTCCCTGAGGCAAAGCGGAATTCCTTCTCGTTGTGTAGTCAAGGGCGCTGGCCGTAAGATCGTTAGATTATTCTCTGTGTATCTCGGTGTATGGTCCCTGGGTGCCTTTGTGTGCCTTGTTACTCGTTACTTTGATGGCCGTTATTCTTGGCAATTGAATAGGCACTGCCCTACGCGTGTGGGCAGAGTGTTCGTATCAAGAATTAGCGTCGAATTCATTCGTTTACTAGAATTTTAAATAGTGATAGACATCTGAAGGACTCGCTTATTGTGGGGGAGTGCCACCCTGCATCCGTACACCGACGGTGATGAATTCCTGCCTGTTGCGTTTGCTGGAGCTGTTGGAGCTGCGCGAGGTACGACGTGATTCCTTCTCCGAGGCCGAGGAGCCGGCGCCCGGCGACTTGCTGGCGCGTGGCAGCTTCACCGAGTGCTTCTGGGGACTGGTTTGGCTGCCGGGGGAGCCAGAGTAACGGACCGGCGGCTCCTCGACCGGCTTGCGTGTACAGTAGATGGGGGCGTTGCGGTCGCCACGCTTCCGGGCAAAGGCCTCTTTGGCTGCTCGGCCACGGGCCTTCTCCTTGCGCTCACGCCTGCGCTTCTGGAGGATGGCCTCCTCCTCGGTGATTTGCACGGGGCCGTAGGGCTGGCAGAAGCGCCGACACAGCTGGGCATTGTAGAGACGAGCGGCACGGGCATCCTGCCGCAGGAAGCCGCAGACGAACGTGTCCAGCCGCAGCATGGCGATCGTGTAGACAAGCCAGTTGAGATCGATGCGTCCGTTGGCACGGGCATTGAGCTTCTGCAGCATCCACACGAGGCACCTGTACTGGTCCGGCTGCAGCACCGGTGCGAGAAACATCAGGCGCATCACCTTGTGGGCGTTGTCCAGGTCCAGCGGATCGGTGAACTCTCCGCACCGGTCATAGATGCTGTCGTTGATGGCCAAGTCTTGGGCCTCCGTGTACGGCGCCTTCACGCTATCCAGCGAGCAGCTGTTCTGCTGCACCGTCTGCGTCTCGAGATACGCCAGCCGGCAGAGTGTGGACATCACAAAGTGGACGCTGCAGCGGAAGAGCCAGGCCAGCGTATGCAGAATGGCCCGATTGCGGTGGCAGCTGCATCGGCACTCGTGCTGTTTGTCCGACTTGCAGTAGGAACAATTGGTGACCGTGCAGCACTTACGCTCCACGACCACCGCCGACCTCAGCTTCTCCGGCCGCTGGGAGCAGCAGGCCAGCATCTGTTCCCTCGCCGGGCAGCACTGGCCGCAGTTGTATGAGGTGCACATGTCTCTTATCGGGAATTTAGCTCAACTACAGGGTATCTCTGATCGATAATTACTTTTAATTTTGTTCACGGGTTTTTGCTGACAACTCCAGGAGAATCAAGGACTGAAACTGGGGACTCTCTCTCTCTCTCTCTCTCTCTCTCAGGTTTCACTCGAATCAAAGTGCAAGGCTTGCTCAGTTTCGGGCACAACCGAGAGGGAGAGTGTACCTTTCCAGTCTCCAGGCGGACAAGCGCTGACCCACTGGGGGCATTCGTGTCGCCCAATGATAGGAGGATGTCGCTGTTCCCTCTCCGAGTCTCTCACGCTATTCTGCTGTTCTTAAGTGCTCAGCGAACGGACACCAGACACCATTCAACACGAACGAATGCAAATCGGAATGCAGCGATGCATGCAAAAGTTATCGATGAATATATCGTAAAGTGCCATCTCTGTTATGCGTTACAGAAAAAGCTCCTCCCTGCAGCTGTAACTATCCGCATAAAGATTCGACATTTATCCATTAAATTGAATGACAATCGAACAATTTACAATCGGAAATGATAAATAGATACGGTTGGGAGCAGTCAGTACCTGCCTTAAGGCCCACCCAGGGCGTCGCTGGAGGACCTGCTGCATGTCCGGATATACAGAGTATGCCACCACGTGGCCAGACCCACAGACACCACTCCCCCTGTGGGCCCTGCTGTTTCTAACGACACCCAGATGCCTAGAGGCTGGAGACTGAAGGCTGGAGGCTGCAGGCTGGAGTGGTACTTGGAGGAACTGTCAGATCCCCCCCATGGCGAGCAAAGAGTCGCTGCCTCGCTCCTGCTTTACGCTCGAATTGAACACAGAATCTGTTTGAGTTTAAAGTAGGCCGATATTCGGGCATTCATGTCATGCCGTAGGCACAACGAAAGGCAAGTCACATTATTACTACTACGCTTCGCCTCAACAAATCAGCATGTTAGAGCATTCGACAAAAATTTCTCAAAATTAAAGGCGCTTTTATCCATTTAAGAAACATTAAAATTATACACAGAACAAAAACAAAACAAAAAAACAAAGAGGAAAGAAGAGGAAAGGAAAACTAATTTAAAAGCGTTTAGCATTAAATTTTCTATGTTCTCTAACTTAACTGAGATGTCGAAAGCAACAGCAACGGAGACCGGGGGACGCAATGGGAAATTCTTTCGGTATGTGTGCCCCCCCGTTCGCCTGGGGTCGTGTCCTCCAGTGGCCGCCAGGCGGCCCCCCTTGGAGGCGCTCAGCGGGGAGCGACGACGACAGACGAACCTGCAAAGAAAGGCAAGGAAGCAGCTGGCCGTGGCCGGAGGAGCAGCAGGGGGCACTCGCAACATTTGGTCTACAGGCGGCGCAGGTGGAGCAGCAGAACTCCTACAAGCCGCACGTCGTAGAGGTGGCGGAGGCGGTGTAGGAGGAGGAGGTACTGTTCCATTTCAGCGCCCTAGTCCTATTCCTAGTCCTGCTCCTGCTCCATCCGTACGGCGTAGAAAACTGCAACATTTGACGCCACGCCTGCCGCGGCTGGCGGACACGTCAGTGGTCAAGTGGATCATGAGCCCCTGCCAGAACTTTGAGCAGGACAGCGACTCGAACTCGGAGGAGGGCGATCTGCAGCAGACCAGCAGTCGAGCGCTCTCTGCCGTTGGCTCTCGACGCCACTTGGAATCACGCACCTACATCGTCCCCAGCCAGCGGATCATGAAGGTCGCCGAGCTGAAGAAGGCCCAGGTGTGGCCATTGCTGGCAAAGAGGGAGCGCCGCCAACAGCAGACCATCGCCAAGCAGGCGGTCAAGTCTTTGCTGGACCTGGAATCGATCGTAAAGGCTTCAACCGAGCCGGAATCGGACGCGGAAACGCAACCCGAACCAGAACCAGAACCGGACGCTGTCCAGGCTGACACCGCGGCAGCGTCAACGTCTGGCCACAACTGTGGCTGCCAGAGCCAAAGGTGCAGCAGCAGCAGCTGCAGCAGGAGCAACAGGAGCAGCGTCAGCGGTGTCAGCCAGCCCAAAAAACCATCAGCGGAGGCCAGCACGTGGTCCAAGACGGGCCACGTTGCGGTCAACTCCAAGGCCATCAAGCTGACATCGACGGTAATCAAGATTATTCCCAATGCCGCCCAGCCAGATGCAAAGGTTGCGCCTGCCACCATCCGCACCTCGGATGAGCGACGAGCAAGGACGAGCAAGCAAACGACAGCCAGAGCTGACCCAGACCCAATCGAGGAGCCAACAAATGTCCTATTAATGGTTTCGGCAGCACCCAAGCCCCCACCAGTGGTGCGCCAGACGAGGACTTGTGCGCCAAAGACCCCACAGCCGATGCCTCTGCCCAGGCCACAGGTGAGCCGAACCAGGACCCAAAACCAGAAGCAGAACCAACCCAGCACGGGTACAGGAACAACTGCCCGGGCTCAATCTCAATCTCAGCCTCAGCCTCAGGCTCAGGCTCAGGCTCAGTGCCAACGGTCTGCAGCATCAGCGGCAGTTCCGCCGCCGATCACCTCCAAAATTGTCTGCAAGGCCCAGCACAAGGTGCCGCGCACAGCAGAGGACGGAATCGACATGAGCTACCAGTATTTTGTGTCCATTCCGTTGAAGCGCGGCCATAAGGCGCAGTCCGTGCGCTATCTGTACCGGCCGATGGTGAAGAGCCTCAATCCCACCGTTCGGCGAACAAGCGTCAAGCGGAGCAAGAAAAGGAAGGGCCAGCTGGCCGCGGACAAGTCCGAGGCGGAAGAGGAGCCACAAGTGAACCCAATGGAGGCCAAGGCAGAAGCAGAGGCAGCGGCAGAGACAGCGGCAGAGACAGCGACAGAGACAGCGACAGCGGCAGCGGCAGAGATCGAAACAGAGGAAGAGCCGAAGGAGAAGCCATTCAAGGTGCCGGCACTCAAACTGAATCGTAAATACATGCCCTTGCTGCAGATGCTCTCCCAGGTGCCCTATCCGCCGGAGACCGAGCCGAAGCCCAAGTCCAAGGACCTCAAATATCACGAGTCAAACGAAGATCCTCAAGAGGCAGAAAAGGAGAAGCCTCAAGAGCCGCATGGAGATCATCCAGTGGCATGTTCAGATCATCAAGTGGCCAGCACCGATCGTCAAGTGGCCAGAAACGAGGCTGCGCCATCTCTGGAGGCTGTTGGCGATGCCAAGCCCAAGAGGCGCAGGACGTCTATCGGACATTTTCGGCCCATCCGTTCGGTACTGGTCGACTACAAGCCGGAGGCAACGCGTCTGGATTCGATTGCCGGGGCCCAGATCTCCTACCATGCCCCACTCCGCTTCATGCGCCGCATGGAGGGGGGCGAAGCACCCAAACGAAGCACTTCTCCGGACGATTGCCAGCAGCAGCAGCAGCAGCAACAGCAGCAGAAGGAAAAGGCTACGGACATGGCACAGAGGGTGGAAAAATCCGTAAGCTTTCAATTGTCGAAGGCCACGAGCAGCAGCAGCCGCATCAGCAGCCGCAGTAGCAGTAGCAGCAGCAGCAGCAGTCTGACGGACAGCTCCGAACTTATCAACAGCTTCAAGATCGATAGGCCTCAGCCAGCGCCAGTCCCAGTCGCAGTGCGGGACCAACGCAAAGGCAAGAAGAAGGTGGCCAGGAAGAACAAACCCAAGAGCCCGAATAAGAAGAAGGCCTCCAAATAAAGGGCCTCCTCCTCCTCCAACACAGCAACCTATCCTGCCGCGGAGATGCCAGTCAACAGCCACATTCGATTGGTCCTTGATATCTAACGAGGGGCTCGGCTCTCAAACGATTTAATAGTAAAATTCTGGCAAAATTTCGAGTTTCTTTTTTCGAGCTTTCAACCCAATTTTGACGATGACCTCACGCCTCCAGGGGGCGCAGCACCTGCAAAGGTCAGGCGTCAGGGCTCTTGGGTTTCATTACATCAAGTTTTCGCCCCATGGGCGCCAGCTGAATGTTAGATTGCTTGTCATTAGCGTTTGTTTATGTGGAATGGGATTGGGAATTGGATGGGCGCTGGGCGATGGGATAGTTCCGTTGTGAGTGAGCTTTGTCGGCGCTTTGGGGGAAAGGGAAAATTGTGTCGCCAAATGAAAGCAAAGCACTTAAAATTACCGAAATATTACCAAAAAAAAATAACAGAAAAATACTAAATACCAAAAAAATACCAAAATTATATTGATAGTAGAAGGGAGTGATTCGCAGATTATGGGAATCCCATTCCAAAAAAAAAACACCAAAAGAAAAATACCACAATCCCTAAAAAATACCAAATGGGAATACTTAAACCTTAATAGCTAAATCTGATTATCTTTTCGTTTTCGCTATCAAGTAATTACTCTTTGTTTCGGTTTTTTATTGTCGCTGGTGCTCGAGTATTTTCCCTTTCCCTCTCCCTCTCCCTCTCCGACCGATCCCGTCTGGGCGCCGGGCTCTACATCAGCACAAATACACGTAGACCTCTGGCACAGTCCATGGCATAGCTGCTGCTGTCATCTCAACAGGTTCAAAGTGGTTTTTGTAGCAGCTAATTAGACCCACAACTGGTCCCCTTTTTTGCTCAATAAAAAAAAGTACAGTGCGTCTCAAAAGTGCATCACACTTTATTTTCATAATACATACATATATACATATGTATATCTGTTTGTCATGCAAGATGATGCATCGAAAAAGCTCAGAGAAATTACTTTTAATGGAGTAATTTATTGAATCGTGAATCGTCTATTATTTGTGTACGACCTCCGCGGAATGGAGGTTTATGGTACATATGTATAACTAGACTTTAAACTAAAGTATATATTTCATGGGCTTACATAACGATAAGGAATGGAACTATAGACTCTAGAGGTTAGAGTGGAAGCACTTCATATATAATACTTATATAAATAATCCCAATAAAATAATAAATAGATTTTACCAGCACAAATTATAATAGAACTGATTTGTTTACACTCAAAATATTATTATAGTCGTGATTAGTGTAATTGACTAGAATGATTAATAATGAATCGCACTGTAACGCGCACATGTACATATGTATGTATGTATGTATGTATGTACATATGTATATATACTCAATTAGACGTGATTCCGTCCCGTAAATATCGTGCAAAGTGCCCATTGAACCTTGACGTTCGCCTGCCTGCTTGCCTGCCTGCCTGACCTACACCCCCCAACCCACCCACCTTCCACTCAAAGAAGCCCTCAAACTCGGACTCGGGTCTCGAACAGAAACCGTAGAAAATGGAACTGAGGTCTCTGGCGACACTTATTGTCGTATCGTCGCATCGAATAGAGAAATTAGTTTCAATTAGAATCACCAGCCGTTCTAGCTAATGAATGGCCCCAAAGGTGGTAATGTGTGTGGCCCCCGGCCGTGCCTTGTACTACCTTTAATATAAAATATACTATATACATATGCACACACATAGCAGTGTACTTTATAGTAGGTGTCTGTGTGTTGTTTTTGGGACTCACAAATTCACGACAATCAAAGGCAATTGGAACTGAATATGATTTTGATATCGGTTACTGGGTCGGGCTCGAAAATCGAGTACAGTCATAATGAAAGTAAAATCTAACAACAGCTGGCCGTCTAATTAAGATTTATGATGAATGTCAAGGCGACATTGGCGAGAGAAATGGGGAAATGGGGGAAATGGCAGAGGAAAGGAAATTTTTAGTGGCACAATGGCACTTAAAGGCCCGGCCCTCTGAAAGCTGTTCTACGCTGTTATATACCCCCGACTTTGATTATGCCGAGTGGCACGAGCAGTGGGGTACGGGCGAGTGTCGAGTGGCTAGTGGCTAGTGTGACGAGTGGAGGGCGTTTGGCGAGTGGCTGGGTAGCTGGGTAGCGGTTGGCCGACTGCCGTAAGCATGCTTTCCCGTAAGCATCTAAACACAACGTGACGCTTATCTACTCACACACTAGCACACACTCGCGCTCCGCTCCGCTCCGCTCCCTCCCTCACACAAACACCTTAATCGATACCGATAAGCAAGACACTCACACATACACACACATCTGCACATTGATGGGGCTCGTTCCATAGAGCGAGATGGACAGACAGACGAACGGGAGGGACACCAGACAACAGCAGAGCAGAGATAGGCAGGGCCAGGGCTTTACTGATTGTCTTATCAAGACGGATGTGAATTGGGGCTGTTGGAATTATAACAGTGACCTGTAATAAACCGCTACAATACCCAGAATTTTTGGTACGAATATTTTAAACTAATTTCGAATACAATTAAGAAAACACAAAATGAAATTTGTGTTCAATTTAGATATTTTATGTGTAATCTAAAATCTAAAAATATTAAACATATTCAAATTTTAGGAAAAATTTAAAATTCTGAAAACTCATATATACGATTCCAACCGATTATTCTAATGGAATTGATCAAATTTGAGTATTTTTTGCAGAAAAAATGCTGCAATTTGGACATATGTATTTCTAGCAGAAAATGGAATATAGAAATTTGAATTAAATAAAAATATTTAATAAAAAAAAAAAAATGCTGAAATCCCATAACGACGATTATTCCCATGGAAACTATCGATGCATAAAACGATAAATTATTGAATTACCCTCTGGTGATCTGCATTTACAAACCATCGAGTAAATGAAATTTGTTCACAATAATATACATTTTCCAATCAACTATTATTAAATATCTGCACAAATGAATCATATTACAAACAACCAAAAAGATCTAAGGCTATGACAACACTGACGCACAAACGGACTGGGTTCTGTGCGTGAGTCATTATTGAAAGAATTATGATGATATTTTCAGTAGTTGCAATGGAATTCTGTAGATATCTGTTCCGGAATTACTTGAGAGAGAGAGAGAGAGAGCGAGCGAGATCTAAAGATTCATGTATGATTTGCCCAATGGCCCGGCATTATCTTGTTGTGGATGATTGAACTAATTCTAGCTGCACAGCACAGAGATTGAGTTGTATAACACCGCACGGTCGGTCCTCCTATCATCAGATCATGTAATCGCCATACAGCCAGACATCTCTCTGGGGGTAGAGAGCGAGCATAGCGATGACAGAGCGAGCAATGGGAGGCGGGGGATAGACCTCAATTTAAGCGCGTTAAACAATTCTACACACTGTTTAATTAACACTCAGAGCCAGGGCATTGCATTCGATGGGTGTATAATATATATTTTGAGTGGAAACTATTCCAAAAGTAAAAGTATGTTGAATATTACAGTTTGATGTAGATATTGGGTGACCGGGTAACCCGATGGCGAATACCGGTTAAGAACCGTTTCCCTACCCGCACAAAAAATGATTTCATTCCGAGAGACAGATGTTTGCCTTGAAGCCAAAACCCGTTTTTGAATGCACCCACCACCCCCAGCAGCAGCAGCAGCCCCATCGGTCGCATCTGTCTCCCCCTTTTTAGGCCAGAGAGGCGCGCATCTCCCAGCCACCCACAGACCTTGACCCGGATGAAAGAGAGATGCGATGCGATGCAATGCTATGATGATGAAATGAATTAGAGAGAAAAGCCCAAGAAATTGCCGAACAGAACAATTGCCGCAGGCAATGTCAGGGCCAAATGCGCGTCCAGCTGGATATATGTATATATATATGGATAGGGAGAATATGTACTATATATCTAAAAATATATACATCCAAAATGATGATGCTTTTGCGTGTGCATGCGTGGGTGTGTGGTGTGGTGTGCTGTGGTGTGGGCTGCACTCGACGCAAGAAAATCAATAGAGATATGCATCGAGAGAGGCCGCCCACACACTAACACGCACCACACTTGAATATACACGGCACACCCACATGGACATGGACACGAACCCACATAATGATGCAGCGGGGGCGGCACACCCCACCCCACCCACATGGCAACAGGACTAAGCCCCTATGTATAGGGATAAACCACACACTCACTTGTTGGTAATTTCCAGGACATCGGACATCATGAGGCGATACTTGCGCCGAAACTCCTGACCGCGCCGCGTCTCCAGCAGATACTTATTGCAGAAATCCGTCAGCGATACAAAGTAAATGAATCCCAGGGACGTCAGAAAGAGTCCCCGCTGCAGAGTGATCCTGTCGGTGGTGTTCGGTATCTGCCAGAGGCTGCCGCACGCCAGACCCATCGATCCAATGGAGAAGGCCAGCGAAAAGTAGCAACCGTGACGCGGCCTGACCGGCGCTTTTGCATCGGTCCCATCATCCTGGCTGCAGGCGGCGGCGCCGGGGGCTGCTGTTTCACTGCCACTGCATTGCCCCTTCACATTCTCTGGCTCGACCGAGGGCAGCGACTGTCCATTGCGTCGCAGATGCATCTTCCTCCTGAGGGGGGAGAGGGGCGGACGATTATGTTTGTTATGGCGCCTCGCCTCTGCTTGATGGCTGATCCGGAATGGGAGATCGATATGGGGGGCTGGCTGGCTGGCTTACAACCTGTTGCCTGGACGGTGGCTGGGCTGACTGCGGCGTGCTGGCTGATCGGGGCGGACTAGGCGTGACACGGTTGCATTGTGGCAAAAAAAAAAAAACAATTGTAAGCTATACATATGTACATAAATGTCGCGGGTGTGTGTTTTTAACTGTGCCATAGAGGTGTCAAACCATCGAGGGCACTATCGATAGTATCGATATTTTACTGCTAGTCTCTACTATCGACGGTTTTGCGACTATCATGATAGTATCGAGCTACAGTCGTTTCGCTTTTGATATGTTTGGATTGGCTACTATAAAATACGAAGACAAATTTGTAAAAAATTCGACAGGTGGCATCTAATTTTTACAATGGACAAGTTCCTAAAAGGTTTCAATGGTTTTTTAATAATTATTTCAGCCCGATACTGTCACGATAGTATCGATTGTTTTTTTCAAAACATTCAAAGCTATCGATGGCTCAACTATCAATCGTTTGACAGCTCTACTGTGCCACCAACATGCAGCTGCCGCGATGCAAGTGTGACCGCGCACTTATCGGTCGAATATACCGTCGGAATATTCCGAAATATACCTCCTCATTTTCAAAATATACTGTAACTATACCGATGAATACAATTATATATTACCGTATACATTAGATATACATATACGTATACGCTTAAATTAACATAGAAAAAACAAAAATTAATCTTAATTGATTCAATGGGACTCATAATGTCAATATTGAATGCCTTGAAATGGACATATCGTGTGTGGTTTTCATGTTTCGTAGTCTTTTGTTTCGGGTTGAGACTCCACTTATGCCTATCCTTTTGTTTAAAATCGATGCTTATTATAACATCATTTAACGGCGTCTTGAAAGTTTGGGGAATAACCATATTAAATATACCGTTATATATCTTTATAAATCATAAATTTATTTTTCAAGCCGAGTGGCTTATTTTTGCGTTTTTTTAACCAAACGTCTAACCACTGATCAACTTGAGTTAAAACATGACAAATAATACCTAACTGAGCATAAATTCTCCAAGTTTCATAATCAATCGGATAAAATTATATGTTTAGTGGTGAGAGTCCTAATTAGCTTGTAATATCAAAGCGAACATAAAAATTAAGCAATATGATTTCGTCGGTATATTTACGGTATATTATGATAATTAGAAGGTTTATTTGGGTATATTTTTTAGGTCGGCCGGTATATTTGATCGGTAACTCCGCGGTCACACTGCTGGCTATCGCCGCAGTTTATTTACCAAATTTGTTTAGATGTTTTTTCTATTATCCTCTGTGCTGTTTGCTTGTTAACCGGCGTGCAGATTATAGTTACGCCCTTTGTGGGACCATACTCCAATGTAATATGCGTGTCTGTCAGCTCGCCGTGGCCGTCGGCTGCCTGCACGTGCTCCTCAGCTGCTCGGCCAGCAATCATTGGGTGCTGAAGGAAGACGAAATTACCCAAAAGCTGGACTCGCCCTTTCACATGCGCGAGCCCCAGAACCTGATTGCCTTCCTGGAGCAGATACGCTACAATGAGTACGTTGAGCGCTCCTACCTGGACCTGTTGCGAAAGCGGGAACAGATTGTCGAGCACTTGCGCTTCTCCATGCGCTTCGGGGAAGACCTGGCCGAGCAGGCCAAGTGTGCGATGGACTACTACATGCTGGAGAAGCGAATGTCCTATCTGAAGATCACACCCGATCAACTGAAACGCATCAATCTGCCGGAGCAGAGCGACGTGAATCAGCCGCACGGAAAGTCTGGCACTGGGACAAAACAACGTACCCTGGAGCCCATCTGCAGCAACTATCATAAGCTGAGTGTTGGCCCGGCCACCTACGACCATCTCGAAAGCTTCCAGCCAAAGATTATGGACTCGGCATACGTGGAGCGGGAGCATGACACCAATATCGGGACGGCTACCGTCGAACTGACACGACGGTTTGCCGTTGACGGACTGCAGCATCATCCGGCGTCATGGAAATTCCACACGCTCAGCTCCTACTACTGGCGCATGCGAGGCAATGCTCGCGAGGCTCTGCCCTGCGCCCGTCTGGCCACATTGCTGGCCCCGCCCATCTTCAAGGACATACCGCTGCTCAGTCTGGGCACAATACTCTTTCGCATGGGTCGCCTGATCGATGCCGATCTAATACTGACGGCTGCCGTCGAGCATGCCCCCAGGGTGGCGGAGAATCATGTGGTACTCGCCTCAGCGCTGGCCATGAAGCATGACTTCAATCGGTCCCTGCAGCACTTTGATGAGGCCGAACGCCTCGATCCCAGCACCCTGCCGCGCACCCAGCAAGTGCGCAACTTCATCAGCTGCCTGGAGAATCTCACCAAGAAGACCTCCAAAATGTACAGCTACGTGAAGTACATGAAAAACGAGGTGAAGGAGTTCAAGAAGCTCAAGTTTCATATATCCCAGAACCATGAGCGACTCGTGCAGCAGCAGCTGCCGCTGGGTGCACGGCGCTTCCTCGACTCAAAGTCCAGCAACGATGATCTGCATCGTCGGGGCCAATACTGCAGTACGCGCACACCCAACGGCTCCGACGAGCCGGTGCTCTTCTGTGATTTCTACTCGGACATGCAGATGCGGCTGGAGAGCAAGGACGTGGATATCGATGTGCTCGAGCGGGATCTGAAGGCCAACACTGATGCGGTTATTCGGCAGGTGTCGACGGAAATACGCAAGCAATTCAATCTCGAACAGCTGAAGGCAGCCAAGGCCCAAATGCCCGCCAAGGCGACAAAATCAACGTAGAAAAGCAACCGAAGACGGGTAGAGCAGAGGAGCGGAGCGGAGAGGAGACCACCAAATGCATTCCCTAACAACAAGTAGCAGTAGTAGTAGTATATATATATATATATATATATATATATATTTCGGATCACAAATTAGTTTTTAATCTGTTCAATAGTATTTACGACCGTGTGTGTGTCTGTCCCTGTGTGTGTGGCTGGGAACATTTATGTGTACATATATTGATAAAGATATTCAATAAGTCATCAATCAGGTAATAGCTTATTAATCGGCATCTAAGGCTAGGCATGTAAGATGAGTCTGAATTTTTCACATACCCCAATGCTCTCGTGCATTTGAATATTCGATCAAAGGAGAGCACAGCGCGCAGAGCCGTGACTAAGTATCGCGCGTCTTATGTTACGATTAGGCATATAAAGATTTATATATATATATGTATGTATGTATGTATATTTTTTTCGTTTCGTTTCATATTTTTTGTACACATAAGAGCAGCCAGTAAGTTATGCATTAAACAAAGAGAAGAAAGAATAATTGGTGCATCGTCACCAGACAATCTCTTGGGTCTCGAGGGCCTTCAGAAGGGTGGCCAGGCTGTCGTATGAGTGTTTGGCGGCTCCCTCTTGTTTGTCAGCCTCTATCGGGTGCACCAGCAGTCCGCTCCAGCCACTATTGCGGGCACCGGCATAGTCCATGTCGTACTTGTTGCCAATGTGCAGGGCCTGGTCCGGGGCAATTTGCAAACGCTCCAGGGGCAAATTAAAGATGCGCGCATCGGGTTTCATAACGCCAGCCTCGTAGGAGGTCAGAATGAAGTCGAATTTGCCCGCGAAGCCCATGGCGGTGAGTACTTGTGGCAGGGATGGATCGAAGTTGGATATGATGCCCACGCTTTTGCCAGAATCACGGACACGCTGGACCAATTCGGCTGCTCCCTCGACATGCCGCCAACAGGCGCTGGTGCGGAAAACCCTCACGAGCTGTTGTCCAATCGTGGCCAGCTTGTCGGCCGGTAGGCTGGCATCCACGCAGCTAAACGTACCCGCTACCAGCTGCAGCCACCAGGATTGCCAGTCCAGATTCGGTGAAGAGCGACCAAAATTTGGATATTTGTTGCTCATGATTTTGAACTGTTGGCGAAAACAGCGCTCCAGCTGCTGTCTGTCGAGGCCAGTCACTCCGCATTCGGCTGCCGTCTTTTGGTATTGCTTTAAAGGATCTTCAAGCCTCAGCAGCGTGTCGGTTACATCAAACGTAACCAGGCGAAATCGTCGCAGATTTAGCAAAAACTGACATTTCAACGACATTTTTCTCCAGTGTGACCAGGTTCTGAAATGCTACAAATACTGTATTGATCGATATTCTCTGTCAATTTCGCTCAGTCACAACAAAACAAAACAAAACTACTGGATCCATATAATATAACATAAAACATTACATTGCATTTATCAATTAATCTACCTCTAAAAAACCTCAACATGCCAACTGTAAAGCTGCAGTCCTCTGATGGTCAAATTTTTAAATTTGACTTTGACATGATCACCAGATGCTCAGGAACAATAAGGAGGTTTCTGGAAGTCTCCATCCTGGAGGATGATGAGGATGCCGCTCTGCCGTTGCAGAATATAAGTTCGGACACTTTGAGGATGGTGCAAGATTGGGCAAAATTCCATTTTAGGTCGGATTCGACTGAGAATGATATACACCAATGGCAACAAAATTTCATCAGCAGGAACCAGGGCGAGCTCTTTGGTTTGATAAAGGCCGCCAACTATCTGGACATCCAGACTCTGCACGATGTGACTTGCAAGACCGTGGCCGACATGTTACGACACAAACAACCCGATGAAATGCGCAAAATTCTCCATATCAAGGATGACAACGAAAACTATTCTGAAGAGAGCACGGCCGGTTTCCAGTATTCCAATATCTAAGACAACCAATGTCAACAAATAAAGCAATGCATTTTTTGCATTAAACATTTATTCGATACGGGTGCATAAAATAAAAACAAAACAAATCAGTGTTAGAGAGGGTATTCCTCTGGCGTGTACATTTTTATTGAACCAGTTCCGGTATTGACTGTCAGTTCTAGGGTGCAAATACGTCGAAATTTATTTAAATAATAACATCGTATGGTGCGATGCATTTCCCTCAAACGATATATAGACTATCGAAACAATCCACCGATCTATCGCATCATCGATAGTACCATCGGTGGTATTGCAGCCCTGCCAAAAACTGCAGATTCACGGCATTTACCATCCGAATTTTGTAAAACTTTTTCTTGAAACGAGTATAAATACTTTGCTTGCGAAATGACTGTGACTGCCACGCCGATGCCCGATAATATGCGGGTTAAAGCACTGTCCGACTACAGAAAGAAACTGCTGGAGCACAAGGAAATCGAAGGGCGTCTCAAAGAAAGTACGGTCCAACGTTTGTCCAATCCCGGGCAACTCAACGCAAGCATTAACACATTCATTTCCCTTTGTTGCAGAACGTGATGAGATCAAGGAACTTACCAAACTGTATGACAAGTCGGAGAATGATCTCAAGGCGCTGCAAAGTGTGGGACAAATCGTGGGTGAAGTCCTGAAGCAGCTAACCGAAGATAAATGTAATATATCTATATATGGTTACAAACTTGAAGTGTTCGAATTTTCATCATACTCTTCCTTACCCACTTTCAGTCATTGTGAAGGCTACCAACGGACCCCGCTATGTGGTCGGCTGCCGTCGCCAGCTGCACAAGGCGATGCTGAAGTCTGGCACTCGTGTGGCCCTGGATATGACCACACTGACCATAATGCGTTATCTGCCGCGCGAAGTGGATCCCTTGGTGTACAATATGTCGCATGAGGATCCCGGTGATGTTACATATTCGGCCATCGGTGGTCTCACCGAGCAGATTCGTGAGCTGCGCGAGGTGATTGAGCTTCCGCTACTCAATCCGGAGCTGTTCTTGCGTGTCGGTATCACTCCGCCCAAGGGTTGTCTGCTCTATGGACCGCCTGGTACGGGCAAAACACTCTTGGCCCGTGCCGTTGCCTCCCAACTGGATGCCAACTTCCTCAAGGTCGTGTCCTCGGCCATTGTCGACAAGTATATTGGCGAGAGTGCTCGTCTCATTCGTGAGATGTTCAACTATGCCCGCGATCATCAGCCCTGCATCATATTCATGGACGAGATCGATGCCATTGGCGGGCGTCGCTTCTCTGAGGGCACATCGGCGGATCGCGAAATCCAGCGCACGCTGATGGAGCTGCTCAACCAAATGGATGGCTTTGACTCCTTGGGACAGGTGAAAATGATCATGGCCACAAATCGTCCAGACACCCTCGATCCGGCCCTGTTGCGTCCTGGACGTTTGGATCGTAAAATTGAAATTCCACTGCCCAATGAGCAGGCACGGTAAGTTTTTTGGACATTAACAATCATCTGGACCATATATATATTACACTCTATAATGCTGTCTGTGTACCATTTATAGCCTGGAGATTCTCAAGATTCATGCTCTGACAATTGCCAAGCACGGGGAGATCGACTATGAAGCCATTGTCAAGTTGTCGGATAACTTTAATGGCGCCGATTTGCGCAATGTGTGCACAGAGGCTGGTCTCTTTGCCATCAGGTGAGTGCCCGTACCCGTACCTGTGCCCGTGCCCGTGTCCCCCCCAAAAAGCACATCAAATATATAATTATTCGTATTATTTGTTTCTTCTGCAGGGCTGAGCGCGAGTATGTCATCCAGGAAGACTTTATGAAGGCTGTGCGCAAGGTATCGGAAAACAAGAAGCTGGAAAGCAAATTAGATTATAAGCCAGTCTAATGGCATCAAATGATCCTTTAATAAAGATTAAATTACACACATCTAAATACACATAATTATTTATATATATATATATATATCTGCATATAATATAATATGTTCATGTAACAGATTTGTCAAACATAGTCCGTTAATTTTGTCCGATAAACTAATTAAATGCTATGTAAAGATAAGAAGTATGTAAATTATCCACATTTTTGCTGCTTCTGCTCCTCGATGCGACGCTTCTTGCGCTCCAAGTAATCGCTGACATTGTCGAATCGTTTCTTAAACCAAACAGACAAGTCCTCGGGCATGAATGCGGCCACATCTAGATTGTCTAAGACCATCTTCAGCCAACCGTCTGGCAGGCCAGTGGCCCTCTCGCCATTCCTGCTGTCGTACACCCGCAACGTTAGACGGTCATTCTCCGCACCAGTCACATAAATCCGGTCATCGGTCAATGCAAAATTGCATATATTCCATTTGCCGGCCTCGGCACGCACCAGTTGGGTGGAGGTGATGCTCCAACTCTCTTTGGTTGTCTGTTCCAGTCGATACACGCCAATCGCATCCACATGGTCATAGAAGAGCACGGCCACCTCATATGTCTTTTCGGGCTCCAGCTGACGCACCAGCATTCGGACAGCTGGAGCGGGAAGCTCGTGGAGCAGCTGCTCCTTGCCGCAAGTATAGTTCCATACCCGCAGCGTCTTGTCCCCCGATGCCGAGATGATGTGCTGTTCCGTGAGCATTGCCAGGCCAGACACGAATTCCTTGTGACCCAAGCAATAACTGTGTATATCGAACGTTGCCGGATAGTTGGTGACCCGTATCTTGTCATCGCGGTCACATGTGATAATATACTGCTGGTCCTCCGACCACAAGATGTCATACACAATGCTCAAATGTCCCAGAAGTAAACGTGGCGGAGCATCCACCTCAACACAGTCATACTGATAGCAATCACCAGTCTTGTCGGTGACCAGAACGGAGCTGCCATCGCTACAGAACCTCAGGGCGCTCGATGCACGTGCGAGTGGGCGTATAGAGAGGAGCTTGGCGTTCTCAGGTCGACTCTTGTATAGCAGCACTGCCTTCTGGCCAACTGTGGTCAGAGCCAACAGTTGGCGATCTGGAGAGTAGGTCACATTTTGTATCGATACCTCGACCTTGACAGATCCTGTTGCTTCCCTCAAGGCTGCAGGCTGTTGCTTTGAGCTGCTGGCCGGGTGGCTCGGCCCTGGGCCAGGCACGGGGACTGGCTCGACCGTTTTCAATCCACACGTGGTTAAATCCGGTGGCAGTTCGATTTCCTTAAAGATTTGCAAGTCGCCCGGATTCAGGAAAAGCACCTTACGGCCGTGTCCAATAACCAGCTCGGGCTCAGCGAAAAAAATTGTTGCCATGTTTACCGCCTACGTTCGTTCCGTATTACTTTTGCTTTCTTCTTCTTTGCTTTCTCTTTTGCTTCAAAACGCTGGGTAAAATTCTAAGAAAAATGAGGGTATGGACAACAGGCCAAATGGCCCACAAAATACAACCTATTCAAGGTAAAATCCACCTCCAATAATAACACACCATCCGGACTCATTTTTGCGTTTCAAGTTTGAGTCACACCAGAAATATACCGCAAATACACAGAGGAAAATCATATTCGATCTGAACCAGATTCGACAATCTTACATTTTGTGGCGGCGGAAGGGGGCGGGACGAAATTTTTGATGCTGATCAAGAATAAATATATTTGATGGGGTCGGAAACGTTTCCTTGTGTGCGTTACACACATTCACTTTGACCCAAATCTGATGTACCGCTTATCTCTTCGATTACCGGGTATAATGAGTAATAATGGAGTTCTGTATAACTCGAGTTTGAAAAGTAGGTAAACTTTAATAGTGAAGGGGCTTTTAAGGAAAGAAAAACAACAGAACAACTGATCAATTCCATTTGCCGGCCTCGCCACGCACCAGTTGCACCAACTCTATTTTCTTTTATATGTTTTTTACGCTGTCTACGAGATCGACAAGGATATGCCCACCTGGGAAAAGTTTTTCCCACGAATTTTATCTTTCGACATTTTCCAAATATCAAATCACGAACGAAAGTAAACAAAGCATAAACAGCTGATCAAAGCGCTGTACAGCACATTTGTTCGCTTTAAAACACCGTTATTATATTTCGTTCCGGCAAGTTTATCTAGTGGCCAACTTTATCCTAACGCCAACTAACCGGTGACGTAACCCGAAGTCGAGAAACCGGCTCTAAATCATTTGAACAGTTTTTTATTCGAAAACAAAAATTAAAAGTGATAATATAAAAACATAAATCAAGCCTTCAACTGGCAAAGTGTTGTCTCCATCTTGTAGGGGTGGGAGGGGGTGGTATTCCTAAATGATTGTCAGGCTGTGGTTCAGGGATATCTTGCCCTTGGACACGCGGTTTTGCATGCGCTAAAAGAACAAAACGAATCATATTAGAAAATAATTAATTTTAAATTAATTTTAAATGAAATCATACCCGATTGAAGACATCCCGCATGAGGCGATTGCTGCGACGCCGTCGCTCCTCGCGCTCACGATTCTGAGCGGCCACCACCTCGGGCAGTCGCTGGCATCGTTTGCTGGTCATGGCCTTCATCTCCTTCGTGGAGAAAACTCGAACGCAAGCTGCGGATTAGAGGATTGAAGCACCATTCGATTGCTGTGATGATGATGATGTGTGATGTGTGATGCTTACATGTGACTGGCGGTGGCAGCTGTTGCAGCCGCCTGTCCAGTGTCTCCAGGGTGCAATCCTCACCGAGCAGCTCCTCCAGTTCGCGCCGTCGCTCGCTGCGCAGCATCTGCATTTGATTGAGTATGGCCTTGCGCTGCTTGGACTTGGCACAGAACTTGGGACGAGCGAGCTGCAGGTGATCCTGCAGCGACATTGTGTGCTGCATTTCGCTCTCCCCAAACTGAATCATATACGCAATGCCATGCGCTCCCCTGCGCTGTGTCTGTGTCTGCGTTTGCTTCTGTGTCTGGTCCCTGCGCTTCCGCTGACACCTACTGCCCGATGTAGCCTCGTCGTACTGATGCGTGGTGGTTGTGGTGGTCGTCTTGGAGGTGTTTACCACTCCACCGCCCCCCATTGGTATGGACATCTCCGAGCTGAGGCACAACATGGAAGAGATCGAACTGCTGCTGGTGGTCGTTGTCCTCGTGGTGGCGGCGCAGCGTTCTTCGGCGCCTTCTGCTGCTTCTGATGCCACCTGCACATATTCGGCCATGGCATCGCTGCTCAAAAGGCTGTACCCGTGGGGCACTGCTGTGTAGTAGACACCACCAGCGTCCATTCCTGAGCCTGATCCTGCTGCCTGCGTATATTGCATTTGAATGTAATGCTGTGGTGCCTGAATATGAAAGAGACAGCAACACCAAAGGAGAATGTGAAAGGGAAGGCAACAGAAATTCCACTAGAGGATTACCATATGCTGCAGCTGCTGCTGCTGCTGCTCTTGCTGGTGCACACACAGCCCGTGCCCCTGCCCATGCCCATGAACCAGTGGATGGTAATGTTGATGCTCCTGATGCTGTGGATGGTGTAGAAGATGTGGCATCCGTGGCAGTATACGCTGCTGCTTCCTTTGCTTCTGTTGTTTCTGCTGCTGCTGCTGCAGCTGCTGCAGCTGCTGGTGCTGTTGCAGCTGTTGCAGCTGCTGCTGCTGTTGGTTCTGATAGTGCTCCATAAACTGCCGCTGTCGCTGCTGCACAAAAGAGCACACACTTTCGCTGCGTCCGCCATCACTGGAGCTGTTGGGTGTGGCCATTTTTCCTCGCTGTGGAATGCCCCTCGGTGGTGGTGGAGGTGGCGGTGGTGGTGGGGTTGGTATCGCCTGTAATTCCGGTGCTGCTGCTGGCGACTCCACATCAGCGTGTGGCTTTGTTATGCATCTAACCTCGTCTGGGGGCTGCTCTACGGATCTTAGAGGCTCCTCTTGTTCTCCCTGAAGATGCACAGGCTTCTCTTGCAATCCCCGAGGGTGTACATGCTTCACTTGCACACCCAACAGAAGTGGTTCCTGCTCTTGACCAGCACCAATCATGCGTGCCCGAACAGTGGCTCGACGCTGTGGCCCCTCCCCATCCGGCAGCAGCTCAATCAACGGCTCTGCACTGATCAGGGGATCGTACTCGATGGCAGCCGTGGGACTCTTGTCATCAACTGGAACAATCTGGAGGAACGATTTGCTATTCACGATCTTGTACACCGTCTGCAGCCGCTTGATCTCCAACTCGATCCAACTGAGCGTTAGGCGACGCTCCGAATCGTTGCTGGACGAACGCGAACGCTCCTCGTACTCGATCTCGCTCTGGGTCATGGGATTGAGCCACTCCTGGCTCACTAGCTCCGTTTCCGCGGGAGCGGTAGTGGTAGCAGGTAGCGGTGCGGGAACAGCCTCATTGCTGTGCGAAGATGTGGCTTCCACCCTCATGGGAGATGCTGCTGGCCTCCGAAGAGGGAAGCTGCAGCTGCTGTGGTTCCGTCGTGGGTTCTTTGGCTGCTTTGCAGGCCCGTGGATTGGTCCGTGCGGTGACCATCTCCTTGGAGCTGCTCGCTGTGGAGGTGCCCGAGGAGTTGGCTATCAAAATGCGTGTCCTCGGAGCGGGCACAGGACGTGCCACACTGGCAGTAGTGTTGGTGGCCATGTCCTGCAGCTGGGCAGCAGCTGTGTGGCATTAAAGATCGATTTAGAAACGAATCAGTTGAGTAGAACTGGGCTTTTCCTGGCTTACCTTTTGCCTTTGTTGGGCTTTGGCGGGAGCGCAGGCTCTCCCCCAGTTCTATGCAGGAGATGCGCTTCGCTATGTCCCGTATCAAATGCTTCTTCTGCTTGTGGCTGAGACTGCGGGCCTGCACCAGCGAACAGAGCAGATCCACGCCCAAGTCAAGCTCTCCCTTGGGACCACCAGCAGGGCCCGGTCCTGTTTCAGCTTCAGTTCCTGCAGCAGTAGAGGACGAAGAAGAGGAGCTACCTCTCTGGGCAGCCGGCTGACAGTTTTCTTTGTCCTCCTTCGCCTGCCTTCGACTGGCAGCCCCGGCCAGAACCTTCTCCAGCTGCGCGGCCGTATACTGACGCTCCTCCTCCTTTGCCAGCTGCTTTTGGGAGCTACTCTGAGCAGAGGGCAACGACGAGTGATAATCAAAGCTACTGGCCACCGAGCTGCCGCCATTTGGGGATGTGCAGCGTGACTGCGACTTGGACTCTCGCCTGGAGCTGCTGCGATTGCTTTGATTGCTGCTGCTGCGAATGCTCCCCAGACTGGGCGTGGTCCTGCGTTCGCTGCGGTTCACAAACGTACTGGAGGCGAGCGGTGGCCGCTGTGCCAGCGTTGTTCCCTGCTCCAGCTGCAGCCTATCCAAATCGGTCTCCGAACGCTGCTGTGGCTGCCGCCAGCACTCCTCCAGAATGGAACGCTCCAGGGTGCTTATGTTGCTGGTGGACACCGCCCGCTTGTAGTAGCCCACATCCGCGGCTGGGTCCCATTCAAGGCGCTTGTGCGATTTCACGGCCGATTCGGGCGTTTGGGTATTTTTTGACTTTTTCTCGGGCGTCCTGTCTGGCGCCTGACTGCCCGCTGGCTTGGTGGGTGTGCGTAGATCCTCCGCGGACACGGCTTGACTGGTGCGCATCCCTTCGCAGCCCACAACGCAGTCGGTGGCTACAATGGGTATAATCCTGATGATCTCCTTATCGCTTTGTGTTTCCTTTGGCACAGACGCAACTGTAGCGTCAGCGGCAGCGGCAGCTGTTTCCTGATGCTGATGCGGTTGTCCAGCTGCTGCAGATGTCGTTTTTCCCCCGCTCCCGCCACTGCAGCGGGCTGGCTTTGATGGCGCCACTGACACTGAACGGGGAGTGCAGTGTAGGGGAGCCGTGTACATGCTCACATTGCTGCGACTGGTGCCACTGCTATTGGTCGAGGACAGGGCCATGAAGCGCTCCAGCTCCCGATCGACGGCCAGTTCGGATAGGTATTCCCTGGCTTTGGGAGGGACGCGCGACGCCAGCAGACGCTTCTCGTCCGTGTGCTTGCGGAGGTGTGTGCCAATTCGCTGGTGGCCAGGCATTTTGCACCGTCTCACGTGTGTTGGCAGCAATATAAACTAATATGTCAAAATTGCAGTTGGTGTTTTGTTTTAAAATGTAAATTGCATTTTTTTAAATGCGACGGAATTTTCGTGCATTGTTAGGCAGTGTTTCAAAGTGCTGATATCCGTTCAGTGTTGGCTAACAGCGCTGATCTCATGGGTTAAACTGGTTCTAGTAAGTCGTTCTACTGGCTCAATTACAGATTCGCTCAGTTCGTCGTGTGTTTCGCCTTTTAACACTTTACATACACAAGTATCGGAGCTCTACCATCTCTTTTAGAATTTATGCCGGAAAAACTCTATTTTGAACCACTATTGATGTTTGAAAACAATCACAAAATTGTTATTTGCTGTTTTCGAAATAAAAGGGCAAAAATTAGTTCCGATAAGTACCGATATATTCTCTGCAGCTACCCTGTACATCGATAGGTGGAATCAAAAGTCGCGGGTATGTATATCTGATCTAGAGAATTAAAACAACACGAAAATACTAATATTTGGTCCTTGGTGACATTGGTTTTAGTTCTGCTGCAGTGTTTAAATAATAATATAACTAATTAAATTGAAATAAACCAAAAGAATGCTGGAAACCAAGAGCATCAGTGCTTTGGCATTTACTGAGACTCCGCGCAAGCGTAAAAGGGAAACAGGCGGCTGCGTCCCCCTGCCCCTGCCCCTGCCACATCCAGCAGCAGCAGCAGCAGCAACCCTTAACCAGCGACGCCAAGGTGCAGCAGGAAGCAGCTGCCGCCGTCACAGAGTCATGCTTCACCAACGCTGCATTCAGTTCGACGCCCAAGAAGCTGATTGGACGCCGCCGTTTGGCCAAAGAGAACAGCAATCCGTTTCCCTGTCTGGAGTTCAAGTCCATAGCGGATTTGGCACAACAGCAGCAGAAGGAGCAGCAGCAGCAGCAGCAGCCCCCCAACAATCCCTTTGAGGTGGTGCGACATCCCTGCAAGAAGAAGAAGCGAGAGATTGCCTGCTTTGAGAATCCTGGCCTCAATCTAGAGCTGCCCGAAAAGCAATTCAATCCGTATGAGGTAGATGCATCTATATACCACCCCCTACCCCAATACCCAAACGACTAACACTTTGTCCTCCCCCCCTCTCTACTGTACAGGTGATCCGTTGCATTGCCACGCCCAACAAAAAAAAAGGCTTCGTCAATGCCGCCCTCAATGTGCGTGGCAGCGATGGCCCCGCCTCGCGGAATCCCTTTGAGATTCATCGCCAGAGCGAGATCTCTGCCTTGGCCAGCAATCCCTCCGGCGTGGCCAATCCCGCCTTGGCCGAGGAGTCGCTGCTGCCCACCAGCCTGAAGATCGGCCTGCCGTTTGTGCCCACTGTGGGCTGTCGCATCGATTTCCATGGCATGTCCCTGGCCCAGTTGACGCCCAGCAAGCTGCTTGCGGAGAAGCTTGTCTTTTCGCCGGTGCCAGGGCCAGGGCCAAAGCGTTCTCTGGGTGCCATCAGTGAGGAGTCATCCAGCATGGATATTGGCAAGGAGCTGGATCGCTACCAATTGGAGCTGGAGAATAGCATCAATGAGGCAAAGCTGCGCAAGAAGGGCCTCCTGGTGGCGGAGGAGGAGACGCAGGAGACCCTGATGGTGGTGCAGGAGTGCCAGGAGGGAGCCCAAGTGGGGCGACAGCTCATATGCACCAGAAGGCGCACCCTCACGGAGATTAGCGAGGTGCCAGAGATGGAATCCGCACCAGTGGCGGCGGAGGAGCAGCCACCAGAGGAAATGAAAGAGGAGCAGCAGCTGCAGCAGCAGCAGGAGGAGAAGGAGGAGCAAAAAGAAGAGGAGCAGCCGCTGGAGGATGATGCCGAGCCAGATGCAGCTGCTGGCGATGTAGCCTATGCCTCAGAATCAGACGAGGAGGACTTTAAGGCCCCTGCCCGCTTCGTGCGCGCCTATCGCCCGGCAGCGCAGCAGCTCAAGGCCGCCAGCAAGGAGTCCCTCCAATCGATTGGCTCCAGCAAATCCGGAAAATCCCTGGACAAGCCACCATCCGGCCATGGCATGAAGAACATGATACGCAAATCGATACGCCGCCTCATGCATCCCATGGAGAGTAGCAGCCACACTGGCAGCACCTCCCCGGAGAAGCCGCACAACAACATCATGCACACCATTCGCCACAGCCTGCGACGGCGACCACCGAAGGAGGTGCCGCTGCAGGAGGAGGAGGAGGAGGAGGAGATACGTCCAGCGGATATCTCCATTGTGGACAGCAGCGAGCGCACCATGAAGCTCAGGTCGAGCATTACCCAAACAGAGTACATGACCATCGAGCAGCTGACGAACGAAAGGAAGCACACGCTGCGGAACAGCATTCGTCGATCGACACGGGATGTGCTACGCCATGTGTTCCACAAGAGTCACGATGCCTATGCCACGGCCAAGTGAGCTGGACGACCCAAACAATCGGCCCATTCATTAATTCATTCATCATTTAGAGCCTAAGACCATTGAACTTTCAATTGCACCCAAAGATTATCATACAAAAATGCACCCACACCCACATCCACATCCAAATCCAAACAAAAATCCAACCAAGAAGATCCTTTGGATGTACCCCCAGCCCAGCCCCCCCAATATTAAAAGCGGATCTGTAGCTCTCTTGGCTGGAGTTTCTTCGCTTCGGCTTCTGCTCGAAGATTTCGTGTTTAAGATTTTTTTTTTTTATTCGTTTCAAACCATAAAATGTTTTTGGTTATGCAGCAGCGCTCCTCGTTTGATGTTTGCTTCTCCCTCACACACACACACACTTTATACACTATTCACGTTTCTATTTTGGATGTACTTTAAATGTTTTATTGCACGTTTATTTATATATATATGTATGCACTATATATATATATACTGTATTGTATTTGTATTTGTATGAACCATTTATATATGTATAACATTTGTTTTTTTTACATAAACCTCAAGCCCATATGCAAACTGTGATTTTTCCAACTATCCTGAAAAATGGGCACAAACAACAAAAAATACTTGGGGAATATCTTCGGTGTCAGCCGAAGCGTGGGAATACCGAATACCCCGGGTATGCGGCAGCGCCCCTCGGTTGTTTTGCTGCTTGGTTCCCATTTGTGCATTTCTTAGTATTTCTTTGGGGCATTTACTTTCAAAAGTTTTCTTTGCTAATCATCATCAGATTTCTACGAATGGTCCCCTATGTTTATCCGTTTGCTAAATGTTAAACCTAATTGAAAATGCCTTGAGATGGGGACCCACATCTGAGTTTTGCCAGCTAACAAACTACTACAATATATGTTCTTAGATTTAAGGAAACTCTATTATAGATTGGGTCCGGATACAGAAATAACTGATACATGAAATAACAGGGGGAAACATAAAGCAGCACGTCAATGGAAAGGGAAAGGGAATGTACCAATCGGAACGGTGGAGATATATATACTTATGTATAATCTAAAAGAGCTGCAAGGAAGTTTTTTCTAAAATGATATCCCAATTATATCCTCCAATGAAGGACTCTGGGGAATTCCTAGATAGATCGACGATCTGTGGCAGGCTACTGCCCTTTCCAAGGGCTATTTGGGGTGTTGATTTACTTGTAGACTGTTTGTAGGAGTGGACGACGACGCTGCTCCAGCGGCTTGAAGGCATGCTGATAGACGCTGGCCAGACGCCAATGCTCCGGATAGCCACCCTGGCCGGCGCCACCGCCCTGACTGCGAAACGGCGGCACCAGTGTATCGATATCGTAGTTCTTCTTGGCGTACGGCTGCCGTGGTCGTGGCACCACCAGCACCCGCCCGCCGCCCGAGCAGCCCGTGTCCATGCCCATAAAATCGCCGGAGGCATTGTGCTTGGCCACACCCGCCCGGAAGGCGGCCTTGCTGGTGAGACAGTGACCATGGCCATGTCCATGGCCGTGCCCAAAGGCTGGCGGACAGCAGCGTGGGGCCGGGGCAGGGCCAACCTTGTGGCAGAGACGACGGGCGGGTCGGCGCAGGAGCGTGTCCCGCTTGCAGGAGGGTCCGGCCGGGCGGCAGCCATGCTCCATGTGCACACCGCCCGGACCATTGCCCTCGCAGCTGGACTCGGGCCCCAGATACTTCTCGCGCAGCGCCTGATACGCCTTATCGCCCAGCAGGGGCGACGACTGGTACTGCTTGGCCAGTCGGTTGGGGGGCATGCCACCACGGGCGCCTCCACCGCCGCTGGAGAGTTCTGCCAGGTTGCCAAAGCTGACGCCGGCTGCGGGGCCGCGGCGACAGTGGGAGGCGGCACTCGAGTCCCGGGAGACGCTGCGTGCCCGATCCCTGGGCGGCGGGGAGTAGTCGCAGGCGCAGGGATCCTCGCGATCGATGGCCCTGCCACCAAAGTCCGTCTTCCGGCGGAGTATGTCCTTGTCGAAGAAGTCCGCCTCACCCAAAGTGCTGGTAAAGACCCCGGCGGAGCGTCCCAGATCGGCGGCATTGTCCTCCCGCGGTGTGCGCACGCAGGTGAAGACCGCCGGGCCCGCCGAATCGTTGGAGCCATCGATGTGCCGCGCCAGACGCGGCTCGTCCATGGCATTGGCGGGCTTAAAGTCCCAGCAGATGGCCAGGTCCATGGGCCCCATTTTCTTGGCCGGTGCGGAGCCCACGCCACGGAAGGTGTCGCCGCCAAAGGCCTTGGGCACCACACCGCCGCCTGTTTTCGGGCGGAACACCTTCATTTTGGTGCAGTGCGTCGGCCCGGCATTGTGCGTCTTGACGCCCACGCCCGTGGCAATGGGATCGATCTCCAGCGAGAGGCCGGCATGCCCGCCCGAGATCTGTGCCTTGCGGAACGCCAGATCCGCCACACAGTCGGGCAGCGGCTGATGGTCCAGATTGTCCTGGTGCATGCGCTTCGCCAGCTCAAAGTTCGCGTAGGCCGGCACCACCGGCGAGGGGCAGCGCTCGTTGGGCTTCTCGGTGATCGAGTGCAGCGGCATCTTTCTGATCAGATCCGGATCGCTATCGGTATTGTATCTGTAGTTCTGACTCTGGCTCTGGCTCTGTGCCACTGGCAATGAGATCAGATCCTTGCCGGGCACGAAACCAGACTCGAATCCCGTGTCAAAGGCTGCGTTCAGGTCGCTGCTCCGCTCCAGATGATCCGCGTAGCGGGACTGTGCCGCTGCCAGGGCAGGAAACTGTCGCCCCGTGGCGGAGGTCACCCGATCCCGGTACTTGATCGGCTGGGTCTCCTCCCTGTCCAGATAGTGGCGACTCAGTGGCTCATTGCTGTCGCGTGCGAAGGTGGCCTTCTTCTGGTCGAGCAGCAGCTGGTGCGACGGCAGACGGTACTCTGGCTCGGTCAGTTCTCCGGGCGTATAGGACAGATCCGGCAATCCGGTTGCGGCTGCGGCTGCTTGCGACATGGTTGGAGGTTCACTTTTTGTTTACTTTCAAGCGATCGTGAAGAGATGAACATGAAGATGCCGTTGCAAATGAGATGTACATTATGTATTTACAAATGGCTGGTATGAGTGGTGCACATAAATGAGGCATGAGATCGGGCATGGATCTGAGGAAAAGCGTACAAGGAAGTTTGGGGGCTGGGCTCTGGCCTGGAAGGGCAATTAAAAGAGGGAGCACCCTCCCATGTGGATTCCTTCTGCGAACAGCTATGTAAGTACTTTGAGGCTACAGCTTATTATGTTTTACTATTTTCTTAAATAAATTATGGAACTATGGCTGAATGAACAGATCTGGTATGGTATGAGGCAGATAGAACCCCCCCCCCTGTGTAGCTTTACCTTGAAAAGTACTTTGCATAAATGCCTTGGATTGTGTTCTTTTATATTTGCTAGAGCCAATAGAACTTTGAACTAAATGGGGATTCAATTGAAGATGGGTAAGGCGAGCATGCAGTGCAAAGAATGAAGAGATGCAGATGCAGGAGGCATATCCAATTGGGAAGGGAAGTATGCAGATGCAGGGGAAGATAATCTTGCAGATCCTTGAGCAAAAAGCTAGTGCAAGTGCTTCAATGGGTGCCCGGATTTATTGTTTATTCAAAGTGCAATTTGTGCACGGGCTGGAAACGATAACTCAGCATGTGCCTGGGCTGATCACGGACGGTGTCTGGTATATGCCTCTACTATATATATCTATATATTCGTTTGCTTCTGTATCTGCTTCATCTTTAACTGCTTCTATTTCTTTGGCTGCTTGGGGGCTTTGGTCTTTGCTTCTTCTTTGGTCGCCTTGCTGGGCTCACGATTCGCAGCGAAGGCCGTGATGGTTCGCTTGCGTGATCTATCCACCTTGACGCAGGTTATCCGCGACTTGGCTGGCACGCAAACCGTTCTGGGGCTCTACAGTGCGGTGCAGGATGTAGGATGCAGGATGCAGGATGCAGTCAACATGCAGCAGCAGGCAATGGAGAACGAAATACTCACCTTGATGGGACAAATGGCACGCTTGCAGCGAACACTCAGCTGATGGAGCTCCTTGATCTGCTGGATGCCCTCGCACTTGGACTGGCACTTGGGACGCGCCCAATACGGATCCCCGCTAACGCCCAGTGTCACCCGCTTGTCGCAGGCCAAGGCGCGACGGTTCTCCCGCTGGCAGTTGCACAGATCCCGTGGAAAGTCGCGGAACTTGTAGCGTCCGCTCAAGCAGGCGTCATAGTGGCCGCAAAAGCTGCGCGTTATCTTCAGCGGTAGCTCGTAGGTGCCACGATATCGTCCAAAGGAGTTGCCGTCCCTGCCGTGCAGCAAAGGATAATTGGATTATCGATATGGATGGATGGATGGAGCGTGGTGTGTGTGTTCGTTCGACTCACCTTCGGGCGGTGGGCAGCAGGTGACCACTATTGTCCACAATGGGCGTGGCTTTCTTCAGGTATCGCCTGGGCCGTGGCGGTGCAAAGCGTGGATACTCCCAATTGCAGAGTCCTGGCGCCTGAAAGCGGTCCTCAAACTAAAAGAGGCAGATCAAAGGCAAAAGGGAAAAGGGGGAGAGACGGTAGAGACTCGATCAACACCTGTTATGAATGCGGCAGAACCCTCCTCCGCCTCGGTCCACATATTGTCTGAAGCAAGTAATTCCCTTATTTATGGGCACTGAGCAAGCAAACCAATTGATGACAAAAAACAAAAACGCAACCCCCAATGGAAGGAGAACCAAGGAGGACCGGAATCAACCCCCACACCACGTAACTGGCGGAATGGGCGGGCAATTACACGGCGTAATCTCTGTTCTGTTGCTGGAACATGTGTAAAAAGGCATTTGGTTTAATTCCACTTAATGCCAATGTTTGTGTTTGCCATTTGAAAGCCCAGCCAGCCAGCCAGCCAGCCAAGGCAGCAGCAAAAGCAGAAGCTGAGTCCCAGCCGTGTGTCTGGGCTGGCTTAAAAAACGGACAGACTTCAAACTGATCCTTAAATGAGCCAGCCTCAGACCTGGTCTTAAGCCGATAGAATCATTTATCAGAAGTTTTGGGCATATGCCAGCCAGCTGGTTGGAAAGCCAGCAGCAAATCCACAGGAGCCAGGAACCTGTTAAGGTGAATGGAAAGTGGAATGGAAAGCTATGAGATGTGCCCATCAAAGGCAGCAAAACAGCCCAAAGAGTAGCAAAACTAAAGGGTATGGAAACTGGAAATGATTATTGGGGTATTGGGGTACTATTTGGGCTATTGGCAGTGGGAAATATCTAAGAACTAAGAGCCTCCTGCAGCCAGCAGAAAACACTCTGAAGCATTGAAAAAGGGGCTGCTTTTGTGGGTCCAGTTGGAGCAGTAGAAACAGCATGGACGAGGACGCCCTTACGGCATTCTTTTGTGCCACATCTCGTACTGCTGCTGCCAAATGGATGCTTGCTACTGGCAACTGGGCTACTGGCTACTGGCTACTGGGAATATACATATGTAAAGGCGCCTGCCTGTCCAAAGTCTTCCCACGCTTCCGGATTTCCATTAACAAATGCAAATGCCTTAGATGACGCGCTGGTAATACGATACCGAGCCTAGTAACTTGTCAGCACTTGATTGAGACCCTTGATTGATGCGATTGTGTTGTGGGGGGGGGAGTTGCGGGTGTGGCAGTGGGCACGCGTCTTGGACGTGTCAACGTGTGCCACAATGCGGCAACTGTAATTAAATTTGTACGGCAATTACACAAGAATGTGATGAAGGGCCCAGCGAGAGGGCAGGGCAGGACAGGGCAGGGCCAAGGGATAGAGAGAGAGAGAGGACGTGTGAGTGTGGGGAATCCCCTGGATGGTTACCATGGCTGCCTGCGATAGATGGACTGGACTGGATGGAATGGATGCACTTGCCAAGCGTGAAATACAAATTGATTTTAAACTCAATTAGCAACAAAAGTTTGTAGGCGTTTAAACGACACCCAACAACAATGAGGATTACAGGACACCCAGACAGATGAATGGAATGGACCTGCTATGGCAGGCAGTTGCGTTTATGTGGAGAGGGGCACACAAATAGATAGTTGAATGGTTGTTTGGGTTATCCACCCCCACCCCAACCCCAACCAGAATCCATCTCCTGCACTCTGCTTTGTTCTGTTCCTCTTGTGTTCCTCTTGTGTTCCTCTTGTGTTGCTCTGTTCTGTCTGTTCTGTCTGTGCGCGTCACCCCTTGGTGATGATTTTTATGGCAACCCTCTGGGGTGCAATTTATCACATGGTCTTTTGTGTCAGAGCCCAGAGAGAGGATTAGATAGTCAGAAAGCTACCGAGTGCACACGTGCACTCCACGGAACCACGGGTTGGATATGCAGCGCAGGCAGCGGACAGGCAGGCAGGCAGGCAGGCAGCACTTGTAACACTCCACTCACTTGTGTACACGCCTCCACCTCCTACCGTACTTCCGTACTCCTTCCTGGACTGTGGCAGGACAAACACTTAAGCTAATTTCACGCTATGCCGCCGATTGCTGCTGGATTGCTTCTGGATTGCTGCTGGACTTTCGATGGACAGGATGGGGGGAGGGATGGGGGGTGGCAGGTCCCTGCGTTCAATTCGATTGCCGCCCTCAGCAGCTTTGGGCCTCAAAGCAGCTGTCGATTTGCAATTGAAATGTCATTAAGTGTGTCCGCCGCGGGAGCAGCAAAAAGGAGATCTTCGAATGTCTCGCTGGATCCACAGGCACAAAAAAAGGAGAAAAAAAATACACCAAGGAAGAGCGAAAATTCCTTCACCTTTTCGCGCTTAACCGTTACGATGGTATGTACATAATCGCATATGAAAATAACTGTAAATAAACTGCAGTTGCGTGGCAATTTTCTGCCCGACTGACACAAGGTGCGCCAGGGGCGGGAGGCGACGCCCCGAGCCTGGATCCAACAAAAAAAAAAAAAAAAAAAACAAAACAACGGACTGGTAACCAATCCCGTTACCAAGTAAATAAACTTTAACTGTCGCTATTTGCAGCAGCGTGCACCACCATCGGAAAACATCGCAGAGAGCTGGGAAGCCAAGCGCCCAAAGGTAGGCAAAGGTGGGCAAAGGAGGCGGCACGGGAAAGGAAAGGGCATCGGAATTGGATCTGTGGAACGGCAGCGGGAATGGGAACGGTAGCGGGAACGAAGAGAATATGGAATGGATATGGAAATGGAAATAGAAATGATAACGGGATGCGTAACGCCACTTAAGCAGGATACGCCCGCAGAGGCAGTCGACAAATTGTGGCAAAAGAGGAAACTCAAGCAAGTATTAGATGAACGTTAGAAATTTATATTTGTAATTGTTTGTATTGTTTGTATTTTGTATTTTGTTTGTATTTGTATTTGTAATTTAAAGACTATTTGACTCAACCCGAAATATCCTATAGTCCTATAAATACTGGTATCACATGGGAAATGCATTCCCTAATTGTTTTCCGATCTGGGGCTCTGCAAAGAACTCTGGAAGAAACATTTCTGAGGTCTAAAATCGTTTCAATATCGTAAAATTATAACTCAAGAATATGATTCTTAGGATTCCAGTTTTTGTTTTTTTTTTTCAATATTTGGATAATTTTGGATAATTGGATTCCCCCATTGTATCCACCTTAATCCTCTAGAGCTGTTTTAGCCAAAAAAATATATTTTTTGCACTTAAACTGTATAAAATAGTTAATGTGTGTTTCTAAAGGTATCAAATTACTGCCGAGATAAATGTTGCATTGCCAACAAAATCTCTACCCATTCAAATATCGAATAGATGCCCCGCAGTCCAGAGACTTAAGATATTGCTTTCTGACTAATTTGTCGCCTGGCTGCTGCTGTGTCCTATCGCACCTATCCTCCTACTCCTCCTCCTTGCGCACACACAGCCTACAAATGGCACTCAATGAGATAGAGAGAGAGAGCGAGGAACTTGGCAGACTAACGGAATGTCTGCTGAATGGCGGGGCTCGGCCTTTCTTTTGGTGAGTGAAACGCAGAGAGAGAGAGAGCATAGAGCGTGGAGCGTGGAACGTGGAGTGTTGTATGTGGAGAGCGCCCATGCCATTGATTTTGTTACCTTTTAGCTTTCAGAATTATTATTATCATTATTATGGCAACCGGTTGCCACGCCCACCAGCAGGGACATGGCACTTGGACTATGAAATTGGGACGCTGCCAGCAGAAATGTGGAGCAGCAGCAGCAGCAGCAGTCTCTCTCTCTCTCTCTAGCTGTGTGTCCCTCTCTTTCAGCAAATAACAGTAAAGATAACAGCATCCCCCCCATACAGGGTGCTCTCTATGCGCACTCACCTGATTAGCACTAAAATGAAAAGCCATTGTCCACAAACACAGCAAAAGATTTTGGAATTTTTGAGTTTTTGATTTTTTAGGTTTCGGATTTTTGAGTTTTTGTTGATTTTTTAATTTTGTGATTTTTGAATATTTGAATTTGGAATCGAGGAACGAATTTTGTTGTGTTGCAATGCAAACATGAAAATCTGGACAATTGTGTAAAGGGTGACCCTGTTTTTTCGTTTTGGCGCCAGCTATGGGGCGTGGCTTCCAAAGGACACGCCTGGGTGTGCGGGACGCTGGGCAGGGGGGAGACGGAGCGAGCGCTGGCATCTGGTCGCATCTGGCACTTGAGCGGAATACGGCAAAGCAAATGGAAAACTTTGCAACGGCAGATGTGGCCCCCCAGCAAATGGAATGAATGAGAAATTGGGGGGGCAAATTGTGCTAAGGAATGAAAAAAATAAAAAGAGAAGAGAATGTATCTTCTATTGCGGTATTTACTATAGATAATTTTTGTAACTTTAATGCTTGACTGGGATATACATATGTATGTATTTATGTATATATGTATGTATGTATTTATATATATGTATGTATTATGTATTGTAGTAGTTATAGGTATAAACAAATATCACGACTTAGAAGCTAGACAAAAAAAGGTGTTTTGCGATTATTTCTAGAATAAAGATACTCGTACATACATACACGTATTTACATATGTATGTACTTTATAGTTGATGGATACAGGATACAGGATATGGGTTCATGGGGGAGAGGGGGCAGGGGGGTTCCATTCGCAATCCTATGGCGGAGCAAAGAACATGGCCTCACTGAAGCTGCAGCTGGTGTTGAAGCTAGAGGCGCTACCACTATCTCAGGGGGTCTCCAGCACGTGATTCAAGTACGCAATGTAGCAGATGGCCAGCTTGAGGATCTCGATCTTGGAGAGCTTCTTGTCTGGCGGCAGCGTGGGCAGCAGCTTCCTCAGCTCGGCAAAGGACACATTGAACGCCTCCACACGTATGCGCTCCCGTGTGGCATGCGCCGTTCGATACTTGAGTGTGGCCCGTCGCCGGCGACGTCGCTCCTCGCGTGACAGGCCCACCAGCTCGGTGGGATCCAGGTGGGCAATCGGTGTGGTCCGGCGACGTGGCGCCGGTGTTGGTGGCGGCTGTGGTGCCGGCTGGGCGGCCGTCTCACAGGACATACGCGCCTGGAAGCGCTTCTCAATGTCCAGCGTGGTGCTGGCCGCATAGTCCTCGTGCAGCAGGCCCCCATTGTTGGCGGGCGCCAACATCTCGTCATCCTCCGGCATATAGTAGCGACTCAGGGAGATGCTCTGCGGCGGTCCCTCTGCCATATGCGTCATGTCGTAGACCATCTTGGGAGTGTGTGGCGGCGGCTCCTGCTGCCAGTTGCTGCAAGAACACAGAGAAGACGAGGATCATAAGTATTCCGTGGGTGTATACCCTCTGCCCACCCTCTGCCCACCCTCTGCCCAATGCCACAAAGCAAATCAAAGAGGCTGCTGCCACTCGCATTATTTATGGCTGGTTCATTTGTGTGCATTTGTGTGAAAGGGTGCGTGTGCCGTGACCCGCACCGCCCTGCACCGCCCATGTCCTAGTTCTAGTCGTATTCCTTGTCGTTGTCGTTGTCCTTGTCCTGGGGCGCACACCCCTTTCTGTGCATGTGTCCTGTTTGCGTTTCCTATTATTCTCATTTATTTTTATTGTACTTATTGTATTTATTGTTTATTCGCAACATATTTTCACACCTACACAAATAGCAGAACAATCGGCACGTTTATTATTTGCTTTTGCCCACGGGACCTGAACACACACACCGCACCCCACTCCACCCCACCACACTGCGGAAGGGGGAAATGGGAAACGGGAAACGGGGAATCCCTCTGCGGTTAACGTATGATTTGATATTACATATTTATTTAATGGGTTTTTGTGAGAAGTCGCACAGATAGCAGCAAGTGCAGGACCCATAATGGAATGGGCACCAATGCAGGAGGGACCTGCTGTGGTTTCAGCTGGATCAAAAGAACCCACAATTGATTTACTGAGCGGCTTTAACCAGTCAAAATATCCACAATTGATCCACAGATGCTCTTTTGATTTGATCGCAATCCGCGATCCTTAGCTTTGGCACTTAACTCGAACTTACAATATTCAAACAGCAAAAAATTCGAATATCCGCACAATTCTTTGGTTTGTCCACGGTCCAAGTGAAATCCGGAGATGAGCTTAAAAGTTTGCCTGCTCGCGCAAAGCCTGAATGACGAACTGATGCTCGGTGCGGACAATGCAGCATCCTTTATACCGAAAAAAAAAACATCACAGCATACACATCCCTTGGCCAACCAGCAGCCAATGGCAAATATGCACCACCGGCAGGGTAACGCCAATTGAAGAGTCGCCACGGATTACAAAATGGCGCTGGTTATGCCAGATACCCGCCCCTTGATGGCAGAAGTAACCACCACAGGATGCTGGTCGGAAGGAAGGAAACTTTCAAATTTGAGTGAGCAGGCGGCATGTTGTGCGCCCAACAGCCCACTGTTAACTGCATGTGCACGTAACAGTGCGCCCTAATGTGAACATGTGCTAACAGCTAACAGTAACAGCACATGTTACATTTTCAGATGAACTCAAATTTAAATTTTCTTTATAATTTTTTTGTATTCATGTAATTAGTTTATGATTCTTACAAATCGAATATTATTTGGTCTCTGCCATGTACGGGAGGATCTAATCTAGGTGTATATATTCAAATATTCTCATGCGGCGCGCCTAGGACTTCTTGAAAGACTCCAGGCGGACGCCAAACATGATATTGCCGCTGTTAAAGGCAACCTTACAGATGGGTCCCTCATGGTTGGCATACGATTTAAGCGGCAACTCCTCTGCGGGCGGTACGGAAGACGAGTTTTCATGGGCTCCAGACTCCTGGACGAGGCGGTCAAAGTCCCAGACGGACAGCCGGCCATCCCGGCTGCCCACAACCAGCAGATTATTGTTCATGTCAAAGACGCAAGAGTTGACGGCTGCCGTGTGGTGGCTCAGGCAGCGGATCATTCGCTCGCGTGGCAAGTCCCACACAATGACCAGATTATCGGCGCCTCCAGAGGCCAAGAAGCGTCCGCACTTGGAGAAGGCCAGAGAGCAGATTCTCGCCATGTGGCCACTGAGCAGACGCACCTGGTGGCCCTTCACGATGCCCCAGATGCGGACAATGCCCCCTGAGGAGCCAGTGGCCAGGTAGTGCCCGTTCGGATGGAACAGACAACGTCCACGCCGCCGTGGCCGATAAAGGGGCGCTCGGATTTCTTCAGAGTCCCATACACAAGCCGTTCCAGCCTTGAGCCAATGCCGGGCCAGGCGGGAAACACTACGTAGTTGACGGTGGTCTGGTGCCCCGTACAGATGAACAGACAGTTCCACGAGCGTAGGCACCACAGACGCACATCGGAGTCCGAGCAGCTGAGAAGGTAGCGGCCGTCGGGCGAAAAGGCGCAGCTGTAGACAGCCCCCTCCCCTGGTGGCCGAGCAAGCTGCGCTTGACTAGCTTGTCCGAACTCTCGGTGTTGAGCGTCATATCCTCCAGCGGCTTTGAGGCATCCACCGAGAAGACGTGCACCAGGAAGGCTTGCTCCGGGCCACCTGCGAATTTCCCTAGAAATTTGCGAGGAATCCTCCTAGCCGGCCATGGTCGTGTATATGTGGACCGAGGGCAGATCCTTCCGACCCAAACAGACTCTTCAAGGCGTGCGCAACTTTCATGAGCCCCTTGGCGTTCGTGTGACCAGCGAAATCTCTCTTGCGACTGCGACCAGAACCAGCAGCGGGCGACGAGAACGTGGGGCGTTCTTCGGGCTGTCCAGCCTGGGATGCCCAGGGGGAGCGTTGCGTGGCAGCTCCCATTGTCGTACATCCGGATGCGGAGTGGCCTAAGATTTTTCCTGGCTGCACAAACGGCCAGTCCAGCCAACAGGCGCAGCACTCCATAGTACCAGTAAGTCCACAAACTGAGTAAAAGCTGCTCTGGCTGCTGGACTCCTTGAGGGCCATCTTCCTCTTCTTATTCTTGATGACTTGAAAAATGAATGTCTCGGGAGGGTTCTGGCCGTGACTGGCACTGTCATCGTAGAACTCGGTTCCAAAGCTGGTAGCCGCCTCTTCTTCTTCTTCGTCGGAGTAATAACAGCCACTTGCGCGTGACTGTTTGGCAGCTTTCTTCGAGCTGTCAAACCGAAAAGGCACCTCACCCGTGGAAAATGGCAGCCCAAACAAACTTTCCCTTCACTTGCTTAAAGGATAAAGTGTTTCCTCGTCTTCCGAATCGTCTCTGATGCTGGAATAACAGCTGGCATCCGAAAATCCATGTAAGTCCTCGTCATAATCAGTGATGGGTTTCTCATGAAATTCCCTGTGGTTCGATTGGGTTAAGTGAATAAAAATCATCTGAATATCCATTATAATAATATATGTATGTACCACTTTTCAGCGATTGTGTCCGCCAACATTCTGGTATCCTGGTTAGTAGGAGATTTGAGCTGATTTGTGTCCTCATCGCTCAGTGCCATTGATGGAATCAATGTTGTGTTGTCCTCCTCGCTTGAGGAATCTTTAGGGCTCTCCAGAAAATCTCCATTGCTAATTAAGAATGAACATAAATCGTTTGATATCGCCCAAATACGTATGATCCCTTACCCCGTTGACTGCCATTTTGGCGATTTGGCGATTTCCCACCACATTCCGAGGAAGTTGAGCCTGAGTTGCAAAATTGAGGTTCAACTGGCATCGACGACTTACTTGAATCGGAGCTGGAATCACCCGCAGTGTTGTCCTGATCGATTGAGGAATCCGAGACGCTGCTGAGCTCTTTGGGGTTCCATTTTCCCATTTTCTGATCGGTTTGTGTTGACTTTTGCTTTAATTTGCGCTTTTTATGGTGTCTTCTATTATCATTTTACTACTTACACGTGGCTTCTTAGCTTCCATGATTATACTTTTGCACTAGTTTTTTTTATTTTCCGCAGGCTCACATATTTTTTTAATTTCAACTTCGTTCACTTCTGGTTTTTTTTTTTTTACTTTGACAGTTGCCGACCAGTGTGACCACATGCGTATAGCAACACTTTTGGCCTTTTTACTCTGGTCTGGCCGAAAAAGTATCATCTACAAATATATTATCAACAACAAAAATATCGATAGATATTTACATCCCCATGTCATAACACTTGCGGCTCCCCCATAGTATTTTTAATTGCAAAACTATTAGATAAAATGAACCTGGGCCGACTACTGACACCTCTCCAGGTGAGCACTGCACTGGCCCGCAGCTATGGAAAGCACAACAAGAAGTATCTGTACAAGGATGGCAAGAAATACGAGGGCATAATTTACTACCCCAGGTGAGAGGCAGAACAGAAAAGAGGAGGCTTTTGGAGCCCCATCTGATGATATATTTGTTTTTCCGCAGAACACCCGACCATCAGGATCCGCCTATAGAGCCCGCCAAACTGTTTCGAGTGCAGCGCATCAAGCCGGTGAAGGGGAATCCCTTCTGGGAGAAGCGCATTCTGAAAGATCTGGGCTTGGATGGCAAACAGAGCGACTACACGGTGGTCAAGAACATACCCGAGAACAATGCCCGCTTGTGGAAGATCAAGCATTTAATTAAGGTCACACCGGTCACGTTTCCATATGGCGAGCCCACGGCACAGGATGTCAAGCACACGATACTCAAGGAGAATGGCGAGTGCCTGGTCACCAAGGATATTGGCCCCGTGGAAGTGCGCACGGAGGCACGCGATGCATTCGACCGGCAACCGAAGCGCCTGGACACGGACCTGCTCAGAAAGGATTCTCGTCTGAAGTGGCTCAATCCTTGGTAAAGAAAAATATGCCTGTGGCTGCTTTATTCCTTTAACAACAATAAAATAATATCAAATGCAAGTGCAAGTACGTTTTCGTTTGTAAAGCTAGTAAATGGCCATGGCCACCTTCTTCTCGAGGGTCTTGCAGCCGGAGCTGACAAACAGGCCATGCATGCGATCATAGCTGATCGATGAGGATAGGATGTCGTTGATGATATCCCTATCGGGCGTCTTGTCCCACCGCCGGAACTCCGCCTCCAGGCACTGCACAACATGCGCCTTCTCTAGCGGCAGGAATGGTATGTAGTGATCGATGACGTGTGCCTCAATCAGACTAGTTTTCTTCATGCCGCCGTCCATGTTGTAGGCAGCTCTCTGCAGCAGCGGCTCATAGTCGCTCAGGCGTGTATCCTCGCGCAGTTTTCCCGCCTTCATGCTATTACCCAAATGGTCGGCGATATGGGTGCCGGCAGTGTTTGACAGAAAAATGAATATGGCCTTTGTGTGGTCGGTGCCATCGGTGAAGGCATTGTAGTCCACCAGCGAGGTGAGCGTGTCCAACACGCCACTGGGCATCTTATCCACCTCATCGAATATGAACAGGGAGCGTGGACAACTCCTCAAATGAGAGCGTACCTCATTGCTAATGCGTTCCTTGTAAATGCCAACAAACTCGGCTTGTGGGAAGTCCGATCGTCCCAGGTACTTCACAACATAACCGCTATTCGATCCCTCCAAGTAGAGAGCTTTGGCAATCTGATCGGCCACAAAGTTCTTTCCGGTGCCCGGCTGGCCATGAAAACTAAGCACCAGCGGCTTTCGCGACTTGCTCTGGGCGCTAAAGTGCGCTGTCAGTGCTGGTATGATGTGCTGGGCCACAATATGCTGGCCGTATAGTGTTTTTTCCAGCGACAACCGCAGCGCTGCAAGAGTGTCGAATCGAGAGTGATTATGGTCAGAGAACAAAACATATTGCAATGGAAACCTACCGGTTATATTGGCAGGAATGCTTCTGTCGTCGCAGCATTCATAAAACCGGCAATAGGTCTGGCTCTTGAAATATGTTAAGCCGACGGTGCTAATCCCTATGGCAGCCCCAATTGTCAAGGGCTCAATGCTCTGACAAAAGTGTGTGCAAAATAGCAAGCCTCCAAGGCACAATAGCAGGCAGTTGGTTACATTCATTTCAAGAAAGAATAACTCCCGTCCCGTCCCGACCAATTCCAGCAGGTCAAACAAAACTTGTTCGCCTATCGATAGGAGTTATGCAGGTGGGAGCAGTGCTGCCAACTTTAAAAAATAGCCAAGCATATTTAAAAAATATCCAGAACTCCCGCTGTTGAGCTAGCGAGCGTTTTCACTAGCTGTTGAATATAGATTAAATAAGAAGTCGAGCAGATTCGATATAGTTTATGTGTGTACAGTTTATTTGTTAAGTAGGCGAAATATGGGGTGTGTAGGTTTAGCGAAAGTAAAAGCGAGATGTACCGGTTGATCAAATCATAGCGATGAATTGAAGACGCAGGGTCTGTTTAATATGCGAGAGAAGTGAGTGATAGATCAAGACGGTAGAGCGTGAGTGCGATAATGATGACGATCAATTAAAGACTGAGAAAGGGCAGGCGGGCCGAATTGCCTGTTCCCTAATGCAAGCGAGAGAGAGAGAGCTAAATAAGCGATAGAAGCTCGGGCTGCTGCTGAGCCGAGTACGAGCGATGGATAAAACGAAAGAGCGATAGAGCGAGATAGAAAAGTAAAGGAGAAAGGCGCTAGACGAAGAGACGAAAGATCGGTTGCATAGGCTATTACATTGAGCAATTATAAGCGGTTAAAATATTTATATGCAGTGGGCAATGCAATTAGCAAACAAATGTGAAATTACGTTATTTTGCGCCACTGGCTATTATTTGAGGAATTTGTTTGGGAATTTCAGGCTGGGAAACCAGACACCCGCAATTCTCCTTTACAAAAAGCCAGATGGGGCGAGAAAAAAACGGAATCGGCAGCACTGGATGGGAGTTTAACTAGACCAACGATACTAATCGATAACAATAAATCGCAATGTGGTTGCGATATTTTATGCAAAAAGAAACGCCGCAAGAAAAATTGTCATTCAACAATTGGATTGGATTGGAAAATTAGTGCATGTGCATCAATTAATATTTTCAATATATATCAAGCCATACCAGACGACTCGCACCCCCACGGTGCACGCAACAAGCAGCAGTCAACAGCAGCAGCCGCCGAATCCGTACTCGAAAGTGTTGTCGCGTGTGCCGGTGGCAAAAGGTACAAGAAGACACAGCTTTTGGTTTAGCGTTGTGGCAATATGAGTCGTCGACGTGCACACGATACGGAGGACGAGGGCTATGGTGAGTACAGCACATATTCCACTCGCATTTCCATCATCCAACTGAACTGGGGACGGGGGGTGTGGCATTCATTCACTTGCAGACCATAGGAGAAACAAAAGGAGGCGGGTGTCGGAGAACCAGGAGATCGAGGACCGCCTTGAGTCGCTGATATTGCGCGTGGGCGAGCGCAGCACATCCTCCGTGGAATCGAATCTTGAGGGTCTGGTGTCCGTGCTGGAGGCCGATTTGGGCACATTCCGTTTAAAGATCTTGCGCATCCTATCCGACTGTGCCGTCCGTATGCCCGAAAAGTGTACCGTCTACACGACGCTGGTGGGTCTGCTGAATGCGAAGAATTACAAGTTCGGTGGCGAGTTCGTCGACCACATGGTCAAGACGTTCAAGGAGTCGCTCAAAATGTCCCGCTGGGATGCGGCCAGGTATTCGCTGCGATTCCTCGCGGATCTGGTCAATTGTCATGTGATATCGGCCACCAGCCTGCTGCAGCTGCTTGACACCATGATCGATGTGTCCAACGAGGACACAGTGCCGCAGGTGCGTCGCGACTGGTTCGTTTTCGCCGTCCTCTCCACCCTGCCCTGGGTGGGGCGGGACCTCTACGAGAAGAAGGAGTCGGCCCTCGAGTCGCTGCTGCTGCGCATCGAGGTTTATCTCAATAAGCGCTCGAAGAAGCACCATTACGCCTTGCGGGTCTGGTCATCGGACACCCCGCATCCCCAGGAGGAATATCTCGACTGCCTGTGGGCCCAGATACGAAAACTACGCCAGGACAATTGGGCCGAGAAGCACATACCGCGGCCGTACCTCACCTTCGACACGATATTATGCGAGGCGCTGCAGCACAATCTGCCGCAGATCATACCGCCGCCCCACAACGATGCCTTTGTCTATCCGATGCCCTGGGTCGTCTATCGCATGTTCGACTACACCGACTGCCCGGACGGGCCGAATCTACCCGGCGCCCATTCGATCGAACGCTTCCTGATCGAGGAGCATCTGCATCACATCATCGAGACGTACCATCACGAGCGCAAGGACTGTGCCGCCCAGCTGCTCAGCTTCCCCTTCAAGCACAAGATACCACTCGAGTACTGCATTGTGGAGGTGATATTCGCGGAGCTGTTCCACATGCCGACACCGCGCTATCTGGACATCTGCTATGGCTCCATACTGATTGAATTGTGTAAACTGCAGCCGGCCACCCTGCCCCAGGTGCTGGCCCAGGCCACCGAGATCCTCTTCATGCGCATCGATTCGATGAACACATCGTGCTTCGATCGTTTTGTCAATTGGTTCTCGTACCATTTGAGCAACTTTAAGTTCACATGGTCGTGGGACGAATGGGACAGCTGCCTGCTGCTCGATGGCGAACATCCGAGGCCCAAATTCATACAGGAGGTGCTCCAGAAGTGCCTGCGGTAAGCAAACAAAGCCCCATCCCCATTTATGGCCATACATGCAATGTGGATTGTCCCTTCCCTTCCTGTAGGTTGTCGTATCATCAGCGCATCACAGAAATGATGCCCACCACATATGGAAAGCTCATACCTCAATTGCCTGCCCCCAATTTCAAGTACGCCAGCGAGGAGGCAGGTGAGTCATGCAACCCAACAACCATCCTCTAAATATCAATACGAATATGTACATAAGTATAACTTTATTCTGTGGGGAGGGGCTGTGCTAAAACTTAAGTAAACGACACTTCATTCTCGTCATCATCCACGATAAAGGGTATCTCCTCGCCATTATCCCCCACCTTGATGCTCACCGATCTGCTAACAGATTTCTGTGTGAGAACTTCAACCACTTCGCTGCGTTGTGGCGGCGGCAACAGGGGCAGCGGCAACGGTGTGGTCTTCAGTGTAGCTACAGCTGCAGCGGACGCTTCAGCAGTCGTTGAGGACTGCATTAATGCTGTCGCTGTGACTGTTGCTGTTGCTGGTGCTGCTGTTGTGGTTGAAGTTGTGCTCGTGCTGGTGCTGGTGCTGGTGGAGACATAGGCTTCATGGCGATAGCTACTCTTGGCCTTGCTATCCTGCTGCTCCTTGCGACGTCTTGCCCACTTGCTCAACGCTGGCTCGGCCGTGCTGCTTGTGGTGGATGTTGTCGTTGTCGTTGATCTTCCAGCAGTTATGCGCGGCGTTGTCCGATAGCGACTCAAATTTCGCAATGGACTAAAGTGTGTGGAGGTGGACACAAAGCTGCTGGCGCTGCTCACAGTTGGTGCAGGCGTGGCTGTTGCTTGAGTGCTGCTGGAGACTGCTGCTGCTGCTGCTGCTGTTGTTGTTGTTGTGGTTGTTGTTGTTGTTGCTGGTGGAGCACTGGTCGTCGTAGCTGGGGGGTCTTCAGTTGTGGGTGAGCTGATTGCCAATTCGGGCTGTTCCAAGCTGCTGCTGGCTCGCTTCTGCTCTTCCTCCTGCTGCCCCTGTTCCTCCTGCTGCCCCTGTTCCTCCTGCTCCTGCTCGTGCTCGTGCTCTTGCTTCCTGTCCCTGTCTCGCTCTATTTCGAGACGATGCTCATCCAGATGCAGCACATCAATGGGATTCTGATGGACATACAGTGGATCTGGCTCCGAGTAGCGATACACTGTCTCCTCCAGAGGTTCGCTTTGCACAAACGACTTGTCTTCGTCCTCATTAGCCCCGGAAATGCCAGCATCCGCATAGATGATTAGCGGCGGCAGCTTTGCCGTTTGATATTTGGATGCCTGTCCAAAGATCTGTGGACTGCGCACCAGCAGCTCCTGTTCGGGATCCTCATTCGATTCGTAGGACTCGTGCGAGCCGTAACTGGAGCTGGGAAAGTGCACAGGCTGGCGCTGCTGCTGCTGGGACTGCAGCTTCTGCTGTTGCTGCTGGGACTGCAGCTGCTGCTGCTGCCGCTGGTAATGATAGTATCCGGACACTGCGCGAGGCGGACTCCGCGTGGTCGCGGCAGATGGGCGATAGCTCAACTCTGGTTCACCGCGCCTGAACCACCGCCCGGTGCCACATAGAAAATGATGATGGAAATGGTGTGTGACCCCACCGCCAACAGCAGCAGAAACAGCCACAGCAGGAGCAGGCGATGGAGCACCACCTGGTGGTGGTGGTGCACCCACCTCTGGGGGCACCTCTGGATATCGTATGGGTGGGCTGTCCAATCCAACGTGGCCCGGGCCCAGCCTCACCGCCGGATAGTTGGGACGGAATGTGGTTGGTGCAATGAAATTTGAACGCAGCCCCAGATTGAAGAGGTTTTGGCCTCCCCCTGGTAGGTCCAGTGGATGAGGCGGAGCTGCCGCTCCACCCCCCTTGATATACTCACCAATGTTGAGCTTTGGTGGCAGGTGAGGCTGTGGTGGCGGCGGTGGCGGCTGGAAGATACCATGGATAAAGGTGGCCTGCTCCTGCTCCTGCTCCCGCTCCCGCTCTCGCTCTCTTTCCCGCTCGCGATCGTGTCGCCGCTGGGAAGCAAATCCCCCACCAGCGAGAGGTTCATGGGCGAGCCGAGCGAAGCTCCCTGGATAGTCGGACTCCTTCTGGATGTAGCTCATCTGGTATGTGGGCACTGCTGTCCGTGGGGGCGTCAGTGGCGTCACGCTGAACCGTATCTCGTAGTGGTAGTGGTGGCGTCCCTGGTCGCCATCCCGATGGCGGATGCGCTGCACCTGCCACAGGGCACGCCGCTGAACAGAGCCGGCAGCAGCGCTGGCGGTGCCCTCGACAAAGCGATAGCTGCCGTTGCTGGGCAGCTGTTCCAGCCGTCCTGTGGCCAGGGTGATGATATCCCCAAACCGGGAAGGAGTCGACGCCGACGCACCACCACCCGTCGAGGACTGTGCCAGTGGATCGGCGGACATGTAGGGCGTCTGCAGGAAGTCATGGTACTCGTGCAGCTGGCTGCGATGGACATGAGCAAAAAGGAGAAGGAAGTCCATTGGGTGGGTTCACCTACCTAAGATTTCCGGCTGCTGCGCCCACGGCGGCGTCCGTGAAGAGTGTCACATAGGTGACATGCTTGAGGGTGCGCTCCCAGGGACGCACATCCCGATCCCGCACATCCTTCTCCTCGTAGAAGATGCGCTTGCCCGTCAGCTGCATGCCCTGCTTGGGCGTCAGCACCAGATCTCGTGCAGCACCAACACCGACAATGGCATGCCCCGAATGCAACTGCAACTGCAATGGAGACGCGGGGTGGATAGTTGGAGAGATGCAAAAGGGAGAGATGCTTCTGGGGGTCAGGTTCTCCTTCAACTTACAAGTGCCATGAGAAGCAAGCCCAGTAGGCAGCCGAGATTCCTTCCCATTGTCTTGGGCTCGGGCAATCACACATCAACCGAAAAGTGCACGAAAATAATCAACAAACAGCAACAGCAAAAAAACAAAAAACAAAACTAAAAAAAAAAGAATAAAGCACACAAACAAATATATTCAAATATATTTTTTTGGAGACGTTTGAGCTGCGCGCGCTTGAAAGACCGACTGAAACGCGTCCCCCAGTTGTGCTCGCTAATAATCAAGCGGGAGACGATGCTGCCACTGCCACTACCACTGCTGCTGCTGCTGCTGCTGCTGCTACTTCTGGTGTCTGTCTGTCTGTCTGTCTTGTGGCATCCGCGACTTGGAGCTGCTGCTGCTTTCGTTGGGGCAGCCAAGCGATGCGTCGCCGCCAGCGGGCGTACGTTTTGTTTATTTGCGCAATACGCGGCCGACTTTGTTTTTTTTTTTGCATAGAGTAGCGTGGATTTATGCAACACTCTCGTTTCGAGGGCGGTGCACCAGCAGCACCCCCTAATGCTACAGTTTTTGGTGTATCCGCCAGGGATACCCTGTCTGCCCAGAAAGCGAGGTGCTACGGAGAGGAGAGGGAGATTGCTGCCTCCTAAAGGATTTTCTTTAATATTAAATGTTGGATGAATCAATTTAAATTGAATATGAATTTAGCTGTGGAATATTTCATTTATCCACATATGTTTTTAGTTGCTGAAGTCCTTTAAATCTTAGAATTGAGGAGTCTTAAAAAATCTTAAAAAATCTTTAATCTGGTTCTAGATTCATGTACTCAAAGCAGAAGCCTTTTAGCAGCTATCTTTGGTCATTGAAAGACGCATTCCATGTATAAATAGGGTTCCCCTAGGTTCCAGTTTAATATCTTTAATTGATCATACCCATTGGATCGATAGATATATTTATTTGATTTATCTGTAAAATTGTATCTTACAATTAATTGTTGTTATGGACAGAGCAACAACAATACCTTCCTCCCAGCCTGGATATATTCGGAATAGTTCTCTCTGCTGTCCCTTCTTATTTGTTGTTGGTTAGAGTATAACCAAGTTCGGCCTTTGATTTTGATCTAGTTTTGTTGTGTGCTTCTGAAGTTTTTGATTTCATTTTGGCTATAGCCTCCATTTAAGACCGAACAGCTTTTGCCTTAGATTTCCATTGAGATATACATTGGTTCGGTTCGCTGAGCTTCGGTGAGCTGCAGCACTCCCCCCCCCCTTGATGGCAGCGGTTCGTTCTCTTCTGCTTATGCGGTTCCGTATGGCGATTTCACCTTGCTAAGGTTCTCCGTCTTTCCTGCCGATGATCTCAGATGTGATGGAGAGATGATGATGATGATGATGATGACCTGCCGTAGATACGACCCTAGCCAATGGAACGGTCTCTGTTTTGTATAACATTGAACCACGCGCGGAGTACACCCGAGTGGGGATCCACCCGCCCTTTTTGGACATGCTCAATTTGAGCTGGAAATCAGATTCCCGTGAAAAGATTTCCATTTAATTCTGGCAATCAAAGATTCTGGTGTAGGTGTAGGTGTAGGTGTAGGGAGGTAGGGAAATTTGTATGGAATAGAATAGCCCCCCGACTGTGGCTGACTGTGGCTGACTGTGTGCGAATATCTCACATGATCTTGACATGCAAACCAAACCTCTCTGGGCCAGCATTGACATTGTCTGTGGAAGAGCAATGGGAAGAATTTTAATATTAAAATGGAAAACATTGAAGTGATGATTAAAGAGTGCTAGAACTCTATTGGAATATTCAAAATAAAAGAATGTTCTGGCTGGAAGACCTTTGAAACAAAGAGATTGAAAAGCCTTGGGAGCTAAAGTTAGAAGAGAAAACCAATATCTGATATAATGGCTACAAATGTGTTGCCCTGATAATTGCCGTGATAGTCGTAATAAATTCCGCATTTGCCAATGCATTGGCTTGCCAAATGGCCGCATAATTAGCTCCGTGCTTGGCTTCTTTTGTCTGCAGTGCTTCGCCACTCCGGCACTCAGGCACTTTGACATAATTGACGTAAGTGCCAATAAACTGCATGTAATGACAGAGCAAACGGGTGCAACAGAGGCAGAGCCAGAGCTAGAGCCAAAGCCAGAGCCCTGGGAGAGCTGGCGGAATTGGCAGCCAGAGCACAACCATCATTAGTAACGCACCAAACGGAGGCAGTGGCAGTGCCAGAGGCAAACTCCAGTCGGGTGTTGTGTGGTGGTGGTGCCGCTTGGTTCCACGCCATGAATCACACATGGTACGGGTATTGTATGTAAGCAAAAGCGAGCAATGAAATGCGAATTGCAACGAAAGTGTCACCTCAACCAGATATGGGTATGGGTATGGGGGTATGGGTATGCCCCTAAGAGCAGCCAAATACGATCCCATCCAGGCATTATATATGTCTGTTTTCTGTACACCAAATACATACATAATATGTATGTACGAGTTTGTACTCCTCCGAATGCCATTAAATTATCTCGAATCATTTCCTGACTTTCGTTTTCTTCTCTTTCCCACTCACTCTCTGTAGCAAGTCTACCTGGTACTGCGGTGGCCCATCAACTGGTGGTGGCCATCCGGCAAAAGTGCTCACCCGAGGAGGTGGTAAACATCTTGAAGGAGATACCCAATAGCGGCTATAGCGGCGAGGAGATGTCCGATGGTACCTTTAATGCTCTGAAAATAGATGTTTTTGTGCAGACGCTGCTCAATCTGGGATCCAAGTCGTTTTCGCACAGCTTTGCGGCCATCTCGAAATTCCATTCGGTCTTTCGTGCCTTGGCCGAGACGGAGGAGGCACAGATCTGTGTGCTGCACAATATCTATGAGCTGTGGTCCTCGCACCAGCAGATGATGGTGGTGCTGGTCGATAAGTTGCTGAAGCTGCAGATTGTCGACTGCTCGGCGGTGGCCACATGGATATTCTCCAAGGAGATGACCAGCGAATTCACCAAAATGTATCTCTGGGAGATCCTACATCTCACCATCAAGAAGATGAACAAGCACGTGATCAAGCTTAGTGAGTTGTCGCCCCCCTACATATGCATAGATCGTTTCTTTAAACCAATTTCGATTTCAATTTAAATATATAAAATCGCTTGAGCAGACTCTGAGCTAAGCGTGGCCAAGGATAAGCTGTCCAAGGCGGACTCCTCGTCCAGCGAATCCGATGAGGATGCACCGACAAAGCGCAAGAAGCCCATCACGCATGCCGACAAGCCCTCCGAGGAGGTAAGTTCTACACAACAACATGCATTTCCATTCACTGATTGATGATCCCCCTCTCTCTCTCTCTGTCTGTCTGTCTGTGACTTTTCGTTTTCTCTGTGGCAGGCGGTGGAGCGCATGGAGGAGAAACTGGAGGCAGCGAATGTGAACCAAAAGCGTTTGTTCCTCATCGTTTTCCAGCGGTTCATCATGATACTATCGGAGCATATGCTGCGCTCCGATACAGATGGACGTGACCCGGATACGGACTGGTATCGATGGACCATTGGACGTTTGCAGCAGGTCTTTCTAATGGTTAGTCCATGCCCCACATCCATATGCCTTAGGGTATTCCCTTACTAAATCTGCGCACTGACTACTTTTAGCATCACGAACAAGTCCAGAAATATAGCAGCACTTTGGAGACACTGCTCTTCACCTCCGACCTGGATACACACATCTTGGAGGTGTTCCAACAGTTTGTGGCCTTGCGGGCCTAACAAAGGAAGACCAAACAGAGGAGGACAACTACTATAAGAAATGTCAGGAGCATGACAAGAAAAGTGCATCAACCCAATGACAGGATTGACAACCTTAACAACCTAAACACACACAAACACACACACACACACCAACAAGGACCTACACCAATTAGCTTCATTTATCTGCATTTTTTTTGTTTTGTTTTTTAAAAACTTTTTTTGATCTAAATACCTTATTGTCTTTATAGATACTTTATTCATGTTTAATAATCCTTATCGTGTACCCCCCCACCCCCCATACATCCACCACACAAAAACATCTATGATTAAGACTCGAAAGGTTTTTTTTGTAATTTGTAAACAGACGAAAAGAAAATGAGAATATCAAGAGAATCAAGAATAAAGTCCAAAGTTAATGTTTCTTGATGGAAAATACAGATCAAGAAGGTTAGATAAAACTATGTTTATATTGAGTTTAAATTGAGCCTATAATAATTGAGTTTGCAAGTAGAGCGAAAAAGGATAGCATTTCAGAAAATGATTGCTATCGATATTGAGGTAAATGAATCAAAAGAGAAATGTGTGCAAGTGAAATCTAGTTGCCAGAATGATAGCCGAAAATTATAAACAAATGAATGGGACCCAGTCACAATCTAATAGAAACATCCACTTGCAGCTGGTAGATCCTTTTTATTCATTACTTTCCAACATCCATAGAAGTTGCTTGCAAGATTTGCCATCAGGTGATAATGGAATCATGAAACTTCTATCAAGTTGCAAGTCAAATATATCTTCGCTTTCTGCTCCTTAGAACAAAGAGAACAATTGTGGAATGAAAGGTTACCCCATATCCAATATATAATATAATATCAATTCTGACAATTCGTAGCAGGCGATAAGTAACTACTTATTAAATACGACTTCTGTTCAAATCTATAAGGATCATAATTCTTTTGTATGTGAAATTACTAGTGGAGTATTCGTCAGATTCACTGTGCAAAATGTCTTCACCCATAATCCTGTGCATCGTTTGCTTGATGGTCGTAAGTGGCACCCGGCGGCATTGCATTGCAATCAACGCGCTCTGTTCAATACTGTACAATTGCAGGTGATCTATCTAAAGATCCGAAGCGCTGAACGGCTACCAAATGGGGAGCAAGCTATGCTATGGTTGTCTGACCCAGAGATCGAAGAACTGACTGAGGAGGAGGGCTCTGGGTTTGAGTCTGGCCCCATCGGTCACAAGCCCACGTTCTGGATGCTCTTGTAGGCAATTGGCAGGTCACGGCAGTCACCCCTCACAGACACACAGATACGTAAATATATATGTACATTTAAATGTGCATATATTTCACAGGATACTTTTACTCGAGACACGTCGCAGCAGAAATACTTGGTAACCTCCTGCAGCCCTAAATGACAATGACACTACTGCTGATTGAATTTCGATTTTTTTTGAGTGTGACCCGAAAACATAGACATAGTTGAAGGTATCCAACGTAAGACAAAGTCATGCTGATTGGTTCTCTATCTTAAGTGTTTGTGCACAAGCATACATACATACATATGCCATTAAATATGAAAAATATACATTTAATTTGTATTCGATTTTCTCACTTCCTTTGAAGAAATTTCACAGATACTGGTACGTACTTAAGTGAAGTTTTCTGAGTATTATAGTTTCGATCCGACGAAGTGCAAGGCTTCCCAGGCAAGCGGCATGTGCCTCCCCGCCTAATCTTGGCACCAAAATGCCAAATTCATTAAATATTATTTATATGTACCTCAAAAATATCTTATAAAGTGCCGGAGGGTCTTGGCAAGACGTTGAATGAGTCTAAGTCCTTTCACCGTCTCGAGTCAGCCAGCTCTGCGAGGTACGGCCGGTCAAGCTGCAGGGCTTCGAATGGCCCAATTTGGCCCCCAACATGAGTTTCACTTCAAAATGAAACAGCTATGCACATGTACATGTGCATATGTATATTATATAGACATAGTATATATGTATGTATATTTGTCTTCTGTTTGTATATATATATGTATATAGATCTGTTTTTGTTGTATGCTCTAAATATATGAAAATATATGTATATATTTTCCTATTTAGTTTCCATGCTGTTGCTTGAACTTTGGCATTGGCTTTGGTTCAGGATTCAGATTCATATTCAGGTTCAGGTTCAGGTCGGCTTCAGGTTCATCAGATCAGGTTAAGAAAAGCGGAAATATGTAGTATCATATCGATACGACTGTGCACATTCTATGGCTAAACTTGTAATTGTAATTGCATTTGTAATTGTAATTGCTTTGTGTAGATTTGTAACCGTTTCCATGAGTAGCTTGTCCAGGTCGGCATCCATCAGTCCCTTCCGTCCCTTTGATCGTCTAGGAAGAAGTGCGCGGCTGACTGGGTACGTACTTCTCCGAGGGCTGGTACTGCCACTGGGCACATATGGCCTCCTGTTCCGTTTCATTGTAGCCAGCCCTGTGGGGAGAAAGGCAGGCGGCAAAGCGGCGGGAGAGAGACATAAATGAGGGAAGGGAGAGCAATAGTTATGGATAAAAGTTCTCAACGAGTTTATTGGAGGAAGTGGAGAGGTGGACAACTAGCTAATGGATATGCAGAGCGTGAGTGGGAATGGGGAATGGGGAATGGGGTAGGGGAACCGGAATCGAATCACACATGCATATGGCTCGACAGACAGTGGGCTCTACTTATGACTTATTCCTACTAATACTACACGGGAACAGTCTTCTGAGCTCTCTCGGCTCCCAACCATCAGCTCCAACGGGAGCCGTAGCTACCATAGCCATATGACGACCCTGGCCCCGGCCGCTCGTAGTGGTAGCCGCCTGGCGACGATGCCCCGTACCGGGGTGGCAGCTCACGACTGACGGGCGCCTGCAGGCTCTCCCAGAGGAGACGCGGACGCTGGACCACCTCACGGATAATGTTGACTGCCGCCAGGCCGACGCTGGCAAGCTTGACGCCAAAGCGGCGGGCCGTGAGCTTGGCCGGGGCAAGGGCCGGTGCTGCGGCGGCCAGGGCACGACCCTGCTGCACTGGATGGGCCAGGATCTTGGCTATCAGATTGTCCCCGTGTGGCGGGACATAGAGGTCCGCCTGCCGGAATTCGGCCGGGCACTGATTGGTGCGGTAATAGAAATCCTCGAACCTCTGGTGCGCCGAGCAGGGACTGCGCTCCTGGAAGCACGTCACCTGCACCACATTGTAGAAGATTGCGCCCAATGTGTTGGCCGTCTCCGTGTTGGCCGCCTGCAGGCAGCGCCGGAATCTCGCGTCGCAGTCACAGTGAGAGCGGGTGAAGGTACCCCGGTTGCACAATCCCCGCCTGCACTCGCCCACATTCAGGACATCCGGGCACATGTCGTGCTCGCGACAACAGCGATCCTCCCGCGTATGGGCGCCCAGATCGTCATAGCTGGTGGCCGCTGTACCGGGGCCACACCACTTGGTCCCCGGATAGATGAAGCCCAGGGCGCCGCGGAACTCATGGCCATAGGAGCCCTGATGCCGGCACACCTCCTCCAGCTCCATTACCGACTCGCGCGGCACCTGGCGGATGCGTCGTGGATCCGACTGCAGCAGCATCCGTTGTATGTCGCCGCTGGAAAAGAATCACCATGGAAAATGTAAGATCGGAAGATGCATATATGTATGTTTAATATATACATACATATGTTTGGGTGACTCACCGATCTCTGTGCATCTTGCAGAAGGGATGCCGGGACGAGAGCTCCACCATCACAGTCATGGTCATGTCCGAGATGAGCACCGCCGATCCGGAGCTGGGCGGCAGCGCCGATCCTAGCCACAGCAGCAGCACCGCCAACGGCAGAGCCTCCTTCATCGTCCTCCCAGCTAGGAAAGAGAGAGAGAGAGAACGAAAGGAACAGACAGTGAGGTAGAGTCAGTGGCAGTTGTGCTTGGATGAGCTGTTGGACCGACATTGGTATGTGGGCCAACATTAGCAGTTGAATGAAGAAGATCGCCCGCAACTTGTGATTTTTGCATTTCTATGGCCCATAGATATGGTCTGACCTCTGGCCGGCCACTCACAGAATCCGCACCGTCCGGCCCGGCACCGGTCCATGGCCCACGACGTCACACCACACTGTCGCCAGCTCCATTCGAATGGAGCGCCTTTAGTCACCCTGGGCCCTCGATCCCTTTTTCTCACACTGTTGAACCACTGTAAAGTGACGATCAAAACAAAAGACAACACAAAACAAATGTGAAAAAAAACAAAGCCACAAAAAAGTCAAAACGACGAAAACAATTTGCAAAACAAGAAAGGAAGGAAGTGTCTGTTTTTGGCAACCGAAGCTTTTGATACCCTTGCACATACATATGTACACATCCATCATTCTTATGGTGTTGTTGAACAACTTCCCCTTATGTTTCGTTATGACACACATTTTATATTAGTTTTTCCAATTCCAACAAAAGTTTCAGCTGTATGTTTCGTATGGCAGAAATACATATGTATGTAGTTTATGTGTGCCTTGCTCACACATGCGCCCAAAATCATAATACCCCTTCGACAGGGTATCCACCAAAGACGATGGATTATAATGAACGGTAATAATACGTGGCGTTTTGCGGGGTGGGAGCGGGAGCGGGAGAACGAACAGCCGATCAGTGGAGTGCCATGATGGTGAGGGAAGTGGGAGAGAGCCCGCACACACACGTCAGACGCTTTTGGACCTACCCCAAAAGTCCCGCTCTCACAGTCAGGAAGACGCTTGAGTACGGTAAGCATTATTTATGTATAAACGCTGTCGCTTGTCGCTGGCCGCTGCTTTTGTGGGTCAGTTGAAGGTGGAGGCGTCAGCTTGTTACCAATTCTTGTGCTTCTTTGCTTTTGGCCAACTTGAAAAGGTGAAGGCCAGAACCGGCTACGTCCGTCCATCTCTTGTTAATTAGTCAAAAATGATGACGCGATCCGCGAACCAAAGCTGGGATCGGTTTACTATAAGAGTTGGATTCTACTCCATGCCCCTCCACCCCTCCCACACCATTACGGTGTTATTTGGTTACCTTTATAGCCAGGCCAAGGAACTGTGTACTATTTTACCTATCACGTTCCGCTCAAGTTGTAAAGTGAGAAAATAATTAATGATGACAGTTTGTAGCCGCTTATTATAAGTATTATTTATGTTGTTTGCCCAATTGTTCGTTGTTTGCTCGGTGTGCGCCTGAGAATGACCGCGAGAGTAAGAGTGAGAGTGAGTGGTGTATGTACATATTTATGCGGGGGGAGCGTGAGAATAAGCCTTGTTTGTGCATTGTGCGTGCGAGTCATTGTTTGAGTGAGCTGTGAGTGCAAGTAGAGCAAGAATAGGGGAGAGAGAGTGTCATTCTCCCTGAGCGTTTCTCATAAATCTTGTCAAAAATCTTCTTATTAATATTTCAAGTTCTTTCTTGGCCAAATGTTTGCAAAAGCGTAATTCAGGAGATTACACACACACATACATATGTATGTATGTATGTTCGATGACAGCACTTATTGTCTCTTACCATTCTCTGAACTCTCTTTCCAATAACCAGAAATACAGGAATAACAAAGTAACAGAGAGCTTGAGTGAATTGTGAGTGCAAGGCAGGCAGAGCGGAGAGCCTTGCGAGTGAACTTGCCTGTCACTCAACCAACCACTGCTCTCAATGGTGCAAAAGGAAACAATACACAAACGATCAATCCCAATTTCGCATTAAAAATCGCCCTGACAAGTGACAACAATGTACCAGAAAGATATCTATAATCTATAATTAAATCTTGATTGCCAATCGGTTCTACAAGTAAACGTAACGAATTAACAGTTGGACATAATCAATTTGCAATCACCGAAGAGTTATCTCTTCTGCTGCCTCTCTGCCTTTGTTTCTCATCTCCTTCTTCTACGGCATTGGCTTATCTTCTGAGCAATCTCCAACTGCGTCGCCGTTTGCTGGCAGCGTCACCATTACCGTTTGCATCATTTTCAATGTCAATGCTTTTGCTTTTAAATTTCATGGCATAATAAGCCATGGGGCCCCATCGCGGCTGCTCCCTTCCCCCCTCCCTCCATCCGTGACACAGTGTGGCAAAGAGTGCGAAAGAAAACGAAAACACAAGAGGAAGGCTATCGAAAGAAATCGAAGCATTTGATACCCTTCCAGAAAAATTAAGATAAATATATGATGAAATGTTACGAATTTTTAATACTTTTCCTGAGCTAAGAAGAGCAAAACACACATTTTCTATGAATTTGTATGTACATATGTAGACAAAATAGATTTAAAGCTAAGCTAGCCTCTCTAATTACATTCCTTATGTTTCCTTAACTGCCTGACAGACATCACAATAAAATCACAATATCTTCTGAAAGGGTATGCAACAAAAGCGAGATCGTTGCTTTTGCAGAGAGTGGTACGTGTATGGGGTGTATTTCTGGGTTTCGACTCTGACTCTGATTTATTTGTGTGTGCGCTTCAAGTACAATGACCGCTGGGTTCCTCACTGCCTGTCTGCACCACCCCTCCTCCTGGTAGTGAAGCACTTGAGCCGTTTATAGATCTTTTGTGTATGCTCAGACACTATAACTATTGTTTTATTGGCGCCCCCCAAAACTGTCACTCAGCAGAAAGAGATCAACATCAGATCAGACTCAAACACCTGATATGTGTGGCCAGATCTACATATCCGTAGTATGTTTGTTTTTTGGGGGCCATTAAACCTCGGGGAATGTGCCTGTACCTTGGTTTATGCCTGCCAGCAAAATGAATGAACTTTGGCTCCCACTCCACACTCTATAATCTACACTGCTGGTGCTTCTAGACCTAACCCTAAGCGAAAAGATCTTCCCCAAAACAAGTTGATTCGGCGGGGAGGGGAGGGGACAGGCGTGTCTCTGATCCATGCATCATCAATCAATGCAGCTGTGTGTGTGTGTGTGTGTGTGTGTCTCCTGTACAGGCAACACTGTCTGCAGCACTGGGAGCCCTTCACTCTTGACGCATCCGAAACAGGTTTCAGGCAGCAGCAGCAGCAGCACAAAACTCTGTTTGCATTTTGAATGTCACGCTGTTGTTATTGTGGTTATTGTTGCAGCCGCCAACTGATTCTGAGTGAGCGTTACCAGGTAACAACAAAGCCCCTCCTCCCTCCCCAGCAAAAGCACAAGGCGAGCCTCAGGTGTGTGTGTATGAGTGTGTGTACTGTCTGCTGCTGTACGTGGTAATTGCTGGACGATGGACGCTACCACAGCCAGTCCCACAGATAGCAATCTCTGTAATTGCCGGAGCAACCGGAGACGACAACCTTCCGACGTGTGCTCGACTCTGACCTGGCCCAAAAGGAACCTGTCCTTGTCTACTTGCTGATATTTGGGTCAAGTTGAAGATCAGCAGCAGCAAAACCAGACAACAAAACTTTCTAGGATCTGTATTCAGGTCGGGATCATAAATTCGATCGATTTATGGCATATCAATAGACAAACAGACAAACACCTCGCTTTGTACCGGGAACGAAATGGAAAACAAAACCCCATCCCATCCATCAAGCGATGGTACGATCGAACGATGGGTGGATCAGACGGATAGACGGATCGGATTGGTTTGGTTTGGGTTGGATGGACAGTGGCGGTCATTGAACGCCTACGCCGAAGGTTGTTCCATACCAACAGAGACAAAAGATATGCACAGTCTCGATAGGAAACTGAAACTGAAAGCGACCCCCAGGCGCTAATTGCCCTGCAATAGAGGAAACCGAATCTCACACGGCCTATACGATGGATGGGGGTGGTATGGTAGGGGCAGGGGCAGTGGTAGTGGCAGGAGAAACTATGTGATGGCTGGCTGGGGGTAAAGCCAATCGGAAGTGAGCCAAGAACAAAGGTGTTTACTTGCGCAATTGGCCAACGACTCGTCAAAGGGGGTCTAGAACCAAGGCACTATACATACATACATACTACATATATGTATGTACATATGTATGTACAATCCAATGACCGACCACGAGGGTAAATGACCTTCTCATCGGCCCCCCCCTTAAGTCCATCATTCCATTCTACCAATGTGTGCTAATCACTGAGCAAATTTCGCAGCTTGTCGAGGTAATGTCTTGTCAAAGATGAATGTGCGAAAAACGACGATGGGTGCTGGGCGCTGGAAGGGGAGAATCGCAGTATCTAGCCGATCGGCCACACAAATATTTGGCCACATCGGCCAGGCTAGAGTCTAGTGTCCACAATTCGGCGAGTCGAATATGGAGAAGTGTTTGCCATGCAAATGCCAGAGGTTCTGTTGGGATTTGGGGTGCGGTTTGGGTGAGGTTTTTAGATCCAAGAAATTATATGCCAACTGCTGTCATAACACCCACCTAAAGACGTACTATGTAATATTCTATCAACTGGATCAATCACATTCAATTGGCTGTGTAAAAACCCTATAGCTAAGATCGATCAAGCTGATTCAATCACAATCAATTACTGATTACTTTTGTCTTTTCTTTCGTAAGCAGTAAATATTTGATATAGTTTCTCTCAAATGCTCGTACCATTTCCATTTTTGAATTTTGCGGTACAGAAAAGAATTCTCTGGAAGCCGAAGTTTATGCAATCTCATTGGGTTTTACAAGAACAAAAGAAGCTAAAGACTAAACCAAAAGGAAACAAAAAACCAAAAAGAAACAGAAAGATATCCTACAGAAAATAATACATATTTAAAAACATGTACATATGTATGTATATCCTTCAAACTTGTAGCAGTTTTTCGTTTCTTTCTAGCAGATCTTTAGGTCCAATAAGAAATGCGAATACCAAGACTTATGTCATTCCACTCCAACAATTTGTTCATAGCTAATTTCCTCATCTTCCTTAATATAAGTTAAATATAAGTTAAGAATATAGATATTCCAAATATCTTTCGAAATTATCTAAAGTTCCTGCTCGGACATTCTATCAGTTAAATTGATTTCTTTCAGTACTTTAGTCTTTAATGGCTTTATCCTTCAGAAACAGAGAGCAGAGAATGCCGAAGGAACATCCCCTCCTCCGCTTTCTTTTTCTCCCTCTCCTACAGTAATTCCACAATTTGTTCTGCTTAAATGTTTTTCCCACAATTTACGCTTTTCCGCACTCTTTTCACTCTTGCAGCCCAAATGTGTGTGTTTCCTTTATTCACAAGGCCGACTGGTTGCCTTCACCTTTTGACATTTGGCCCATAACACACAGGCCACCCTCAACCTCTCTCTCTCACTCTCTCTCTCCCCAATGTTACTCTGCCCCGGCCCCCCACGCCCAGCACAGGCACCCGTCCCAGCACACCCTCGCCATGGCCTTCGTGCGTAAATGACCTTCAAAAGGCACCAACACCGCCACGAGCAGCAGAAGTAGCAGCAGCAGGGACACCCAACAAGAAGGACACGTGTCTGCACTTCACAACACAGGAAAAACAACGGGAAGCACAACAAAAAATAAATAAAACAAAACAAATACGAATATCCTTTTTTAACCGTTTCAACCAAATCTATTTACCTGATTCGGTTTAAAAAAAAAAACAGTTGCCAAACGGGTTGTTTGATTTTGAATGGTTTTTGTTCGCTTTTTTTTGATTGAAATTGGTTTCCCTTTTTCTGGGGAGAACTGCCACAGGACAGCAGGGTCTACGGGACGGCGGAGGACGCGTTAGTGGTGACGACGATGCTCGGAGCAAAACATTTCCGCGACGCGTTTGCGGCGCAACTGAACTTGATTCTGGCGCGTCGGGCCATGTTAAACTTGGACTTGGCCAAAAAAAAAAAATAAAATAAGAGAAAAATACAAATTGAAAAGCAGCCGCCGACGACGAAGGCAGCGGCGGCGGCTAAGAAACAAATTTACAAAAACAACATCCGCCGCCGCAGCAGCAGTAGCAGCAACGGCTACGGCGGGCAGCAGCAGGCCGACCAGACGGACTAGAAGCTTGACGCCGCCGCCGCCGACAGCCGACAGCCGACGCGATAGCTGCTTCAGTGGGGACATGCCAGGGGCGTAGCCAGAAGGATTTGCAGAAAATTATCCAAATATTCTTTCGGATCCTCCCAATTCCACCTCTTTCTCTGCTGTGTGGTGCTCCGTTTGGGTGCCCTTGGGCCACGCCCATGGACTTGCACGCCCACAGCCACAAGTGCAAAATCGAAGATGAAGCGCAGCGTCCGAAAACGGCCCCAAAGCCCAAGAAGTGCAAAGCCAATCGAAAGCTCCCCACCACTCAAAACGAGATGATGAAAAGCTTAAGACGACACAATACAAATTTCAAGGTCAACCTGAAGTTTTGGATTCAAGCTTATGCTACTCGCGGTGGGTTCAAGTCACCGCTAAAGCTTAAGTTTCGATACTCGCGTGACGCGCTTAGAGCTTTCTTTTTATTTTGAACAGATCTCAAATTATTATTACTATTTGTAATGTAGAGCCTTATATATTTTTGTTGAGTCAAATGCGACAGTGCCCCACGGTCGGTTTCGGTTAGCCACTGACACGAACATATGGCACACTCGTGACATTTTTGCATTTAAGTTTTCCTTTGCATTTTGGTTTTGATATTAATTCCAATTCCATTAAAGACCCCATTTTCTGGTTTGATATCTCCATCGAATAAGACCACAAAATGTTGCAGTTTTTAAGGGGGAAGGTGAACTCATGGAAATTCTATGCATTTATTGAGTACACAATAAAGTTTGGTGTGGAAGTGTACATAGGTACGTACGTATGTATGTATCTGATCCGTATCGTGCTTGACATTTACAGAAATTAAAGACATTTTGTTTCAATTGGGGGACATTTTAAAATTGTATAAATTTATTCAATATACAATATATAGTGTATAAATGTGTGTGGTTGCTGTTGTGTGTGTTGTTTTGTTTCGTTTTGTTTTGTTGTGAGGGTGTGCTAGAAAAAAGCAAATGCATACGCCGCATAGTATGCTATTTCGGGGAATTAAGTCTTAGAGGCTAGGCAAAAAAAAAATGAAAAGAATATATATATGTATCTATATATATGTATATATATATACAAATATAGTTTTATCAATTGTCTTAAAAATAGTGTTTACCAAGTTAAGAAAAAAAAAAAGGAAAACCAACAAAAAAAATTCTAAATATATCGCATATAAATTTTCTTTTTTACGAATAACAAATCAAAATTTTAGGCTTAGACTTGGTTCGGTTTCAGTTCTTGTTTTGCCTTGGGATGTTCCCAACATCGATTGAGTTCTTCCTCTTCTTCTTATAAATGTTGCTAAGTGTTAGACCTTTCTATACAGAGACTCTTAAACTAAGGACTATAAGCTATTGATTGGTGTTAGTTCTCTTTTATTGTTACTGTTGCTGTTTCCATTGCTGTTGGCTATTTTGGTTTATTGTGGCAGCCAGATATTAATTAAACAAACGAATTTTTATTAGCAAATCGACAAATGAACGATTGAGAGATTAGGCATCTGTCTGGGGATGTACTATACCATATACCACTCGCTCGCTTTCTCTCTCACTCTCTCTCTCTCTCGTATAATCGAAATCCGTAACTAAATGAACACTTTCCAATAATGTTAACATTAAATTATGGTAAATCTCTATTCGATTTAACGCTACATTGCTTGTTTGTCGTTTGCTTGGTTTCTTGCGTGCTTGATTTGCTTGATTGATTGAATTATTGGATTGGCTTCTTGTTGCTTGTTTGTTGTTAGTTGTTATTCCTTTTTTTGCTTGGTTTTGTTTTGGTTGCCTTTGGCGCCTCTCTCAGTCTTCGTGGCAGTGTGGTGGTGTCCCACCACCTGCCCAATAAGCCCCCACACACAACATGTTGGCGAATGTGGTGTGTGTATAAATGATGTGTGTGTGTGTGGTGTGTTCGTTTAGTGTGTGTGTTTGTGTGTGGAATCTATCTGATGTTGGCAAACAAGTTAAGGACAGACTTGTTCTCCTTCTGGCTGCGCGCCTTGCTGAACACATTCCAGAAGCGCAGCGTCTCATCACCGGCGCCCGTGACAATGGCCTCGCCATCGGGACTGAGCGCCAGATAGAGCACACGGTACGAATGGCCAGTCAATTTGGCCACCTGCGTCAGCGAGGGGTACTTCCACACCAGTATCTGATTCTGGGAGTAGCCGTGCGTGGAGACCAGCTCCGAGGAGTGCTTGGACCAGGCTAGATTGCACACCTGTGATCCAGTGTCCACGCACTGCATGGGCTGGCCGGTCAGCGTGTTCCAGAATCGAATGCAACGATCGGCCGTCCCGCCGCCGCTGGCCAGCAGTCCGTGATGGTGCGGGGACCAGGCAATCGCCTTCACAGCGGCCATATGCTCCGTGTACGATTGCACGGGACTCACCGAGTGCTGGTTCCACACATACAGACGATTGTCGTTGCCGCCGCTGGCCAGGTACTGGTTATCGGGCGACCACTTGAGGCCGCACACCTCCTGACGATGGCCGGCCAGGCGGCGCTCGGACTGGAGCTGTGGTGTGCGTGTGTCGCGTTGGATGATCCAACGGTCGCGCGATCCGCTCGACAGTATGTCACTGTTCCAGGCCAAAGCGCCCACACGGGCCGAGTGGCCATTGAGTTTGTTGATCTGCTTATTGGCGGCCACATCCCAAACGGTCACATAGCCATGATGTGTGCCCACGGCTACTGTGTTGCCGCGCTCGTTCCACGACACCGAGGTCACGGTGTTCGAATCCGGACTGAGATCACACAGGCGAGTCACCTAAGGAAGGAAAAATTAAAGCACATTAGTGGGACTCCAATTTGGAGGTTTGCTTCAAGGACTCACCTGACTGGTGCAGGCACTCCATAGATAGACACAGCTGCCCAGGCCCACGGCAAGGACATTCTGCGAGGACCAATCGACCAGATTCAAATAGAAATCATCCTGGAGCTCCGGTGCGTCGAGCACCTTGAATGGAATGCGAGAGATCTTGCGTGTGGCCTTCCGGGGCGAACGCAGTAGCTTCTGGCTCTTGGCGCTCACCGGCGACAACGAGTACGGGCATTCGCCATTGTAATCCTGCAAAACAAGAGAGAGAGAGAGAGAGAGTGGGTGAGTGTTTTTCTTTTGCGGTGATCTTTCTTTCATCAACGTATTGTCGTTCCAGTTGCAGTCGCCCGATAAATTGCCAAAGCAAATTTGTATCAATTTCGTATCTACGGACCATGGTAAAAAAAAGGTAGTCGCTGATTTTGTTTGCTTCGAGCGTACTTGGGGCGACAATTAACGCCTCGGTGCTAAAAGCTACGACCGCGGCTGCCCCTCCCTCACCCCTTTTACTGCCTCGCAGATTCCACAAGCAACGAAAACTATTACTAACTGGCATTTCAATTTACATTTGGCACGCATTTCAATTCCGTGCCCTTCCACACTTGGGAGCCACTCTTTACAATTTCATTTCATTTATTTGTTGTGTGTTTGCATAGAAAATGCGAGCAGAATGTGTGTTAAGCGTATGCCCAGGCCTAGGCCTATGCCTATGCGTATTTTTGCCCTTTTCCCCCCACCTTCACATTCCAGCAACAGCAGCAGCAAAAGGCGCGCGACCATTTACTTTACGCAATTCTCGCATTTAAAATGCGTGAGAGCTAGAGAGAAGAGGGGGGCACAGACAACACGCACTCTAAAGCTAAATTGTGCGTGTTTGGCGAATGCAATACAGAGAGAAAGAAGATGTCAGATGGAAGAAGAGCTTGCTGTTGTTATTGTACTTGTGGCTTAACTGTAAATACATAGAATGCAATCTACGTATGTATGTATGTATACTCCAAGAGAAAGAGCGAGTGTTGACTAGCAATAGGAGGGGGGGTAAAACAGTTACGAGTACGAGAGTAAAGAGAAGTTTTGCGGTTCTCGGGTGGAAGTAGGTGGCAGTGGAAGGAAAAGAAGAAGGTTAGAGCAATATTTGGAACACTTGGTGCTATGATCAGTGGAGTGGTAGTAGGGAGTAGCAGGAACAGTCAGTGCTCTGATTAGTGAGTGGAAGTAGTGAGTGAGAGGATCAGTTAGATTTAGAGTTCATGAGTGAAAGCTTCCTATTGCTTCCAGTTAATAGTTCAGAGAATGGAACTGGGAGATACGAAAACAGCTCTTAGCAAAGAAAGAGCGAGTAGCAGCACCAGTTGATTATATAGTTAGTGAGTGGAAAAAGGTAAGAGAAAGAAAGGCACATTGAGTGCAGTGATTATTGAGTGGAAGTGGTAGGAAAACTTAGAGCAATTGCATGACGTGCGGTAAATGAGTGTTTTTGAGTGAAAGGTATCCTAGCAAAGTTATTGAGAACGAAGCTCACTTAGCATAAAAACCACACATATTATATTCAACTTTTTATTATTTAAAACACCTCCACATTTTTGCTTAGCTTGCTAGTTGGATCCAAAACTTGTAGATAGTTTCCACATACAGCCCACACGCCAGCAGAAAACTAGTTACATTTTGTTCCCCTTTTCTATAGAACTCTCTATCGCTTACATCATCTACCCTTTCATTCCATCCATTCCATCCATCATTCGAGTCTGAATCATTTCAAATAGCATTTGTCATTGTGGGTTTGGTCAGGTTCCACGCCTTTCACGATTCCGTTCTCCGATAAAAGAGAGCAAACATCCCGACAAACACAAGTACCCCCCACCCGCCTCATTCCACTCTGTTTCCCAAAATACACTGTTTTTCCCCACCCCAAAAAAGATAAGCAAAAACATGAGGGAGCTTTGACCTGTTTGGCTGAAGAGGTGACCAACGTCTTATACCACATGCCACATGCCCCATCCCATACCATCTATCCAGTCCAAGTGGATTGGAGTACAGACGTCATGCCAAGGCTCTAAATTCGTTTAACAAATTAAAATTTAATTCAATTAACATTTGGCAGAGAGACGGACGGAGGAAAAGAGAACCACAGATGAGACAAACAGAAACTTAATTACATTTTTTTTTGTTTTGTCTTTTTTTTCCAGAGAGACTTCGTGCGTGTGTGGAGAGCCCTTTAAATCGTCTCACTTTACACTTTAAAAAAACCACAAAAATACACAAAAACACATAATGGAAAGGAATGCTTTTAGATACCCTTTCCCATTCATTAGATGGCTTTGCTAATAGCAGATCAAACGGTTGATAGAAACTGCTAGACTGTGTCGTTTGATAAGACTTGCTCCAAAGAATACCCTTCCCCTCTGAACAGCAATTCACTGTTGTAGGAGAAGAGGAGAAGAAGGAGAAGAAGCCTCACACATCTCTATCATTTAATAAAGCCTAGGAATATCATTAACAAAGCTCAACAGATTCTCTTTTTTATAATCGAAAATATATATACACAAAAAACCCATAACACCCATATGTTCCTAAAGGGTATATTTGTGTGTACATATATATACTTATGTACATAGATATTTAATGGCTCTCTTTTTGGCCTTTGTGCTTCCATTTATCTGGGGAATGTTACACACTGAAAAGCAGTTAAAATAGCTGCGTGCTCCTCCTTCTCTCCTTCTCCCATAAAGCGTACAAGCAACTGCCATTAAATTTAAATGTTTTTCGATGCCACCGAAAACCGAGTGGAGACGGGGGGGACTGGAACTGAACTGGACTGGACTGGACTGGACGGGGCTGGACTGTTGGTAAGCCTATTAGAAATTCAATTGTTAAAACGCGTAAAGCTTAAGTACACGCGGGGGGGGCGAAAGTGAAGAACGGGGGATATACAGACATTTGTGTGGTAGTAGCAACCTCTCTGACAAATGGCAAAAGGAAATCCAAAAGCTTGTACCTGATTAAAATCTCTTGCAAAACATTTCCACACACAACTCCAATTTTTGGATGCCCTTTTCAGCTTACACACACACACACTACATACAGAGAAAAAAGAGCTGAGACTTAAATATTTATTTAATTTTAAATTTATATTAATAGATTTACCCCGAGAGTGAAAAATGTAACTAAATATTTCATGCAAACTTATTCTAATATATTTATTTTGAAGTGCTATATACTTATTAAAATTAATTATGGGCCTCTTTAAAAATATTTACTTTTTTGATAAGACAGACGTTTCTTTCAAAAACATACTGAAAATATATATGAATATATTTGTGATATTCTGCCGAAAGTAGCAGTAAATTTTCAAGGGTATCTAATGCTTCGACCCTTAAAAATCTAATGAGAATTTTTCCTCTGGCCCTCACGCATTTCTTCTCTCTTCTTTGTAGGCCTTTTTTCGTGCTATGTATTTATGTTTTTGTGTGGGGTTTTTTACCCCCTCTATTTTTTGTGATTCGTTCTCTTATTTCTACTTCTACCACAACTTACCCCCTCTCTCTCTCTATCTCTGATAGCTAACAGAGGTGGGTACTGTACTTTACGGTGCACTCAAGTACAAACCTCATTCATTCATTCATTCAAACAAAACATTCAAATTTTTTAGCTTGCCGGCCGGCATTTGTTTTTAATTTTTTTGTGTCTCCTCATAAACTCTCTTTTCGGTTCGGTTATACCCCTCTTTTATTTGTCGTCTCGCAGAAGGATTGTATGATTTCGATGCACAGAATGGTATACATTTTTAACCCAAATAAATGTATCTGATTATGGGATTAGCATTAACATCTAAAAACAAGTTTGCATACGAATTTAATATCACCACAGCCCTATTTTCCTTTCGCTTAGGGAAAATTTACGGTATGTACAGCGAATCAAGCGATTTGTGTGCGCTTCGTGTACCCAATGCATTTATAACCAAAAGATCTGTTCAGGGGTATCAAACGCTGCGTTGCCAGAGACACCTCTACAAGCCTTTCTCTCTTTCTGGTTGTTGTTTCTGTGGGTCTGTGGGCGGCGCTTGGAGCACAAGCTTATAAATTAAACAAATAAACAACCAACCAGCGCAGATCCGAGAACAGTACGAGAAGACGGACTGGGGAGCTGGTAGAGAGAAACCCAACCAATGTGAATGAAAAAACCGTGAATCCACAAACAGACAGACAGAGAGTGAGGGAGAGACAGAGAGAGATGAGAGCGGTGGCTATGTTAAAGGTAATGTGAACCTGTCGCGATCTCGGACCAACTTAATCACTGGGCCAGCACCGCCAGAGATAGAGCCACCAGCAACAGCAGCAAGCACAACCACGAAAATAGTCATCGTTAATGCGATGTTAATGCAAATGTCTGCTGCATAAATTAATAATTATAATAAAAAAATTCAACAAACAATAAAAACGAACAGATTTTTGTTGGTTTTTTTGTTTTGTTTTTTTTTTTGGGCCCATGTGGAGAGTGGTTTTTCTATAATTCTCTTAATGGCTATTCGAAATGGTCGGACACGACACATAAAGAATGGTGGGGCAATGAACAGGTGCACGAAATAATCGGGCGAGACGTGCGGATGGTATTTTTATATTTTATTTTAGTTCAAGCTCAGAATGGTTGTTGGATCGTGCAGAACCGTGAGTGAAGATTAAAAAGAAATAAGCTATGGAATTCTTAGAAAAACAAAGAGATCAGGATACGTTTGGAGACAAGCTAGCAAAGTTCGCTCACCAATAAATCTTCAAAAATGGAAAAAAAAAAAATATATATAAATTTGAGATCGCATACAGCAGCGTCCATTGGTCCATTTTTTTCTGTATGGATTTCAAAGGGGTTTCGATTTTGAAATACACTTGTAGCAGTGTGATATCACATGAGTCTGGAGACAAAATTTGGTTGCTCTAGCTCTTATAGTCCCTGAGCTCTATGCGACAGACAGACATGAATATATATACTTTATAGGGTTGGAAACGCCGGGTATAAAAAAATGACAGATCGCTTACACCACAAATACATACAAGTATCAATGTAAGCATTCATAATTGGATTGATATAATAATTTAATATGATACATCTAAAGCCATCTATCATATTCAATTAGATTCCGATAATGAATGTATTCCATCTTAGAACACGCCCCCAAAATGCCCAGAGAATAGCAATATTTAAAATTCTCGATGAATCCCCAAAAGTCCAAGCCCAAGTCCAATCCTCAATGGCCAATCCCCCAGGTCCAATCAAAACAATAGCAAATGTCCAAAAAAGTGTTGAGACCATTTATTTTTTCGTGGCCAACTACTGTTGTGGGGGCCTCGTGACGGTACGTGTGGCAGAGAAATGGTGGTGTTGGTTGTGTGCCCCCCCAACCGACAAACAGACAGACAACCGACCATTATTTATGACAATAACATTGCGACCGCACATAATTGAATTACATATTATTTGTTATGACTCTTATGAGAGGCAGGAAGGCCCCCGCAACACCCGCCACAGCCGCATGGGGTTGAGTATATTGGGGTGTGGCCCCCGGAGATGGATAGATAGATAGATATATTCGTGTTAATTGTGTGGGCGTGATGTAGATGAATGGCCAAAGATTTCAATGACTGAATGGAGTGAGTGATTGTGGCCCAAAAGCCATCGAAATCATTCGACAGTTGCCAAACATTTGACCACAAAAAAAAAAACCAAACAAAAAATAGAAACCAAAGCAACGGAAACCTCTCTTAGCCCCCTACTCCTCTCTCTCCAGCTTCTTCCATTCCATTTGGCATCCATTCGGGTTAAACGAGTACACCGCCACCGCCGCCGCCACACAGATCTCCACAGCTATTGACTCAAGTGTCGTTTTAGACCACTGAAGTAGTAGTTGAAGTTGATGCTGGTGGATGATGGTGGAATGCCATCGGCTACACATCTTCGCTACGGTCCGGTTCAATTTGATTCCATGTATACCCTCCCTTTCATTGCCATCAGATATCATGGGGAGCTAACGAAGTCTCTTTCCATGATAATGAACTGACCGATGGGCACTGCTGCATGACACCTGATATGTAATCTTCACTTTTCCCCACTACTTAAAGATCTATTTGAATTAAAATGTATTAAAAAATTCAATGAAACTCATTTAATGGCAGATTTCTTTACCCTTAAATATTTATCTATAGCTATATCTCTTGCATATCCTGATGATATACCCTCCCCACACACACACAGAGAGAGAGTATTTCTAAGTTTTTTTACGTGTGTGCTCCACGCTTTTGTCTTTCATTTAATTTCTCACTTATTTGTTTTGCATTCAGCGGGGAATGCTCTTATTGTTGTTTTTTAGGTGGCGGCTGCTTCTGCTGTCATCCGGCAACGTGTCAACTGTCAGAAATTAGTCAAAGCAAAAGAGAGAACAAGGGCGCAGGGCAAGACAGAGAGACAGCCTAAGCAAATGGTCAGCGCAATTGAAGAAACATAAATCTGTTAAGCGGGCAAATATGTCAGGCTTTCAGTCAAAATAATTACGAATAATGTTGATGATGACCCGAATCTACAAGACGAGTGGCAACAGTTTTCTTTTGTTTTTTTTTCTTTTTGGGGTATTTCATTTTGGACCCTTGAACACTTGAACAATCAGTCCATAGATGGGAACCGACTGCGAACAATGGAAACGGCTGTGGCAATATACACACATCAGAAATAGATAGATAGATATATCTATCTGTCTGTCTGTCGTGTCTTTCTGTCTGTCCGTAAAGATACCAAAGAGAGCAGCAGGCAACTGGCAGCAGCATCACGCACATTGAAATCAAAGTGTGTTAACCTCGAGGTTTCAGTTTTGGTTGAACAACTTTTCCCTCGGACTCTGGTCTTGGCTGGCTTAGGCCTAGGCCAAAAGTAAAACAATTTTCAGCTAAAAACCGGTTACCGGTCTGCAGTCTATCCCCATGGGTATGGGAATCCATTCCATAATCAATAGAAACTATATATGAGCGACGGCGAGACGAAGACCTGTTGTCCCACACTTGTGGCTGAAGAAAAGGCTTTTCCAGCAATGCAATGAAAAATTTCCAAAAGAAAAGCACTGAAGGAAATGGAAGAGAGAGGAAAAATCGAATTTTCACAAGGAGGTACATGGAGCAGTACAGGAATGCAGGCCACGGAGACACGAGGCTCTACTTGAATTGAGATTGAGACCTTAGATACGTGCAGAAACTTTCAAAGAGACAGACATTGAGCGGGAGGAGTGCCCAACAAACGAGAGCTAACCGATGGGCGCTGCCGCATGACATCCAAACTGAAAGAGAACTTGGACAAGGCTTAACCCGGAGCTTTTAAAGAGGAGCTAAGAAAAAAAATGGGGAGGTTTGAGAGCATAGGGAATTGTAAAAAAAAGAGACTAGACGAGACAGCGAGAGAAAGCTTTCAAGCAGGATTCCACAGAGATAGAAATACAGAGACTTGGAAGCAGCAATGATGCCAGGCAAATCTTTGCTTTCGGTTCATTCAACTTTAGAGTCTGGGAAAAATTAGAGCCGACAGACGAAACCGACCACCAGACACCGGAGAGCGGGCCATTGGTCACCCCAATTAGCACCGACTGCAAATTCAATTAAATGCATTCTGCGATCGCCACAGATACACAGATACAGATACAATACACCGCCAATCAAGAGACACGACACGAGAGCTGCCTCACAAAGAGTTCGGGGTTCAAGTTTAGTTCATGAGTTCATTGGGGATCATGGGAAATGGGGGAAGGGACGGCGACGGATGGGGCAGCGCTGCGGCGACTCACCTGCTTTGTGGGGGATTGATATTTGAAGAGACTTCGCTTTGCTGCTGGTGTATAGGCATTTTCGTTGCGCTCCTCGCCGGCGGTCTTCACATCATCTATGGCCGTGCCAAGGAGCTCGTTCTTCAAGAGGCACGAATAGGCCAGACTATCGCGTGCCGTCTCCCCACAGTCCCGCTGCTTCTTGCTCGTCTGTGGTGAGTTATCATTCGACTTGTTGATCGACGCAAAGTTTGTCTGCCAATTGTTGTTGGCCCTGCAGCGCACACGAGAGGAGAAAAGAAATATATAAAAAAAAAACACGAATTAAATTAAAATGTTAATTGGATAAAGAATTAATTGTATTCATATGGTGATACGTTGCGAGAGCGGCTAAGGCTAGACAATGGCAAAAGAACAAGAAATTCCAGACAGATACTACCCATTTTTAGTAAAATCTTACTTTGATATTTATTTAAGGATATCATCTTAATGTCTCAATTTAGTTCTCATATACATTCATCGAATGATGCGAACAAATTTCCCATAAGCGATCTATCCTATTTATCTATCTATCCACATATTTATCTATCCATCTATATATTATTTATCTATCTATTAATCCATGATCTATTTTCTATCATCTATCATATATCTGCCTGTATATCATATAGCATCTATTCAATTCCAACGCAATTCCTCAAATCGAGTGTAAATTTCAAGTAAAACAAACATAAAACTGACCTTTCTATACATATATCATAAATATTTATTTATAGCACCATATACATATTCACCATAGTTACGTTATTTATTATTACAACTGCTTTTATTTACTTTGCCAACGACATCAAAGACACATAATATTTGTGGGATTGTAACTGCCAATCTGTCGGTCGGTCAAGGGGGGGGATATGTGCATATGGGATATCACAGATATTGAGCTGAACGAAGCGTGGAAACCTTCGTTTCACTTTGCAGCGAAAATATTTCAATCCCGGCCCCCCTCCAACCAGACAGCAGTAAATAATTTTATGCAAACGCGTTCAAATTCCACTCCACTCTGGAAGCGTATTGTTATTATTTTTTGTTTAGCCCATAAAAAAACATAAAAAACGTGTGCAACGTGCAAACAAAATTATTGACGGTCAAATTGTGCAAAATTCGCACAAAACAAAAAACATTTCGCAAAAATAGCAACAACAACAAATAGCGTTAATAATTTGCCATGAAATTTTTGGCCAAGTGTGAGAGAATTCTAACCCATTGTCCCCCAAGTTCCAGACTCAGCACCAGCCCCAGCCCCACCCCACGGATTGCATTGCACTCTTCGTGTTGAAAAACTGTTTACGAATGCAATAAGCGTCGGTCTCCCTCCGTTTTTGATTATCTGACAAACGCATTTCAAGTGTTCACTTCCACCTCAAATAAATCAAATTTCATGAACGGATGAGCGGATGAGCAGCAGCAGTGGCACTCACAGGAGGGAGGAGGTGGAAGGTTTGTACGTACCGGATGGCAGGGTCGAATGACAATTCCATTAAAACGGAAAAGCTTAAGCGGGGGCAACGTTGTAGCGAGATTAGATTAGGTCTCGATACTTCCCAGCAGTAAAAGAAAGTTTTTACATTAGGAGAAACTAGTTATAGATCCTTCTAGCATAAATAGACTTTTAGCTTTTACTTAGCGAGATATTAAACCTAGCTGCCAAGACTATAAGATATATCCCATGCACAGAGGGAAATGCTGATCAAAGAGCCAAACTCTTGAACCTTAATTGTATGGACGTGCATGTAAAAGCAGACGAAAACCCAAAACTTGACCTTCAAGGCGGAACAGATGAAAGGTGGGGGAAAACACTAATTACATTTTTCAAGAAAAACAAAAAACAAAACTTTGACATTCGTTTCAACAAATTAACAAATGTGAGTTACGACGAAAGTTGTTACGATGCACGGAGGCTTCTCTTCCAGCGAACTCTCTTGCCACTGCCATCTCGCTCTCTCTTTCTCTCTCTATCATTCCTCATCTCTCGTTCTTCCACCAAAAAATACAAAGTTTGCTTCACTAAAAGCCAAAGTTCAGATTTCCTTGCTTCCCAAGAAGTTGAATATTTTTGTTATTGTTAGAACAATGCTCTCTGCGTTCGTTCTCCATTCGCTTCGCTTCTCTTCTGCTCTGCTCTGCTCTTCTCTCTACGTGGAACTCATTAGCCAGTGTAAGAGAGAGGAGAGACCTGCTGTTTTTTTTTTTTTGCTGTTGTTTTTTATGGGCGGACAGAGAGTCACCGTTATAGCCCCAACGAGGCGCAGCGAGGCGGGAAATTCATAGTGCAACCATATACGGTGGTGCCCCTACCCCACCTTCTCTTCCTTCAGCAGTGTTTGTTCTTTTAATTGGAATACACTTTGATTTTAAAACTAACATTCACTTTTATGAGGCACCTGAAACAAGGAGAGGGTGAGCGCACCCTGTTCTTCTTACTCCACAGACTATAACCTATACTACCTATCCTACCAAAAACATATTCAAATTTATTGATAAAATATCGTTTAAGTCTATGGGAACCTTTTTTTGTGCGACAAAACTTAGTTTTTTCCAAAGATACTTCAATCAAAATAGTTCAGTTCTAGGGATCTCTAGTTATTTGATTAGAATTGGATCTGCCAGCAGATCGCAACGATCGGTCAGGGTATCGAACGCTTCGGTGACTAGAAGTTTGAATTATTCTCTCACGTTTTTCTGTATAAAATTTCAAAGCGGAAAACATGACGTAGCAGAACGAATAACGGGCTCAAAGACTGCAAGAGTTCATTGAGCTCTCTCACTGATTTTCTCGCTCTCTCTCTTTTGTTTTCACTCTATTAAATCACTCACTTACTTTTCCACTCAATCTCCTATTTACTCACTCACTCTCCTAATCATTCAAACCATGTCCTATTCGCTCACTTTGCTCTCACTTACCTGCAGGGTATGAAACGATCCAGCGATGTTGGTGTTGTCGACGATTCCAAATTATCAAATAGATTACGTGCCACCGGACTGCAGTGCTTCAGGATGCGCTTCTCATATTCCGGACTAAACATCTTTACGCCTCAGATCTCTGGGCCTCCTCGTGTCGTCTTATGGTTGGGGGTATTTTTGTGTGCAAACAAAAAATGTAACGCAAAAATATAACCAACGCAAATACAAAAATTGGGATGCAAAAATTAAACGAAATTCTCCAAGTAGATCGATTGGTAACAAAATAAATCGCTTGTTTGATGCGAGGATGATTTCCTTTTGGTTTGAGATCCAAGAATTAATGGTAAAAAATATATATACGTAGATGGAAGCTGCAAAAGAAAGGAAAGAAGACGGAGGGGAAGATAGATAATTAATTTGAATAGTTCTTTTGTGGCTTTCGAATTTGAATAAAATTGTAATTTATTTTTGTTGGTGTTTGGTTCGACGACAGTTTGGGCCTGTTGTTGGGCCATTAATCAACGTCTGGATTGTCTGGATTCCAGTCGCGATTCTGTTTGGCATGGATAATCCAGTCAGGCAAAGGCAATTGCCTTTCTATTTTCTTGTTTTTTTTTTCCCCCCTCACTCACTCACTTCATGGGGGCGTATCAATCACGGACACAGCCCAAAGCCAGAACGCCAAAAGTTTCTACGTACGAAAAGAACTAAGAACCGAAAACAGTGGAGTTCTTCTGTTGGCTGTCATGTATTTTTGGATGGATCTTCTCGGTAGTGCGTTATGCATACGAAAAAATAGGCTTTCGACCCTTTTCGGCCCGCTAATTAGATCCGCCCCATCATATCACGAAGCCAGTCCCCTGCCCTGCCCTGCCCCCCCGTTTGTGGTGGTGGTGGTCAATGGCACGCGGCCACTATGGGTTGCATCTATGTGGCGTGTCTAGACCTAATTAATTTATGGGCGTTAAGTGTTGCTTGTTTGCGGCATGGGATTGCCGACGGGTGGGTGGGGGGTGGTTGTTTCTGTTTGGGTGAAACTTACTCAGCTTAGACACTTCCGCATTGGGTCTCCCTTTCTCTTTATTTCTCTACTTCACTTTGTAGTTGATTATTTTACACAATTTCCTCCTTCTTCGGTTTCCTTCAGTTTCATAGAAAATATATAATACTATTTGGAAGTATGACGTGACTGTTTCGGGTGAGCAACGATCTTAAACTGATTTGAAAATATAGACACAGTCTACTCAAAAGCAGCGTCTAAGGCAGCTATGACTAAGCCGGGGTTTCAATTACAAACATTTTTCGGTTTTTTGGTTTGGGTTTGAGTTCGAGTTTCCCGTCAAAAGGGGCAGATAAGGTTATTGATTCGCAGGTACCACCACCAACCACCCTCCGAAGTGGCAGGTACCCAGCACCAGTCACACGGGGCACCCAAAAGGCACGACTGATAACGCTGGTAAACATTTGTGACTCAAGTCCCGCAGAGTAGAGAATATTTATATTTTTAAGCATGTACGAACATGTCGCACACACACGGGACCCCACTCTGATAAGGAATTTGGGTGCCGCTTCGTTGGAAGCCCCGAGCTTCAACTGTAAATGCAAGGGGAAACGTGTGAAAGTTCATGATTAGTGGTATGCATGTAGTTCCGCTAACCCGCTCTCTTGGAAGTTGATCGAATGTCAAAATTCATCGGAAAAAAATCACCCACCCGCATGGACTGCCTCTTGCCTCATGGTTAATCTTTTCACTCACTCTCGCCGCCACGTTACTACTCCTCCTCTCTCCTGCACGCCCTCTGCACTCTCTCTCTTTGAGGCTCTGCTCATTTAGGGTTCAATGCACACACAAACACACACACACACATAGGCATACGCTCTGTATCTCTCGCTGTCTGACACTAGACAAATGTTTTCTTTCTCCATCGATCAAGGACAATGAACCTTGGGTCTCTCTTTCTTGCAGCCATAATCAAACGATCCCAAAGCAACGGCACTCTCCTCATGTTTGTACTATTTTTAGTCCATGACTTGGAAAAGATTCATCAATAATCGAGCGCTGCTGTGGCGGCTGCTGCTGTTGTTTATGCCACATATACAAATACATACATACATTTGTATATATGTATATACTTACGCAGAAGGTCAACACACAAGTCGCCAAGAAGAGTGGAGTGCGGGTAGAGTGATAATTCTCCAAAATGGAGCTCTGTGGGAGCCAGAAGACGACTATAAATATCGTACAAAAGGCGGTGGGAATGCGGTTATACCTCCATCCGTTATGTGGTTGGTTCTTGTTCCTGTTCCACCTTATCAGCAGCAGAGGCATGACCATGTGCAAAGTGTGATAAGAAAGAGGGCCACAGACAACAGCAAGGCAGTGCAGTGCATGGCAGACGGCCCCTGCCACATCACTAACCCAGAGAGACAGAGAGAGTGAGCCAGAAGGGAGAGCAGAGGCAGGAGCCAAGTTATAACTAATTTAAAGGTAAAGCAGTACAACAGGAGCTTGCTTCTTTCATAAACATGTGACATAAAAGGAGCAAGGATTGCCGGACTGCCTTACCATTATTAGTAGGTATGTACATAAATATATACCACAGCAGGAGCCAGAGAATCCATATCCTGAGAGAAAGAGGGTGTGTGGTGTGGCGTGTGTATGTGTGTGTGTTGGTGAGAAACAAATAATCGATGGTTTTGCGCCCCCAAAAATGCATGACCAATAGCAAATTATGTCAAGGACATCACTTACACACACACACAAACACGCACACCGAGGGAGGGAAGAACACACATTAACTGGGATACACACAAGGCCCAAATGCAAATGCTTTGGCTAAATATTTAATTTAACAATTTGCAGCAATTGCTAGTAATACTATTATTTGTTGTTGCTTTTCCTATTGTGCATGTACAAACGCACAGACAAACAGATAGATAGACAGAGAGAGCGTCGTGGTAACAACGGCAGCTACAACTGCGACCCGCGACACATGCTTGCCTGCTCGCACACAATGTAGTGGTACAGCTAGGGTAATAGTGCATGCCGTAAAGAGAGGAAAAACACAGTTACGTTACCCATGTGCCAGACCTAACAGTGAACTGTGTTTAGTTCTCTCGTTCTCTTTCTCTCTCTCACACACTAAATGCAATAATCTTCACTTCTTTTGGGGGATCATTCTATTGTTGTATCACACACCAAACAAACACACACTATTTTCCAATAACTTTTCGCGGCAAACACACTAAAAACGGTTAAGTTTGATTTCCATAGTCGCTTAGAGACAGCTTGTCTCTGCACTCAGAACCGAAGAAGTTTTTCCTTAGCGTTTGTATGGTTTGATGCTGCTTGTGCATTGCCGGCTATTCTATTCACAGTTGCAGCAAACCCCCTATATTGTTGTTACGACGACAAGGCACTTCACGACTTACAATTTATTTTGTTATGCTGGTTGTCTCAGCATCTGCGGCTAGGTGCGCGTTTTTACAAATAATTTTTACGCAAGCTAGGGATGCAGTGTGACCGCGCCGATAACGCTACAAAATACCATCCGGGCAAAAAATAAATACCATTAAATACCATTTCAGTTTCGAGAAATATCAGTCCATAAAAAAACCAGGGTAATATGGCGATCAATCGAGACTTAACCCACTTAACACCCCTCTATTTAAAAAGTTAAGCACCCTTTGTTAAACCGGGGAAAGCAATGCTGTTTGTAAAGGATCCTTGTAGCTCCATCCTCCCCTTTACTTACAAAACAAAAATGACCACCGACATCATTCACCTTTAATGCGTAAAATATGTTAAAGTTACATAAATTTTCCAATGGATGTATTGAAATTACAAACAATATCTCAGGTCCATAATATCCATTTTTGCAAGGTATTCAGATTTGTTGCTCATTTCGTTCCAAAGTTGCAGAACAATCCTGCTAATTCATTTCCCCATGTTGCTGAAATCTTACCACGAAAAAGAGGGGGATTCACCCAAAAAAGCGCTCTCTTCACCTCGAAAAAGAGGACAAATTTTTAAAAACCACCACGATTTTATCACGAACGAATAAAGTGACCAAGTCGAAAGAAGTTGTTTAAAAATACCAGTATATACCATGATAACATGAAATACTTTTTGCTAAATTTTGGCATCAAAAAATACCATAAAATATTTAAAGTATATTGAAGTATATTGAAAATGATAAGGTAAATTTCTGAGGGTCTGACGGTATTTTTTGTCAATAAATCCGCGATCACACCTAAATACAGTACAGATCCGAAAAAGAATTTAAACAAAACGAGTAAAAAACTCCAATACCCCTTTCCGCAGAGAGTCACAGCCTAGTAGACGATGTTATAGAGATATGGCAAGCGCAGTTGTGGTGCTCGACAATGGAGCACACACAGCCAAGGTGGGCTTGGCCAACCAGGAGGAGCCGCGCGTAGTCCCGAATTGCGTTATGAAGGCTAAGAGCGAGCGACGGCGGGCTTTTGTGGGCAATCAGATTGACGATTGCCGCGATACCTCGGCCCTGTTCTACATCCTGGCCTTTCAGCGCGGCTATCTGCTCAACTGGGACACACAGAAGACCGTGTGGGACTACATCTTCAGCAAGGAGGGCATCGGATGCACTCTGGACAATCGGAACATAGTCATAACGGAGCCGCAGATGAACTTCCCCAGCGTGCAGGAGGCAATGTTGGAAATGCTCTTCGAGCAGTATCGCGTAGCCGGCATGTACAAGACGACGGCAGCCGATCTGGCGGCCTTTAACTATGTCGCCGACAGCGAGGAGCGCACCACGATGCAGACCCTCAACTGCATTATCATTGATGTGGGCTACAGTTTCACCCACATTGTGCCCTTTGTACTGGGCAGGCGGGTGCTCGAGGGCATTCGTCGCATCGACATGGGTGGCAAGGCGCTGACCAATCACCTGAAGGAGCTCATCTCCTACAGGCAGCTGAACATGATGGACGAGAGTCACGTGGTGAACCAGATCAAGGAGGATGTCTGCTATGTGGCAGAGGACTTCAAAGAGGAAATGCGGGTGCATCAGTGCGAGAAGAAGCGCAAGGAAGTGGCCGTCGACTATGTCCTGCCCGACTTTACGACCATCAAGCGTGGCTATGTCCGGATCCCGGGGCGGCCCCGCATGGACGAGGCAACAATGCAGACAGTGCCGTTGTGCAACGAACGCTTCACCGTGCCCGAGCTGCTCTTCAATCCATCGGACATTGGCATCCATCAGGTGGGCATACCGGAGGCAGTGGCCGATTGCCTCAAGGCCTGTCCCTGGCAGGCCCATCGGGAGCTCTTGCTCAACATCCTGATTGTGGGCGGCTGTGCTCAGCTTCCCGGCTTCCTGCCGCGCCTCAAAAAGGATCTGCGCGCCCTGGTGCCCGACGATCTGGAGGTGTCGCTTATTTGTCCCGAGGATCCAGTGCGCTATGCCTGGTACGGTGGCAGGGAGGTGGCCACCAGTCCAAATTTCGAAGAATTTGTCTACACGCGTGACGATTACGAAGAGTTTGGTGTCCATGGCCTGAATCAGCGATGAACGAAGGAGCTGCTCCATAACCCCACCCACCCTGAATCCACTTTGTGGATGCAATTAAGTTACGTGAGACAGATTTGTTCTAGAACATTCCTTGTTTGTGTATTCAACTAGGTGTCCGAGTCAAATAATGTGCAAAATAGGCGCGGGCCCCGCGAAGCAAACCAAAGCGGGCGCACTTATCGTTCAGATTGAACTATGTAATTCGCCTAGACATTGGATGATTGCCTAGAGCCTAAATCCTTTTATCAATATACAACTAAATTTGAACTACAGAGAACACAACTTAACTTTAGCATTCGTTTGCGAAAATAGATTTTACATCGAGTATACAGCCTGCCAACAGAAATGAGAGATGCTTGGGGCATGCTGGGGTAGGATCTGCATCTGATCTTCGTTAGGCATACGCTTTGGGGGGTGGGGCGGGGGGCTGCGAGGCGGGTGTTGCCGGCTCCAGAGCCAGAGTTTACATGCTGAACGACTCGCCACAGCCGCAGGTGCCCTTGATGTTCGGATTGTTGAACACAAACTCGCTGGACAGCTTCGACTCCACAAAGTCCATTTCAGTGCCTACAGGAATAAAGAAATGATTCACCGTTGGCGATTATATAACAATGTGTATATGATGGGACCACTTGCCTAGCAATGAGAGCTGCGCCTTCTTGTCAATGAATACCTTCACGCCGTCCTGGACCACCTCCTCGTCCAGTTTGTCTGCTGGCAAAATTCCGAAAAAACAGAATCTTAGTTCGTCGCTATGCTCGCGCTGTGGCTGTTGGCGGGGACTTACCTTTGCTGCTGGCATAGTCCAGGGTGTAGGAGAGGCCGTTGCAGCCGCGCTGTCGCACGCCCACCTTCAGGCCAATCTGCAGGAGAAAGGCTTTTAATTGATGGCATGATTTCGTTGTTGCGATTCACTTACAAAGTCTGGCTTGTCCTGCAGCAGGCTCTTAATGCGGTTCACTGCAGCCGGGGTCTGGAGGGGGGGAACGAAACGGTAAGCAATGGATAAATAACAACAAACGCTAGATAGCTGGCTAGCTGGCCGGACTGTTACTTCATCAGCACGCAGCACGAGCGTATTTCATCACGTTCCGGTTCGGTTCTTACCAGGGTCAGGGCCGCCCGCGTGGGTATCAATTTTCGTCCCTTTACGGCGCGCACCGTTGCCGTTGCCACCACACGTGTTGCCATTGCGTATTTGCTTTATATAATTTGTTTTTCTCCCTGAAATTCCAACGATTTGCGATTCGAAAAATATGTGATTGCGACTGTTTTGGTAGAGCTGACAGAAATTTCGATAATGTACAATGTACGTCACTATTGATTGTTGGAATAGTAGAACGATAGCTGCCAACCGATTTTTTTTCCAATTCAACCAAAAGTCGTGACAGAAACAGTGACTGTTTAATTTACTTTATCTGATTAAATTAGGACTAAAATTAGTGACTTTATATCGGCATAGTTCATGAATTTGTCTTAGTGTTGGTAGTTTGTTAACAGTGATAACGGAATATTAATATTTCAGAATATAAATTTATCGTTTTTCTGTTGCTGCGCTGCCAGTCACGGCTGTTAAATTTTCAAAGCATATAAATTTATTCCATCACTAGGTGGTGCTGTAACAGCTGTGCAAAAGTTCATCTCTAAATAGTGTATTTCGTGTACTTCTCTTTCAATTAATAATATTTTTTGGCAAAATGAGCACTTTCAGGCAGTTGTACAGACTTTCTGCTGGCTTGGGCCAGCGCGTGATACAAGTTACAACAAGAATAGCATTAAATGAGGCACGCACGCACAGGCAGTTGCAGTTGCAATTTCCCACTTCGAGACTGGCATCCACCACAACAGCTGATCCTGTTTGGACCGGCACGAAAAGATGCACGTGCAGTGGCACGCGACTCCTGAGCAGCAGCAGCAGTAGCAGCAAACCAGTCGTAAGTCTTGAAGATAAGCCCCCTCTCTTTGGAGAGCATTCATCTATATCATTGGTTGCGTACCTTTCAGAAAGATGCAGGAGACAACAAGGCTACCAACAGCATTCCCCTGGGCGAGCTGCAAACGAAAATGCAGCTCATTTACACCTGCAAGATCTGCCAGACGCGCAACATGAAGACCATTTCAAAGGTTGCCTATCAGCGCGGCGTCGTGATCGTGACGTGCGAGGGCTGTGCCAATCATCACCTGATAGCCGACAATCTGAATTGGTTCACGGATCTGAACGGCAAGCGTAATATTGAGGAGATTCTGGCCGAAAAAGGCGAGAAGGTGATCAAAATGGTTGACGGAAACTGCGAATTTCTGCCCAATCCCGATTCCGAACACAATAAACCAAAACCGAATCCTTAACTGTACACAAAAGCAACTTTATTGAGGAGCTCCATCAGCTGGCTGGTCATGGCATGTGGTCGCAATTGCAGATAGAATTGCTCGCGGCAGGGCGATCGTGGCGTCAGCAGGAGGTGGGTGAGAAATGTCACTTCGTCTAGTGGCAGCGGCGGGCAGGCGCCGACCGGGGGTGGAGCATCGGCCGTGATTTGCATGTCGTCCAGGTCCAAGTAGGGCATGTGGCGATTCCAGTACCCAATCAAGTAGGCAATGAGGCTACCGGGCAGACGGGCATGGTCCAGACAGGCCCAGAATCGCAACTCATTGGCTGGGTTCGCCACAAAGAGGTACATGTTGTGCAGGAAGCCACAGCAGGGGCCAGTCTGGGCCTCGCCCTCGGCCAGCATATCACAGATCATGTGGCGCAGCAGATGGCAGTCCGAGTGTATGTTGCTCTGCCGTGGCTCACGGAATAGACACAGCCACACACTGAAGCCGACCAGCTCTAGGGCACGGTGCAGGGCAGTTTCCATTTTCTGCAGCGTGGACAGACGACAGATGCGCTTAACCAGGCGACGCATTTGCAGGAGATCAGTGCTGACCATTTGCGCAGGGTCGAATGCAGCCGGCTGACGCATTGCTGCCCAGTCCAGCTCCTTGATGACGCTCCACGCCGGTTGCACGTCCGCAAACGGCTTGTGCATCAAGTGCAGCAATGCGGCATGTGACTCGCCCTTTCTTGTCTTTACTATGCTGGCACACAGCTCCTTGATGCTCTGTTTGCGTTCCGCCAGTGTGGAGCATGTGGCGTAGAAACTTTGGGAGTTGCAGCGCTCCGCGAGAGCCTCACCGAAGCGGTCATGGCACTCGAACAGGTACATGGTGGCCTTCATTATTGATTCGATTAGATTTGGCGTCAGCTTGAGGAGCTTCTGTTGTGATTGGATCTCCACCTGGCAGTCCAGCAGCCAGTCCAGTAGTTTGATGCAGTGCGGGGCGACATTTTCGAGGCTTGTGCCAGCATTGAGGATCAGCTCCTTTCTAATAAACGCATCCATGCCCAGTCAACGCCAGCGGCACCATTTTTTAAACCAAGAATTTGTTGATATTTTAATTTTGGCGCTGCCAACTCATTTTCAAGAAGATATCGGCTAGATCGATATCCTGCTGCCTGCTTGAAATCGAATTCACTCCCATCGTTTGCTGTTTTTCGTTGCTATATTAAATTAAATTCATTAATGAGATGATGCGAAACGAACCATTTTATTTCCCATCCATTCCATTTTTGCTTCAGCGAGCGGTGATATTTCAGCAAACCGATTGCATTAAAGCGATATCGATAGCCAGATAGTGCTGCGTGCTTTGGCTGGAAAATAGTTGGCCGCGACTTTCAGCTAGTTATTCAAATGATGCAACAGATATTTGAGATTTCTTTGAAATTTATTACGATAAATGAGCTTACTTCTTGACTCCACCACTCTCTGTGAGTTACATTTACGGCTCATTGCACACAAATAAAATGCATAACACATAGACTTATATATGTAACATCGAGATATTTGAATCCATTTTTAAATATTCTTCTCCTTCGTAGTCCACGTCCGCGTCCACGTCGCCGTGTCTTTGGATTCATTACAGATAAACTAGAAACCAAAGGCGTATACTGTGAATTTCCTATAGACTATTGTATATACTAGGGCTTTTGTTTTATCTTCTCTCTCTCTTCTTTTTTTTCTATTATAATAAATAAAAATAATAAAAAATAATATTTTGTTTTGTATTTTTATAATTGTATTTTTTTTTTTATTGTTTAATGGGAAATGTTTGAATCGACAGAAAAACGAAAATTATATAGTTTAAATGATTTACGCATACTAAATTTAGATCATTATTCCTCTTTACCTTCTTTCTTCTATTCTTTTGTGTATTCTGTATTGTAATTTTCTTCTTTCTTTCTTTCTTTCTTTCGTGTGGTTTATGTTTTTGTTTTGTTTTGGGAATCTATCTCTCTCTACACTTTCTAGATTTTTTTCGCCATCTTTCTTTTTCCATTTTTGAAAATTTAAGAAAATATATATTGTATATATATATAGGCGCGAAAATTAATAATTAATTCAACATTTTTTATATATACTATTTAACTATATGTATTGTATGTTTATGCATTTTGCTGTTTGCGGCTTTTGCTGCATTTCTGCTTTTTTTTATTTAATGTTTCTTTCCTGTTTTTGCTGCCTTGCACTCGCTCTCTCACATCTGCAGTGGCTGTTCTCTCCTCTCTCATCTCGAAAATATATATTGGGGGGGTGGAGGGTGCGGTGTTCTTAAATTAATTCAAATTTTGTTTTCGTAGGCGCTGCGCTCCATGTCGTCGTCGTTTCGTCGTCGTCGTCTAGGTATCATCGAGTAGTGTGGTATGTGGTGTCGCGTTTAGGCGAAGCCAAAGCCCTCCGAACACTCATGAATGGCCTTCAGCAGGCAGCTACGCAGTTTATCGTATGACTTGTACATCGGCAGATCCAGTTGGTTAAAGCTAAGGATCCAAACAGATCGTATCGCATTCGGAGGGGTAGAGAAATAAATAGATATAAAAGGAAACATGGATTGGTAGAAAGAAGTCCAAAAGTATTGTGGGATAATTAAAGCAGGGACCCCCCAGGCCAAAAGAGTCAGTCCCCTAGTTCAAGGTAATCAGTTATCGTCTCATGGAATGCTCGTAGCTATGCAAATCTAAAACAAATCACTAATTTATTTATTTATAAACAACCCACACCCCTGCATCGATTCTCTTCAATGCATGAACCAGACAAAATATTGGAAATCTCAATTTATTATAGCTTTTCCCCCGCCACTTTATGCTGCTAATTCACTCACCAAGTGTGTGCACATGGCAGGCGATCCGTTGAACGATCGTCGCGATGGATTTGGAATTTTTGTATGCCGTTCATGCCCTCCAATGAGCCAAAGCCCTGCAGTGGGACCTTCGAGGTGCCGGTGACAAATTGCAAGAATTTGGCCCTATCCGCTTGGTCGAAGCTGCGCAGCGCACGCCAGAACCATTGGATCTGAAAGAGAGAGAGAGCGAGACCATGAATTAGAAAGAGATATACAAGAGGAGTAGGAATTTAAGTGGGGGAATAAAAAGGAATAGGCGAAGAAGGTGGAGGAATCTCTTACCTGTGCCGATTTCGACGTGTACTTATGATATTCGGTATTGGCCTTCAGATCTTCTATATCAATATCTGGCAGGCCGGATATGAGAAGTTCCAGTTCCTGTTCGTTGAAAATCGAGATTAAATGCTTTGGAATTATATCGTAGAAGCCCTCGAGGAATGCATCCAATCTGTGGAAGGGGAATAAGAAAATTTAATTATGGATCAAATGTGGCGATTCGCCAATCTCTCTCGCTATGGTGGTATGGTACTCACTGCTGACGTATGGAGCCGCTCATCTTTAATTGGCACACCAGCTGCACATACTCGAATTTGTTCTCCTCGGTGACGGGTGTGTCGCGTCCATTCGGCTTGAGATCACGTATCTGGGTGACGCCAAACTCCTGCACTTCGGTGGAGAAGGTCAGCTCGTAGCCCAAATTGGAGATGTCGTTCTTCATGAGATAGTCGAGACCCTTGTAGAATTCATAGTCCTGTGATTCCATGTCCGTGTGCTTCACCTGTTTGCCCAGTATATGCTTGTAGAAGGAGCGCGTAAAGTAGCATTCCAGCAGCTTGTTGTCGTGCACAGCCTTGGCTATAATGACAGAATATTATAGGATTAGGACTGAGAGGCGGCTCTGCGGCTGACTCTGGTGGCTTACCAATCACACGTCCGACAAACTTAAAGTAGCTCAAATGATTTGGATTGGCATGGCTGGAGGGATTTATCATGTAGGTGACGCGATCGCCCGGCGATACGCAGAACAGGGCATACATCGGATTGAAGATCTCACGGGATATGATCACATACCATTCACGTAGCAGGCCGCCAGCGTCCTGACCCTCCTCATCTATTAACAGGGGCGGGAAGAACCAGCAATCAGTAAAGGGCGAAGCTTCGAAGGAAGGAGGGGGAAATAAAGGGGGCGGATTTGAGCTCACCTTCAAACACAATGTAGAAACGATTCTTCCACTCCTCGGGTCCCAAACGATACAGGACACGGAATGAATCCTCAAAGACGGTGACACGACGAACGCTGACTGTGTGCTCTTCGCGGCGTATGCCCTCGTCGAGGCGCTCCAGTTCGGTCTGGAAGTACTTGCGCTTCACATCAAAGTCCAGGATGCGTGTGTGGTCCACGAGAACGGCAAAGGGGCCGTCCGACAGGTGGGTGGGGGACTGGCGCAGGATCTGGTTGAGCACAGTTCGATGCTTCTCAGCGAACTGAAGGAACTTGTGGCGATCCTGCTTCAGCTGTGCCTCGTGGGCACTCAGACCGGAACCGCAGCCGGTTGCAGTTGCGGCTCCAGCATTGGGATTGGCATTGGCATTACCGATGGACGTATTGCTGGCATCCTGGGCATCATCCGAGCTGAAGGCTGTGCTGCCGCTGCCGCTGCCCTCGTCCATCAGTGGTGAGATGTCCTGCACCGACGATGATGACGTATTGCTGGCCGATGCACGGCTCGATGCGGCCCGCCCGCGTGCCCCCTTCTTGGGTATGCGATGGGAGGCATGGATCAGGAAGAAGGCCTCCACTGTCGGCTGCAGCACGAGGACGGCAAACTCATCCTTGGACTCCTCCAATGCCACCAGGCACTCGCTCAGCGTATGCCACAGGACATCGAGGCACAGGATCTGGCTGAGCGTGGGCTTTCCGGGCTTGCTGCTGTCTGTGCCGCTGGCACCAGCAACGCCACCGGCGACGCCGCCACAGGCGCCGGACGATCCCCCCAGTGGCATGGCCTCCTCATCATCCTCGTCATCGCCATCTCCGTCGCAGTCACCATCGATGGCTCCATCCGAGGGCTGGTTCGTCTCCATGCGTGCACGGAAACGTGAGGCATCCGAGCTGCTGCCGCTGGTGGCCCCGCCATCGCCCAGGATGTCAATAAAGTCCTCCTCGTCGTCGGAGGCCACCGTCTGGTTCTCGTACATGTCCCGCACCTGCATGAAGATCTTCAGGGTGCGCAGGAAGAACGGCTGCGAGGACGAGTTCGACATCAGTTTCTTCATCGACGGCAGCTGTAGCTCGCACGTCGGCTTGGCGTTCTTTGGGGCCGAAATGATGACATGCTCGGCGGTGAAGCGATCCTGCATGATGCCCTCGTGTACGGCCAAATTGGGCAGGAGGCCAGCCGAGGTGGAGGGTCCTGCCGCTGCCGCCGCCGCTGCTGCTGCTGCAGCTGCTGATGCCGCAGCTGCTGCTGCCACTGCGGCTGCTGCTGCCGCCGCCGCCTGTTGCGAGGTGCTGGGCAATCCCGCATTGCTGTTGTACGCCCGTATCTCCTGGAGGAGCGTCTCTATGGCCTGGCGCACCTCCTCGGCGAGGCCCAGAATGGCGGCGGTCAAGTACTGTATGAAAATGGCATTCGATGCCTGCGAGCACTGCGTGAGATTGACAATCAGCTTGGCCACATTGTCCAGGCCCTCGGTGGTGCCGCACTGATGCGTCAGCACCTCGATGACCAGCTGCAGCTGCGAGAAGTTCTTCGCGTAGATCTTGCGCTTCGGCTTGATGGGCATCGGGAGTGTCAGCTGCGGTGGGGGCATCTTCTTTAGCTCGGGCAGGGGACGGCTGGTGTGAGTGTGACTGTCGCCGGAGGCATTGGCCCCCGTCAAGGCGGCCGCTGCCTGGGACATTTCCTGGTTCTGCTGCGCCTGCTGATTGAGCACCGCCTGGTTCATGGGTATCAGCTTGGGCATTTGGGGCTCAATCACCGGGCCCGGCTCCTCCTCCTTGGGCAGCTCGGTGCTGAGTGAGGCCAGCAGCTTCACGAGCATATCCGTCAGATGGGGCGACCGACAGATCACCTTGTACGGCAGCATGGCCAGCAGTTGGCCGAACGGCGAATCGCTGAACGATAGAAAGTCACCCGTCTTGGCCACCCACTCCCATGAGGGCTGCGAGACGATGGGAAACTTGGCCACATGCTTCATGCGCTCCTCCGTCTGGCGGTCAATGTTCAGGACCACATCCCAGAAGTTGTACGAGTTCGTCTGGTAGCCACTGCCCCCGTCAGTCGTTGTGGCTGCCTTTGCTGCCTTGGCGGCAGCCGCCTTCGATGTGGAGGGAGCCTCATCGAGGGGCGACGTGGCCGTAGCTGTGGCTGTGGCCTGGACTGGTTGCGGCGGTGTGGGCGGTGCCAGTATTCGCGGATGATCCTCGAGCATGGCACGCATCCGATTGGCCACCTGATAGCGATAGAAGCGCGAACGAAAGTCGAGGGTGCCGCCAGCGGGTGGGGGCTGCGGCTGCTGTTCCTCGATGCGTGCACCCGGCACGGGTGGCGGCATCCCAAACACGGCGCTGAGCATGCGACGGGTCTTGGTCTCGCGATGGTACGGCACAAAGCTGGACGGATAGTGCTTGGCCAGCACGAACAGCAGATCCAAACAGTTGCGTACAATCATTTGGGCCGCCTGCGGATTGATGCTGATGCCTTTGGCACTGGCACTGCCACTGCCACTGGCACTGGTGGTCTCGTCGTGCAGATGATTGATCAGAAAGATGTTGCTCTTGTACCCAAAGGCGGCGTCCACGCGCAGCTTCAGCCAATCGGGCTTGCTGCCCTGCCCCTGTCCCTGTCCCGTCCCGCCCAAAGTTGGCGCTCTCCTCGTTCGTTTTCTGGACAATGTTAATCAGGGCATTGATGATCCAATCACGCGTTGGCTCATGGTGGCACAGATTGCGGATGACGCGATGCAACCGCATGCTGTTCACCTTCTGGTCCTCCACAAACAGGAACAGCAGCAGCGTGGCCAGGGAGTCCGGATCGAGGAGTATATTCTCATCCTCCATCATGAGCAGGGCCAGCGGTTTGCCCACATTCGGCGAGTGGTGATGGGCATGATGGTGCACAATGGTCGTGTGCTGATGATGCTGCGGCTGGGCATTGCCGCTGGCATCGTACCAAATGGAACTGTGCCAGCGTGCCTCCTCCAGGCTCTGCAGCGTGTTCTGGAAACGGGCTGTGGGCGTAAACAATAAAAGATTGCACATTAGAAGCTCTCGATGCAACAGTTAGATATCGATTAAAGAGAGCAGAGAAGCAAGGGATCAATGGATGGCAAATCATGCTGATTTCTTTGGATATGGCTATATGGCCATGGCTATGCATTTTCTTGTTATTTAAGAACAGAAGAAAATCAGCTATCACATTCGGCCTCCGTTTGATTTGGTACCCACAAGTAAAATTACCTCTTGGGTTACTTGTTAAGAGAGAGAGAGAGAGTTCTTTCTGGGTAAATCTGGGTATATTATTCCTATTAGAGCCCTGCATTTATCCACAGCATTCAATATATCAGAGCGTTACTCATGTCCTTCGATCATCCCTAAGTCTGATTCGGATTCAAATCATTCCTCTGAAATGCAGCGAAGAATGAAAAGAAAACAGCATTGCCTACTTGCTTCTGTCCTACGCTCTTAAGTTGTTTGCCCTTTCTGTGAGGAAGGCTCTCGTCTGCGTGGCAGAGCGCAATTCAAAGCGAACCCATTCCTCATAGTCGAATCCAACAAATTGTTATTGTAATTATTTCGAAAGACTTCGCTCAAGAGCTCAACATTTTGTGTTGTTTTCTCTACCAGAAAATCAATTGGAGAGCAAGAGAAGAGTTTGGATGGCAGGAGAAAGCTAAGACGCCGATTCTGACTGACCGAACGAAGCGAATATTAAATTGAAACCCACCGCATCGATCCAATAAATAATGGATATGTTATCTAGCTTTCGATGGGTTGCTTCTTCGTGCACTAAAAGTATTTCCATTCCTGGGAATTGGACTAGTGGACTTACATAGAGCATTGCTGGGGGGATGGGCATCCCCCAGGCGTGGGCCATTGCGTGTCTCCCAGTCGCGACGCAGGAACTGTGCTTCGGCGGCCAACTCTGGCGGCAGGCTTGCAATCTGCGACTCCTCCATGTCCGAGAGTATCTAAATGAGAGACAAGAGACAGACAGCGAAATTAGCAACCAAATAGAGGGGGAGTCCATTTTGGTCCATTTCCACTCACCACTTGACGCAGATTCTCGGGTAAATTCTGGAAAAATGCAGCCGTATCCACGGGATCCTCGGGATTGGCTGTCTGCGCTGCCTGGCGCTGCTGTTCGATGCGCTGCTGCATGAGCACCTCCGACTGGATGCTGAGCGGCAGGGCGGCCAGGAATTCGGGATTCACTTCCACGAGCGAATCGTGTGCGATTTGGATGGCATTCTGTTGGGCCCGCTGGCGAATGCGCTGCATGCGCAGATGCTCCTGGATCACCTCCTCGCGCATCTCGCTGGGCAGGGCTGCCAAAAAGGAGGGATCGACGCCCTCTGGCACCTCCAGATCGCCCAGAGCGGCCCGCACTTCGGGGCTCATGTCTGTGACGGTTCGGGTTGCAGTTCCCGTTCCAGATCCACTTGCAGCAGATCCTCCTTCATCGGAGCTGGCAGCAGCTGTAGTTGGCGCTGTGGCGGTGACGGATGAGGTGGAGGAGGAAGATCCTCCTCCGGCGTTAGTGGGCGACGATCCCAAAAGAGATTCCCACTGCGACCTCCAGAGGTTACAGCAGTACGCGATTGCTGCTGCTGCTGCTGTTGGGGATGGGCTGTGGTCGGACGGGGGGGACGGGTGAGTATGGCCGCCCCCCATGAGCGGCTCATCGGTGATGGTCACCTGAATGGGTGGCGTTATCCTATCACTGTGCTGGGGCGATGGTACTGGGCGGCCGCTAATGCTCTGGACTGACTCCGCCTCATCATCCTCCTGCTGCTGCTGTTGTTCCTGTTCCTGCTGCAGCTGCTGCTGCTGCTGGCGCTGTGCCGCCTCTTGCTCGGGCTCATCAAATGTCCCGGGCCACAACAGATTCACTTCCTCCTCCTCCTCCTCCTGCACATTATCCTGGTCGGAGGCATCATTCCGGTGTGGTGGCTCCAGATCGAAATCTAAGTTGATCGGTTGCATCTCTGCCCCGCCGGACTCGACGGCTGCCGCTGCAGCCGGATAGAAATCGAGCACCGAAGCCGGTGCCGGGGCCAATGGGGGCGGCGGCGGTGGTGGTGGTGGTGGCGCCGGGCCACGTCCCGCATGACTCAGCCGCTGTTGGCCGTACATCAAACGATGTGTCCGTCCATTCAGCACACGTGGGGCACTCTACAGAAGGAACAGAACAGAGGAGAGAAAGAAAGACGTTAGAGAAGGGAGACGAAAGACGGGTGGAGAGCAAGGAGCAAGTTGTACCTGTCCAAATTCATTGAATATATTTACATCCTGTACGCGCACATGGAGACGCGGTGGCCGGCCACTGGCTGCTGGCAAATGTGGCACTGGCGGATGACGTGGCGCCACAGCCAATGGTTCCGCTGGCGGCAGAAACATTGACGGATGTGATTCAATTGCCACATTCTGATGGCTCTGTACGGCAGCTAGAGCTGCTGCTGCAGCTGCAGCGGTGCCTGCGCCTGTTCCTCTGCCAGCTGGCTCTACATCATTATCATCGTCGTCAATATCCGGATCGTTGGTCAAATCAATTTCTGCATAAATGTTAAAGGGCGCCCGCGGCTCGTTGCGGCGCAGTGTGGCATTACGTATCGGTGCACGCAGCGGACGCGAACGCGCTGCTGTGGCATACGGCTGTGGCAGCGCCTGACCTTCAGCTGGATTGACAGCTGTGGCAGTGGCTGCCACAGTGGGCGCCGCTGCTTCGGCTGCTGCTGCTGTTGTGGCCACCGTTGTTGCAGTCGTTGTGGGTGTGTTGGTGGTGGATGTTCCATCAGGGTTTACTCCTCGGGCGGCCAATGCTTGTGCTGCTGCTGGCGCCAGCGGAGAGGGTATCAGCATGGGGATCAGTACGGGTATAGAGCTGCGACGATTGTTGCTGCTGTTGCTGCCTGTAGCTGTGGCTGCGGCTGTAGCTGTAGCTGTCGGTGCTCCTGTGCCTGCTGCAGATGTCACTGTCGCTGTGGCACTCGTAAATGTCGATGTGGGTATCGGTGTGGGTGTCGTGGCCGTTGGCGTTGCTATGGTGGTGGCCGTGGTGGCTGCCGCGGCGGCTGCCATGGCCGCCTGGCGTGCGGCCTCCTCCTGCTTGCGCTGATAATGGGCCGCCTTCAGTTGGCGTATCAGATACGGCAGCAGAAAGTGCGCCGCATACAGGCAGGCATCCGTCTGGCTCTCCATATCCAGGGCCTTGGCCTCCTCCAGCCACCAGTGGAGCGCGTCCTGTGTGAATATCTCGATTTGGGTCTCCTCCGTGGGGTTCTGGTGCGTGGGCATGCACACGCAGTACTGCTGGTCCAAGTACATCAAGCGACGGCGCACTCCGTTGTTGCACATCGTGGAGGAGCCAGAGCCGCCTCCACCGCCGCCACTCTGATGGCCTCCGCTGGCCACTGTTGCGCCGCCACTGCCGCCAGCTCCGCCGCTGGCCACCTGTTCGTCCAGGAGATTGCTCATGTTCTGGTTGTTCGATGCGGTTGCGGCTGCCACTGCCGCCGCTGCTCCTCCGCTGGGCGTGTGGAAACCGCCGCCTGCTCCTCCTCCGCTGCCTCCACCAGCCTCGTTTCCGTTGGCGGCGGCATTGCTACCGCTCGCTCCCTGTGGTATGCCGCCAGCGGCGCTGATGAAGCTAAAGTCCGGGGCAATCCAGGAACGCGACGAGGGACGCAGGGCGGAGGCCGCAGGACGTTCGCCGCTGCTGCTACCGCCAGCTGCACCTCCGCTAGAGCCACCCCTAGCCGCGGATGAGCCTGCAGCTCCGCCGGTGCCACCACCGGAGCCACCTGCACCACTGGCATTCCCTGCTCCTCCTGCTCCGTTCACATCAATGTCCAGGGGCTGGGCAATGGAGCTGTTCATCCGCACACGGAAGCTGGTCGGCGGTGTGGGCATCAGCAAGGGATTGTCCACCACCAGACGCTCGAACAGGAAGGCTTCGGCACGACTGGCCGCCTCATTTACGGCCGAATCATCGTCGTCGTCATCGACATCGTCGTCGTCGTCATCGTCATCGGGTATCGGATCGTCGGGCACCGGCTCGCCGGATGCCGTGATGGCTGCACTGCGTCGGGGACGATTGTTGGAGTTGCTCAGGGCCAGGGCAATGTCGATCTGGTTCTCCAGTTCGGGATCATCGATACCGGCGGCACGATCCTCATCATCGTCATCGTCATCCGCATCGTCGTCGTCGACATCCTCGTCATCGTCATCATCGTCGTCGTCGGCATCCACATCGGCGTCATTGGAGGCCGTCTCCGAGGACTCGGGCTCGTAGATGTGATCGAATACCTCGATAAATTGTCGCGGACGCTCCTCGTCGACATCCGTCTCACTGTGCTCGTCCGCATCCTCGTCGGGCGCATCATCGTCGTCATCGTCCTCGTCATCGTTCCGCTCATCGTTCTCCGAGGAGCCATCCGAATCGGAATCCGAGCTGCTGGCATCGCCCAGCAGCGAGGCATTCATCTCGCGTCGATTCTCCCGAGCGCCCGTATCGGAGGAGGTGGAGGCGCCATCGCTGTTGCCACCGCCCAGGCCGTTGTCGTTGCCGCTGCTGCCGTTGCCGCCGCCACTGCTGCTGGCGTTGGTTCCATCGGGTGCCAGGTGTCCATCGGGCTGGGAGCTGCGCAGGCGGGGATCCACATTGATGGAGCTGCCAGAGCCAGAGCCGGCGCCAGCTCCACCGCCGCCACTCGCTGCACCCGAAGCGGCTCCGTTTTGTGGATGTTGTTGCGAGGAGCTGCCGCTGCTGCCGCCGGTTCCAGCGGCGCGCGAGGCCAGACGCAGGCCCTCGCTCTGCAGGAAGTCATCCCACAGCTGGTCAAAGTTGAGCACGGGACGCACGGGCCCGCCGGATGAAGAGCCACCTGCGGCACCTGCCGATCCCGAGGGTCCATCGTTTGGTTCGCCGCCGATGCCACCTCCCCCGCTGCTGCCGCTGTTGCGCTCTCCCACCACATCGATGACGGAGGCAGCGGCGGCGCTGGTGTTGCTGCTGCTCGATCCCATTCCGAGACCCAGTCCCAGGCCCAGGCCAGCGCCTGCTCCTGCGCCCGAGCCAGCAGCTCCCGAGCCGCCTGCTGGCGGTGCCGCATCCTCTGGATCGACGGCCATTTCGTCCGAGTTGAATATAAACTCAAAGGCATGCCGCCTGTCCGACAGCACGTTGCGGATGATGTCCCGCAGAACATGCTCCCCGCCCATTCCATTCGAACGCTCGACAGCAGCGCCGGCGGCTGTGCGTGCGGCGAGGCGTGGATACAAGCGGCGGTTGATGATGGCGCCGTAGGTGTTGTTGCCGCTGTTGCCGCCGCCACCTCCTCCGCCCAGGGAGGACATGGATGGAGGATCCGCCAATGCCCGAGCCAGAGGCATTGTTGCCGGCACCCGTGCCGCCGGCTCCGCCAGTGCTGGCGCCGCCAAAGAGTATCCGCTTGGAGCCGAGGGTCGTCGTGGAGACGCTGAAGCGCAGCAGGATCTCCATGGGCCGCAGGATGGAGGCCAGCGTGCAGAGGGTGTTGTGATTCGACAGATCCTTGTACTGGGCAATCTTGGTGAGGTACGTCATGACGCCCTGCCGCAACAGGACGCGGTACATGTTGTTGCGGTGCATGTGCACCTTGTCGAACAGCATCGGCGACTCGATTAGGTTCGGGAACAAGCTCATTAGCACCTGCAGCCGTGTGTGCTTCTCCGAGGAGTCGGGCTGGGCGAGAGCCCTCGCCACCGCCGCATGCAGCTCCTCGGCCACTTGCACCTGCACTCCGGGCATCTGGTAGCAGTCGGATATCGAGCAGATGAGCACGCGGGCCATGGTGCTCACCTCGGGCACATGATGGCGCTTCGTGATGGGCAGAAAGCGATCCAGCAGCACGGCCATGAATGTCATTTGTGGTTCCTGTATCAGCGGACTGTCTGTGGGTGTGTACACATGCCCCAGCAGGACCTTCGGCAACAGCGACTGGTAGGCCCGTGTGGCATCGGACAGCAGCTTGAGGAGCGTCGCCCGGGAGAGTGTCGGCTTTGAGTGGGTGTGCACAGCGGTGGGCACATGCCAGGTGCAGCAGCAGGGCTCATATTTGCCATCGCCCGTGGCAGCGGTGCCAGCACCAGCTGCTGCAGTAGCTCCTCCTCCGCCTGTTGCTCCTTTCTTGCTGCTGGTGCTGCTGCTGCTGCTGCTTGTCGCTGGCTGGGCGGCCGGTGCCTGCTGCTGTGCTGGTGCTGGTTCATCCTCTTCCATGGCCCCAAATTGTGTGGTGCCTGGATGATCCGTTTGTGGCAGTTCGGCCGCTGCCTTGGGATGATCATTTGTGGGTATGGCAATGCTATAGTGGCAGCATGGCTGCACAAGCGCCAGCAGCAGCTCCTTGAGCACGGCGACCGCCGATTGTACCATCGGATCCTCCCACATCTCCTCCTTGACGGGTGCTGGTGGCGGTGTCTGTGGATTGGGTCCCCCGGCTGCTGCTGTCGGCTGTTGGCCAAACTTTGACTTGACCATCACGCGCGCATCGTCCGCCAGGGCATTGCTGCTGGAGCTGTTCGAATTCATGAGATACTCGCCGCGCAGCATCTCCTTGGCGGCGGCCACAAATATCTGCGGATTGCGCGACACTGCCGTCGACACTTGGGTGAGCACAAAGATCAGATCACGCTGTCCCACGGGCACTATGCCAGCGGCCCGCATGCCCAGCACTCGCTCCATGGCCTCCTGCAGCACTGGCGGCGCCTCCAGCACGTGGCGCAGTATGATGATGGCGTAGGTGGGGAAGCCCATGAAGCTGCACGACTGCTGCAGCTGCAGCAGCATCTTGACCCCGCCGCAGCGTATGAATGTCTGGGCATTCTCGTAGTTGCGCGTGAGGCGGGCACAGAGGCGCAACAGCGACAGTTTCGTCTCGTGCTGGAGCAGAATCGGTGGCTGCAGCAGCGACACAATGCTGCCAATGATCCGGGCGCAATCGAATTTGCTCAGACCCACATTCTCCTCGCTCAGCATGATCCTCTGCGTGCGCTTGGGTATCGATGGTGTGGCCGCAGCAGCCGCTGCACTACTGGCTGCTGTGGGTGTCTTTGCCTTGGCCGCCGCTGCCGCAGCGGCGTTCTTCTGCCGCGACTTGCTGCGCGTTGTCATGGGTGCGGGTGGGGAACGGGCACGTGCTCTGGCCCCCCCACTCGTTGATGTGGTGGTGGTGTTGCCGCCGCCATCATTGGAAGTATCATCGCTGGTTCCTGTCGCCGGCGCTGCTGCTGCTGCTGCTGGCTGCACCATTGTTGGCGTCTGTTGGCCATCGCCGAATGTCATCAAATGTCGCAACGAAATCAGCTCATCCGTGTGGGTGGTGCCCTGGCCATCGGCTGCGGTGCGCATCACACGATTCAGCAGATGTTCCACCTTCGTGGCGGCCACGGGATTGTTCAGATTGGAGATGGCCTCGCTGAGCTTGAGGGCGGGGAACACCGGACGATGGCTGCCGGAGGCCTCGCTCACCTGCGTCATGCAATTGAACGAGACGGTGCATCGCTGCCGGCCAATGTTGATGTGCAGCCAGCGTTCGCCCGAATTGTAGGCATTGCGGATGAGCTCATTGTTGGCATCCGAATAGGCATTCCATTTGCCCGTGGAGGCGTCGTACCAGCGCCACACATCACTGCATACCGCACGCATGTTGGACTTGCGCTGCAGAATGTGACTGATGCTGTCGATGGCATCGATCAGATCGACAAGATTCTGCACCCAACGGGGCACGGTTATGCGCTCCGCTTGGGGCTTCTCCGACTGTTCCATCATCCACTGGGCCATGTTGTCGAGCAGCTTGACCAGCGACACCATGGCGTCCTGGGCATTGATGGCCTCCACCAGCGGTCGATGCATATCGCTAAAGTTCTCGTCCAGCAGCAGCGTTGAGGTCTTGAGGCGCACAAAGAGACGCGTGGCCGTCATGCCCGTGAGGCACTCCTCCAGGCGTGTGCCCCTGGTGGTGGCACCCGGCTGACGTGGATTCTCAAAGAGCTGCAGCGTAAAGTCCACCCACTGGATGACATTGCGCACAAAGTTCGTGACAAAGACCTGCTTGTTCAGGTGATTGTGGCGCCTGTAGAGCACCGCAATGAGATCCGAGGCACTGTTCACCACATCTGGTATGGCCTCCATGAACTCAAAGGCTCGGCCAATGGCCTCGTCGCAGAACCGATCGAAGATCATTGGCGGCATCAGCTTCAGATGCTTGTAGTCGTAGCTGGATGGATTTCCGCCCGATTTGTACTGACTGAATGTGGGCGTTGGTGTCGGTCCCAGGCTGATGGTGGAGCCCGATCCCCCGCCAGATGATTCGCCACCCTCCATGCCGGTGCCATCCAGGCCAATCTCCATGGCCGTCGGTGGAGGCGTGGGCGCTGTGGGTGCACCTCCACTGGTCGCACCAGCACTGGTCGTGGCGGCATGCGAGGAATGGGCACTGGCCTCCGGATTGTTCAGCAGATAGTCGGTGGCCTCCTCCAGGGAGCCATTGTTGCGCAGCGCATCCACTACATGATAGTGCGTGAATCCCATGTCCGTGAGCGTCTTAATGTGCTCCACATTGAGGCCATCGTCCGTGCTGCGTATGTACAGATTCTCGAATTTGATCTCCTTGAGGCGCGTGTGATAGCGCTCCAGCAGCGTGGCATGCGACTTCACCAGATGCTTGACAATCAGGATCATCGTCTCGAACATGCTGGCGCCATAGTTGGCAATGGGTCGTCGGGCCCAGATCCGGCGCAGGGCCTGCATGGCCAGCTGATGGATGTGTATCAGATAGAAGACCGGCTCAAAGGGCACCGTGTCGGGCATGTAATTGAGACGCGGACTCATCGTGTAGGGCGAGTCCAGCATTGCACGCGGATTGACCATCTTCTCGAGCAGCTGCAGCCAGGCGTCGAGAAACTCGCCAGTGCCCTCCGGGCAGTCACGCTTGTCATCCTCATGCGACTGCATCAGATCCTCCATGGAGGCCCATTGCTTGAACTCGAATTTCTTTGACTCAGCATCGAGGGACAGCGCCCAGTAGAACATCTCAAAGAACGCCTTAAGGCCGTTCTCGGCGCAAAACTGCGAGATCATCAGATGAAAGGCGGAGCGTTTGTCGTCGAACAGCATCGGCCCGGTGAATCCCACCGAACAGATGAGGAACGTCAGCTTCAGCTTGGGCACGGGCTTTGGCAGGATGCTCTCGTGGCTGAATCCATTCACCAGAATGGAGCTCAATATCCGCGCTATCTCGCGCGCCTCCGGTGTAGGAACTTTGTTGATATTGCTGATCAGATCGTTGATCCGGCGCTGGCGTGTCTGTGGGGATCCCACCGACAGCTTGACGAGCGTGCCAAGCAGCTCGGCGAGGGCGCGGCCCAGCCGCGAGCTGGCCGCCAGCAGGCTCTTGATGTACCGGAACTGCTCCTCGGGCGTGTACTTTGTGCGAAACTCAGCGGCACGCTCCAGCTTCCGTGAGAGCTCCGCTTCGGTCAGGGGATCGTCGGTGCCGGCAGCTGCCGACATCTGGGCGGCAATCTCATCCCAGATGAGATCCGGATTCTGGGTGGGCTCATCGGAGCACAGATTCAGCAGTATGGTGCTCTCCCACACCAGCGAAATGTACAGCTGGACGAGCTGCTGCAGCAGTTGGACGCCCGTCTCCCGATTGACGCCCCAGCGCTTGAGCAGTATGGCCCGCATATCCGTGGAGGCATTGCGGCACAGATGCACCAGCATCACCACATAGCCATGCACGAAGCTCATGTTGTGCAGGATCGGTGTGTATTCGGCATTGGCAAAGCCATCCTCCAGCCGCTGGCAGCAGACCAACTCCGTCAGCAGGACACTGCCGCCCGGGAAGGTGAAGTGCTTGATGAGGGGCTTTAGCTTGCCCACAATGTCCGCCAGCTGCTTCAGGGCCACATCGAGCACCTTTGTCTCCTGCGCCTGACTGAGTATCGCCTTGCAGACATTCGCCACAGCCTGCGAGGTGGTGGACACCGGCGAATCCACGGGCAGATTGGGCAGCGACAGCAGCTGCAGAATCGGCTTGAGGCCGCCGTGCAGCACAAATTCGCGGCAATGGTCGCCGTTCGGGCTGTTGCTGAAGATCGCTTCAATGAATTTCATCACGTTGAGGATGTAGTCGATCAGGGGTATGGCCTCGCGCTCTGGCGGCGTCACCGAGGCACGAACCAGAGCCGACGACGATGAGGAGGCGGAAGTGGTGGCCACCGTCAGGCATCCTCCTGCTGTGCCAGTTCCCGAGGATCCTGCTGCCTGTGAGGCGGTGCCACGTGATGTGGAGGCCACAACAACGACGCCGCCTCCGCCCACCACCGTGCCTGGTGGCTGCTGCTGTTGCTGCGAGGCGGAACTCATCTCGTCATCGTCATCGTCGTCATCGCCGCTGCTGTCGTTGTTATCATTGGCCGCACTCTGCAGCACAGAGGCTGTGCCGCCTGCACCCGCCACCATCACCATGGGGGAGGCCGTCACCGAGGGCAGGACGCCATGTGAGCCGGAGCCATGAGAGCCGCCGCCCGAGCCGCTGCTCTCCTTGTTGGCCCGCCAGCAAATGAAGCTGGGATCGGAGCCAAGACGCACCAGTTCGTTGAGCAGCCGCACAATCGCTTCGGTGGCATCGGCCCTCAGATACGGATGATGTTTGATGAGATCGTCCATGGCATTGCCCAGATTGGTCGCCGTGTCCCCCAGTGGATCCGAGGAGCGGCGCCTGCGCATCGCCACCAGATAGTCCGGGGAGAGCAGCACCTTGAGCACCTTGTCGAACGGATCGTACGAGAGGAACTCGAACAGGCCGCGCTCATTCAGGCATAGAGCCGAGAAGACATTGGGCAGGGAGCCGAGTACTTCGCGTGTGGCTGGCACATCCTTCTGGAGGAGGGCCTTCAGCATGACGCTGGTGATGCCCAGATCCTGGAGGGAGGACAGCAGCGAGGGCTCATTGAATACGTACACGGTGACCACATCGGTGGCCAAAAGGAACAGCGAGGGGCCATAGTACTCGGCGTTGGCGATGATGTGCCTCAGCGATTGGGTCAGGCTCGTCTCCATGATGTTGCGCATGTTGCTGAAGTGCGCATGATCCTGGATGCTCTTCTTCAGGAAGTTCAACATCGATTTGAGCAGCGCCGCACGCTGCGTGACGCACGAGGGCTTCTTAGGCTGCACGCTGCTCGGCGGCAGCTGCGACTGTGACAGTTCGGCCTTACGTTCGGCCAGTGGACGGGCATAGTAACTATTGGCTGGATATACGACCACAGCGAGTCCTGTGTCGGCTGGATCACTGCTGCTGCCTGCCTGGGCGCTGCCCTCTGTGCCAGCATCATCGCCAGAGCCGGCGACAGCCACTATCATGTTGCTGGAGCCACTGGGTCCTGGTGCCGCCTCCAGATCCTGATCCTCGTCGTCATCGGGCGGATCCTCCTCTTCATCATCGAGATTGATGCCGCCCAGATGATCATCGGATGTATCGCGATGTGGGGAGGAGCCACTGCCATCTGAAAACGGATAGAAAAACGTGTTAAAGAAAGGGGGTGGAAACGCCTTTGTGGGCAATCTCTGGCTACCTTCGATATCCACATCGACTAGATCCAGTGACATATCCAGTTTGCCCTCATCCCTGAGGGTGGACTCTTTCAGGGTGATGCCAATATCCGCCAGTGCCTTGCAACAGCTCTTGATCTCCTTCTCCAGGCGATCGATAAACACATTCAGTCCATTATTCTGATGGAATCGGGCAATATCAATGTTCGTGATCAGATCAATCACCCGCACGGCGCGCGTCACAAATGTTATGTGCTCGAGATCAACACCTGGCCAGCTGATCACGCACAGCAGCGACTGCATCATGCCGCTCTTGACGAGGGCAGAGCCACCGAGCTCATAGCTGGCCAAATGGTACAGCAGCGAGAACAGCGATGTGGCCAGAATCAAGGGATAACGCTCCGTGAGGCCGTGTGTCGTCAGATTATTAATGCAATCGCGCACCAGCAATGGCAATGTGCCGCCCTGTCGTTCGGCGCCTGTGTAATGCACAATCTTCATTAGCCGCGATCCGGCCCTGCTGCAGAGAAACACGCAAAAAAGGGAAAGAAAAAAAAGGCGGGGCGGAAAAAAAAAACAATCAACAAATTATGGGAAAATCATTCGTGGGGGTTTCTGCTGCAGCATCGCACCTGGGCACATTTGGATTGCGATCAAAGTGCAGCATCGATGTGAGGGTGCGCAAGACGGCGGCGCGTATCTCCACCAGGATCACATCCTCCTTGTCAATCAGCTCGCAGAGCTCTTCGCCAAAGCCGGGATACAGCACCTTGTCTGTGTTGTCCTGCAGGGCATTCGAGTAAATCAAAATGGAGACGGCCTGCAGGCGAGCCTGGACAAACTGCAGGCGCAGCTTGTAGTTGTTAAAGCCAGAAATAAGACGCACACGATGGGCAATGCGCATCTACAAGAGAAAAGGTAGGGAGATAAAGAGAGAGCGTAAAAAGAGAGCGTAAAATGAGTGTATAAAATGGCAAAGACATACCTTTATTGCCTCACTGGGCTTTGAGATCTGTCCGGCAATCGTTTTGATCACCTCTGGTGCCGATGCCGTGTGGCAGAGGTCCATCATATCAGGGATTTCCAGCTGAGCGGCATGACCATGCTCGTCCACATAGTCGATGCACAGCTGATAGAGAAACTCCAGCTTTGGTTCGCCAATGCAGCAGTCCTTGAGCGAGAGTCCATAGTTTGGATCGCCCCAGCGCTACAAAAGAAAAGGCTCAAAGGTTGTATGGCTATGGCCTATGGCTTTATTGGTGTCTCTTACCTCTGCTATGTTGAACAGTTTCACAATCAGTAATTCCTTCTTTTCAAAGGGTAGACGCGGTATAAAGTTACTGCGCTTCGAGAACATATACAACAGATTCAGTACGGCCAGGACAATGTCCATGTTCTGTGAGGAGAGCAGCTGTGTCAGATGCTCAATGGAGTTGTACAGATGCCGCGAGAACGAGTGCTCAATCAGGAGTGTCGTAAAGTTCAGCACATGCAGCAGCAATGTTACATCCTGTGTACACCATCCATCCATCCATCCATGCATCCAGATTTATCCATCGAAAATGGAAACGATAAGGATTAGAACTGTGCGTCTATGGTGTGTTTTTTGTTGAGGGGGGAAAAACCTACCGTGGGAACCTACCGTTGAGTGGAATTGTGTGTCACATTGGAGCACAAATTCATTGGAATTCACATGTCTGGCTGCCTCATCCAGTATTTTGTCGAAACGATCGAGTATCTCGATCCAATGATAAAGCTCGCACTTGCCATAGATCCATACGTGGATTTTGTCGAGAAACTCGAGCAGTTCGGCGCGAGTGCGCCGCTTTGTCAGCTCATCGATCAGTTCGCGGCACTCGGAAGTCAGCTCCGAAGAGCCCTTCTTCAGCTTTACCGTGTCCACCTTCATGGCGATGTCGATGGCGACGGCTCGGGCGCGAATCGCCTCGCCTCGCCGCTCCGACAGCTCCTGCTCCTCTTTCTTGCTCTCTCTTTATGTGTGTGGGTGGCGTTGACTCTGGTGGTGGATGGTGTGTTATACCCTCCACCTACTCTCGTCTCCTGAAGTCGGTCGGTTGGTTCGGTTTTCTATATGTCTCGCCACTGATTAATCATTGAATTTTGCCTCAAAATTTATCGTCAGCGTATTTAATAAATAAACTGCAAGATTTCACCAAAAAGACACGACGAAACAAAAAATATAATTAGCAAATTGTTTTAAAGTCTTTAAAAGGACTATTTTGTTAAAAAAAAAAAAACTTTCGCATACAGAAAAAAATAAAACGTTCATATGGTAGATGGGGCGAACAATACAAATAAACAAATGAATGAATGAATAGTCACTGAAATTTGATAGGAAAGAAATATGCAAACTCTGCGAAAAAATATTTGTTCTTTTCTTCTCTAAAAGGAACTGCGTTCCGCACACACTACCACCTACGCAGCAGAAAAAGAGTAACTGCACTTGGCAGCTGTGCGAACGAGATGGGACGAGACGAGATTGCAAATCGAAATGTTGGCTGAACGGTCCCAGATTATATATCTATCAAAATAATGGAAAAACGTTGTGAACGCACTCTCTCGGAATTATGGAAGGAACACAGCCGAAGAAGTAACTGCACTTGTCAGCTGTGAAAGGAACGAAATGGAACGGCACACGGGACTACCACTACATTAGCAGAAATGCTGCATCCCTTCCACACACACACACACACTCCCATATGCCAATTGGACGCACAATAAATTTCCAACTGGCAACAGCCGCAAAACAGCACACAAGACACGAAGCAAATACGCGTAAGGTAAATCGGCAAAAGAGCGCGCGCGCATTAACAAGAACTTTCGATGCGTTTGGATATAGATATAAAGTCAAATGCATTTGTAATTGTATCAATTTTGACAGACACTCACACCCACCCACCCACACACACACACACGGGAACACTCACAGACCGGACAGGCACACACAGGCTCAAACGCAACATGTTTGAGCGAAATGTCAAATGAGCGCCAAGCGGCGCCGAGCGATGCGTCGAAGAGTGCAGAGTGATGAAAAGGGGCATGGGCGATGGGGGGAGGGAAAAGGAGTTGCGACGGTGGCCGTGCGTAAGTCAAGGTTGGCCTGAGACGCAAAACAAACGGTGGCAAAGGGGAGGGGTCAGCGACTTGGGAACGGACCCTTATGCAGCTAGTAGCAGAAAAATGTTCTTTACTTTTTTTCACTATAAAATTTACACTTTGGCGTCTATGTCTGGTCGTGCCTTTAGGTGCATACGTTTATGTGTGTGTGTGTGTCTTGCGGAGCACCCCGATTTCTAGAAACACTTGGGCATTATTTTTCCGTGCGGCATTTCCTAAGATTTCTACCGAACCAATATGCATGTGTATGCGTGCGTGTGGTGAAGAAGTCTGTTTTTTTTCGCCCCAGCAACAAAAACAAAACCAGCTCTGCTCCCTGTCTCGCCCGATGCAATGCATTTTTTTTTTCATTTTGCCTTTTTTCGGTTCTTTTTTTTGCACAAACCTTAGCCCATTTTGTTAATATAACGTTCTTTTCACAGACAGACACACGCGCAATAGCAGTGCATGAAATGCAAAAAAAAATAGAAGACGAAAAAACTACCGTGAAAAAAAAATGAAATTTCCACAGTCAGAACGCAGAAACAATTACAGTAGAGTGTGTGTGCGTGTGGATGGTTTGGTTTAAGACAAAAAAAACTCTGATGCAATACTCACATTAATATTAAACAGCAGCAGCATTGCTGCTATGTTATTTTTTTTCTAAAACGATCTAATTTGGTAAATTTTTAACAAATTGCTTGGTTTTTCTTGAAATTTCAACAGTGTGACCGCCAGCGTGACCGCGCCGATAACGATACAAAATACCATCCGGCCAACAAATAAATACCATTTCAGTTTCGAGAAATACCATTTAAAAAGCATACCATAAAAAAAACCAGGGCAGTCCGCCGATCAAACGAGACTTAACCCACTTAACACCCCTCTATTTAAAATTTTGAGCACCCTTTGTTAAACCGCGGAAAAAATACTGTTTGTAAAAGCTCCTTGTAGCTCCATCCTCCTCTTTACTTACAAAACAAAAATGACCACCGACATCTTTCACCTGTAATGCGTAAAATATGTTAAAGAAACATAAATTTCGTGGAAATATTAAATAGCCCCCTGGTCGACAATGGGATAACGTTCTATTTTAATGATTGAAATCGTATTCCATGATTTTGATATTCAGTTTAATATTACTAGCTAGTGGGCCCTCTCAGCCCTAAAAAAATAATTTTATCTGATAGATACATCAATTTTCAATAAGATTGGCTAGGCGCCTTCCGAGCTCCACGGATTGGATTGCTTTGTTTCACGTAATAGCTGTTTTGTTGGTTTTAATAGAGATGGTTTAATATTACTAACTAGTTCAATACCTTGTTATTGGATAGTTTACATAATAAGGTTCAAACTAAAACGGCCAAATCACTTGATTTCCATTTCGTTTGGGTTTTGTTGGTCTTAATTGAGCTGAACGCTGCATCTGATGATGAACGTTGGAAAACAAAATTGATTACAATCTAAATAATAAACATTAAGAATTATGAAACATTGCGCTCACTTTTGTAAACTTTCAGCTTTAGACACAACAACTTGCTCAGAATACTATTACCATATTACCATTAACAAGATTATTACCAAAATCTTTCCGAAATTTAAGCTCTTTAGAACACAAGATATACATAAAAAAGTTTTATATTCATAACATACAATACAAAACAGAAATTTATACTGTTGATACTTATTTTTTGCACTAGCAGTGACAATAAAGCTAGATGTTTTTAACAACAAAAAAGCTAGAATTCAAGCAAGAAGAAAATACTCGCAAAAATATGTGACATCGACAATGTTGTAGCTACGAGAAATCCCAATAATGAGATTCATCATGAATTATACAGTACTACCTGTTAATTAATTCATTTGTTTACTATGGCGATGAGGTAATTAGTTTGAAGCTCCCGCTATTTGGCTGTAAAAAAAAGCCTATGAGAATCGAGTGTGACCAGATATTTTTGTATATTTTCATTACATCTATTTCACAATTCATAATTTGTTGATTGTATTACATTTTTGATATATAACGAATTTGATTGCTGGATATATTTTGAAGACATATATAAACGCTCCTCTCCGATACGAGACTAACTATTTAATGTCAGTGCTGCAAAATGATGGACGTCGCAAGACTTGTTACATGACACTGTCAAAGCGCCAAAATTCAAAAAACTTTCGACTTCTCAAATCTTAATATATGTACTTGGTTACAACTAAATGAACTATCATACAATAAATGCTTAGACTAAATGTGAACGAATGGAAAATTTAGATGTATATTTTGTCTTAGTTCTTAGCGATTTAAGCTTACATGAGCAGCTTGGGTCCGTGGGTCGTCACTCCACACACAGAATAACATTATTATTAATAACTACCATAACAGTACAATTACAAAACGATACAAGTTCGGACTTGGCCATGCAATCTGAGCTTCGATTGGCACTCTTTTCTCTTGTATTTGATTGATTGTGTGTGTGTGTGTGTTTGTGTGTAGGTGGGTGTGTGTGAACTTGCGTGCTATGGCAAGTGCAATTATCCCTGCAAAAAGTGTGTATTTGAAGCTATAAGTGGTGTTGTGTATCGGTTTATTTAAAGTTTCAGACAGCATGCCAAAAGTCCATCCTAATCATTCTGCCTATACATACTAAGTTTAGTGAGTGTTTCGCTTGGCACGCTCGACATGCAGGTCATATAGCATTTTGTTCTTATCATAGTAATAGGGATTTTGGTCGGCACTTAGCTCCGGATTGTATCCATATATGGTTCCGTCTCCATTTAGGATATCAATCGAATTAGTAGCCCCGGCCGCCGCCGCTGCTGCTGCTGGTGTGGCGACGGCTGTGGCTCCAGCTGCAGGTCCACCAGCGATCACAGGCACTGTATTGTAATTGTTGTGGTCATTTATCTGAGTCGGAATACTGCAGCTGCTGCTGCTGCTGCTGTTCCCATCGTCGTAGTTCAAATGAAGATTGTTGATTCGCTTGGAGAGGGGCGTGGACTCGCATGGCAGGTCATCTTCACGACTGCGTTTTCTAGGGCAGAAAGAACAGATATTCAAGTCAGATATTGGGTATATTTATATTTGGTTTCATTGCAGGCTCATACGAAACCAAACTGCGCACTCATTGAGTCGCAGCCATCTAGTTTACTCAGCAGACTCGTCGACACTCGATGGCTTTTAATATCCACAGGATGCACATGCACTTGGCCAACACCTACCTTGTCTTTAGAAATCCAGCCATTCCGTTCTTTAGCCAGCAAATTAGCTAGCTGGTCCCCTATCTCTGTTGTTCTTTTCACGGGCTGCTTTGGCAGTGTGACTGCGTATGCCAAAGAACAGTGTTGCGTAGTTCTTGACACGATGATAAAAAAAGATCGAATAAATAATTTTAAAAAAGCTGCTGTAGCTACTGCTGCCTCAGCTAGACAGTGCTTTTCTAAAGTGATCTGTGAATATTAAATGACACAGTTCTGTCAACCCACTAGATAATATCTAAATATACTAAATATGCCGAGTGGGGTGGAAATATTTCGTCACAGTGCTCGTCATTTGCACGCATACAGCTCGCTGGAGTACCGTATATTAACGGTATATTTTGAAAATGAGAAGGTATATTTCGGTATATTTCTGAGGGCCAGGACGGTATATTTTAGCGATGGGCCCGCGGCGGTCACACAGGCGAACACACACATTTAGTCAAAATTTACGTTTTATGCTTTGGCCGTTTTTGTTTGAACTTTAATATGTAAACAATCCAATGAAAAATAGTTCTAAAAACTTGCCAATCTTGTAAAAAATGTATGTATCTATCGGATAAAATTATTTGTTTAGGGCTGAGAGGGCCAACTAGCTAGTAAAATTAAACGGAATATAAAATTCGAGGAATATCAACGTTGAATGTTTTGAAAAAAAACAGTCGATACTATCGTGATAGTATCGGGCTCAAATAATTATTAAAAAACCCTTGAAACCTTTTAGGAATTTGTCCATTGTAAAAATTAGATGCCACCTGTCGATTTGTTTACAAATGTGTCTTCGTATTTTATAGCAGCCAATCCAAACATATCAAAAGCGCAACGACTGTAGCTCGATACTATCATGATAGTCGCAAAACCGTCGATAGTAGAGGCTAGCAGTAAAATATCGATACTATCGATAGTGCCCTCGATGGTTTGACACCTCTGTTCCGTAAAAAAAATTGAGCCCAACCCACTCCAAAAAAGAAAAAGAAATAGAACGGACGTCTAGTACGTACCAGAATTACAATAAATTGTAAGTAAAGTCTGTGTGGCAATGCAATTGAGTATACCCGGTAGCCAAGCTTCAAAACTGGCAAACTTACGATCCAAAAGAAAGGAGAAAATTCTGAAGTGAAAAGTGAACACGAAACGTTATCGATGACTGCTTCTTGGCTGCTTCTATGGGCGTGCTTGCCTGTGTGTGCGTGTGTGCGCGTGTATGTGTGTGAATGAGATGGTGTGTCTCGGTGACAAATGATTGGTTCCAAATTTCATTCTATTCCTATTTTTTTTTGTGGATCCCAATCGATGCGTCGTTAATTTGTAAATAGTGTGCTGGGCTTTCTATTAATTGTATATGGCAGCCAGTGCATGTGTGTGTGTGTTTTTTTGGCAAAAAACAAGTTTACATGATTGGTACCCACACATGTGCAGATGGTCGGTGTCGGTGTCCAAATAAATTAGCATATTGCCCGCTCTCGTTAATGCAGTTACAGCCGCTGTCGAAGTAGCCTGTCGGCGACAAGATGCATATGTATTAAAAAAAACTGCATTTAAACGCATTCATACACGCAACATCGCACATGCACACACACTTAAAAACACAACGAAGTTATGCGACTCTGGCTCTATACGGGAGTGTGTGTGTTGGGTTTCACATTAGAATTTTGCTGCTGTCTGAGCTTATCTACATTGTATTTCGCTTTTCTGCTTTCTGCTCGTTCTGTTTGAGTCATCGGTGGCGCGGCGATTGTGCGGTCTGCTGCTCTGTCAGATACAATTCCTTCGCGCCCCGATAAGGCAGTAAGAGAGTCGCCGTTTACGCAGTAAACAGCTACTACGACTAGCAAGCAGTAACACTAGCCTATGCCAGAGCAGAGCCCACCCTCGCCTCGATTCAGAGGCGCGCTAGTTGTTGCAAACAAGGACCACACCCCGACCCTGTTGTAGGGCTGTTTGTGGAACAGGAGCGGACACCCTACTCCAAGACATTTGTGGAAATACCTTACTTTAACCTTTGCCGCCATTGGATCTTTGTGTCCGGTAACTGCTTCTGGTCTTAGTCGTAGCGAAAAAGTTTAGAAACGTTTCCAAACCCTAAAGAACATTTATTCGTGCTCGACCGAACATATTAAGCCATGAATCTTTGCACAAACACCTGTATACCGAACCATAAAAGAGCTGAAGCTACCAATTCAGGACATTTTCTCTGCTCAATGTTCACACATTCTCTAGCAAAGAGAAATGGGTGTTGTCCTTTCTTTTAGAGCTTAAAACGATTGGGGTGAAGCTATAGGTTGTGGTCGTCAATAAATGATAGCCCGCCGCGGATGTTCCGAGTCCCCGATGGGCTTCCGTTCCGTCCCTGCCTTGTGTGTGTGTGTGAAAGTAATTAAGACGAAGCACCATACATAAGTAGCTAGCACGAGTGTCGATGTTCTGTGGTGTCTTTGTGTTCATTAATTGAGTTGGAAGTAGGGTTGCTGGTGCTGGTGCGCTGGTGCGGGTGCGGGTGAGCCAAGTGTCACCAGGTTCATTCGATATGAAAACATTGATTGTCCCGGTCATTCGGGCTTCGGTGATGGCTTCCGTATACCTACTGATTTGGAAAAGAGTTTATAATCGTTTGCAATAATTCGCAGGAGTTTTCCACAAAATGCAAACCATCAAGTGTGTGGTCGTTGGCGACGGAGCTGTGGGTAAGACCTGCCTGCTCATCTCCTACACAACCAACAAATTTCCATCGGAATATGTGCCAACTGTATTTGACAATTATGCGGTGACGGTGATGATTGGCGGCGAGCCCTACACACTGGGCCTGTTCGATACGGCCGGTCAGGAGGATTACGATAGGCTTCGCCCTTTGTCCTATCCGCAGACAGATGTCTTTCTCGTATGCTTCTCGGTGGTCAGTCCCAGTTCATTTGAGAATGTTAAAGAAAAGGTAAGAAGTCTCAAGCATAATGGAATCAACTCTCAACTAACTGGTCCCGCTTTTGTTTGTCTGTAGTGGGTTCCTGAGATCACGCACCATTGCCAGAAGACGCCATTCCTGCTGGTGGGCACACAGATCGATTTGCGCGACGAGACCAGCACACTTGAGAAGTTGGCCAAGAACAAGCAAAAGCCCATCACCATGGAACAGGGCGAGAAGCTGGCCAAAGAGCTGAAGGCCGTCAAATATGTCGAGTGTTCGGCTCTCACACAAAAGGGTCTGAAAAATGTCTTCGATGAGGCCATACTGGCCGCCCTGGAGCCACCAGAACCCACCAAGAAAAGGAAGTGCAAATTCTTATAATTCTTTTTTTTTTTTCTCTCTTTCTCTCATGTCCTATATATGTGTCTGTTTTTTTCGGCGTTTCCACACTACAATGTCCCTGCTTCTGCCTTTATAGACAAGTCTCTTACCCCCAAGATAAGTTTTAAAGTTTTAATTGTAGAATTCTACACTAGTTGCAGTCCTCCTCCCCCCAGTCCCAGTCTCTAGTACTTCAGATGGTTCCTCTGTGAGCCATCCGTCCGCATTTCCTATCATTTTATTGGGTAAAGCTGCTGTTTAATTTGAATCCAGTCTGAATAGTATCTTTTTTACACTATGGATAAAGGCTTCCGCCCCAGCCCAGACCCAACCCCAAAATCCAAAGCCTTGGCAAATGGAATCAAATATAAATCAAACAAAATTCTTCGCCCGACCCCAAAGCCAGTCGGGTCGGTCCCACTACTCCATTTTTGCACCCACTGTAGTTTTTTTTTTTTGGCGAAATTTCTCTAATTAAGTGAAAAAAGTAAAGATGATGAAACACAATAACAATATAGCGAAACAAATTATTTATATATAACTTTATATATACAACAAAAAAAGTCGTAAGTGAAAAAACAAAACAAAACAAAAAACTGAATGGAAAATACAAATAAAGTGAAATCAATCCAGAATAACAAAAAAACAAAATGATTAATTAAATGCAATTAACTTTTTGGTTATGCAAACAATTTTCAAAACGAATCGAGTCAGTCCCAAGCTAAATAAAATGCAACTAAAGAATGCAGCTTAAAATATAAAATAAAGTAAAATCTGATAATTCAACTGCAACAAGATTGAAAACCGATTAAGAATGGCGATGCGTATTGTGTACAACTAAGTATGAGTATTGAAAAATATGATAAAGAAAAACAACACACATAAATATTAAAAAAAAGATGTGAAGGAAACGAACACACACACACACACACAGACAGACGGACAGACAGACAGACAGACGGGCTCCCTACCGGGAGACACAACTGAAGTCTACAATCTATATAAATATATACATATAAATATATTTAATAATATGTATAATCTATAAAGTATAACAATAAAAACAAAACAAAAAACAACAAACACAACCAACCACACAACAAGCAAGAGAGAATATTTGTATTGTTGTTGTTCTAGCAGAAGAGCAGCAGCAGCAGCAGGCAGCAGCCGCAAAACAGAAACAGAAAGCAAATACGAACTATAATGCATTTTTTAATATTTTTATATGTATACATTATCAATTTTGACAGTGTTTTTTTTCCTAGACCTTAGTGATTTAACATTATTGATTTCAGATAATAATCTTATAAATAAAAACAAAAACGAAAATTCAAATAGTTAACATTTTTCTATGCCTTTGCATCGCCGCCTTGGCTGGCTCCGCCTCTCAGATGGTCGAGCGGCTTAATCCACTTGCATTTGATGGCCGTTCGGGTCACATCCTCAACGGAGGAGTCTCTGAACCCAGCCGAGCCCTGTATGTCAATGTTTTGGTAGTCGAATCTTAAATTCTTTGCGCTATTCGCCAGCAGTTGCTCGATGCCATGCCAGGCAATCATCACACCATTGTCCGAGCAGTAGCGCTTGAAGGGGCGATAGCTGCGGCAGTTATACTGCCCGGCCAGATGCTCAATGTTCCGGTAGATCACATCGTTGTTTGCCACACCGCCGGACACCACCAGAGTGGGCGATGCATCGCCAAATAGCCCGTTCGCCGGGTGCAGGCAGTACTCGAGTGCTCTCTGGGTGCGGTGCATGAGGTGCCGACTGACGGCCTGCAGCAGGCCGGCACAGAAGTCACTGTAGTTACTGATGATGCCATCAGGTGGGGTCTGCTCGAGCCTTTCCTTTGCCCGAATCGCACGGAACGAATTGTTCTTGATGCCCGCAAAACTGAAGTTGCAGTTGCGCTGCTGGGCAAGCGGCAGGGGGAAGTCGTAGGCATCTGGACAGAGAGCTGATTGAGCGGCATGCTCGATGGCCTGCCCCCCATTCCATGTTCTATATTGTGGCAGCACATACAAGCGCAGGCGGCGGGCAATCTTATCAAAAGCCTCGCCGGGGGCATCGTCAAGTGTCTGGCCGAGCAGGGTCAGCCTGCCGGGCCCGTGGACCAGGGCCAGCTGACAGTGGCCGCCGCTGATGAGCAGGCAGAGAAAGGGAAAGCTGATGGCCGATATGTGCTCCATGCGTGCCTGCAGGGCATGCGCCTCCATGTGATGTACCGGCAGCAGTGGCTTCTGCAGTTTTCGCGCCAGATGGCGGGCGAACCGCACGCCGACCAACAGACTCAATGGCAGGCCGGGCCGGTTGGTCACAGCAATGGCCGTCAGCTGCTCCGGCCTGAGATCCGCCTCGACTAGACAACGTTTGTAGGCATCCTCAATACGCGCTCGATGCAGGTCTTGAGCCCGTGGGGGAATTATGCCGCCATAGCTGCAATTAGAGCAATGCGGTGAGTGCAGCTCTTGATAAGCATGCCAAGCCATGCCACTTACCGCGTGTGGAACTCCTGTTGGGAGTACAAGACATTTGAGTGCACCCGGCCGTCGGTGTCAACAATGGCAATGCCCGTGTCATCGCAGGAAGTTTCGATGCCCAAGACATAGCTTAAGCGGCGCCTGTGGATCAGCAGTCTTAGCCCAGTGGCGAATCTAAGTCGGATCGTGGCACTGGACAAAGCCATCATAGCCTCTTTTTACACTGGGCTTATCATTGGATTTTTCCGGGCAATCCGGCGATCAAACGAGACTTAACCCACTTAACACCCCTCTATTTAAAATGTTGAGCACCCTTTGTTAAACCGCGGAAAAAATACTGTTTGTAAAGGGCTCCTTGTAGCTCCATCCTCCTCTTTACTTACAAAACAAAAGTGACCACCGACATCTTTCACCTGTAATGCGTAAAATATGTTAAAGTTACATAAATTTCGTGGAAATATTAAATAGCCCCCTGGTCGACAATGGGATAACGTTCTATTTTAATGATTGAAATCGTATTCCACGATTTTGATATTCAGTTTAACATTACTAGCTAGTGGGCCCTCTCAGCCCTAAACAAATAATTTTATCCAATTCCTCAATAAATTTTGTTCAGGATTGGCTAGTTTTCAGAACTCTTTTTTATTGGATTGTTTACATAACGAGGTTCAAACCAAAATGGCAAAGCATAAAACATCAGTGCGTACGTCACTGTTGCTGGTCAACCAAGTTTCTGCTATGAGTATGGACATTTGTACACCCTATTATACCCTTTAACTGATGTTAAATTTGTTTTCCAAGCTGCTTTAAAACATTAATACTAAGCTTTCATTCTCTACGTCTTTTCATTCTTTTTATTATTAAAAACTAAATAATAAATTATAATTGATTTGAATGCATCCATCTCCAGGGCCGCGACTGGGAACTAATATGTATTTTTGTTTTGTTTTGATTTTTGGAGATGGATAGATATACATACATATACATACACCAACACCAACACCCACACAGACATCGTAATGTTTTGGACTTGCACAAAGAGCCTTGCAATGGCGGCTGCTTGCACACTGAATATTTAGATAGTACATATGTATATGTAGATAAAATAGATTTCGCTTAAGTAACTGGGGGTATGGGGTATTCTGATTTGGCCTCTTAGCGCTCGTAATAGACGCGATAGTACAGGGTTTTGGAGCGCCAGATGCTGTAGCTGTTGTCGAACTTCAGCAAGTAGACGCCCTCGCCGGGATAGGAGTGGGAACCGACATAGACCTCGTTGTAGCACTCGCGCCGATAGATTGGCACAATAATTGAGATGGGCGCCTTTGAGGCAGCAATCGGATTGTTCAGGCCATTCTGATCCTGCGACAATGTGCCCGACTCCAGGTCCTCAGTGGTGGACAGATAATCTTCGTCCACACAATCCTCTTCCTCATCGCTGTCGCTCACGTGTACCGTCACCTCGTTGGTCACCGGCTTGGCCCACTCGAAGTAAATGCCGAAACCAATGTCGTAGCTGTCTGTGGCAAATTCCCAAAAGATGCACTTCCCGTTCATATTGGTGGGCACACGAACCTGCAAATAACCAAAATGTTTTCAATCTCCATGTGTGTTCTTTCGCGCTGACGAAATTACGAGACCCACCGTCACCGTGTCGCCATGTCCGATGGTAATGACGCCATCGCCATCGCCTGCGGACACTTCAGTCTTGAACTGCTCGATGTCGGGTCGCGTCCAGATTTTGGCCGGGCGAATCATCACATAATCATCGTACTCATCGTTCACATGGTTGTGCTGCTCCTGTCCGTACTCTCCGCCTGCCTGTGTCTGTGCCTGCTCGACGTGCTGCTGCTCGTGCTGGTGCTGGTGCTGCTCCTCTGTCTGCTGCTCAAAATCACCCAGTTTTAAGCCCTCCATGGCATTCGCTAGATCGGTGCTGCTATTATTGTTGTTGGCCGGAGCCATTTCCTCCTTTTCCTGATGTGCCTTTTCCTGGGTCTGTGTCTGGTTCTGGTTCTGATTTTGCAAATGCAACTGCTGCATATACTGATGGTAGTGCTCGCGCTGCAGCTGGTGTATGAGTACAGCCTGCTGCTCTGGATTTCCCGGAAACTGTTTCTCGGCATACAGCTTAGAATAGACAGACAGGGAGACAGAGAGAGAAGGTATGAGATACGGGAATGAGAAATTGAACTGACCGATAAATTTGTTTGGAAATTGGGTCACGACCCCTTTGTGGGCCACAGGGCACACCGTCAAGGCCACTGCCGACCGGGCCCAGACACTAATCGTGAATTATTGAACCCAACAACAGGTGCAAGGGCTCGCCGTAGGTTGGGGAGGGATTGGGGGCTGGCGCTATGGGAAACCGTGGAAAATCGATTGTCTACCTTGAACTGCTGGTATGTCTGCTTGTTGAGAGCGTCCTGCAGCTGACGTCGTTGCAGCTCCTCTTTGTAACCCTCCTCCAGCAGCTCCTGCTGCTGGCGCTCCCGTTTCTGTGCCACCTCCTTCTCCAGTTCCATGCGTCGCAAGTCTTTTCGCAATGTCTCATCGCGGTCCTGACGCACCGCCTCGATATAGGGTCGAAATGCACTGCACATCGTGTCCAGTAGATCAATGAACCCCTCCATGGCCTGCTCCCGGCTTATGTCGCCCAGAAGCTGCCAGTGCTGCTGGCGGTCGCGGCCAATTACATCGAGCACGCCCAAAGCTGGGGCATCGTTCGTTTTGAAGGGTCCGAGAGATGCCTGCTGCTTGAAGGCGATTAGCTTCAGATTGTCCTCGTAGGACAGGTGTATGGCTTTGCCCGAGTTCTCTGTAATATATGCGATTACGTGTTAGAAGGAAGCCCGCACACAACTCAATTGGCTGTGGTTTACATACGTTTGTAGAATGTGAATGCTAGTCGGTAGAGTTCTTGCAGCGGAAATCCCCATTTCTCTGCAGCTGGGACTGGGGGTGCGGCTGTCGCTGTTGGTGTGTCGCTGCTGCTTGTCGCGGTCTCCATATTTGCCGCCAGTGTTTTCCCGATGTTTCCAAAGTCTGTTTGCCTCTATAAAAAATTCGCACAATCAAAACAAAAAAATATAATTCGTATGTGACGTTTTCTTCAAGTGTGACCGTCGTGCCACAAAATATCAGTGTTTTCCAACATTGACTGCAGGTATTGGTGCCTGCAATTATAGCTATTTTATGGCTATGTTTTAGTTATTTTTTATAAATACATGAAATTGCTTGTCTCCAAAAAACATATCTATATGTATATATAATTTTTGTTTTATTTTATTGTGCTACTGTAACTAAGTCCTCATAGTGTCCGCCATGATATTTTAAGACAATTAAACTCTTCAAAATTTAGCTTAATTTTTTCCGAACGTGTTTAAGAAGCTAGTTTCTCACGCCAATCGGCGCGGGCAGACCTATACCACATACTACACGTGCACTGAGTTCCGTTTAGTTGATGTCCATTTGAATAAAGAAATTTAACTTAACGATGAGCAGTACACGCTTCTTCTTGGCAGATCTGCCAACCCGAGCAACCGAATCGGATCTGCGGAGCCTGTTCCAGGACTATGGCCATGTGGAGCAGGTGGACCTGAAGCGGAAAGAGCAGGAGGATGGCCCAGACAAAATAATCGGATTCGTTACACTCCAGACGGACGATGCGCACTACTGTGAGTGGGCTACACATTAAGAATGGGAAGCCTATTTATGATCATTCGACTTCTTGCCCGTAGGTCTGAACGAGCTCAACTGGCAGAAGCTGCACGGCTCCAAGCTTAGGATATCTGTGGCCAAGGAGTCCTTTCTGGATCGGCTAAAGCGTGAGCGCGAGGAGAACCAGCAGAGGGAGCAGGGCCAGCAGGAGAGCGAAAGCTTCAACGAGAGCACCTCGCGGCTACTCAAGGAGAATACACAAAATAAGCGCCGGGTGTTTGGCGAAGACGAGGAGATCGGCGATGACGAGGTTGGGCTCGAGCTGCTCATCACCAAGAAGCGTGCCGCTCACTCCATGCACAATGGCAAAGTAAGCTGTCGGCCTTGGATTCATCCTGTATCAAGTATCAACCCATTTCTAAACCGTATTTCTTTTCAGATTGTCATTCAGAAGGAAGACGATGTGAAGCCGCTGCACATCATCGAGCAATATAAGAAGCCGGCCAAGCAGCAGCCGGATGCCAAGGTCAGCCAGGCCGAGCAGAAGCGTAAGGAGTCGCTTAACAAAATGCGGCAGGAGCATCTGCAGAAGAAGTCTGCCATACAGCAGGCTCTGTCCGCGATCACCGTGGACGGCAGCAGGGCGAAGCGAATCAAATTCAGCGATGCCGAGGAGGATGAGCACGAGCCTGAGCCGCAGCCGAAGAAGCAACCCAAGTTAGATCTCTTCGACGACGATGAGGAGGATGGCGAGGAGGATGATGAGCAGGTCATTATTCCCCAGTATGAGGGCAAGAAGGGAGAACGTTTGGTGGAAATGCAGAGCAAGCAAAGTTTGGATCCCCGTTTCCGCATCACAGCCACCTTTGTGGACGAGGAAGAAGGCGACTATGAGCAGAAAGATGCAGGTGCAGATCTAGATCATGCCGCGGACATGCCACAGGAAAGTGAACGCAACTGGCAAATGGGCATTCTGGAGCAGGTAGTCGGACGAAAGCTGACCAACACCAGTGAGAACGAGCGCAAGGCCGCCAAAAACAAGAAAATGCTCCGCTTCGATCCGGCCAACGAAGGTCACCAGAATCTGGTGCGACAAAAGGTGGTCCAGGAGAAGGAGAACAATTATACGATTCCAAAGACAAAGGATGCGAAGGCCAAAGACAAAGGAACTGTCGAGGCGCCTGTCTCAAAGGAAGCCTTCTACGTGGTCACCGACAGCCTCACGCAATCCCTCAATATGCGGGGCGAAGGCTTCAGCCTGCTGGACATGTTTGGCAGTGCCCACGACGAGGAGGTGGCCAAGCGCCAGGACCAGCTGGAGAAGCTAGGCAGCGAGAAGATTCTGGTGAGCAAACCAAATGCCAACAAACTGGGCCAACTGGCCACCCAAAATCCCTTCAGCTACGATTCATCCGAAAGTGAGGATGAGGCAGCGCCGGCAGCTGATCCAGATCCTGATCCAGCGAATGAGGAGGAGCCAGCCAAGAAGAAACCCAAACAAAAGAAATCCAAAATTCAAATGGAATCCTTCTTCATACCCAAGAACGATACCAGGCTGAAAGGTAAGGCTGTTCGTGTGTCGTGTGTCCTGTCTCTCTTTTCCAACTCTTTTTGGTTACTTCTTTTGATGTTGCAGAAGGTGCCCAGTTCTTTAGGACCACCAAGGCAGAGGTGGATCATGCCGACTATGACAAGGTGAAGAGCCGCCTTAAGCTTCTGATTGGCAATAAGATAGCCAAGACCCGAAAGAACCTGCCCAGCAAGGACATCAAGCAGCCCAGAAACAAAAATCCGAAAATACCCACCAAATAGATCCATCCCCACTGAGTAACAGATGCTCCGGCATCTGTCTTGTACCTACTTTAGTTAATTAGTTATAGGCATAAAGTGGTTTTTTTTTTCTCAAAAAATTGTGTATTTATCTAGATTACAGAAGGAAAAAAAAAATATATAGAGATATAGAGAGAGAATGGTAGTGGTAGTGGGAGAGAGAGATGATTATGTGTATAAGTTCCTGCACAAATGCATTTTGAGCCCCATTTCAGCTCGCAACTAGATTATCATAGAAATTTTCGATTGCTTATAAATCATGGCAATTCGGCCGATCCGACCCCGCAGCAGAAGCAGGAGAAGAGCGTTGCAGTTGCAGAACTTTTTCTCCTCCTCTGATTTGAACTTAGACTAAAATAAACGTTTTTTAAAATTATTTCTGGCACAAACATTGCGATTCGCAATATTCCGGTTTTGGGGGACTTCCTCCGTTCGGGGCGGTGGCGTAGGAATCCTTAAGCACTTTTGGCTGTCATGGATGACGGGGATGTGGCGCTGCGTCCCCGGCTCTATGTAAACGTTGCAAATCTCAATTAAAATTCGAGACGTAGCTCGTCTTTGGTACTTTGGTAATTCTCCGATCCGGGTCTCCTCCATCCGGTTCACGAGTGGTTTGTTTTTTTTTTGGTGGAGATTGTGGGGGTATTAAGTAAGAAGTATATAACCTACGCATCCGTGGATGCAGCACTCGCTGTCAGTGCCTCCGCCTGAGCATCGACATCCGGTTCATCGGGTACCAGAACAACAACAGCAGCAGTAGCAGCAGCGCTGCTTGGTTCATCTCGCTCCAATGTCGGACTGCGACTACGGTGGCTGGGTGACGACTTCACTGACAACACGGGGCTGGTCTGCTCGGTGGGTTTGGCTATCAGATGAGTGGAGGATGCTGGCGGTAGCGGTGAAGCTGCTTCTGCTGCTGTCTGCTGCTGTTTCTACTGTTGTTGCTGCTGTTGCTGCTTCTGCTGCTGCTGCTGGCGCTGTTGCTGCTGGTGGTGCCTGTGCTGAGGGAGAAGGAGCTATTGGCTGACTGATGGTACTGGTGCCCAGCTGTGTCTCTGGGACTGACGTCCTGCCCGCAGCCAGCTTCTCAATGGCAATCACCGTCCGATCCAGAAGATTCATGAATCGCTCCTCGCGTGCATCCATCCGTTTGAGGAGCTCTTCGTCGCGCTTCTCGCGCCTCTTCAAATACTCGATCAGCTCGTAATTGGTGCTGTCGCCATCGGTGGAGGTGGACAGCTTGCGCTTGCTCTTCTTCAGCGAGGTGGAGGAGCTGCAGTCGGACAGATTGTCCGTGTCCACGATAACATCCGGATGCAGGATGTTCTGGTCGATGCCCGGCGAGTAATAGTTCTGTGTCCTGCAAAGAGATGCGAGCATTATAATTTTTGGCTAAATCTTCGCTTGAATCCTTCCGCCTCCCCCGCCACTCACTCACCCATTGTAGTTGGTCTGCATCAGCTGAATGTCATCCGGATTGAATTCCCCCTCCGAAAGTGGCTCCGATCTGTGAATGGCAGGAATGAAGTTCCGTTTGGTTTGAATCGGTTTTAATAATGCCTGAAGAATACCCCTTGGAACCGCCTTAAAGTGTAACTTTTATCTGAATTTGTCTAATTTGTTTAGGGTTCAGCAAAAAAAGAAGAAAGGGGAGCACGGATGGACTCGCAGAAAAGTGAGCTACGGTAGGTACGGCAGGATTTTAATTGTATTAAGGATCTACTTCTATAATTCATATTTAAATTAAATATAATTCATATTTAATTAAATATAATTTATGTTTAAATTAAATAAATAATAATAATAATTTATATTTAAATTAAATATACATATTTCATATTAAATATATCTATTATCTATTATATTATTATTTTTTTTTTATAGGTCGGCGTCAACACTCTGAGTGGACCAATCGGTTTTGAGTGTGTTCCCCAACCACGGTATGATACATGGCTGATTGTTTATACACAACGACCCAGCAAACAGGCCACCAACCGCAGACAACGGGGCGGGGCAGTTGGGGAGAACAGGGGGGGGGGGGCGGACCCCCGGGGGGGGGGGGGGCGGGGGGGGGGGGGGCGGGGGGGGGGGGGCGGGCGGGGGGTATATAATCAAAAAGCCGTCATATTTAAAATAAAGTCCGTATAAAAAATAAATTTATGTGCAAATCAAAGTGTAGAATTCACTTTAATTAAACATACTCGTAGCAAATGTTTGTATTAAAAAATAGAATATTTAGTTTAAATATGTATTTTGTTTTTTTTTTTTTTTACTGTGCCCAATTAATTTTATTGAGTATATTGCGACTTTATTCCATGTATTTTCTAGAAGTTCCAAGTCAATCTGTTCCCTCAGCCTAGAATTTATCTACCTGTCTATCTGTCTTCTTCCTATTGCAGCAGGATGATTTAACTCTTAATCTTAACTCTGAGTGTAGGGCCTGACAACTGATGGAATGTAGATTTACTCACTTCATGGATATGTTGTTGTCGTTGTTGTTATTGTTCTGATGGTGCAAGTTGAGGGCTCCATTGCAGTCCTTCTCGTAGTCGGGCGTTTCGGCGGTGTCATCCATATGCCCATGACCATGAACAGGACCAATGCCATGTCCCAGATGAAGACCATGCCCCAGACCATGGCCGTGCCCCAGACTATGGCCGTGTCCGTGTCCGTGACCAAGTCCATGATGATGATCCTTAAATGCAGCATTCTGTGGCTCGTCGTCCTCGTCCTCATCCGGCGGCAGCTGAACACAGCCGCCATTGCTCAGGTGCAGTTCATTGCTCCGCTTTTGGGCGGCCACGGCAGCGGCAGCTGCGGCAGCCGCCACAGCGCCGGCCACATGCAGCTGAAGGGGATTGGGATTGTCGTCATAGACGCCGGCGGGCAGGCCCACCGTCAGGCCGTTGCCGTTGGAGCAGGGCACGTCGTTCAGCTGCGTCTCAACAAAGTGGTTGGGCAGGAAGCGCTCCAGCTTGCTGGCACCGCTCTGCGACGAGTCCGTGGAGTGGGCATGGCTCTGGCTGAGGCTCTGCAGCAGGCTGTGCTGGTGGGGCGTGAGATTGTCCTTGTTCAGCAGGACGCCGAGCTCGGCCGCCTGTCGCCGGCGCTGGTAGTAGGAGAGCTCGTTGTGATTCTTGGAGATGAGAGCCAGACGCTTGCCGTTGGAGCCCCAGCACTCGCCGCGCTGCTCCTCGATCTCCTTGAACAGGAACATGTACGGCCAGTTGCGACGCACGTGTCGCTCCGGATTCTTCTTCAGCTGCGTGTAGATCTTCTTGAGGTTCTCGTACCGATTGCAGCACTGCTTGGCCGTCCGCTTGCGGGCACTGAACCGATTCAGCACCTCGGCCACCATCTCCCACACACTGGCATGGTTCTTCCGGTTCGACTGGAACGCACTCTGTATGCGCTCCGACTTGACAATATTCAGCAGAGCCACCGACTCTGGCACATTGAAATAGCTTTCCGGTGTGCGCGGCGCCCGCTGGTGGTGATAGTTGCTCGTCGTCACTGGGGGTGGGTTGTTCTTCGTCTCCTGTAAAGATCGTTGATCGGGGTATAGTTTATTGGTTTTTACTTAAGCCCCTCTGATTAAAACGTTCCTAACCATCAATCAGGTGGCTAAAATATCACATTTAGTAGGTTCTAGGAGGGTGCTCGATATGTCGATCACTCGATCCCTTCCATCACTCAAATTAAACATAAATATAATTTCTTGTGTCGGATCGGATTCAAGTGTCGTATTTTCAGAATAAAGTTTCCATTCATTTAATTATTGGATTCTTCTTGACTTTATTATTATTATTATTTATTTACGACAAGTAAAAATTAAATAAATCTTGTGTGTTCTTTCTGCCGAACATGGGGAAGCAAATTTTATGGTAGTCGTATTTAAGAGTCAGGCCACTGAAATTGTGCTGAATTGGATCTTCCGCAAATCGGACATTTCCAGATTGGAGTGGAAACAAAATTTTTAACACTGTATTAATTAACCAAAAAATGATGGAAAATATAATGGTGAATATCAACTGAATACGTTCATTTATGTACATACATTTCTTGTACACCAAGCCCTTCCGATATTATTAAATATACGAAAACAAAGCCTCGTTTAATCTATCTGGTTATAGCATTGCATAGACCCCATAAGTAGGTAATATCGATCGGTAAATAAAAAGATCCCCTGACGGAATCATATGATAATATGAATATAATCAAATTGCTATATTATATATTATACTTCAACCGAATGTTATTAAATAATAAACATAATAAATAAAATGTTAATAAAAGTAACAGAGTTTCTTTTTTATTTATTTTTGTATTTCGCTCCACGAATTTCAATTAAAGTTTCTTTAATTAAGTGTAGCTCCTAGTAAACAATCGCTTCCTTATTATGTTTTAGTGTTTTAATAAAAACAATAAACATATTGAAATCGAATAAAAATCTTTAAACAAATCCAAATTGCTGGGAAATTTCATGTCATGCTTTCGGAAAATCTTTTAGAGTAGACAAGTGTACATAGATCAACATATGTACATATGTATGAATGTACATATGTATGTCTGTATATTTGATTGGTTGAAGATCAGTCATCTCATGGTCTTTTCTAAGAAAAACGAGTATGACTAATCTAAGTCAAAGTCCAAACATTTTTTTGACAATCATCACGGAATCGTATAATATCACATTAAAGTGCATACTCGTACATATGTACATACATATGTATGTAAATATATACATAGATCTCTGATCTCAATCTTCGTTTTACACACTGCAACTGCAACTGTAACTGCAACTGCATTTGGCATTGGAATTTCGAGTATTCCTAGCCGAACCGATCTTTAAATCGCTCTCTCAGATTCTTTTCTCTTGCTCATTTCCCTCTCTCTCTCTCTTCTAATGTAATTTTCTCTCTGTTTTCCTGACTCTCTCGTGTATTCACTTCATTCATCTTTGCTTACCATTTGAGAATTTTTGTTGTAGTCAGCCGCTTTTTCGTTGCTCCTCCTTCCTCCTGCCGCCCACCCGTTTTTGCTGAGTAGGCGTAACGCTGAGATCTCTCCTCTTCTCTATTTTTGCTCTTTATCTTCTTTGTCTGTGTGTGTTTGCTAGTGTGTGTGTACGTGCTTCACGCTTTTCAATGGTTGCTCCTTTTGTAACTTGTAATGGCGGCTTCTGCCACGGAGTTGGGGAAGGGTTCCTCTATTTCTTGTTGTTTCTGTCTAACGGTATTTTGCATTTCAAATATAATGAAACGGCTCGCTGCATTTACCGCTTATAACGGTAACGGTTATTCCATGCACTTTTCTATTCCCCATCCAATTGATGTCTAGAAAAATGACACCGCGAAATGGAACGAAACGGAAGAGAACATTAAAAATCGCATTTACAGCAAAAAAAAAAAACACAAATTAAACACAAAAATTAAAAAAAAAAAAAAGGAGAACACACAGACAAACAGAACACCAAAACCGAATCGGAGACTCAATAAACAACAACTGAAAAGGGAATAAACGGGCGAATAAAGGCGATTTTTGTACTTGTGTACTTCTTTGTTGTTGTTGTTTTTTTTTTTTTATTCTGTTGTTGGTGTTACTCGGATTTCGTTATTTCGTTGTTGACAACAAACCCCGACAACGACTATTAATATTTAGAAGTTAACCTTTTAGCCTCAGACGGCGGCTCATCGGCTACGGACAGGGGCAGCAGCAGCGTCGACAAAAAACAAAAAAACAAAAAAAAGAAACAGAACAGCAACAAAAATAAATCACAAAAAAAAAAATTTATATGCACATGTGCCCCTGTTTATACCATTCCACATACAAAATGTACATGTACAGATGTACGTATTGTGTGTACATAAATACATATGTTTGTATGTATGTATATATAGAAGCGTGCATCTACTGTTAGACGCTGGGCTTTAGCCGCTAGTCCCTGTCGCCCGCGCGCACTCTTTTTTTTCACTCGATCACATTCATGCACGCACGCACGCACGCTCACAGTCCTAATCCGCTCACGGACGGTCTTTCAATCCCTCCCAGGCTCTTCACGATCTCACACGCGACACTTTCACTCTTTCACTCACGCACATCGTTTGATTGCAATTGCAATTGCATTTTTGCTTGGAGCTGTGTGCAGTTTTTGTAAATCCTTCTGTTTGCAGGCGACTCTCGGGCACTGTAGCTCAAGTTCAAGTTGGTACTCCACTCACGGTCGTCAGTTGTTGTCCCACCACTCACTCACGCGCCGATTCATCCATTCTTTCGCTCACGCGCAGTTTCCTAGAGTATTTCACTCACGCACGTTGGAATGCAATTGCAATTGCAATTCGCTTGGTTGTTTAAGACAGGGGACGGTGGCCGGGGGACTGTAGTACGGGGGGTATCGATCCGATGGCTATGTACGAGTATGTACATATGTCCGTTGTCTTGAGATTCAACTAACCAACTAAAAACTAACCAAACCAAACAACAACGAAACTGAAACTGAACTTTTTCGTGGCGATCCCGTAGTCGATACTAACGGCAGTCGAATCCACACACACACACACACACACATACACTCGAGCACACATGTGGACACACCAACACACATACATTCACATAGTGCTACGGTCGTTAGGCGGACGAAGACGCCGCCGCGCCACTCGGTCCGTCCGATCACAAGTACTCTCCTCTTTCTTTCAGGGCTGGCTGCCGCTGCCTGCTCTAACTTAGTAGATTGCGAGAGGGTGAGGGAGATGAGGAGCAGAGAAGAGGCACGGCACGTAGCTGCTGGTGCTCTCTTGCACATGTGTTGCGCATACATACACATACATGTACGTGTGCGTGAGAGTATAAAAATATACATAAATACATATGAATGTATGTACCGCTACTTATAGAATCGGGCAGAGAAGAGGCGACTGCGGGCGCTGCCAGAATCTCTGAGATTCCAATTCCAACAATCTCTCAGCCATAAGAGCAGGGGAAACAGTTACTCCGATTCCGATTCCCACTTCAGGAACAGCAAAGCGGTGCATCTCCCTTTGCAATCTCTCATTCTCTCTCTCTCTCTCTCTGATCATATGTACCATAGGTGTGTGTGTGTTTGTGCTTGTGTGATGGTGGTGGGGGTGGGGCTAGGGCTAGGGCTAGGAACCAGGGATCTATGATCGGAAAAATGGGAAAAATCGTAGCCTAAAAATAGATCAAAGTATGCAGTCGAGGCACCCCAAGTGGATTCGAACTGTTTTTTCATTCTGACTTTTGGGTTGATGATCTTTGGGCAGCGTCGAGCAATGGATGAACCACAGCTCAAGATACATACATACATATATAGATTCAACAGGATACACGTACATATATTTCCTTGAAAAATCTTGAACCAAACTTGAATAACATCACACAAGGATGATCATAGAATAGATCAAAGATAATGGAAAGAAGATCATCTAAAATACCATAAATAGTCGGAAAATTAACAATAAAATTACTCTTTAAGCGAATTACGACCACGATTAATATACGTAACATCTAATAAGAACATCATTGATCCAACAGGACTAATGTATGTATTTAAATTCGAAATCGAAGATCATCAGCGTAACTTCTAAGTATGTATATGTATGTATAAGTATGCAAGCGCATAAATATCACGACTATATGTAGACTGGAAAAATAAAATCAAATAATCAAAAATTAATCACGAAAAATATAACAATTTAAAGCCAGCTTTCGAGTATACGATCTTCTTAAAGATCACACATGATGCAATTAAACATCAACATCTACATCTATATCATTTTTATAGATTCCAAATATTACATCTAATCTGATGATAGTTTAATACATAGTAGATCCTTTTAAGTGGCTGGGCTTGGGCAAAGTTCCCGAAGCCAACGTATCCATGGAATGGAATCGAGTAGAATAGAGCAGAGTAGAGGTATTTATAAAGATAAGTAGATGCTGATGTATGCATGGTGAGCGATCGGCGATCGGGCAAATGTTTATACATAAAATCAAATTACTGGCGGCCTCGCTTTGCTCAACCGATCGTTATATTGTCTTGGGGTCTCGTTTCGCACCTTTGACACCGTGTCTACTACATATGTCGCCTTTCCGCCTTGTGTGTGCCGTGTGTGCAGTGTGTTTGGCGATTTTCATTGATTATTTTGTAGCGGCTATCGCTTGGATTCAAGATCTACCGATCGGCTGGATCCATTGGAAATGCTCTAATGACTTTTGACTTCGCTTGACTTTCGTTTGGTAGCGATGGGATCGTTGATCGGTGGATGTGAATGTGGATGGGATGGCGTACAACTTTTACTCATGGCCCCACCGTTATTTTTAATTTTTAGAACATACGTACAAATGTATATGTACCACACTCACACACACACAAATGTAAGTATACTCGTATACACACTGGCAGAGACTGGCAACGATCGTATTCTATTTGTAATCCAAAATAAGTGTATGTATCTCTGTATCTGTATCTGCATCCGTACTACGAGTATGTGGTTCGCTTTACGATTTCTGTGTTGCCCACTCTCTTTGGGACTTATTTGCGTTATACTTGGTATAATTCCGTTCTGTTCGTAATTTTTGTTTTTGTTGGTTTTTTTTGTTTTCATTTTTTGTGCTGTGTTCTCGTCGGGTACAGTGTAGCCCCCTCCCCCGACCAGATCTGGAGCGAACATGTAAATGGAAATACCATTCGTTCTAGTACTTGTTCGTATTCCGATTGCTTTTCTAAAAGAATTTTAATCGAAAGAAATGATTACCAATCTGCCTCTCTCTCTATCTGTTTTTGAGTTGTGAGCGTAGTTACGATAATCTCTGTACACCCCCCGAAACAATGTTAGGCGGGGTTATCGGTTATCTCTGGCCAAATGAGCTGTCACTGCAGTTTGGTTGGTTAGCTCTCCACCCGTAGACTCGACTCAACTGTGGATCGAGACAAGCTACTCTCTTCGAGCGCTCGAACATATTTATATATGTATTTATAGTGTACAGTTTAGTTCAGATTTAGTTGCTGGCTCCTTGGCTACAGCAAGGAATACATCTTCAATAGGAATATTAGAGTTTATTAATTCTTTATAAAACACAAACATTTTCATAGATGATTTTTTTAAGATGAGGAATTCATTTTCAACATCCTTGAAATTATTTTATTCTCCAAAATTTTTGCATCGAAATTTTGAGAAGAAACTTTTTGAAGCTTGAAGCGTTCATTTTTCTTTCATTCTTTGAGTTCAGTTTCTTAGAATATGATCTATTTGATATGGATATAAAGAAAAAATAAAACCTGCGCCAATGCCAGGGAATTCTTGGTGCTTTTTACCATGTTTATGAATGGTGAAAATACATTTTGTCTTTAAATTACTTTTGATCATTTGTTAGATTTAAAACGTGAATAATTCGAATCTTTGTTAATGCGAACTAAGTCAAGATTAGTATCAGATATTTAACCCATTTTGATATTCCCTTTATCGTACTTTATACTCGTAAATACATATGGGAGTAATATAAATGTATTTTTTTCCCCTCATTCCCTCATTTTACAGTGCCAAGTTTCTTTTTCAGCTGCAGCTGTATCTGGCTTATGTATTTTCTGTTGTTGTTACAAATCTGTATCTGTACGAGTATCTGGGGCCCATTGTGCAGAGTGCAGAGTATCTTAGTATCTTTGCGTTTTATAGCTATTGGTTTTTGGTTGGTTTCTTGTTATATTCCGCTGCTCTGAAATGTCGGCCGCTTTCCGTTTTGAAACGAAAATGAGTACAATGGTTATTTTTAGAACTAAAATTTTCTTGATTTTTCACTCGTTAAAATTGCCTTACGCTCCGCTCCGTTCTGTAGTTGCCGTACGGGCCACCACCAACCCGATTCCCGTCCCGGCATCATCGTCTTCGTCTTTGCCATCGTCACGATCGTGGCTGTATGGTTGTATAGCTGTAGTATGTCTGTATCTGCATCTGTACATCAGTATCTGTATGTCTGCATCTGTAGCTGTAGCTGTTGCTGTATCTGGGTCTGATGTTTTCAACAGGGACTGTAAGATCTTTTTCTCCCTCCCCCCCCCACCACCACCATCAACCACATTGGCAACTTAAGTAACATTAGTTTCGATAGTTTCCACCCAGACACAAACATGTGTACGGGGGGGACGGACGGACTGGCAGATGGACAGATGAGAGTGAATGCATGTGGCGATGCTCTTACAAGAACAGCCAGCGATTTTTGTGTTTTTTTGTTTTTGTTTTTGTATCTCCTCTAGAGATCGTCGAGCGTTGAACATCGACGGGGGAACGTTTCAGCGAACGTTGTATACCAATGACGACGACGGCAGCGACGAGTATATAAGATTTATAGTTGCTATTTTTAAAAACGGCATATTAACAATCGTAGGCTAGGGATCGGAACAGTACCGAACCGAACCGAACTGAGCCGAACGGAACCGAAGAACTGAAAACTGTTGGCCAGAGAGAGATGATGATGTACAGAATTCAATTTCGTATAACGAACGTTACATGGGCTGCGATCGATGGATGGATGGAGTGTCTGCATGCCTGCCTGCCTTTGGTTCTGGCTGTGGGTTTATTGAACTCTATTCTTTAGTCGGTCTCAAAAACACGCACTGAAAAAGCCCCAAACATCAATTTAGAATAATTTTTGTAGGCTTAGGTTCTGGGAACGAATTTATATGAATCTTTTTTAGTCCTTTGATGTCAAACCACCGTTGAAGACAGCCATTGGAACAAAATGTTTCAAAATAATGGACAAGAAGCAACGAGAATTATAAATGAACCAAATAGAATCTCTCAAGGAAAATAATTTGATTAAATCGTGACTAAAAAGAAAACAATGTTTCCATTGATCGTTCTGTTTATTGTACATAGATACATTTTCGTAGAAATACATTTAATGAGCATTTTTTGACACGATTAACATTTCTGACAATGCTGCTTACATTGATCCTGAATTTTAGAAATAATAAAGAATATTATTAATATTAATTAATATTAATATTATTACCTGGCTGACTTAATTAAATAGGAATTCTCAAACATGTGTCAAACGTTTAAAGTGAAAAACAAGTCTCTCCGGTTTGTTCTTCATTAAAAAAAATCATTGAAAATCTGTATCAGCTTCATACAAATCTAAATATAAGACATTCATCTAGTTGCATTTCTCCAGCAAAAAATTCGATTTACAATTATGTTTTTAATTAAAGCTGAATCAAAATTAGTGTTTAAATTGTTTCTATAGAAGAAACGCAAAGAAACTCTGAAAAAAGGTCATATACCTAACAATCGTCAAACGTAGCCAGAAAATATCTACATATGACACGGCCTCCTTTGCCTTTATCAGCATTATATGTCCTGGTGAACTACTACAGCAGAGCCAAGGGAAATCTGCATAAAAGACTCGCCATCTAGCGGCAAAGACAACCAACAAACACATCGCGCACGAGGCATCCTTATTATCCTTTTTGATGGGGATTGGAGATGGGCTGAAGGGGCTGGAGGGGCCTTGAGCAGCTGCGACTGTAAATTGGTTAACGGTAACAACAAAAGGCTGGCAATCAGATTGCACCTTTGGTGTGAATGAGGGGGGATGATTTTGTTGGGGGGTCATGGGAGTCGGGGGGGGGTGTAAGGGTAAGAGGCAAAGGCACAGTGGTAGCGGTAACAGGTGCACACGCATAAGCTTCTTGTCCTATGATACACTCAGATAACAGTAGCAGCTCTGCCTTTACTCGTAATACAACATCAGGTCTCTGGGGGCGACCATGTGCACATATTTACATACACATTTATGTAGGTATGTATGTATGCATGCTTGTACATATCCTTGGGAAGAGGGGCTTTCGACACACTCTATTACTTACACACTCACACACACAAACACTCGAGCAAGTAAAAGCATTGGAAAAAAGCGAAAGTAAAAACGCCTACGCAAACGTGTAAGGGAGTGAGTGGGTGGGGGGGAGGGAAGTCAAGTTTGTGCGTCTGCGCTCTTTATGGTTGCACTTTCCATTGCCTACATTCGTGCGTGAAAGAAAAAGAGTGGGGAGGGCGGCAGTGACCGCGTGCTTGTGTGGCTGTGTCTGTGTGCGCTCCAGAGAGGAGAAATCGAAAGTTGTGAAACTTGTAGCTTTTGGGGCAGCAGAGTAAACTCTGTTATAGATACAGGAAGTCAAGATGTGGCATGTTTTTGTACGAGGTGAGTCTTTGCCATAGAGCGATCTTGTTCCATAGTTCCATAGCACATAAGAGGGAAAGGGAAAGTAATAGAGTGGCGGGGGTAAGAAACGGTATTTTTAAACTTCTGGGAGCGAACATTTTTTCACCTTGCAGAAATATATCCTGCAGGAAGTTGTTCGCTGGCGTTGCCAGAACGTGGCTGCTATCTCTCAACTCCCATGCAGCCTGGCAACGCTGCAACACACACACACACACACACACCCCATACACAATGTGTAACGAAAGCTCTTTCAAAGGCCAAAAGCGAATAAAGAAGAAGAAGAATCAGCAACACCAGCAGAAGGAGCAGGCAGTCACAAGAACCGAACCCGAACACATTTTTTTCCTTCATTCTTCATCCGAAAAAAAGCGATACACACGGAAAACCTGGCCACCGTATTCATTCACGGTATACCGTATACCGAGGCGAGAAGCATAGGCAACACCGCCAGCAATCATTCTTTTTTTTGTTAAACGCCACAAAACGAAACAAAAAAAAAAAAAACTCCTAAAAACTTTAAGTTAATTATTTCAGTTTCTGTGTTGAATGAGAACCGCAGGCGTTGGCATTTATATTAATTTTTGTTTGTGTGCGTAAGTTTGTGCGTGTGCAACGGTGAAAAAAAAATAGTACATACATATATTTGCATTTTGCATTCGTGTGTGTGTGGCAGTGCGTGCGTGCATGTGTGTGTGAGCCACGTGAAGGTAAAGGCGCGCCAACAACACCAAGTGACAGCGGGAAAGAACAAGGAGGAAGGACAAGAGTCAGTGGACAGAGTCCTAAGGGCAGCGGGCGGCCAAAGGTAGAGAAACTGAGAGAGAGAGAGACAGAGAGAGAGATAGGGAGACAGGACAGTGTTGGGCAGAGACAAAAAACTGAAAACGAAACTGAAAAGAAAGTGAAAATTTGCCTAACGTGGACAAGTGCAAAAGAAAGGAGGAGAGGGGTGAGATCCTTCAGACGTGAAACTGTTGAATATAGAATGACGTTGCTGAGAGAAATCAATGTGGAAAACAACAAAAAAGCAACAGTAGCAGCACCACCAGCACGAGTAACTGTAAACTTATCCTCAACAACAGCAACAGCAGCAGCAGAAGCAGCAGCAGGCGAAGGAACAGTAGCAGCAGGAGCTGCGAAAACAACAGAAGAAGCAACAGCAACATCAAGAAGCTCACCACGCAAGCAGAGATAAAGCGAAGAAGGTCATCAAGCTGCAAAGCAAAGAATAGGAAAGCGCCTGAAAGAAGAGTTAGAACTAGTGGGAAAAGGGCAACAGCCAGAACCGGAAGAATCCCAAGGAAGCAGCAGAAGATCAGCAACACACAAATACAGCAAGCAGCACCACATACACACACAACAACAACAACAACAAAAAAAACAATTCATCATCTCACTTTGCCATTTTATTGGCCACTCTTTCACCGTTCCGTTCGATTGTTGGTGCTGTTGCTGGGTCCTCCATTGACTTTAAATAGAAGAAGTTGTGCTCAACGCATCTGATTGCTGTTGCTGCATTTGGCTAGCGGGGGTGGAAAGGGAAGCAAGAAAGAAGAACGCAATGAAGCCATCGGATTTGTTGTTGGTGCTAGAGAAGGTAAGCAAAAGCATCTTTTTGTTGTTACAATCAAAAATAAAATACCAAAACCAATAACGAACAAACAAAAAGAAAAACACCAGAGGAAAATACCATAAGTTGTTGGTGGATATTTTTTTTTTTTTGGTCACTGCTAAAATTAAAGCAGCCCGCCCCCCACACCCCTACCATACTTTAGCAAATGACTCGGCGCTACGTACGCATATGTATTACTGTTTGTTCCTCTGTGTGTATACATGTACATGTGTGTGTGTGTGTGTGTGTGGAGTGGAATGGTGTGGGGGAGGGGGGGAGTGGTATGGCCGTAAAAAGGTCATTATGATACTGAACGCCGACGCAGACATACATACATATACATACACATACAGACTAGTGCGTAAATGTGTGTGTGTATGAACTTATGCAAATCCATTTAATAGAAAGAGAGGGCGAGAGACCATGGAGTTAAGAAGAAGCAGCAGCACACACACACAGCACACACAGGCTTACAGGGTCACTTGGGCAAATACATACGACATAAAAACCACAACAAAAGCACCGATGTGGGTGTCGAAGGATGGGATGGGATGGGAGGGTAGGGTAGGTGCTGCAATGTGGGAGCGTACAAACCACAAAATACAAAGAAATAGTAAAAAAAAAGAAAATATGTACATGTACATACAAAGGTACATACATACATACATGGATACCCTTTCAGAGACAATGTTTCCGCTTCCAGACATATGGTATAAATTATCCAAAAAATTACTCCAGTAATAACCTTAAGAAACTGCAGCTGATTAAAGTTCGGTTGCTTAATAGGTACTTTAAATTACAACATTAAATTTTTCTAGTGGTTAGCTCCTATAAGTTTAGTTCCTATATCAGCTACATTATGCTGTAGTGTTTCATTAATTCAACAAATATCATTTTGGATCGAATGTACATACGTATGTCAGATATATTCCAATTTGGGGAAATATTTTGCCGAAAAAATATAAAAACTCAGATCAGCAATGCATCCGTGTAAATGTCTCGTCCCTGGTTTGTGGAGTGGGCAAAACATTTTTGGCTTTACGTTATCTTTATGGCCACTTCTGTCTACCTACCTACCTCCCTCCCTCCCCTCCTTCCGTTACGACCGCAGCTGTAATTGGAGCCGGAGACGGGAGCCGGATACATGTCCCCAGACCCCTTGAAGCTCTAGAGCCCCATAGCCAAATCCCACCCACAGAACAGTTAGTGTCCAGCTTATCCCCCAGTGAAGGGGTGACGCGGCAGAACGAAAGAGAGAGAGAGAGAGGGAGAGGTCTATAAATAAAGCATATGTTGTTGGGAGGATTGGGTGGGAAAGGGATGCGAATAGAGTCGGAGGAGTTCAATTCATCATACGCCGTGTTGCGGACCAACCTAAAAGTATGCTTCTCATTATGACAATGACAGTCCAAAGGAATACGGTAAATAGAAGATGGATGATAGCGGCAGAGGCAGAGGCAGAATAGATGAAAGCCAAGAGAAGCAACAAGAAAAAAATATGAAATTCGAGTAATTTGCCAACTATATTTAATTCAAAAATATGTGTACTTATGGGTCTATTAAACCAGAAACCAGACTCCATAAGGGGTAGGAATTAATATTTGTTAAAATTCCAACTTAGGACAATGAATGATGAACATATGCAGATACATATGTACATATGTATGCACATATATCATTATAGCAAAAGAAGCTACTCGAGTATGCATAGGCATCATATCTGTACGCCCATTTAATTTATATTTAAAGCTCAGCTAATCCAGCACATTTAATATAGCAAATGGGAAAGAAACGGAAGCCAACATAAATACACGTAGAATACCTGCAACAAAAGGGTTTACATTTCGTATAAGATAAAATCAAAATATAAAAACAATCCGATAATATATTTATGTAAAATAAGCTAAAGATATACATACATATAAGAACTAAGAACCTAAGCATTCATCTCTTAAGCATTCACTGCTTCGAAAGATAAACGGAAAACGACACAAAACGGCTTTTGCGAAGTCCCAGCAATCCTCTTCTGGATGGGATTGGGGTTGGGCTGGGGGCGGGGGTGGATGGTGTTGTGTGGGATGACCTTCTGTGCCGGTTGCTTCTACTGCAGTTGTTGCTCCTCCCATCTTCTGGGTGCACGCGCCCTGGTCCCCTGTTACTTGCGAGCCATTAATAACGACAATTCACTCAAACAAGAAAAAAAAATAAAAGGCGTGGGGGGGGGGGCATAAAAAAGAAATGGGGACGACAAATGTCGCCGCAGCATGCAACTTGTTGGAGCAGAACGGATGGGAGATTGCAGAGAAGGGTGGTGATGCGGTGCGGTGCGGTGGGATGGTTAATGGATATGATTGCTTGTTGCACTCGACTGGGGAACAGCTTCAGAACTGGGTCTCTGATGAGGCTGGGGCTAGTGCCGGAACTGGGGGAACTGGGGAACGAACTGCTCGGGGTCGAATGAAAGGACAATACAGCATGTAGGAGAGTACGAGTCTGCTTTGATTGCGTCAAAGCTGCTGCTTTTGCTTTTGCTGCTGCTGCTGCTGCTGTTGATGCCATCGTTGTGGTTGTTTTCCTGAAACAGAGCCAAGTCCGTCCTACACTTATCACCGAGCAGGACAGGCAGAGTCACTGCGGTTGGCTTGGCCACCCGTTGAGTTGACATTAAATTTAGACACATCTTCAGTTGGACCTTTCACGAGGCAACGGGACGAATAAAAATCTATTCTAAGTGAATCGCATATTGAGCGATGGCTTAAATTTTATTGATTGGTAGTTGAAATGGTTAGTGGCAAATGAAAAGCCACATCCACACATCACGCCATACAGCCAGAAGGTTCGCCAAAAAGATTCTCCCATTCGAATTATGTGTTAATTCAAACAAAACAAGTAGATTGAACAAACAGCCCGACAATTTGATCTTTAATATCCTTTTAATTACCAAATAATTAGCTCCAGCTAATTTTCTCTTATTTAAACCTGCAAACTGAAATGCCACTAACATATTTATAGTTTAAAAATCTGTTTGGGCCATTAAGCTTAATTTTTTGTCGTTGTATTCGTGTTGCGTGACGTGCGGCAGCGCCCCTCGGTCATTTCAGCTGTCGGTATGCAATTACTTTTACATTTGAAAGACTTTTCTTACGGTGTTAGATACACAATGCATAGGCAGGCCCAGCCAACCACTTGGCAAGGACACCAGAGACTTGTTGCAAATATCGATTGAGTGCAAATCATTTTTCTTGCTTCGCTTGGTTATCAGCGGAGGAGGGCACTTGAGAGGGTGGTGGAGGGGGGGAAGGGGCACTCAAATGGCACTCATCTTTTAGCAGCTGATGCTAGCTGGCACTCCACAATTAATTGCTCTCTCACTCTCTGTCTCCCATTTTGATTGCAGGTCAAGTTCAGGGTGCCATTGCCGCCTGGCGTTAGCTCGACGACGCTCCTACCGAAGCTCATACGCACCAAGGATGTGAGGCAGCTGCAGGACGGCAATGCACAGCCACAGAAGCCCAAGCTGACGGTGAGAGATACCAGAGATACCACCATACCACCTGCACATTATTATCACCCATACGAGCATAACGAACCGATTTTACTTGCAGAAATGTCTGAACACTTTGGACCTGACCTCGCTGGGCATCGGCTCCTGCTGTGGCACTGGCATGTATCTGGTCGCCGGCATGGTGGCCCAGAAGATAGCCGGACCCGGTGTGATTATTAGTTTTATTATAGCCGCCATAGCGAGTATTTTCTCAGGTAAGTGATCGATCTCTTTTGATGTTATAATCTTCTGTACTATACTGTACGTATGCAGGCGCCTGCTATGCGGAATTTGGCGTTCGTGTGCCACACACATCCGGCTCGGCCTATATGTATTCATATGTGGCAGTTGGCGAATTTGTAGCTTTTATAATTGGTTGGAACATGATATTGGAATATCTAATAGGTATGTGGAGAGTGGAGAGGCGCTACAGCTACCCATTCTACTGATTCGATCACTTACTTCTCCTTATATATGTAGGAACAAGTGCCTGTGCCTGTGCTTTAAGTTCTAGCTTCGATTCCCTGACTGGCAATGCCATTGCGCGCACGATAAGCGAGTCCATTGGCACAATATTCGGTAAGTAGATTGGAACTACCATTAAACCATTGAACCATGCTCTTTACATTTATTCTTTTTTTTTTTTTAATTTTCCTTTTCAGGCAAACCACCGGACTTTATAGCCTTTGGCATAACGCTACTCATGACCTGCGTATTGGCGATGGGCGCCAGCAAGTCGGTCATCTTTAATCATTCCCTGAATGCCGTCAATCTGGCCACATGGGTCTTTGTCATGGCTGCCGGCCTTTTCTATGTGGACACGAAGACGTGGTCGGAACATCAGGGATTCCTGCCCTATGGCTGGAGTGGTGTAAGTATCCTTCTACACTTCTATCCTTCCCCAACATACTTCCTTCGCCATACAAACGTACACAATATGTTTATTGTTTTACATAAACCCAACGAGCCGACATTTTCTGATTGATTTGCGGCTCCAACGATTTTTAATGAATTATGAATGAAAATAACTTTATAAAAATTAACAAATGCAGCTACCAATTGTCTTTGATCGACTGTATAGCTTAAGCTTAACTTCTGGCAAATATTCAGCGTTCAAATAAAAAGTTGTGCACTTTGTAGTTAAAATTTGGACTTTAAAAAATTTGGGAAAAGTCGAATTAAATAATATGCTTTTTCTTTTATATTTTATTTGTAAGTACGTGTCAATAAGGCGTCGTTTAAGGTATCTTGCATAAATATCGTTAAATAAATAGCCAAGCTGCAGCCGTTGCAACACACCTATCAAAATCTCATTTTACCCTTGCACACCGTTCGGTGCCGCTGCCTTAGTGTAGGTTTTTCTTACCTGCCTCGTAATACTAGCATGTCCTGCTTTTTAATTTAACCTCAAATACAATTTATTAACAATTTTTAAAGCCCCGAAATTAATCAGAGCGACTCGGCTCAGATGCTGATCAAGAATATACGAATATATACTTTATGGGGTCGGAAACGTCTCCTTCTGCGCGTTACACACAGCCACTTTTAGCACAAATCTAATATACCCCTTAACTCTTCGAAAACTTTTGTATAAAATGGAAATAAAAACGAGTTACGACTAATTACTTTACTCAGGTATTCTCTGGGGCCGCCACATGCTTCTATGCATTTATCGGATTCGACATAATTGCAACAACCGGCGAGGAGGCGCATAATCCACAGAAGAGCATACCGAAGGCCATTGTGGGCTCCCTGGTTGTGGTTTTGATTGCCTATGTCAGCGTCAGTCTAGTCCTTACTTTAGTCGGTAAGTGCTTCGGCTGGGCATCCATCCAGCTATTTGTTATAATTATTAATTGAATTTGCTGTACCTTTTAGTGCCCTATGATCACATCAACACGGGAGCGGCTCTGGTCCAGATGTGGTCGTATGTGAATGCACCCAAGTGCCGTGCGGTGGTGGCGATTGGGGCCACAGCTGGTCTGTCCGTGGCCATGTTTGGCTCAATGTTTCCGATGCCGCGCGTCATCTATGCCATGGCCCAGGATGGCCTGATTTTCAGGTGCGTATCAGAAATGTCTGTTCATGTGGGAAATCTTCACCATCATCCATGCTCCATGCTCCATTTCAGACAACTCTCGCAGCTGTGGCAGCGCACCAATGTGCCTGGTCTGGCCACCATTGGCAGTGGACTGGCTGCGGCTTTGGTCGCCCTCACCATACGCCTGGAGATACTCGTTGAGATGATGTCCATTGGCACCCTGCTGGCCTATACCCTGGTCTCGACATGTGTCCTGGTGCTGCGCTACCAGCCGCACAGCACCTCGTTGGTGGAACTGTTGCCCGCCCAGCTGCGTACCCCGGTGGCACCGGGCACCGTCAGCGATTCGCATGCAACGCCCGCCGAGGTGCTGGAGGTGCCCAATAAGCTGACCATCAAGCGGGTGACACGCGGCATGTCCGATTCGGATGACTCCTTCATCGATGACAGCCCCGAGGGCTATCTGGGCGGGCGGGACGATCAGTTTCTGGTGTCGGATCGCTCCGAGAATAAGTTCTATGGCAGCGTTCATGGTGCACCCACCGGACCCACGGGCCAGGCGACCGCCTTCGACACGATGGGCTTGAACTTTATCACACGAAAGATCCATGACTATGCGTACCTGTGCCCCGGCTTCTTTCCCTGGATCAATCCCGGCCAGGCCACCACCGACAGTGGTATGTAGTATGCGATTTGACTGTGATTAGAGTGGGATTCTAATCGATGGCGATGCAAATTCCAAATTTAAATTTTTAAATGGAAAATTTTACTCTTTTGCTTTTGCTTTTTTCAATCCAAAAACACACAAAACCAAAACCAAAACCAAACCAAACCAACCAGGCATGTATGTCACGAAACTAGTTGGAATCATGTTCGGCCTCATATTCTTCTTGGATTTGTTCGCGGCCATTGGGTGGTCCGGTGGCCTAGCCGTCTTCATTTATTTAATTTTGTTTATCGGCATATTTGTGATATTATTGATTATATCGAGACAACCGCAGAATAGGTAATAATAATAATAGTAAAAGAAGAAAGCAGCAAGTATACGGATGACTCCACCATCACCTATTCCAACACACACACCATACATAATTTCCGCAATCTCCCCTCTCTCTTTCTCTCTCTCTCTCTCTCTCTCTCTCTGTCTGTCTGTCTGTTTGTCTCGTTCTTTGTGTCTCTGATAGATATGCACTGGCCTTTCTAACGCCCGGACTACCCTTCATACCAGCCATTGCCATCACCGTGAACATCTATCTGATATTCAAATTAAGCATCCTGACCCTGGTCCGGTTCACCGTCTGGATGTCCCTCGGCCTTGTCATGTACTTCTACTATGGGATCACGCACAGCAGCCTGGAGCAGGCCAGCGATGATCTCGAGCTGCATGTGGACAAGGATTATGTAAGTGTTTTCCCCAGCCATCTATTTTCATTTTTCATTTTTTCTATAAAAATTCATAGAGCAAAAACGTGGAGGAGAAGGCCGTCTGGGATCAGCAGTCGTATAATCAAACCCACGAGCCAGTCTGGGCCAGCAAGGAGGTGAAGCAGCCATCAAGTAAGCTCTGATAGAGATATACATATGTGAACATTATACTAGATATATAATGCTCTACTCTTGCCCGACATAGAGCAACGCTACAACTATGGAAAGTCTTCGTCGTCGTCTACTCAGAGCAGCTCCAGAAATGCCCAAAGCAATGCGGCGACAAAGCCGCCAGGCCGCAGCTCAACGGGCACACGGCCAGTGGCGCCATTGCCGCACACAGGCGCTGGTCAGGCGAAGGGTTCGGGCAAGGGAACGGGAACGGGCACAGGAACGGGAACGGGAGGACCGCCCATGGAGCGTCAATATACCGGGCAGTTTAGCATGTTTGTGGATGAGGGCCAGTTCCCGTCGTGGGAAGACTAAATTGGAATATTCAAACCCCTCCTCACCCCGAACCCATAGTTGTTTTCCCTTTTCCCAATCCCCGCTCCTGGATCCTCGGTTGATATCCCCTGATGTGTCCAGCAGGACTGCTGATCCCCAAATCCCAAATCCCACGTTTCGAATCGGATAGTCCTGGCAACAAAAAAACTGGGCCGCTCCTCAAGGCGTCGATCTGTGATCGTAGCCGTGTACGCTTGGGTGTCCAGAACGGAACCAGTCCCCCAGGTAGAGCTCACTCAACTTGTATATACAATTAGAGATGTTAAGTTTACCGGAATATGTACATGTATACGTATACTCGTTACATACATACATACATGTTACGGTTATGGGAAACGTGACGAGACGAGAGACGAGAGGAGACGAGCGAGCGTTTAGCGCTGACCGCCGTTATACACTTATACCATTATACAACATTAGTATATACAGATATATATACATATACATACATACATATATATACCTATGCATATACTATTTACAAAACATAGATTGGTTATTAGTGCAAAGTTATCAAAAATCCTGTGTATCCTGTGTATGCCATATACTACATATTCTACGTCCCCTCCCTTCCTTTTGTGCTCAGCTTCGATTGGCGAGCGTTTTGGGTGACGCTGGTCAATCGGCATTCAGCACAAGGGACAACAAGGGACAACAAGAGGACACGACGACCCTGGGGGACACTGTACCCTGGAAACAGTAGGACGACAGATGAATATTATTGGGAAAAGTAAGCAAAAACTGTGTGTGTAAGAGTGCCGGGTGTGCACAACTGTACATTTTATACACTCAATATTCTCACACACACACACACACACACATGATAATACATGCATACATGCCTAAGCTTATGGAAAGAGCGATGGATCAGTGAAGACTTTTTTTCCACCCCCACAAAAAGATATGCGCTGACCGAAAGGAACTTTGCATTAAGCTTAGGATCCACACACAGACACAGGGAACACATCCAAAACACTTATAGAGACACACACACATGGACACACAACTCTTATGTATTTATGATTGTATTGTTGTTCAAATATTTATGCTACCTGCTATGCTATGCATTTTATATAACATTTTGAAATTTGACCTTTTTGATGTATTTATGTATGAATACAGTTACTACTCTCTCTCCCCTCTCCAAGCCACCTCCCCCCATCTCAATCTATCCACAATTTTATTGTTTCCTGATTCTAGAGGCTCGCGCTAAGCTAAACCACACATTTTAAAGCGGCATTTCGCATTTGTTGTAATTCAATAATTCATTTTTCTTAACAAATACCAAACAAGAAAACAAAACAAAAAAAAAAACAAATTACCGAAGGAAAAGTAAATAAAAATACATACAAGAATATTTATGAGGAATACAAAAAAACAAAAAAACTTAAATGAAGGATACCAAAAAATATTTACTTATCGAAAAGAAAACTATTCAAAAACCTATACCAAAATCATAAAATACAAAAAATTATGATGTACTATAAACGGAATGTGGAGTCAAAAACCAAAATGACAAAAAGAAATGATGACAAATATCATATAACAAAAACAAACAAAGCAAAGAACATTTATGTACAATGCATACTTTTTTCCACTTTATATACACTATGTACCGGCAAAGCATACATATATAACTAACTATTTTTAACTAAATTTCAAAAAGCATAAAAAAAAAAAAAAAAAAACACACAAAAACTCAAAATTTTTATGAATATTAATATTTCTTGTTACTTGTGTTATTTTATTCTTTTTGTATTCCACAACTATGTACATACACAAGCCTTACTTGCACACACACACACAAAAACAGACACACAAAAAACGGAAAATATTATCAAAAAAAAAAAAAACATTTCAGCAGAATTAAACTAAACCTAGGGCCCTGAAGCTGGAAGAAGCAACCCCAACAACAGGAGACAGAGCGAATACAACCAAAATTATTCCTAAGAGATTCGACAGCTTCGATTGTCATTTTCTATACTTTTTTTTTTTTAATTACTCTATGTTGATCCATTAAATTTCGAGTGCCAAATCAATGCACATAATCGTGTAGCCCCTCCACAGAATAACTAACTGAGAACCGATCCGATCAGCACACTTTCAAACATTCTCGTTTTCGAAAAAAAATAATCTTTCTGGACCAACTACTTAATATACAAATATACAGCCACAGAAGTGGTCCCGAACTAAATATGATAATTCGTACCCGTACGTATACTCGTGTATGATTTCCATCATTAGAAATTTGTTTGAGAATTAAAGCAAGATATCGATTTGTACATACGCAACTACATACTTAAACCAACCAACAAACAAGCAACCAAACAGACAGACAGACATGGAAAATTGAATACTATATAACATATAACATATACATACATACATATATATTTTTGTGAAAGTTAACACCAAAACAAGCAATTAAGGAGAAATGAAACTCATGCAAGAGCAAACGTAAAGAAAAAGAAAAAGAACAAAAGAATAACATATCCTAAAACACAGCTTAAAGTTGATATTAAAATGAAATCGAATCAAACATCAATCGAGGCAGCAGGCGATTAGCGATTACTGATTACCGATTAAAATTTAGATAATGACAGCACAGACTGGACTGGAAAAAATAGAACTGATAGTTGAGAGAACTGGGTCACAAGTATGAAAAATTTGAAACTCAACTTCAGAATCGGTACTCAGTGATGGCTGATAGCTAGATCCACGCTGCTTTTCGACTGACACGTACTACTAAAACAACAACAACTACTATGTACTACTACTACAATATATGACAACCAACAGGTAAAATGCAATCCAATAACTGCAGGCTGTTTGCTCTTCCACCTTTCGGTTCTTTCGGTACCACCAAGTTAAGAAACCTAACTGTTATGGGAATATGATAGTTTATAATAGATTTTCTACAGTTCCAATTTGAAGTGAATAAAAAACAAAAACAAAAAAAAACCTATTATTAAAATACGGAATATCGTTAAATATAAAATGATGAAAAAAGACACAAAACAAAACCAAAAACGAAAAGCTTCCGTTACCAAAACGTATGCATTTTACTAATACATATATTATTTATATACCCGTCTCGTACCTTTTTGATCTAAACAAACAAACAAACAAACAAACAAAAAACGTTGAAAGAGACGGGGAAGGGGAACATTTACGAGTACACTCTACACACTGTCTATGCTCACTATAACTGTATTTTTAATAACTGTAAACGGAACGAACATCAGAGAATCAGAATTAGAATCAGATCGAAGAAGCACCATAAGCATCAACAATAATGCACAGCAATAAGAGGAACAGCAATAGCAGAGAATATAAAAATTCCAATGCCGAAACGAAACCTTAAAATTAACTGAAAAGCCAAGCATAAATAAGTAGTAAAAAAAAGAAAATGAAACCAAAAAAACCATGTTTTTGATTGATTGCATTAGACGATAATTTCATTAGTTGATTGATTGATTGATTTCCCAGCTGAATATAACGTACCTAAGTTTTTGTTTATTTCATAAGACTGAATTACTGGAATATGATTTGATTTGAAATGTGTATATAATTAAGGGGTAATAGCGAAACTTTACAACTATTAATAATGGAGCATCCAAATTTTTGAAATTATTCTGTACTTATTTATCAAAAAAGCGAACAAGCGAAACAAAAATAAGACAAAGCAAGGCGAAGGAAGCGCGTAAAAAAAAGGTTGAACTCTTGTCGAGAGCGAAAGAAGCTAAAATACAACTATTAATATATTATATATACGGGAAAGTCCCAAAACGATGATATATATATATATATATATATATTTCAATGGATCGGTCACACAAAACAAGCAAACCAACGTGAAAATGGGGTTAAAATATATGACAAAAAACATTTTTTATTCAAATACTACTCTTGATTTGTTTTATGTGTTAATAACTTATTACAAGATATTTCTTGAGAATATTAAAAGAATTAAAATATAAAAATTGTTAGGATATTCAAACGTGGCTGATACTGGTTTTCTTTTCTATGTCTGGGGTATTTTAAGACTAACGGACAACACGGGCCAACGGAAATATCATAAGCAACGACCATCGATAGTTGATGTTGCCTATCTATTATGTTGTCACCTTTTGGCGGTTTTCAATACTTATTTCCTCTTTTCATGATGGAATCCACATCCACACTATAAAAGTATATACCAATCTATTTTTTTAGGTATATTAAAGTACTTTTCAAAGTGATTGTCAAACAATATGTATTTATTGTATATTATATTCATTTAAACTAATTTTTATTGTTTTCTGTATGTATGTATGTACATAGGTAAATATGAAACTTGTGCGGGCTTAAAGCAAAATAAAATATAATAATTATTTAATCGTTTCATTCAGATTGTACAACAATTATAAAATATATAATAATGTCGTGACCGTCAGTATATTTACGGTATATTCTGATAATGAAAATATATATTACGGTATATTTCTGAAGGTGAGGCGGTATTTTATAAATCCGCGGTCACTCTAATTAATTTTTTGTGCCCGAAAAAACGAATTTTACAGGTAATAAACGGTGTTTACGCAGAAAAATATTGTCACACATAAAAGAACAGACATTGGGTAGAACAGATCTCAAAAGGACTTACATGTGGACGTGTTAAACGGGGTTTATGTTGACTTTGAAAATTTGAATTTGTATTTGAGACGTGTTCAAGCTCTGTATCTGTTTGTGCGTCTTCTGGTATGTACATATGTGTATGTGCGCCCACTACGCCCCTAGAGGGAATGAAATGCCGCTGCAATCAATAAATAAATAAATTATTTCGTCAATCCTTCTCTCAGTTAACGCACGATTTGTTTTTGTTTTCCATTGCATTCGCTGGCGCAGAAAGTCCTAGCTAGTTCGTAGAGCAGAACTGACAAGATGACCGATTCAAAGTATTTCACAACCACCAAAAAGGGCGAAATCTTCGAGCTCAAGTCCGAGCTGAACAATGACAAGAAGGAGAAGAAGAAGGAGGCTGTGAAGAAGGTGATTGCCAGCATGACCGTCGGCAAAGATGTGTCCGCCCTCTTTCCCGATGTCGTGAACTGCATGCAGACCGATAATCTGGAGCTCAAGAAGCTGGTCTACTTGTATCTGATGAACTACGCCAAGTCGCAGCCGGACATGGCCATCATGGCGGTGAATACATTCGTGAAGGACTGCGAGGACTCCAATCCATTGATCCGTGCCCTGGCCGTGCGTACCATGGGCTGCATAAGAGTGGATAAGATAACCGAGTATCTGTGCGAGCCGCTGCGCAAGTGTCTGAAGGATGAGGATCCCTATGTGCGCAAAACGGCGGCTGTGTGCGTGGCGAAGCTGTACGACATATCGGCCACCATGGTGGAGGACCAGGGCTTTCTCGATCAGCTGAAGGACCTGCTGTCCGACTCCAATCCGATGGTCGTGGCCAATGCGGTGGCTGCCCTCAGCGAAATCAACGAGGCCAGCCAGTCGGGACAGCCGCTGGTAGAGATGAACTCGGTGACCATCAACAAGCTGCTGACGGCCCTCAACGAGTGCACAGAGTGGGGACAGGTCTTCATCCTTGACTCCCTGGCCAACTACAGCCCCAAAGATGAGCGGGAGGCGCAGTCAATCTGTGAGCGAATCACGCCTCGTTTAGCCCATGCGAACGCTGCCGTGGTTCTCAGTGCCGTCAAGGTGCTGATGAAACTTCTCGAGATGCTCTCCAGTGACAGCGACTTTTGTGCCACGCTCACCAAGAAGCTGGCCCCGCCCCTGGTGACCCTGCTTTCCTCGGAGCCAGAGGTACAATATGTGGCCCTGCGCAACATTAATCTTATTGTCCAGAAGCGTCCCGACATCCTCAAACATGAGATGAAGGTGTTCTTTGTGAAGTACAACGATCCCATCTACGTGAAGTTGGAGAAATTGGACATTATGATCCGTCTGGCCAACCAGAGCAACATTGCCCAGGTGCTCAGCGAACTGAAGGAGTACGCCACCGAAGTGGATGTCGATTTTGTGCGGAAGGCAGTGCGCGCCATCGGTCGTTGTGCCATCAAAGTGGAGCCATCGGCAGAGCGCTGTGTCTCCACTCTGCTCGATCTCATCCAGACCAAGGTCAATTATGTGGTGCAGGAGGCAATTGTTGTCATTAAAGACATCTTCCGCAAGTATCCCAATAAGTACGAGAGCATTATCAGCACCTTGTGCGAGAATCTGGACACCCTGGATGAGCCGGAGGCGCGTGCCTCGATGGTCTGGATCATTGGCGAGTACGCCGAGCGCATTGATAACGCAGACGAGCTGCTCGACAGCTTCCTTGAGGGCTTCCAGGTGAACACAAGCACACACACACAGTATTCCCCTTTTCAAAACTAACCCAAAATTAAATCTTTGTTTTGATTTATTTTCAGGATGAGAATGCCCAAGTGCAGCTGCAGTTGCTCACTGCTGTGGTGAAGCTCTTCCTTAAGCGTCCATCGGATACCCAAGAGCTCGTGCAGCACGTCCTCTCGCTGGCCACTCAGGATTCGGACAATCCCGATTTGCGCGACCGTGGATTCATCTACTGGCGTCTACTCTCCACGGACCCGGCCGCCGCCAAGGAAGTTGTGTTGGCGGACAAGCCTCTCATCTCGGAGGAAACGGATCTGCTGGAGCCGACGCTGCTGGACGAGCTCATCTGTCACATCAGCTCGCTGGCCAGCGTGTACCACAAGCCACCAACGGCCTTTGTGGAGGGACGAGGAGCTGGCGTGCGTAAGTCTCTGCCAAACCGCACTGCCGGAACCGGCGTGAGCAGCGGTGCAGGAGATCAGCAAGAGACGGGAGCCGGTTCGGAGGCTATGGTCATACCCAACCAAGAATCGCTTATTGGGGATTTGCTGTCCATGGACATCAATGCCCCCTCTATGCCCGCTGCCCCAACCGCCACAAGCAACGTGGATCTGCTAGGCGGTGGCCTGGACATACTGCTGGGTGGCCCACCAGCTGAACCAGCACCGGGCGGCGCCTCCAGCCTGCTGGGCGACATCTTTGGCCTGGCCGGCACCTCCCTTTCTGTGGGCGTTCAAATTCCGAAAGTCACGTGGCTGCCAGCGGAGAAGGGCAAGGGCCTGGAGATCCAGGGCACCTTCTCCCGCCGCAACGGTGAAGTCTTCATGGACATGACGCTCACCAACAAAGCCATGCAGCCGATGACGAACTTTGCCATCCAGCTGAACAAGAACAGCTTTGGCCTGTCGCCAGCCTCACCGCTGGCGGCGGTGCCCTTGCCACCCAACCAGACGGCCGAGGTGAGCCTCGCCCTGGGCACCAACGGACCCATCCAGCGCATGGAGCCGCTGAACAACCTTCAGGTGGCGGTGAAGAACAACATTGACATCTTCTATTTCGCCTGCCTGGTGCACGGCAACGTGCTGTTCGCTGAGGACGGCCAGCTGGACAAGCGGGTCTTCCTGAACACCTGGAAGGAGATACCGGCCGCCAACGAGCTGCAGTACAGCCTGAGCGGCGTCATCGGAACCACTGACGGCATCGCCTCCAAGATGACCACCAACAACATCTTCACCATTGCCAAGCGCAATGTCGAGGGCCAAGACATGCTCTATCAGTCGCTGAGGCTGACGAACAACATCTGGGTGTTGCTGGAACTAAAGCTGCAGCCGGGCAACCCTGATGCCACGCTCAGCCTCAAGTCACGATCCGTGGAGGTGGCCAATATCATTTTCGCCGCCTACGAGGCCATCATTCGCTCGCCTTAAACTCCAAACACAAATCGAAATAAGATACCCATGAGCCACAGAATCGTTTCTTAATGTTTTCTGTAGGTGTTATACCTTATAGCAGATACAACAAGCAAATTGTAGTCTACGTACTATATTATAACTACTATTATTGCATTGTGCGTATATTGGGAGTTGCGAATTGTTCCATGCACCTACATATATACCTATATACAAAACATTAATACGTGCATACATACACACACCATATGTAATACTAATCCTAATGAATAACGCGAGAAGAAGAAATGTTAATTGTTATTAAACGTTGCATGCTCCGTAGAAATCCAATTCAATCGATGCCGGAGCATCGGATGTTAGTCGCATTCCAAAATCTATAATATAACCGCCCCCAATGCATGCATCTATGTATATGTATGTATGTGTGTCCTAGTAAAAATGTATGACATATAACGCACTAAATAATCGAAACATTGATATCCTGTTTTTTTGTGTTTCATGTCGAGAGAAATGAATGGTAAATGTTTTTAACCAGGGATGATACATGCCAATACAATCCTGACCGCAGGACGAAGCTTTGGGTCATCCTTAGCTTAAAGCTTTTGGAGTGTGGCTTTCAGCTGTTCAAGGGTTGTTTTGTTTACGCAAGTCGTCCTCTATCGTTCCTTTTCTAACCAACACTGATTCCGCCTTTGACGTGGTCTATCCATCCCTGTCTCGCACCGCTGCTCCACTGGTGCGCCGTTGTTGCCGCCGCAGGAGTGTGTTTTGTTGTACCACAAGCGAGTTCGTCTTGGCCCCGATTATAACAGCACACGTCCATGCCCCAGCGCCACCAGCTATTGACATCGCCTCCGCTGCAAATATGTGTACACAAAATAATAAAATTGCAGCACATCTAAATTAGAAAATTGAGTGGTAAAACAAACCGTTGATTTGCATCCCCTCCCGCCTCCCGCCTTTCCCATGCACGGATAAATAGTTACAAGTGAAACAAAGGCGTCGACATTCGAATGAGACAGACTCGAGATGCGAGGACGGTAAGAGAGTGCTCCGCCCTATTTTGAGGCCTTGTTGCAGGAGCTTGACACACAAAGCGGAGTGTTGTGGGCAGAAGAGAGAGGAGGGATGCGAGGCTGAAGGTGGTACAATGTACGGTTCAGTGCTGGAATGCGTGGCAGAGTGAACAACAAATAGCTGGACTCTATCCACAGCTATCCAACTCGACGTCCAGCGTCAAAACCGTTTTGCATTTCTTTAAAAAACAACAAAAAAACGACCCCAAACGCATTCTGCCGCCGGAATGAGGGTGGGGGCGGATGTGGTCTACGATGGCCACGACTATGGCAATGATGATGCCATGGGCAGTCCGCTGGATTGGCCATTTCTGATAAAGGTACGTACGCATACACATATGTACATATGTATTTGCAATGTTTTTTTTATAGGTTAAGTCGCACAATATGCAAAGTGTTAACTGTAAAGAGTACAAGTGTTGGTGTACTTGTCAAAACAGGAGGCTGCTTTTATGCCTCACGAAAAGTAACGAGAGCGATTTTAGCTTAGTTACTGTTATGCTTTCATATTATTCCAGTGTTGACATTGTTTGTATGTACGTTACAGCTTGTATGCACTCGACAATGCATACATAAGTGAATGTACATACATATGTACGTACCAAATGGTAATGTGCTCCACATCAACATAAATACATATGTATGTATGTACATTAATGCATGCACAAGGTATCATAATGATAATGCCGCTCTCTTAATTTCAAACACACAAACAATGCTTAAACCTGCAATGCACAAGTGAAAAAAAAAGTAAACTCTTTCTGAGTGCATTACCTTAATATAAGCAAACCTTTGCAGTGCATGAGTCAGACGCGTGCATATGTACGTTGCATGCATACATAAGTAGCCAACAGCTAAGTGGTGCCCATCGTTGCCGACTCTGGCGATGTGTGTCACATGTCCTTGATCGAATTACACAGAGCAGGCCAATGGTTTTTTATCTCTCTCTAACTCTTTTACACTGTAATTTGTAATTAGGGCATCTTGGAGAACCAGACATGCACCCCAACCGCACCGGATACCCTGGCCGCCATACTATGGGCCATTTTCGCCGTATTCGGTATCGTGTACGCCCTGCTCGGCTACCGCTGCCTTCGAGCCGTGGGCTTTCTGAGCGGACTAATGGTGGGCGCCAATGGGATATTTATACTGCAGGACTTCCAGATCACATTCCTGGGCAAGCCGGCGGACTCGGCTTTGGCCATTGTGGCCGGACTGCTGGGCGCCGTGCTCGGCTCCACATATCCAGTTGCCTCGGTGCTGATCAGTGCTTTTGCCGGAGCCCTGCTGTCCGGTGCCGCAATGGCCGTTTGTGTGGCCACAATGCCGGACAACGAATTTGGGGTAAGTGGAGCGCGTTATTATCCAACTATCGCCTTTATCCTTCTGATTTTCTGTTTTCCGGTTTCGTTCAGTACCGTGAAATATATGTGGCCGTGGTGGGTGGTGCCGTTATATGCTCGGTGCTCACCCTGTGCTGTGTCAAATACGTGACCATACTCACCTCCAGTATCGTGGGCACGGCCATGATCATCGGAGCCATCGATTTCTTCATGCACGGCCTGGAGACGATCAACTGGGTAAGTAAACCAAGTGCGTCTTGCTCTGTTTGCCCAACTCAAACTAAATGTTGATCGGCTTTGCTGTCGTTGCTGCAGATACTTAATATGAGGCCGCATCCGTTGCCGCCTCCGTGCTATGGCGGCCTCCTGATAGCCGCCTGGCCCGTGACCATTGTGCTCAGCATTATGGTGCAGTGCTTCATAACCGCCTGGCGGGTGGATCATCGCAAGCGTGTCTACATGCGGCACCATAACCATCCCAATCATCCCCATGCCACGCACTTGCCGCACAGCCAGCAGCAGGCTGGACCGGGCCACGCCCATGCACCCGTAAGACGCTCACAATCGCGCACACGCGAGACCCGCGAGGAGGCCAGACAGCGCAAATTCCGCTACCTGTACCAGGTGCGAACGGCACGGGGCGACATCATATCACAGGTGAGTGTCAGCCACAAGCACACCACCAACTACCTGGAAGAAAATCTGTAACCGTAATCATGACTCTTGTTGGCAGAACTTTGTGTCGGCCCTGCAGAAGCGTATCCAACTAAGTGGCACAGAGACGCCATCGGAGAGGTCGATCAAGACCAGCTCGAACGAGCGGAACACTTTCAGAAGCGACCGCACCCACTTTACCACCATCCACGATCCGGACTCGGAGCTGTGCGACAAGATTGAAATTGTGCGTGACATTGGATAACAAACAAGCAATAGCTACATGTAGCTATACCCGTAAGGGGGGACTACGGGACTGTGGTACTCTGAAAAGGCTTGGACACGGGTCGGGGGATTAATCGCATTGAGCGAGCGACAGAGCGATGGAGAGAGCGAGCGAATTGAGCTCCAAATGAGCAGCTGGAGTGTTTGGAGTACACAGAAGGACGTACGGTTACATGTTTAAGCTATGAATCTGGCGCAAAATGCCTTAACACTTGGACAAGAACGAAGCGGAATGGGAGCAGAGCACAAGCCATGATGGAGTTGTTAGAGAGGCTCGGCTCTAGAAAGCAGCTCAAAATAACTATGAATACACGAAGAATTTTGAATGGAAAACACTGCAGATCATACGCAGATCAGAGGAGAGATTGAATTGCATTGCATTCAAAGGTGCAGAAACCATAACCAAACCCTAACCTTACTCTACTTATTCGTGCACAGCTAGCATTTAAGGCCAAAATCCATACGCAGCAAGATGGTGCAGATAAGTCATTTGTTCTCCTCACTTAACTTAATCAAAATGTACAACAGAATATACATACATATGATATGGCATGGCATGTAATTTGATTAAGATTTATGAGGAACGTTTTTAGACTACAATAAGTTGACTTTCGCGAGTGAGTCGAGTGAGTGATGAGTGATTCACGACGAGTCATAGGTATTTCGTATTCCTGGAACTAAAACTAACTTAACTAAAAAAACAACAAATACTAGTTACGCTTCTCCTTCTTCAAATATCGCAATTTACTAATCAGTTAATATCTGTGTTATATTTATACGATACGATAAACCAAGTTACGAGTTTGGAGATATTTATATCAAAAATTGAGACGATTTCATGAATCGTTTCGGTGGCATTTCGTTCCATTTTAACTATCAAATAGTCCTAAGAACACGTTTGAAACTCCTTATAGAGACAACAGGCATATATGTATATTGTACATATGTATATGCCAACTGAAGCCAGGCACAACAGAAAAAAGAAAACCAAGAAACCAAACCAAATACAATTTATAAATATAAACAAAAAATACCTACTAAGTACAATAAAAAAAACAGTGAAGGGAAATATGTACTAGGCTTAAGCACATGTCCTTGTATTACACTATATACACTATATACATGCGAGTACACTGTCCTGTCTAGGCAGCTGAATTTGGATTTTAGACCTGTACAGCTAAACGTAAATGTATCCACTTAGAGTAAGACACATATGTATAGTATGTATGTGTGTAGCTTTAGCAATTTAATAAGCCAAAGTTAAGAAGAAATGTCATACAGATATTATCGTACATCCCCCCATTGTATGTGAAAAGGGGAAAAACGAAAACCGTTTTGCTCCCCCCATTGAGATGAACCCAGTAACGAACCGCTCGTTCAGCCGTCTTAGCATTAGCCATAAGATTAATATTATATTATTATGATCTAAGATCCTTTCAAACTGCGGTACAAACTAAAAACAAAACAAAAAAAACAATTCCAATATTCAGGATTCAGGCGATCAACACAAGTTGAGGATATATGAAATTTTAGTGATATATAATGAAAAATACGACACACACACACAAAAGCCTTGAAAGCTATTAGACACATGCCAGGCAGATACATATGTACTTCTATATCGAATCGGTTTAATGAACGCCAATCATTTGTTTCCTTTCGCATTGTGTTCATCAAATTTAAGTTTCTAGCAATTGCTGCCGTCCGCAATTTGTTGATTTGTTACAACTACATAACACCTTGGATATTTTATTAACCATTATTGTTCCCGACTTCTGAGTTACTATGAAATTTCTGATGTATCCTGGTTTTAATGTTTAACATCAATGTCTGATACTGGGCTAGTATTGAACACACCACAGAAGTCGCTTTTGTGGCTCAGCATTTAAGAGAACTCTTGTCAGACAGGGGTTCGTACATATTTATTTCCATTTTAATGTATAAGAGTACTAGCAGATGCATACTAAAGTAGTAGAAATCATCAAAGATTTAACAAACTAAAAAAAAAACACATACATATACACACACACACACAGAATAATAATTCGGAGGCTAATGCAAGTGGCCCGTCGAGAGCACTCAATAATGTTCAGGCCTATTCTGGTTTTCGATTTCACTTTGAAATCGCCAATCCAATCCGTATCCGAGTACTAGACATAAGTTTACCTCTAAGATGGACACTTTTGTAGAGAATAATTTGATTCGAACTTCCATTCTTCATGATCTTAACATCTCTCAAACTATCTAGCAAATCTGACGAAGTGAAATCAAAGCTTGGAATGGCCTCCATCCTGTACTCCCAAAAAAAAAAACACTTAATAATATTCAGAAAGAATACCAATTACAATAAATAAACCATGCAGGCCAAACTTAATCGATGGACTTTTGTTTATAAGCAGGAAACGTTGCAATGATCACGATCATAAAAACTTTCACAAAATTCTCTATTTCAGCTCCTCTGCAAGGAACACTTCCGTTGTGTAAGGTTAAATAAAATTCCAAATACGATGTTCTGGACTTTGTGAAGCTTTGTCTGAGAGACTCGCATTTAAAGGGAGTCGTTGAATTCAGCTTTGCTGACTCGAGATATTTAAACGAATGGTATTAATTATTTTTTAATGTTATTTTATTGCTTAATTAAACATTAACAGTGAGTAACATTAAAATTAATCGATATTGAACAGAATTGAACAATTGTGAACTTGTGTTTTGTCAAAGCTTTTTACCGCCAACAAAAAAAAACAAAGTGTGAAATTATTGTTGCGATTGCTAGATATCCTGGCTCTGTGATGTTGAAGGCGACCCTCGCTGCTGTTGGGGTCTTACGTGTCTTTGTTTGAACAATTAAATCGGTGATATTGAACATTATTTAAAAATTGCGAAATTGTGATTAAAACATAAACAGTTTGGCGTGTAAAATTATTTTTGCAATTGCTAGATATGGTGGCTGCAATTGCTAGATATTCAGGCTCTTACATGTCTCTGGGTGTTTTTAGTTCTGGTGGTTTGACTGGCGGTTGGCACATTCCAATGAAATTCAAAAAACCAAACGAACTTAATTCGAAACGAATTTAAGTAATGAGAGCTGAAATTCAATAATTTGTATAAATATATTTCTTTGCTACATAAATCTCTTTTTTGTACTCACTGTTTTTTTTTTTAATTGTTTTATTTTCCCTCTGGTTTCGGGAATTTTATGTTGTAGAGTGGAATAAAACCGGCAATTAACTTTCAATGAGGGTAGGAAACCAGAGCCTGTAGCGACAGTAGAAATATAACATCTTGTCTTTGAGTTTTATGTATTGTGTCCAATGGCAATCAATCAATCAAATGTAACCACTGCTTGGAATTGGGAAGAATTTCGATTAAGTCTCCAAATTACAAATATTTAAACACACTTACGAATAAAAAAATTTGGCAATCAAATAGTCAAAAATTAAAGTAAACTTGGAGTCCGTTGGAACAAAAAGAAAACTCGAAACAAAACAATTTAGAAATTTTTGTTGTAACTCGTGAATTAATTCAACTGACCATTAACCAAAATAAATTATTAATCAATTAAAAATAAATTTGAACTATAAATTAATTAGAACATTGCTCGCACTAAACATTTTGTATGCACTTTTAAAGAAATATTTTTTCACCAAACAAATATTTCTTTTTCACTTTAATTTTTTTTTACTTTTACCGAAATATTTTGTTTCACTTTTCCAATTTAGATGTGTTCTCTACTGCTCGAAGCAGCTAACTGAATATGTTCGGAATAAAATCCAGGCTCTACAACACAGGCAAATGTCGATCGATTTCAAGGCCTGCTAGTTTCAGGTACATTTTTTTTTAACTGAGATTGTTGTCAACCAGACTTGGCTGCCAATAGTCGATCCGATTAACATAAATCCATACTTCATTAATTAGATATCGGGGGCAACGACTTAAATGCCAAAGATGGTTTCTCTTTGGATTTCCTAAGCTTTCCTACTCTCGCAGCTCGTAATCTTGCATGCATCCAAGGGAATACTATAACATCCATTCGACTTATCCGGCTTTTTTTATCGCTTAAGAATGAAGTGATTGCAATCCATTTTCACTGAGGTGGTAGCCTTTTTTTATTGGTTTGCAAGTGCATTTACCTTTGTTCGAACCAGAAACCAAACCGCTTCAAGTGCGCCAATTTATTTGATTTCTTTTCATTCTTCTTGCAACCATTAAAAAACAAGGTCATACCGTACCATTTTAATTTGTATTTATAGCCAAAAGTAAGTGCGAATAATAAATCGAGAGCTGATGTAAAGCATCTATGTATTTCCTGCCTATATCCTGCCATAGGTTGGGCTATGGGCTATCCAACCCTACCCAATTCGGCCAAATACGATCAACATCAGATTACTTACCATATAGCTAGTTATAAACGGAAACGAAGTTCTTTCGATGCTGCACCATTCTGCTACTGACAAAGCAATCAAATCAAATCGTAATGGCATCGTTTCTAATGGATTTATTTTTTTTTTTGTTAATTACACATTAACAGCGTTTAAAAGTGGCCCTTGTCTGCAGCTCTGTTGGTCTGTGGTTGTAGTATGCTCCACAACAACAATAACAACAATAACAACGAATAAGAAATTAATTAAATAAACAATCGAATCGAATTGGTATTCACAGAATTGAACAATTGTTTATTTGTATTTTGTCAATGCTTTTCACCGTCGGCAACTAAAAACAGAAACAGTTTGGTGACAGTGTGACATTACTGCTGCAATTGCTAGATATCCTGGCTCTTGGATGTTGGAGACAACCCTCTGCTCAGCTCTGGTTGGGTTGTGTTGTTGTTTTTACGTGTCGTGTTGGTGTTGGTGTTTTTACTCTGCTTCTGCTTCTATTTTCTGGGATTGTGGGGCCAGGACCGGAAGGGCTTAGATGCGGCCCGGGAATGTGCCGCTCTCACGCTGATCGTCCCACTTCTCCACCCAGGCATTGGGGCACATCGACTTGTACACCTTTTGGAAATAGTTGCATGGTGCAAAGTCCTCGCCGCGCTTCTTCTGGCAACGATGGAAGTCGATGTACGACTGGTAGCAGTAACGAGTCACGTTCTGGTTCGGGAAACGTGGATCAAACGGGGCGGTCTCCAGCTTTAAGGCCGACATGTTGCTGCTGTCTGGTGACTTGTCGCTATTTTTGTTTTTGGACATGAAAAATTGCATATAGACTTTAGTTAAGAAAACAAAAAAAAAAAAAAAAAAAAAGGGGGAAAAACCACAGAAATGAAAGGAAACCAAGCAAATTGTAAACCAAGGTACATAGGTATACAGAGAGAGAGAGAGAGGGGAGAGAGAATGATATAGACAAGACAGATAGGCGGTTTGATAGTCGGTTAAGATTGGAAGGAACGTGAAGTTATTTATAAGAAAAATAAAATGTAATGAAATAAGGAATAGGGTTTCGAGTTGAGTTGAGTTTTGGTGCATGAACGGAGACGGAGAGGAGAGAAAGAGATAGATTATAAAGAATCATATTGGTTAGTTCCTCATGTTTTTGTCGATGCTGAATGTGCGCTTTTCTATGCACTAATAATATGCTTCTTACATATGTATATGTAGATGTATGTATGTATATAATATAGAAAGGGACACACATACAGTTCGTATATATCCACTATGCTACGGCCTTATGAGCTATTCTATGTTTAATCATTAATATTCTTATATTGAGGCAGCGGCTACGGCTTCGTCCCTTAACGTGTACAAAAGTTACATACATATTTACTATATATATATATATATCCGTAAATAGTATATATCTATAAAAAAAAAAAAAGAATCCATCGATTTGTCGTAATTTACATTTCACAAACTACATTTCTGTCGCGGATCTACCATCATTTGCATAATGTACATAAGTAATTTTAATGTGAGCTTGAAGGCGCGTGAATGCCCTGATCGGATTGTGTGGTGTGGTGCGGGGAATAAAGCAAACCAAACGGAAGGATCGCTCCTGAAGGGAGCGTCTCCATAGGGAGTGTCTTCTGCGTTCAATTTCATTTTTCCATGCCCTACTTGACCAACGGACGCTTGCCATTGTCCGTGTCGCAGGCATTGCTCTTGTACTTATTGACCTCGGCTAAATATAGTGACCAGAAGTCCTTTGGGTCCACTTCCTGTTCATTTTGTGTCTTCAATTTGGCCACCATGCCGGTCTTCAGGACCTTACCGCCGCGCCGCCTTCCCACCATGGGGGGCGGTGGAGCTGATTTTCCGGCTGCCGCAGCGGCAATGTAGGGTGCTGTCGCACTGTTTGCAGCTCCCACTGCAATGGCGGGCAGGCAGGGTATGCCCGGATGAGCCTCTATCGGTGACTGCAGGTCCGTACTGCCAGATGCGAGTGCACTGCTCTCCAACTGATAGTCCTGGCCGAGCTGCAGCTGCTGCCTCTTCTCCTGCTGCATTTTCTTAAACAGCTCCATGAACGAGCCATCATTGGCAAAGACAGGATGCGACGGCGGCTCAGGCTTACGTGGCGGATAAACTTTGCCCTCTCTGGCCAGGGCTTCGCGCAGTTTCTCCTCCATTTCACGATGAATGCGCTCCTTGTCGAATGGCTCCTCCGTGTCTAGGTTGTAATAGGCTCCCACCGCGGACATGGCATTGGATCTGTTAGCTGGCTGGGCCTCATTGTGTGAATTATGTGCGGCATTCGGTTCCGATCCGCCTCCAGATGATTGGCGATGGCGCCGCTGACTGGAACTGGAACTTACTCCGCCTCCGCCGACGGATGCAGGCGAGTCTGAACGACGATAATGGCCAGAGCGTCTGGAGTAGTCACGGTCGCGATCCCGCTCCCGTGAACGCTCCCTGGAATCCCTTTCGCGGTGGTAGCGCGTCGGCTGCTGTTGACGTCGCTCGTCGTTCCGTTCGTCACGTCGCCGCCGTTGGCCCGAACGCTCTGCGGAACGACTGCGGGATCGAGAGCGTGAGCGGCTGCGACTGTAGCGGCGGCGTTCTACGGAGCGGCTACGGTCCCGTCTATGAGAGCCAGAGGCGTTGCGGTCGGAATAGCCACGCTGGCCGCGTCCACCGCGCCGCTGCTTGTCCGGCGAATGATCCTGCTGATAGTAGGGCAAGCGAGCCGCCGACATGTCGGGTTGATCTGCAATTCGAAACTGTGCCGCGTTAAATCAAGCAGTTGCAGTTTTCGCTTTTACGGAATACCTATGCATACACAATATCTGTATCTGTATCTGTTTTTTTTTCTGTATATCTGTAAGTTCTGCGGTTCAAAATCGAGCTAATCGTTCCTTGTGGGTCGTCAAGCAGTTTCTGGTTTCCTCCGACCTGGCTGGAGCTGCAGCGAGCAGCCAGCAGCTTAGCAGCCAGCACCCAGCCAGATGAGGCAACGAGAATATACTGAATAAGAACTGAGCACCACCTCACAAGATATACCCGCACATGGGGATTCTTATGCAATTTGGATACTTGTACTTGGATTTAGTAGACTCGAGAGTGAGTCCTTGATTGTTGATTTCTTGTTCTTGTTATTTTTCGATTCTTGATTGACTTGATTAAAATGAGATATGGTAAAATTTACTTGTTTGCGTTGCGTCCACTAGGAGAGATGATTGTCGGCCAAGATCAGATGATGTTTCTCCGCGTTCGCTCCTGTGGGCTGCGTACTGTATTATCCAGGCTGTATTATCCGTAGTTCTGGGCTGGCCCGTTTGATGGCTTGCCTGCTTGCTTGTGTGTATTTGTGCTTGTTTTACTCTGACTCTTGGATTGTGAGGACTCTGAAATCGTATCGGATATTCGGCCTGCATGGAAAAATGACTTGAACGCATGAATACAAAACGTTACTTGAACCAAAACGTTGTGCAAGGAGGTTTGTCTTTCTTTTCTACATTTGTTTTGTGGTTAGGAATATACTTAGGCTTTCGGGGGGCACATCGACTTGCGATTGGGTGGTATTTTCGAATCGATTCGATTCGATGCGATTCGGTTCTTTTCTCATTCTTTTTTTCTTTCGGTCGCCACTCTTAAGACTTATGTAACTCAATGGTAAAACTTAGATGGCTCGCTTACTTATTAACTTACTTATGCAGATGATGTAGAATTTTTTACCTCAAACTAATTGATGTATATACAAATAAACGAGTTATGTAATTTGCTTTGCACTTTTTTTCCTGCTGCCAAAGCCTCAACAGCGGAGAGATGTCAATGCGTAAGTGCGTGTGTGTGTGTATGTGTGTCGGTTCGCCACAAGATTTCTCGTGGGTATTTTGGGTTTTGCTTTTAATGCGATTGGAATCAATACCGAGGCTTACAATTTGCTTGCAAATGCAATTAGTATTGCGTTTCTGGGTCGAAAAACATACCTTTGTTGTTCCGAATGTTAGACGAAAAATTTTCAACTGGCGAGCGTATCACGAACCCCTGACGATAGTGATGCAAAACGAACGAAAACCGAGAATTGTCAAAGTGACAGCTAGTGCCAGGGTGCCAGATCTCGGAAAAGCTGTGTTGATTAATGCGCAACACTCGTCTGTCTCGTCTCTGTCCGAATACTGGTAAAAACACCGTACCACAAAGAAAGTAATGGGTGTTAATCTACTCTGATGATGGAAAGTAATGCGCCTGAGCTCAGGGCCAAGCCAAGAACAACAAACAATAGAAACGGCCACTCTAGGCGAAACCAAAGCGACAGTGCCAATAACAGAGTGGTTCGCAAGCTACCGCCTCGTGCTGGCAACGACCGCTGCAACATCTACATTACCAGCAAAACAGACTTCAAGGTGTGTATTAGATTGCGTTTTAACAAATAATAGTATGGTCATTACACTCTCACACGATCGCGCAGGCCCAGCAGAAGCGATGCGAGGAACTGCTCAATTCGGGCGTTAAGGAGATATTCTTGCATTGCATGGGCTACTCGATCACTCGCGGCCTCAACCTAGCCCTGCGTCTTATCAAGAACTCGGAGGGCGCCTTGGGCTACACCATCAACACCTCCACCATACAGCTGGTGGACGAGCTGCATCCGCTCTGTGATGAGGACGACATAACCTTTCGGCAGCGAAACAACTCGGCACTGCACATCAAGATCTTCAGCAACAACCTATTCAATATTGATGTGCCCCAGCTTCCGGCTCAGCCTGCTCTACCAAAGGTCAGCCAACGCGAGCCGTCAAAGCCCTACCAGCAGCAGCAGCAGCAGCAACAACCACAGAAGGCGAAGGCCAAGAAGCAGCCGCCCAGGTCACAAAAGCAAGAATAATGTTCAAGCTATCGGAACTAGTGCGCTGGCTGGGCCTGACCGAGTTCGAGATCCTGGTCAACCTGTGCGGCCTGCTGGTGTTCACCATAACGCTAGCCTTTAAGATATCCGGCACCTTGAATGAGGTTTTCCCAGAGCTGATGAAAGACTGGTTCACCGTCTTCAGTCCCTTGTTCTTCATTGACATCTGCAATGCGTACTTCTGCGTCATTGTGGGCATCCGCATGTATCTGGACTCTGACAACAAGCGCAAGGCGCTGCATCGCTTCATGTGGAGCACCTACTTCCTAGTGCTGATTGCCATCTTCAAGTATCTGTTGTGTCTCAAGCTGTCGGGCAGGAATACGGCGCTGGAATACAGCGAGGTCTTCTCGCCGATATTCGTCTTGCTGCAGTTGGTGGCTGTCCGGGCCTGTCAGCTGCCCAATTCTATATAATCTATAGATTTAGCTTAGATTCTAAATAAACCATTGTTAAAATATAAAATTCAAAGGAATCTATCGTCAGTGTTGGGCAATTCGAGTGCACAGTCACTCTGCTAGGTGGCAACCCGCAGAGAAATCATTGGAAACAATAACATAAAAGTTTGCCTCGAAATCGTTTGTTGTTTTGTTTTGTTTAGTTTTTCACCGTCGCCATGTCTACTCTCAGTCGTCCAAAGTCCCCGCACACGCCCACAGCAATCAAAAAGGGCGAAAAGGAAGACAGCTTCTGGGACAAATTTAGCACATTGGGTCGCAAACGCGGCACCCGCGAAGGTGAGAGAGAATATTTTGCTAAAAACAGTTAAAAATACATCATAACTAGCATCTGAGATTGTGTTGACCCAATCAAATCTACTCTTATGCATCAAACTATGAAAATGCGGTGTAAAAGTACCCGGACAACGCCTTCCAGAACATCTAGGGAGCGTTTATGGGAACAGATGTGGTTCTGCCTGTGCCTGTGTGCTGTGGGCCCCCAGCCATTGAGAACATTGCGTCATTTGTGACTCATACAAACAAGTTGTGATCTCTGTGTGCATGTGTATGTGTGTGTGGTTTGGGTGCCACAGACTTCCCCATCAAAGGGTGGTCATTGTGTCGTCATCAGTCATTGCCCGCTACATACTAATACTACCTTGTCTGCCTTCTCGCCCACGTAGTGAAGAAAATCCAAGAGGAGGGCAAATACGCGATCGACTCACCGGGATCGCCCAACCAATATGACATACCACCCGAGGACTATGCTCTGCGTAAGTAAATCTTCTAAAAATAGATGATCATCGTCCCTCATCCCAATTGTTCTCTTCAATCCTTGCACCTGCAGGCGAACACGAGCAGCGCGCCGTCATCGATCCCCAGTCGATCAACGATCCAGAGGTGGTGAAACTGCAGAGGATTCTGGTCGACTGGATTAACGATGAGCTGGCCGAGCAGCGCATAATAGTCCAGCAGCTGGATGAGGACATGTACGATGGCCAGGTGCTGCACAAGCTCTGGGAAAAGCTGACGGGCAAGAAGCTGGATGTGCCCGAGGTCACACAGTCAGAGCAAGGCCAGCACGAGAAGCTCAATATAGTCCTGAAGGCCGTTAACCATGTGCGTTGCGTTGCTTTTCATTTCTGCATCCTGCAGTGGCTAAAACAGTTCACTTATTAATCAATTGCTTCCTTCTTCCAACAGACTCTCGGCTTTCATCAGAAAATACCTAAGTGGTCGGTGGCCAGCGTTCACTCAAAGAACATTGTGGCCATTCTACATCTGTTGGTAGCTCTGGTGCGTCACTTCCGAGCGCCCGTACGCTTGCCGGAGAACGTGTTTGTCACTGTGGTGATTGCTGAGAAAAATGCGGGCGTTCTGAATGCCCAGAAGTTCCAGGAGCAAATCACATCAGAGTACGATGATCTGGGCATGCGATGTGAGAAGGATGCCTTCGACACCCTGATCGACTGTGCGCCGGACAAGCTGGCCGTGGTGAAGAAGTCCCTGATTACGTTCGTCAACAAGCATTTGGCGAAGCTGAACTTTGAGATAACCGACTTGAATGCGGACTTCCGTGATGGCGTCTATCTTTGCCTGCTAATGGGGCTGCTGGGTGGATTCTTTGTGCCGCTGCACGAGTTCCATTTGACGCCCCAGGATCTAGACCAAATGGTCAACAATGTGGCGTTTGCCTTTGACCTGATGCAGGACGTGGGCCTGCCCAAGCCGAAGGCCCGACCAGAGGACATTGTCAACATGGACTTGAAGTCCACTCTGCGCGTTCTCTACAGCCTGTTCACCATGTTCAGGGACTATGCCTAATCCTAAGTCATGTACCACACCCTTCACGTTTACTCTACATTTTATTATAATTTTTTTTTTTAATGTTTACGCTATTATTTATGTGTATTGCCTAACCATTGTCAGCTGCTCAGAGCTAACCCACTCCATGTTCACCCGGCCAGTTGTTGTTAACTTGTCTTTACAATGCCCGTAGTTGTTACTAAATGAATTTTTACTCTGTATCGTATTAATAATAATAAACTAAAAGTGTGCCTTTGGAATAATAATACTATACGACAGACACAAGTCGTTTTCAATTCATGTCACAACACATTTCGAAAATTATATAGTCGCATATTGTAAATTTTCAATTATCAAAAAATCATAGGTTCCCGTACGCCCGATTCTGGTACTGCCTGGCCACCCATAACTCAATAGCCGCATCTCGACTCCACTCCACAAGTAAGTACTGTTTTTGGGGCAATGCAATTCATATTTATTTTTTGTAGATGATTTGATTTTTGCGCGCGCTTTGTTTCCATCGATTTGCATCTTTGTATACTGTTTTAGTATTTTGGAGTATTTTTAGCATATTCTAGCGTTTTCTAGTATCAGTATTACCAGCCTTGCCATTGCTACCAGAGTAGACTTGTTGCTTTTCAGCCGACAAATAGCAATATTTTGTTAATAATGAGATGGGATTAGAACACATACTAACACACGGTTTTCTATTGCCAAAATTTGCATAAATAATTGGCCAAAACAAAAACTGTTTCTATAGAATGTGCAATTTTGAAACAAGGTGACAACCATGCGATTGAATTTTAGGATTTTCACAATAGTTCAGCGAAGTTTCAAGATTTCAGGCGGCCTGCTGACAACTTCATCATTATTTATTCAACGTGAACGTCACTATTTCGAATATACCAAGCAAGAGATCATTGAAGACGCTGCCCGGCGGTACGTGCGACAAATACAACGAAGCATCTTGCGACTTATACGAGAGCCCCATTCAATAATGTCCGAGGCCGATCCTTCTTCATTCCGACGGCCGCAACCGCAACCACAGCCGCAGCCGCAGCCCGAGCATAGTTTTGGCTCGCACAGACAGGGGAAGCCGGACTCCAATTGTCGCACTTGCAACGACTTTAAGTCATGGTCCAAGCAGCAGCGCATAATCTCAAATGTGCAGAACTCCAAGGTAACGTAACGCCAATGTTGCCCAAATTATTTGGCACTCGTCATAACCGGCCAGTATCTTCTAGGACAAGCACATGGCAGCGGCAGAGAAGTTGACAGTAAACGCGGCCCAGTTGCCCCGTGAGGATTGCCCGTTGGACAAAGTCAGCCTGGGCATCTCTACCTGGGGCCTGCTGCACACGATGGCCGCCTTCTACTCTGAGAATCCGACAGACAACGAGAAGCGTGACATGAAATCCTTCTTTGAAGTACTATCCCGCCTCTATCCGTGCGAGTTCTGTGCAAAGGACTTCCGCACTGAGTAAGTATGCTTTAATGAGCCTGTTGCCGCCTCCCCTCTAAGTCGTGCGTTTCCCTTTCAGTCTGACAGTGAACCCAATAAATGTGAACTCCCAAAAGGAATTGTCTTCATGGCTGTGCATGTTCCACAATCGAGTGAACGACAAGCTCGGGAAGCCGCTCTTTGACTGCACCAAGGTGAACGAGCGATGGCGTGATGGCTGGTTAGATGGTTCCTGTGATTAGATGGATTCAATCATAAGACTACCTACCCCTAACCGTCGGAAGGCTGTTCCGTTCCCCCCACTCCCTCCTCTCCCACGTATCAATGTTGAGAAGACTTGACTCGCATATTGCTCAACATGCACACGACTCCGGCTCCTCCAACATCTAGTCAGTGTTCAGGCAGTACTCCACTGGCGCGCCAAATTCCCGCTGAGCCGCTTGCTTATATTTCCTTATCCCCAAGCAGATGGTTAAGCAATTATTGGTAAATGAGAAGATGTTAAATTATATGTATCAAACCAATCCAACTTTATTGTGCTGCGTGTGCTTCAGCTGGGTTCAAACCACCATTCAACATCATTTAGATTGTGAGGGCAGATGATGAAAAGATCTTTCATATTTCACAACTCTTTATCTGTATCGTGACGATGCAGTCTGATAAGAATAGAATGAGGCCGCCGGCCCTTATGTCGGATAATACGGGAAATACTTTTTAAAGTTTCGGGTGCTTAATGTATTTGCCTCTACCTTTAGCTATGAATCTCTGGTAGAGGTATACCAGGGCTTTGTTTGTAGGAACACAGGTAGTCTACAAGGAGAATATACCCGGCTTAACTCAAGTTGTTCATTCTTTTAACACTTTCTGGGTGTATAATAGTATATTTAAACAATTTTTTGGTATATTACGGTATATTTCTGAGGTTCCAGTCACACTGGACAGCACCGACAAAACAAATCAAATATTTATTTTTCAATATATTAAGATACTTTTCAAAATGACCGCCAAACTCCATTTAGCGCACAAAAAATACTGACATTTTTCGCTCACAAATTCAGTCTCTGCTTTGCCGGGGGGGGGGTGGAGGGCGGGCGCCCGCCCGCGGGCCGCGGGCCCCCGGGGCGGGGCGGGGGCCCCCGCGCGCGGCCGGTAAAGATATTAACGAAATGTTGCAGCTTGCGGGTACCAATAATAGGTATCGGAACCGGGATAAATGTATTTATAAAACAAAAAACATATGCATTAATAGGTAAAAAACATGCCAATCTAAGAAAAATGCAATATTAATGTTTTAAAGCAGCTTGGAACAACAAATTTAACATCCATTAAAGGAAATATGGTATAAATATATACCTAGACCAGAAACTTGGTTGACTGCACATTGACGTCACATTTACGTTTTATGCTTTGGCCGTTTTTGTTTGAACTTTATTATGTAAACAATCCAATGAAAAATAGTTCTGAAAAATAGCCAATCCTGAACAAAATTTTTTGAGGAATTGGATAAAATTATTTGTTTAGGGCTGAAAGGGCCAACTAGCTAGTAATATTAAACGGAATATCAAAATCGAGGAATATCAACGTTGGATGTTTTGAAAAAAAAAATCAATACTATCGTAATAGTATCGGGCTCACATAATTATTAAAAACTATTGAAACCTTTTAGGAACTTGTCAATTGTAAAAATTAGATGCCACCTGTCGATTTGTTTACAAATTTGTCTTCGTATTTTAGAGCAGCCAATCCAAACATATCAAAAGCGCAACAACTGTAGCTCGATACTATCATGATAGTCGCAACACCGTCGATAGTAGCGGATAGCACTATCGATAGTGCCCTCGATGGTTTGACACCTCTAGGACCAAATAAAAACAAACTTTGGCACAAACTTTAATTATAACGGCACGTGGCATGCGTGTTAGTGTCGCCCGTATTGACGAATAGAACAGGCCAGTCAGTTAAATATTAAAATCCATCCCATCGCCGTTATTATGCAGAGACTGATGTAAGATGAACGCATTGCGCAACATCTTCACATCGCGTACTTTGAACTACTTGCGCCAAAATGGACAGAACGCGATCCTCAATGCCACACAGCAGCCGGCGGTTGTGGACCCCAGCCTGCCCCTTGCCGATGCGGACAAAGCGCTGAAAGATGCCCGCCCATCGCCGCTATCCATACCGCGTTCCATCCTCGACGCCTGTCAGTTTACGGCCAAGCCGTTCGACATTGGCCGCTCGGCGGTTGCCCAGCAAAGCGGTTCACTATCACCCACAACGCTCAAGCGGTTCCGCCGCATGCAGCGTCGCATGGAGCTGGTCTACCGCTGCAAGCTGTGCAACACACGCAACACGAAGACCATTAGCGAGGAGGCCTACTACAGCGGCGTTGTGATTCTCCAGTGCGACGGCTGTGCGGTCGATCACCTGATTAAGGACAATCTGGGACTGTTCGCCAATGGCGAGGGCGACACCAGCACAAGTACCGGCAAGAATATCGACCAGCTGCTCTCCGAACGTCATGCCCGGGTGCGCATAATCAAGGTGAACGAGCACGGCGAGCTTATTTAGGAATCTAGTCAACGATCGATCAACATCTCCGCTGATCCTGTCGCCAGTCGCTTCAGTTTTCTCTGCGTTTTCTGCTCACGCAAAACGTCCCAACACAACACGGACGGAACATTGAACCTGCAGTCTGCAGCCGAACAAACCTGAACTAATTTCTCATTAATTCTGTTCTAAATTTGTTGTTGTTTTTATATCGATTATATGAGATATAGCCGCATGCTAAAAAAAACGTTGCACTCGAATTTAATTGTTGATGAGTAATGCAATGATTAAACAACAAAAAATAAGCACACCAAATCGAAAGCAAATTTTGAAATCAGTTTTTTTTCACTTTTCCTAATCTAATCTATGTGCGTACATACCATATGCTTATACGCACATGTGTGTATGTATTCGCTGATTAATGTGTTTACCCGAAATTATAGAAATTTCAGCTCGTACAGTGAAAGCTCTCCCAGAAACAGAACTTCCAAGAGATACAGTCCACAGAGAGCGAGCCATGGAACTGGCCGGGCAACGCCGAGGGGGCTTGGCTGTTGCTAATTGATCGAATCGATCACAGCCCCGACGGTGCTAATTATCACAGTAAAAATCAAAAATTGGCACACTGCTTCCCCAGAAATTGTGAAAGGGGTGGGGTGGGGAAGAGGCCTAGGCACCATGGCTGGCCCACGCCCCATCAGTGTGATCGTTTTCTGCGTCTTCGCCTAAGGCTGGCCAAAACTTTAGTCTCCAATTAGCGATAACTGTGACGCAGTATGGAATTAACTCTGGCCAGCTCTGTGACTTTCCTGTGGCGTTTGTGTTTCCAGGAACTAAAAGCATGAGGAATCGTAGTAGTAGCTGCTAGCCAGCTACCCAGACGTGCGACAACAACCATATACAGCAGCTGATTAGAATCGGGCCTGATCATGGTTCGGTCTGCGTGCGGCCTGCTGAGGGTGTATGTATGTCGGTGCCATAAAAGCGTAAAGAAAACAATTAATGTGTGTGGGTTTTGTTTTTTTTTTTTTGTTTACTGATTTAAACCTATTTTATTCGAGAATGCTTCGAATATTGTATGTAAGCTTGTACATTACATTGGTATGTATCCGCACTAAAATCTCATTCGATTCGATATTGCTAGTATAAATAAAAATGTAATTTCATTTGTTTTTGTTATTCTTGATTTACATTTACATAATCAGATGGCGCCGCGCCGCTTCGCTTCTTACACCTAATGGATCAAATATATTCTCATTCATATTGTTTGTCCCTTTTTCAGACAGAAAAGGTTTATTTTGCAATGTTTTGTTGTATGTTCTCTGGTTCGTATGGAAGCGCACTTTTGTTACACCCTTTGCTCTTGTATTTCTCGTGATTATGATCCCCCAAATCATATGCAAATGTTCTCCTACGGGCAAACTACTTTTTGTTTGCTTTCAGCTATTTCACAACTTATCTTGGCATTAGCCGCAAAACAACAAACAAAAAAAACCAGAAAGAATAACTTACTTTTGGGGGCGAACGAGCCGAATTATACACCGCAGAATACACCGATGGAGGAGTGCCCCATTCGAATTCTAAGCAAGGATACAAAATTAATACAGTAAATAAAAAATGTATTATTTATTTTGCTGCAGTAAATGTTAAGTTGAGATTTGGGCTTGGGTTTGAAGTTGAAACTCAGAGACTAGACCGTAGTTAAGGGCTATCTAAAGCATCCGGCCTCAGCCTCTCCTTTCCTATCAGTTACGCTGACTACGCCCCTTTTTGATAAGCCAGAGACCAAGGTATTCATAAATATTCTATATTGTGTTTTCTTATTAGTTTGAAAGCGAAATGCAAATACGCATGAATCCGGGGGAAAATTTGGTTCAAAAAGTCTGTGAATTGTGCTAAATGAAGAAGGTCCTAGTCCTATTCAATGACTGTACGCCAATAACTGTATTCCACTAGACAATACAGAGATATAAAATACATATAGTTTAGTTACCTTTCAGTTAGTTAAATCAAGTTTAGGGGACTACGGCCATTAGTTGGATTTACTTATTTTATTCTACATATTGTATGCGTGTGTGTGTCTGTGTATGGGTGTGTGTCTCTGGATCTGATTGCTTAGGGTTCATATATATATATATAGGCCTATTTAGCTGCTATAATCAATTAGCAGGTGGTGTACAGCGTGTGCATAATCTCAAATTACATATTTACATAGTCATGTTTAGATTGAACCTTTAATTTCCCTACGCCCTGTACTCGGGATTCAGTCAGTCGTTGGTTGTACAGTGAAGATATCAGGAGGCGGCCATAAGGCAATCCATTACAGCGCACATTTGCGCACTCCTCACGTATTAATATTAAGGGTTTATTAATCCATCTAAACACTGAAGCTCCTTCCCTGCTCTGTCTCTAAAATGGTAGACATTTAAGTTATTTTTTTTTCCAGCCAGTTTTTCCCATTTATATTTTTAATAGCATCGAAATTTGTTTTGTGGGGGATTTTAATCGAACTTTTTCCAAGCCCAAAAGAAACTGAATTAAACTAAATGTCAATGTTCCAAGCCATATCCTTAGCTCTTTCAAGACTCAGTTCCATTATCCAAAAAAAATTGTTTGGAAAATTACAAACATTTTCGACTTAAATAGTGTGTGTTCAAATGTTTGATTATTCTTAGATTAGTGTTAATAAAATGGAAGTCTTTCGGTGAGTCGAATGATGTATAAATAATTTTCTGGAAACTGCAGATATCTCAGGATTTATTTTCTAAAAGTATAATTTCTCTAATGGCAGATTTGGGGGGGCGGGGGTTGGAGTTTGAGTTTTAAAAAAGGTCGACTGTAATTCAGAACCATCCAAAAATTAAAAGACTGATTAAAAAGATTAGTACTCAGGCAAAACAGATTTTAGGAATATAATTTACAAAAAAATGAATTGAAAAATTTCAAACTATAATTCTGGAAATTAATTTAATGAAAAATTTCAAACTATAATTCTAGCAATTAATTTAAATATTTCAAGCTATGATTCTAAAATTTAATTCAATTGCAATTCCTTTTGCGATTATCCAATAGAATAAATCGAATCGAATCTCCATCTATTCATCTGAGGCTCTATCCTTTTGTGTAATTTTGATGATGCCTTATGGCTCCCTAAACATTCTGTACATGATGTTGTGTTTGTTGTTTGTTTTGTGTTGATTTTGTAGAACTTATTAAATTAGATATTGCTGGTAATTGTGAGAGCGAGGGTTCCGTCCCATCCTGTGCTGAGGATGGAACCATCGCTCGTTATACATAATACGTACATAGTTACGATACATAGAATACTTTATATAAAATACTTAGTTCTGGAATGTTTCGACGCGCGCGCACACACTCTGCAATTTTACGGGGGGGTGATCCGGGGGGTGGCATAGGAATGTGTATATAATAATTAATTCGAATCTGTCAAGGGAGTTTGTATGTCTACCCAACATGGACAATAAGTACAATATAATGTCTGCCTGATGCTGATGATGATAATGATGATGACGATGGAGGGAACACGTGTACGACTTTAGGCTTAAATATAGTTAGGATTGGGGATTCAATATCCTTTATTTGTTGGTTTGTATTGTTGTTGTGTTGTGTTGTGTTGTGCTGTGTTGTGGTGGTGCTGGTGGTGATGGTGGTGGGAAATACTTTTCGTTTAAGTACCGCAGGTACCAGCGCTCAGTTGAACAAACTAAATGCCTAATTAAACTAATATTAAATAAGTGTAAAATACATGGTAAGTGGTAGCTAAGGTTAAATAAGAAAAAAGCTAGCTAGCTGCCTTGTTAGTTGGCAAATTGAAGGACGTTGAAAGTTTCTTAAGAACCTATTTGACATGACGACCACTGGCGCTTCCTCGACCCCGTCCACGATTGCGAACAGTTCCAGCCTTGGTTTTGATCCGATCCCGTTCTCGTCCCTCTCACAGGCTACTACGACCCGATCGACCAACAGCACCAACAGCACCATTGGGCCGATTGTGTCGTCTCTTGTGGAGATAGAGGCCGGCGGCCTGGGCAAATGCCGAGCCGCATATCTGGCAGACATATCGCTTGACCTTGTCGTGGATCTGTTTGTGATTCTGCAGGTTCTTCGTGGACTTGAAGGTCTTGCCGCAGATGTCGCACTTGAACTCCTCGTTGCTGTAGTGCAACTTCAGGTGCTCAAACAGGCTGTTGCGAGCCATAAATGACTTGTTGCACTGCGGATAGTCGCACTTATACGAGCGCTCCCGCTCATCCTGATGCACAATGCGATGGGCATTCAGGTGGCCGGGCGTCGCGAAGCTCCGTTGGCACACACCGCATCCAAACGGCTTCAGCTCTCCGTCTGCTTGTCCGTCCTGCTGGTCATCCTGATCCTCGACATTCTCGTCAGACGATTGGACACCGCTACGACGGCGCCGTTTGCGAGCACTGCCAGAACCAGAACCCGAACCCGAACCAGAATCGGCGGGACCCGATGACTCCAGTATACTGTGATTGAGATTGAGCGCCAGCGTTGGCAGGAACAGCTCCTCGTTGTGGCGCCTCAAATGCTCATCGTAGTTGGACTTCTCCCGGAAGCTGGCCGTGCACAGTTCACAATTGAATTTGCCCTCGGTGCCGGCGCCCAGATGCAACTGCTTGTGGCTTTCGAACTCCTCGGCGCTGGTGAACTGAATGTTGCACACATTGCAATAGTAACCGCCGCCGAGGCTCGGCTGGTGGGTGAGCATATGCAGGTCGAGTTCGCGCAGCGTCTGCACAATCTCTGCACAGTGCTGGCACTTGAACGGCGGTATATCGTCGTCCATGAAGTTCATTTGATCGTAGTAGATGTAATTCGGTATGAACTTGCGACCGGCCCGATCGCAATTGAGGCGCTCCAGCTTCTGCTTGGAGTAGTCAAAGCGCAGCTGCGAGATGCGCTTCGATATCTGAATGGTGCTCACATCAATCAGCTGCTGCAGCTCCATGGCCATCTGGTGCAGTCCCTCGCCGCGACGCTCCTTGCTGCGGTAGTCCGGATCGAAGCGATTATAGAAGCACTGATATCGCTTCACCATGTTCAGCAATTTCGCAGTCGATGTGTCGTTCCAAATGGCTGAAAATCGGCGACGGTATGACGTTTCCTAAATCATAAAGAAGCACAGAGAGATAGAGAGAGAGAGAGAAAGACAGAACCCAAACACGAACGGAACGGGGGCGGCGGGGAGACGATTTGTTATTTATTATTATTATGATTATTGTTTATGTATAGCCAAGAGGATGTTTACATCAATGGCTCAAGTTTCTAATGGAAACACAGGTGCTAATCTTACAGGCGGCGGGGGATTGCAATGGGGTAAGCCAACACTCACCTTGACAACAGCATCGGACATTTTGGAATTGTAGCTGTAGACCTCGTTGAGGAAATGCAGCTCCTTGAAGTACCACAGCGTACTGATGTTCGTCTTCTCGAGGGCCATCCGATTGCATTCGCGCTTGTAAACGGTGCGCAGATTGTCCCACTTCCTGGTGATGGCATCCTTGGCCAGGGAGATGTTAAAACGACCCTGAAACTCGAGTACAATCCAATCGAGGAAGCGGGCACGCTTCACACGATCCCGGAACTGGGCATCGCTGTGGTCCCACAGGAACGGATTTCGCTGATATGATTGTATGAGAAATTGGATCATCTTGCGATCCTTGATGTGCATCGTAAGCTCACGATCCCGCTAAGTAATGGGATTAGGGATTAGGATTCTAATTAGAATCAAGCAGTTCGGAAATGCTTTGGTGCAGGCAACGTACCCCCAGGAGGGACTCCTCGACCATCTCGTCGTAGCTGAGAAAATCGGATGATTCGTTGCCGGGGAAAGTTTGATTCGGTGCTGTATTGAAGCTGCTGCTGCCGCCGCTGTAGTCCAAATATTCGCCCGAATTGTCATTGTCGTTGTCGCCCATATAGCTCCGATCGTGGTCGGCATAATCGTCCATCGACGAGTCACCGTCGGCGGTGATGGGTTCGTTTTTGACATCCACACGCGGCTTGGTCACCTTCATGCGGGGGCGAGGTCTCGGTATAATTTCAGGCATATCGCTTTCGGGTAGGATGGCCTCTTCGTCGTCAATGGCCTCCGAGTCGTCTTCGTCTGCGGGCAAACGGAGCAAATCCTCATCTTCATCAGGATCCGCGTCGCCGTCGTCGTCATCGCTACAGGGCGGTTCGGGCAGCTCCTGTTTGATGACCATTTGGGGCTCTAGCAGAGCTGTGTCCGCATCGGTCAAGTCTTCGATCTCGTCAAAGTGGTGGCCATTTCTATGATGGATTCCTTGGTGCAGGGCATCCTCGTCCATCGACAGGGACATGGGCTCACCAAAGCTGAGGGTGAGGCTGGCTGCTGTGGGTACGTGCCCCTCGGTGCCCAGATGCACCGTTTGCATGTGGCTGATGAATGAATCAAAGTAGAGAAACTTTTCGCTGCAGAATATGCAGCGCAGGGCGAAATACTGGAAGTCCTCCGTGGCCGTAACGACGCCACAATCCTTTGTGCAGTGACGAAAAATCTCCTCATCGTTTGTACGTGGATACGCCAACACGCTCATGGTGCCGCGACTATGGGTTTGCTATAGGGACGGGACACACACTCGTAACTGAAATCGGATTCGGAACGCTCCGCACTGCACGCTGCGCTGCGCTTAAGGACTGCACTCTTTCGATTTATGTCCTATTCTTGGATCTAAAATAATTGCCAATAAATAAAAATTGTGTCCGAACTAGTGTTAGTGTTTAGAGATGTGCTAAACGCAGAAAAGGAGCTATAATATATATCGATGAAAATTTTTTCTTGGCGTTTTATCAATTTCGATATTTATGTGCGATGTTGGGCGAGATTTTCTTATAGCCAAATCAAAGCTCAAAAGCCGACTTACGGAAACAAAAAGTGCTGGCCCCGACTGCTGTTTATACATTAGACAAGGCCTTTCCGTTCGTTAAACTCCCTTTTATGGTTTGGATGTCGTTCTATCGTCTATCGATACACACTCGTCGTCATTTGACTCGTTGATTGTGCATGAGCTGCTCCTACTCGTCGCATTAGCTACACGCGTTTTTCTCAAATCGTGCTTTTTTTTGTGAAAAAATTAAATTAAATTTAATTTAATTAAAGATGTTTTGCGACACAAATCCGGTTGGCAGTGCGTGCAGCTAAAATGATTTGAGAATAGCAGGGCATACGTTGCGTCTCTGGCTGTACAACTCAAGCATTTTGAAACCAAATGAGTGCGTTTGCTTGCAGGCGAATGCCATAGCTGGGTATCTCGCGCGCGCGTGTGTGTGTGTGGTGTATAAAAGAATTGCAAAAGAAAAAAACAAGACGAAAAAAAAAAACGAAGCGATTGTAGGACGAAATCAAACAGGCAGGCGGTAGGGCAAAGCAAAAAGGAAAATAGCAAAAACGCTCTTAGCGCGGCGTGCGGTTAGTGTGTTATCCGGCGCAGCGCCAAGCGTGGATCCAAGCAGAAACCCAAGCAACAGCAGTCGGCAGGCAGCGGCCTCCGCCAAGCTAAAAAAATATATATATATATGTAAAAAAAAGAACCCCCCGCCCGTTTTGCCATATTTGGTTCACTGACGAAATTGAGTCCGCAATAAACATAATCCTCATTTGATCGAGACGTGAAAAACGAACAATTTACCACATACATATGCACATACATCATATATGTACCGAATTTTCTTTACAATTTATAATCCCGATGTGAATCTCATTTAACCGCGTCTCTTGTGCTTGCAGAGGAATATACATATATTTGCCGTGTGATGGATGGATAAATAAATAAATACATTCAGAGCTGCTGCACTTTCTGGCGCCAAAGTGCAAAGACACACAAAAAAAAGATCGAGAGAAAAAAATTTAAAAGAAAAAAAATCGCCGCGTGTGTGGAATCTCGTCGACAGAAAACCAATACAGTGACACGGCGTGCGTAACACACACACACATTGAACACACTCACCCAGGATTGCAACAGTGTGTTCCGTTTATATTTCTTTTTTTATTTTTTATTGTTGTTTTGCGCGTTAGCGCGTGTGTGTGGTGTGTGTGTGTGGGCGTGTGTTAGTTTCTTTTTGGTTAGTTTTCATTTTGTGTGTCGTGCCGTGTTTCATCGCCGGCTTAAAATCCAATAATGTCGGATAATGAGGATAGTCCACACCAAAATAACCAAACAAAAAAACAACTGCAGCTGCAACGAAACCAAGCCACAACATTCAGCACGAGATCGGGAGGGAGCACACATCCGCTCACGCCACTTCAGGAAGCGACCGAGGCCGAGGAGGGGGCCGAAGATGATTCTGCTGCCGGCACACCCCTCGTCTCCCGCAAAGTAAGTACAGTTACAGTTTACCAGTCGGAGCAGATATCGAAATTCGCGCGAAATTACTTACTTATGCTGGAAATGAACCGTTTCGTTCCAGTCTCTCATGGGAAGGGTGAAGCTGCGCGTTTCAAATATCCTGCCATCGTCATGGTTCTCGCCAACCTCCAAGGCGGCCTTGGAGGCCGAACAGGAGCAACAGGAGCAGCAACAACAACAACAACAACAACAACAGAATGGAACAGGAACAACGGGAACAACGTCTCTAACGAAAAGGAAACGTGGACGCCGTCGCATAGAGCTGGCCGAACCAGATGGCGAGGATTCACCCGCTGGAGGCCTGCTACCCGATGTGGATGATGGTGCCGCTGCACGAGGTCTGGACTACGAGGAGGTGGCCCTGGCCGACAACATAGCCGAGCATGACTTGGTTGCCGAGGATGAGCAGACGCGACGCAGCGAATACAATGTGTTCCTCTTGCGCAAACGGCGCGCTGCGATTGCCGCCGATGATGATTTTGATGAAGATGACGACGATGTGGGAGATGGTGACGAAGAGGAGGAGGAGGATGACGATGGTCCAGCACAAGCGTCCATCTCTGCCCCGACTAAGCGTCGACGTGTGGAAGTGAGTGAAATCTCCCCCCTGCCCCTCCTCTCCCATTCGATGTTCCCTATTCTTTATATTCTATTCATAATCTCGAATCTCAAATGATTTTCCAGCTGGAGATAAGCGTCAATTTGCCAAGCATGCGGCGACTGCCATTGCCACTGGTTTCCTCTACGCCCGCCGCTGTCGCTTCCGGCGGCCAACTATTCACCTCAGGCAACTCTCAGGTAGTGGAAGGCACCCGCAGCCATAGCCGTGGCTCCAATCCGGGTGGCGTTGCCCCGCATCGTCGCACCCACTTGAACCTCTATCACCAGCGGCAGCATCGTGAGTCGGGCTACAATTTCTTTGCGGGCAACGAGACGGCCGCCGAGGCCACCACAGGAGATCTGCCAGTCAGGTGAGCCTCTCTCTCTCTATCCCTGACCAAACCCCCTGTCCTCTGGCACCTGCCCGTTGTCGTTACTAGCTAGAGATTTTACCATCGCTATTCCCCGCTGTCCTCGTTGCAGTATACGTCGATCGCTGAACATACCAGCCATAGAGCATCCACGCAGTCGCAGCTTCAGCTTTGGACAAACGCAAACTAGCAGCAATTTGTCCGCCATGCCATTGGCTAACCACAAGAGACCCCCTCTGCTGGTGGGGCAGACGGCCACGGCCCGTGAGACATGTCGCGATGTGGTACAGTCGGAGAATGAGCGGATTGAGCGGCTGCTGAATATCTGCAAATCCAATAATAATATCAGCAGCAGCAACAACAACAACATTATCAAATCGAAGAGAGGCGCCGCCACAGCGACAGGCGCATCAGGAGCAGCAGATTTGGAGAGCGAACTGAATGAATATCCGGAGGGAGTAGAGGGTGGCGACTCCTATCCCTATCATCACAACAGCAACAGCAATCTATCGTTCTATGGGAATTTGCAGAGCGCAAAGTCAATATTTACACGCGGCTCGGCCCAGCCGCCGCACCACAACTCGACTTGTTCGCTAAACTCGCTTAACAAGCGGCAGCGCTTCAATGCCTCCATTTATGGCAGCTCCTCGGCATTGAGCGACAGCCGGCTGTTGACACGCAGTGCTTCCGCCTCGGCCTGTGGGTCCGGTTCAACATCTAGCTCGCCCTTCTACAAGGGCCAGACCACATTCGGCGGCAATTCGGCACACAATCGCATCTTTGGGCAGAGTGCTGTTGGTGGTGGTTCCTCCTCCTCGTTGGCCATGAACTCTGGAGGCAGTTCGCCGGCCGCCCATCAGGTGACATCGGCAGTTGGCAGTCCCGCCAATGCCGGTTACGGCGGCATGAAGCCATTGGCCATGCAACCCAGCAGCAATCAACCCATCATCAAGCAACCAGAGATAACAAACGAATCGGTCGTGGACAGCATGTCCCTCTCAAGCACCACACGTCGCATCCTGAGCCTGCTGGAGAGCTACTCCACGCCACTGATTGATGTTAAGCGGCTTGGCAACACCCTAAAGGAGCAGCAGCAGCTGCAGCGTAGCACCAGCAATCCCTATAGCCGGCCCAATCGTTCTATGCTGCACACAGACCAGCAACAGCAGCAGCAAAATCAGCAGCAACAGCAGCCACAAAGTCTGCTGGCACCCACCATGCAGCACATACTCGAACGACGTCGCCTGCATCGTGTCAGCCAGTGTTCGAAGGATTTGCTCTTGAATTACAAGCCAAATGCATCATCGGCCGGTGGGTCCACCTCAATGGCCCTGGCGGCTCTGCCAGCCCGTCACACCAATAATAATAACAATAATAGTCACACGAACAAGATGCGTTCCCGACTGAGTCATCAGTCGGCGCGCAAGGAGCCGCGCGAAGATACCGAACTGGCACCCGAACCACTCGACTTGCCGACGATCAACTTCCCGGCCATGGCAAATACACCGACATTTGATTTGGTCATCAAGCCGCCGCCGCCAACGATGCCATTGGTGGCAGCGAACACAACGGCGGATCTTCAGATGCGTCCCAAGCCGCCCCAAACAGCATTCCCTATGCCTGCGGTTAATTTTGTGTGTGCCAATGTGAATTCTGGAGCAGCAGCACCAGCTACAGCTGCAGCTCATGCTGCGTTTCAGCCTAGCAGCGTATCAGGACGTGGCTTCGATTTTGGAGAACCCATACCCATACTGGAGGAAAGTGCAAGGATTCAAGGTGGAACTGCACATCAAACGAGGATCACGCGCGATTTCTCCTTTACAGAGCCAGCTTCATTGGAGAGGCAGCAGCAGCAACAGCAGCAAGAGTCTCTGCCATTTATGAACGGCCCCACCACCGCAGCAGCTGCACATAATCCAAGCAGCAGCCAGCAGCAAGTATCATCCGTATTCACACTGGGAGTGGGAGTGGAAGGAGGCTTTAGCCAGCAGTTTAAAAAATCAGCCACTGAATGGGAGTGCGATGTGTGCATGATCAGAAATAAGTCGGAGCTGGTTAAGTGTGCAGCATGCGAGACGCCAAAGCCTTCCAAGACTACTCTACCAGCTGCAGCTCCAGTTCCAGCTACAGTCCCATTCACGGGTGCCAGCGGGTTCGGAGATCGTTTCAAGAAGTCTTCGAGTGCCTGGGAATGCGACACGTGCATGGTATCCAACAAGAATGAGGCCAACAAGTGCGTGGCCTGTGAGACGCCACGCCCGGGAGCTGCTACAGCGGCCAGCAAGACCACCACCACCACCGACTGTTTCTCAATTACAAACAGCCCGGGATGCGGCTCCGGCTCTGGCTCTGGCTTCGGATCGGGTTTCTCTACATCCAGTTCGAGTTCCGGATTTGGGCAGGCCTTCAGGCCCAAGGCCAACACATGGGAGTGCCAGACATGCCTGGTGATGAATCAGACGACAGCCGTCGAGTGCGTCGCCTGCCAGTCGCGCAATCCCAATGCCAGCAGCGAGTCCAGCTCGAGCTCCTCCACAAGTAATCCTCCAACCAATGTCTCTTCAAGCACCAGCAGCAGCAGTAACATCACCAGCTTCAAGTTTGGCTTCCCCCCAGAGCAGCAGCAACAGAAACAGCAGCAGCAGCAGACGGGAGTTAAACAGGATGCCGGTTTCCAGCACCTGGTGGCTGCCCAGAAGGCAGCCAGCTGGGAGTGCGAGACGTGCATGGCTATGAACGACCAGTCACTCTCCAAGTGCTGCTGCTGCGAGCAACTGAGGCCGGGAGCCGACGACTGCAAATCCTCATCCAACGCCACTCACCCTGTGCCCACGTTTACGTTCGGTTTTGTGCCAAAAGCAAAGGAAGCAGCACCAGTCCAGCCAGTACTGTCAGTCCAACCGGCTGCCGTCCTGTCCACATCGAACATCGCTGCTCCTCAGTTCTCGTTTGGCTTTGGCCAGAGCAAGGATGTGGCAGACAGCAAGAACGCTTCAATGGGAGGATTCAAGTTCGGAGCCCCAGCCACCACCACCAGCAGTCAGGAGGAGGCAAAGTCGATCGATCTAAAGGGCTATGCCGACGGCCACAAAGGCCACATCCACCACGGGAACCGAGACGGCAGCAGTTGTTCCAGCAGCGGCTCCCCCTAGCCAATTTTCATTCAGAGCCCCCACCACCACCACATCGACAGTGCTGTCATCCAGCAGCGACGCTTCCATCGCTCCCGCTACCGGTACCGGTACCGCCGCTGCCGCTGCCACTGTCACGAGTCAAGTGTTCAGCTTTGGTGCCCCGTCATCATTACCTTCATCATCATCGGCCGTGTCCAGTTCGACGCATACTTCGGGCAGCAACTCCAGCGCCACCAGCGTGATCAGCTCCAATGTGAAGCCAATGTTTAGCTTCAGCGCTGCCGTCTCTGCCTCTGGCTCCGCCACGCCCAGCGGCGTTAGCAGCAGCACAAGCCAACAGCCGACGGTGACGACGGCATCCGTGGGCTTCTTTGGGGCTGGGACCACCACCAATCCAGGAGGACCAGCCACAACAACTAGCACATCGTTTGCAGCAACACCGGCTCCAGCATTGGTTCCTGCTGCTGCTTCTGCTGCAGCGCCAACGCCAGCGGCAGGCTTGTTCAGCTTTGGCAGTGCATCTTCAGCTAGCTCCACGACAAAAGCTGGCCCCCAGCAGCAACAGCAGCACCTTCTTCTTTGGCCAGACTCCGACATCGACGGCAGCGCCGAGTTCAAATGCGACGACCTCCATCTTTGGCGCAGCAGTAACATCAGTAGCCTCGGGTAATAATAACAGCACGTCCATTAGCTTCAGCAGCAGCACCAACGCAGCCTCAACTGCTGCGCCAGCCGCAGCTGCAGCTCCAACTCCGGTGACGTTTAGCTTTGGGGAGAAGAGAGCGGCATCGGGTGCTCCCGCAAACAGCCTGACAAAGCCCGTAAGCTTTGGCTGGCCCAGTCCCAGTGCCAGCGCTAGCCCCATACCCAGTAATGGCAGCATAGCTCCGGCCACCGCCACAGCCACTGACAGCAGCAGCACCACCACCAACCTCCCGACGGTGGTGTCCAGCAACTCTGTTTTCGGCAGTGGATTTGGGTCAGCTTTCGGCAGTACATCGACCGCCAGCACACCAGCATCAACGCCGGCAGCTGCGACTTCAGCTTTTGGCGGTAATGGAGCACACCCCAGCACGGGTTTCGGCTTTGCGGGTAACTCGATAGCATCCCAATCTTCGCCTGCGCCAGCGCCCTCATCAGGCCCGGCTCCTATATTCAACAATGCCATCGCGCCTGCCTTTGGTGGCAGCAATGGGGGTGGAGGTGGAGGATTCGGCGGCGGAAGCAATGCAACAGCTGCAAAGCCAGCATTTAACTTTGGAGGCTCCTCGGCTCTTTCCCAGTCGGTGAGTATATCGGAATCCCATTCGATAACTGATCCTCTCTAAATGCATCCTTTCTGCTCTCTCTCTCTCTCGTCTCTCCGCAGGCGGGCACATCTGGACCCTTCAACTTTGGTGGTGGCGGCGGCACCGGGGCCAATGCGACGTCCACAAAGCCGGCCTTTAATTTTACGGGCTCGGCTACTGTGTCCGCCGCAGCAGCAACACCACAGGCGACGACTACCTTTAACTTTTCCGCCAGTTCGGCGATTGCCAATCCCCTAGCATCGGGCGATGTAAGTATCCCATATATATCCCCTACCCTCTCACCCATATCCATTCAGCCATAGCGCAAAGAACATAATTTTTTGACACGAACTGAAACTGTACCTGTAACTTAATACGTATACAAATAAATTTTTTATTAATATATATATCAGTAAGGGGCGGCAGTGCCAATATTTATTATATCCTACATTAATCGTAGAGTTTTTTGATAGAGCTTATAGATGGCCGAAATTAAGTCCAAACTTTTCTTTTATGTGTTTCTGTGCATGATAACTCCCTGCGGGAGACCCATTTAAATTAAGGATCTTCTTACACTATGTATTTATTTATTTCTTTAATTGTTTATATTTATATTTGTTTATTTGTATTGTATTTATATTTATATTTATTCTTCTTTTTTTTCTTTCTCCTTTCTATTTTCAACAACACAAAAACCAACCGATATCAAAAAAAAATCTTCATGTTGTCGCTGTTGTGTGTGTGTGTGTTCTTTGGCAAAACAAAAAAAAAAAAAACAACCAAAAACAAAACAAAATAATAAAAAAAATAACGTACTCCATGTATGTATTACTACTATGTACACACTGTACCTACCCCCTCCCCCTGTACTGTAAAACCTCTATGGCGCACGGGCACACAAAATCAAATCAAATTAATCAATCAATCAACTATCCATTCTACTAATCACCACTGAAACAATCTCAAAAACAAAAAAAAACAAAAAAACAATAAAAAATATATATATGTCATTTACGGCACGGCATCGGTGCAGCGCGTCTTTCAGTTCGGTGGTGCCACTGCTGCTGCTCCACCTTCTGGCGCAGCTACCGGGCCCGGTGCTAGTGTGGCAAGCAGTGGTACGGCAATGTTCAATTTTACCGCCACATCGCCGCCGCAAATGCAGATGCAGGTAAACCCAAAATGATGGCCAGGCTATACAAAAAAATGATTCTAAAGCCAAACCGATAATGATTTTTGTATCACCTATGCGCACTCTTAATACGCGAGTATTGTAAATATGTAGTCTATAGTTATATATATAGTACCAGCTGTATATAGAAGAAAGGTATTGGTTTTAGTTGTTTCATTTTACATTCCATTAAAGGTAACATTTACATTAACCCTAACAGTGGCATTAACATTTAACAATTTTAAACAATTAAATTTACGTATGTATGGACATATATATCGATCATTTGCTTATGTGTTGTTATGTGCTTGTCAAACCGTATCGGTGAGTGGGGTTAGAGGTAGTGGGAGGAGGGAGGAGGGTGGAACTCACTGAAATTGTTTAATGGTAAACTTTACATTTGCTATGAGGTCGCGATATTCGATCTACATATATACATCTACGTGTGCTATTGAATCTGATCTGATAAATATTTGAATTATATGCATGCCGTTTTTATACATTTTTTTTTTTTTGACAGCACTGTATGTGTGACCTCTAACCCCACACAGACACACAAACTTGTAACACACAAATAGACGAACATTCTGCACTTTCATACACACTGCACACACCCTACCGACTCACCTACCCACCCACAACATACATATGTATATATGTATGTATGTACAAAATTCCGATGTCACTTTTCATTTGAGAAAGTAATTCGCAATCTCCCAATCCCCAACCCTTCCCCCACCCTTCGTCCATCCACTCATCATGAACAACAAAAACTTTATTTTTGCTTTGAACAAAAGACAAAAAAAAACCAACAAAAAAGGAAAAAACAAAAACAAAACCGAAACACGAATTTTTTTTATTTGTTTGTTTGCAGTCAACGCCAAATGCCAACGCACCGTTCCAATTTAGTGCCGGTGCTCCGGCGCCAGCCAATATGTTCGCGTAAGTAAAGGAGAGAGAATGGAGAGAGAGAGAGAGTACGCACTTGCGAATGCTGCGTGAGCGAGCTGTAGATACGAATACTGAGTGGAAAAGTGATTAGGAGAGAGAGAGGATCATTATCATTGGTGGTGGTTCTCTCTCTCTCTGTCTATTGCAATTTTCCAAAATGATTGGCCAATCACCTAGACACACACACACAGACAGACACCCACACAGCTAAACAACTGTACACAGATGCACTGTTCACCGTTATTATTGCATTTACACAACTAATTTGTAAAGATATTTGTTGTTGTGTTTGTTTGTTATGTATGTATGTATGTATGTTAACAGAAAAGAAAAAAACAAACAAATAACAAAAAAAACAACAAAATGATACTCCGAATGGAACTACATATCTCTGTTCTGAAGAGATGCCACCCACCCACCAAACACTGCATACATCTAAATGTTTTGTCAATGTTCAACAAAATCCGTTTGCTATTAACGTTTAACGATCTTTGTGTGTGTGTGTGCGCGCGCGCGTGTTTTTGCGTTCACAGTTTTTCCATTACGTTGATATTTTACGTTTCTATGTTACCGCCAAATTTGCTGATCCGTTTTTTTTTTATGGCCGCAAGATTTGAATTTCATACTCGCTCCGCAGCCCCCGCGTGCTGCACAAACCCGGAACTACTTCCGATTTCATTTGCAGAGTACCCACACACACACTAACGAATCCCGTTACATTCACAGCTTCAATCCACCGCCAGCTGGAAACGCCGCCCAGAATTCACAGATGGTGCGCCGCAAGATGCGCGCCCCCGTGCGCCGTTTGCCGCCACGGTAGAAGTGGCATCGCAGGCCTCCGAAACAACATCTACTGAGGCTGCCGCCGCCGTCCTCGCCATCGCTTTAGGCGGACCACACTACAACCACATGAATGAAGAACAGGAACAGCCACAAGCACAACGAATGGGATTGGATCTGGAAGACGAAAAGCGAACCGGACAGGCGCCGCAGGAGGAGGAAGACGAGGAGGAGGACGAGGATGAACTGGTGACGGACAACGAAAGCAGTGACAGAACGCTTGGGGCATCATCAGTTGATTTTCGCAGTCGGAGTGACCGCCCCCACGAGCAAAATCAGCAGCAGTTCTCCCCACGTTTCCAAATATCGTTTCGTGCGTAGCGTCACGGATAGCGCCTCTACGGGTGGGAGCGACACAGTAAAGGATGGAGAAACCACAGCCACCATGTTCAACACGGCAGCCGCCAAACTGGCCAGACAGAGGCGGTTTGGAGTGTTGCACAGCAAGCGGTATACACGCAGCAGAGTCACCACCATCATGAGCAACCGGAGCCACAGAGGAGGTGGCAGGAGAATCAGCTACCGTCAGCGCTACAACGATAACGAGGGAGCAGGAACAGGAGGCGGTTCCGTCGCGGGGTTCGGTGCCAAGAGCTCCCCCCATGTCCTGCGCAGCCGCTACAAACTGGTGCGACGCCGAAGCAACAATGAAGCAATAGCACCCCTGACTGAAGCACAGCAGCCGTGAAGGATCGCTGGAGGATGATGATGAGACACGCAGTCACGCATACGAAACTGGTAGCCGGAAGCAGATGCAGATACGGCACGGAATCGGCAACGGCAACCCATATTTCGTAGTCCTCTCTCTAAAACACACACAAAATTTTATTAAGTTATATTAAATTGTTGGTTTTATGGGCACACACATACCCACATACTGCGTCCTCATCAAGCAGCTCTCGTATCTATTCTCTAGTTTGTAATGGATCCTTTTTTATACTAGTTTTTTTTTGTTGATTTAAATTTAAATATATATCTATATATGTTTATTGTATATTTATATATATATATGTATATGTATATATATATATATATATGTGAGTGTATGTATGATGTGGCCGCAGGCAAGCCGAAAGCGTATGAAAAACATAGAGAATCAGGAATCCGGAATAAAGGATCATCATCTTTGTCGTCAAAGTGTGTGGTCTTCGGGCAGTGTTGTAGTGTACAGTAGGTAGTCCTCGTATCAATCCAAAAAAGGAACAAGGACCATCCCATACACCTGCCAGTACAGTACACGCGACAGAATTGTAAATTTCAATTTAATTGTATTTTTAGTCATTTTATTTGCAACTATTGTTTCTTGATGCATACATGAGATACATATATATATATATATATATATATTTTATAAATATAATTAGTAACCTATAATTATGTAATAATTATGTTGTGAAAATGTAAAGAGAGAGAGAGAGAGAGATATAGAGGGAGAGAACGGTGGAGGAAGATGCAAGATGAAGAAGAGGAGGGATATAGCGCAAAAGAAAATGAAGGAGAGTAAACTATATTATTATATACATATATATTGCAAATCGAGAAAGACCATCCTCTGCTTAGATATGTTTTTGAATCAGTGGAAAGGTTTAGAAAGAAATAATGAGAACCGCATTAAAACTTTTGTGTTAGTTTTTGTGCTTCATTTTTAGATTTATCAAAGGAATTCACTAACGAATTCCGAATACAGAAGCAGATGCAACAGCCACAACAGCAGTACACCAACAAAATACAGAAAACAGAAACTATTTAGAAACGTAAATGAAAATAAAAGAAACCTATAGCTAACGATAAGTAAAAAGATAGAAAAAAAGATTAAAATAGAGAGGGCCAAGATGCAGAGTGGCGATAATAGAGAGCAGAGCAAACAGTTATGATGATTATACGCATGTTTTATATATACATACACACACATACATATATACATATTGAAAAAGTAATAATATTTTAATATAATTTTTAATTGATCATTTGTAAGTCGCGGGAAAAACTGAGTTGTGGAAATCGGAGAGAATTCGTTTTAAGAAACGGTATCGTAATGTAAATAAGTAAATATATGCGGTATGATAATTAAAACAAAAAAACAAAATATACCTACAAAAATCTGTGAAAAGAATGACCTATGATGCCTTTTACTGTTTTCTGTTTTTCCAATTTAAATAACCAATGTAGGGAATCTACATATATATATGTATGTATGTACATATTTATATTGTGCATTGGCGGAAATTTGTATGGGCAAAATTTTCAGAATTCAGAAAAAAATAAATTTGTTTGAAGCCAACGAGCCAAGGACCAACGGAATGAATGGTTCATCCGAAAATGTTGCTTCAGTATTCCGAAGTGTTGACTGTACCTACTAAATATACAAAAAAAAGTTTATAAAATCGGTCACTGCAAACAGGATGCCAGGATGTCAAAAATTTCATCAATCTCCACATTCCTAATAAACCATGAAGAAAGTTTATAAAATTGCTTCGATATAGTCCGCGATATCAAATTCTCGGCGGTGGAACATTTCCGATAGCACATCGATAGAAAACGTAATTTCAATGTAAATATATTCGTTATATCGCACAAAAATATCGATTGAACATGCCATGCAGAATTAAATAATATATTCAAGATCTGGCATCATCGGGAATTAATTTCATTTATTTTTTTTGTTGTTTCCCCAATTGTGTTTGTGTTTTTCTATCCGTTAACTTGTGCGCCTCCAAGCCGCAAAAAATGTGCTGACCAGTGCCTTGGGGCAGTCAGAGCCAGAGCCATCGAGAATTCCGAAATTCCGAATCGCATCCGCTGCGCCATGCGTGTGTGTAGGTGATTGCGGTGGTTGTGTGTGTGTGTTTGTGCGTCTGCGAGAGAGCTGGAGAGACATTGTCGGGTCGTCGGGCAAAAGGGCGGTAAAAGAAAAGTCAACAAACTGCAAGGGGAACGGGAAAGCGAACGCGAACGGGGCTACGGAACGAGTAAAAACTATTAAACGCCGTGCAGTAGCAGCAGCAGCTAATTTCCCTGCAAAATGTTCACCAAGAAGAAGAAGAAACCTCTGATCTCGATGCCCAGCAATTTTGAGCATCGCGTGCACACGGGATTCGATAAGCGGGAGAACAAATATGTCGGCCTCCCACTCCAGTGGGCCTCCATTGTGGGCAACAATCAGATCCTCAAGTCCACCAATCGGCCCCTGCCCCTGGTCGATCCTTCCGAGATCACGCCCACAGAAATTCTCGACCTGAAAACGATTGTGCGGCCCCACCACAACAACAATAAGGCGGACACCACATCGCTAAACAGCAGCAGCACCATGATGATGGCCTCGGTTGGGGGTCCCGGTGGTGGTTCGATTCCGGGTACTCCAGGCGGAGTGCACGGCTCGATGGGGATGCTGGGTGCTGGCGGGCAACATCATTTGATGGATCCAATGACTGCGTCCGGCATTGTCCTACCCAAGACCTCCCATGTGGCGCGCTCCAATTCGCTGCGGAGCTCGAGTCCGCCGCGTGTGCGTCGCGTGGCCAATGTACCACCCTCCGTTCCCGAGGAGGAGTCGTCGTCGACGGCGGCGACAACAACAACAACGCCAGCGACGGGCTTCAAGCCTCAGCCGCCTCTGGGCCATCCAATGCTCTATTCCAGTCAGAATGCGCACGTCAATGGAGCGGCCACAGGTCCGCTGGCCGTGCGAACGGATCAGGGCGCGAATATGCAGTACCGAGCCATGGGAGGCGTCGGACCGCCGGGCGCCATCCCGCAACAGACATCGCCTGTGGGCTCGGTGGCCAGCGGAACGCGATCCACCCACTCACACACGAACAACGGAAACAGTACCGGCTTCCCACTGTATCCCCCCGCTTCACAGGCGCACCAGCCAAAGTCCGTGGGCGTGGGCGACCAGAATCAGAATCCCTTGCATAGCCACGCCCAGACGCATCCGCACCCACATCAACATCCACACAACCATGCCAAGTCGGCGTCCCGTGCCTCCAGCTCAAGCGGCGGGGCCAGCAGTGCCACCCTGGCCGCTTCTCAGGCGTCCGCCCAGCAGCAGCCGAAGCAGGATCAGCGACTGACCCACGAACAATTTCGGGCCGCCCTCCAAATGGTCGTCTCCGCTGGCGATCCGCGCGAGAATCTTGATCATTTCAACAAAATCGGCGAGGGATCTACGGGCACCGTCTGCATAGCCACCGACAAGTCCACAGGTGGGTGTGACGCCTCCCCCTCTTTATGATAGTCTTGCATCCAAATGGATTTGGTGATTTCTTTGTTTGTTTTTTTTTCTTCTTTGCTTTGCAGGTCGCCAGGTGGCCGTGAAGAAAATGGACCTGCGCAAGCAGCAACGACGCGAGCTGCTCTTCAACGAGGTGGTCATCATGCGGGACTACCATCATCCAAATATCGTTGAGACATACTCCAGCTTTCTGGTCAACGACGAGCTCTGGGTTGTTATGGAGTATCTGGAGGGCGGCGCCCTCACCGACATTGTCACCCATTCGCGCATGGATGAGGAGCAGATTGCCACTGTCTGCAAGCAGTGCTTGAAGGCTTTGGCCTATTTGCACTCACAGGTGCGTGACCAGCATGCAGACAGACGCCCCATTGTCTGTGGCACCACCCTGCCACTGCCCCTGCAATTGGGGGCTTTCTTTACTGTATTTGCTGCGCCTTTCCTTTCCTTTCCCTTCCATTCCATTCCATTCGATTCGATTCTTTTGCCCTGTCGCTGTCGCTGCTGCTGTTTCTGCTGCTTCTGCTGCCATTGCCATTTGTAGCGCTTTCTTTGGCCTCCGCTTTCGCGTCGCTTAGGTTTCAATTTCTAAATGTTGTCACCGAAGTTATTGTCCGTCCGCACAGTGGAATGAGCACCCGAAACTAAGCGCAGCAAGCAAAAGTGAAATCGTAACTGAAGAATAGACCAGCCCAGCCCAACCCGCGCACCCAGCCCTGCCCTGCCCTCCTACGATAAGTTCTTTGGGTTCTTCCTGAGTAAAGAACGAATCATTTGGGGCGTCAGGCCCACAGTGGCTGTTGGTAATGCGATAAGTGGCTGGCTGGCAGAAAGGTCGCATCAAGTGGGGCTGGGTGTGGGAATGGTGGGTGAAAACCACAAAGAGTGAGCACATTTAACTGATTGTCTTCTCTCTTTCTTTGTCTCTCTATCTCTCTGTAGGGTGTCATCCATCGAGACATCAAGTCGGACTCCATACTACTGGCCGCCGATGGACGGGTGAAGCTGTCGGACTTTGGATTCTGCGCCCAGGTGTCGCAGGAGCTGCCCAAACGCAAATCGTTGGTGGGCACACCCTACTGGATGTCGCCGGAGGTGATTTCACGCCTGCCGTATGGTCCCGAGGTGGACATCTGGTCGTTGGGTATCATGGTCATTGAAATGGTGGACGGCGAGCCACCATTCTTCAACGAACCGCCGCTACAGGCGATGCGTCGCATCCGGGACATGCAGCCACCGAATCTGAAGAATGCCCACAAGGTCTCGCCACGTCTGCAATCGTTCCTCGATCGGATGCTGGTGCGTGACCCGGCTCAGCGGGCCACCGCCGCCGAGTTGCTGGCCCATCCGTTCCTGCGCCAGGCGGGGCCGCCCTCGCTGCTGGTCCCACTCATGCGCAACGCGCGACACCACTCATAGAACGGAATCCATTGATAGATGTGGGGACATACCAGCTCAACGCAAGTGCATCCAAAGCACACACACACACACAGACAATGGCCATCGATCCATCTATCCATCGATTCAACGATCGATCCATCGATCGATCTATTCGATTGCTTCGGCATTAAGCTCTAGTATTAAAAGTTTTAAGTTTGGCATCTGTACTTAGACCCGACCCAACCTCCTCACCCTAACACCTGCTCGAAAGATCTTGTAAAGACATCTAAGCCATGCCCACATTTTAATGCATCGTTTGTCCACCCCACTCCCCCATATATATGTATATGCCTAGGATGTATGTACACCATTCCCATACCCATTCCGGAGCATGCTCACTCACTGACGGGTTCCCTTTTAGCCTGACTGATCCGCATATCCGTCATTTATTGAACCGGATCTGCTCAGAGAACGCAATGTGCCTTTCACACACACATACACACACACACCTATAAAAAACCGAAACAGAATTGGATCGTATCCAATAGTGCCTGGCCTCTGATCGATCGTAGCTGATATCTATTATTATTACTACTATTATGTATATGTATATGTGTACTCTGCATTTTATTGCTCTCTCTCCTGTGTACCTCCTCCTGACCATCCTTTTATTATGGCATGGGAGCGACGGATTCCATTCCCCGTTCTTGTCAGTGTCCGTGTCAATATCAATGTGCGTGTGTGTGGGTGTGTTAATGATTTTTTTTACAAATGCGTAAACATTGTTCGAATATCTATTTACATATAAGAAATAAGTTAACATATGCATTACATATATTTTTATTAAAAACAAACAAAACAAAACAAAGCCCTAACCCTAAGAAATGCAAAAAACACAACGAAACAGATCATAAAGAGAAAGACATAAGCATAGGAAAGAGAGGAACGGAAGAAAGAGAGAGAACTATAAGTACAGGAAAAAGACAGAGAGAGAGGAAGAGAGAAAGAAAGCAGAACCCATGAGCTTAGAAAAGAAGAAAAAATATAGCAAAGAGATATTTAGGAACGGAAAGGCATATATCAAATTTGGACACATCGATAAATATATAGTAATAATAAAAATAATAACAATAATAATAATAATAACAAAGTCAACATAATCCACAGCCTTGCGGTGCGGTTGCTTCGTAACCTTACCCAAAATAATACGAAGCCAGCGGGCCCGCCAATAATTATTATTGAAGCACATTCCCATTTTTATACGTTTTAGAATTTTTTTATCATAGTTGATTCTCTGTTCTGTTCTGGATTTCCACCCGTGTAATTATTAATGAATAAACATAAACATAAATCATCCAAAATATCGGGAGATCTTTACATCTTTCTGGGCACGCACCTGATGACCAGACTAAGAAGGACAAGACAAGTAGACTGCCGTTGATGAGAGCATGAAGTTAACCAATAAAGTAATCCAATCTCCTGGCATCTTGTACGTGACTAATGCATCTGTGGTCTAGATCCAGGACTCCAGCCAAGCAGCATAATGACGTTAATATCCTGGCCTACTCGTAACTAAAAACTGACGCATGAGATTTTCACAACTCTGCCCATCCCAGAAGGCTTTGGAACAAATCAAATCAAATCGAAATCGAACGTGAAATGAACTTTCAGTTTTCATTTAGTTATTTTTTATATTTCGTATCGAACACAGCTAAAAATTTTATTTGTTCGCGTTGAGTGTCGGATGATCTCCCAGTCCTTTTGCGTGCGCTTGCGCCATGGGCAGGGCCAGAAACCGCTGCCCATCACGCGCCCTGACTTCTCGCGGTCAACTAGATGCTGCAGCTCCAGAAGATGGAAATGTGCGCTGCTCCGCCTTCGCGCGGACTTGTGCCGTTCCCTCCGCCGTTCTGTGTCCTCGCCGTGCTAGACACCGACTGCATCAATGAAGAACTGGGGACACACTCAGTCAGTGGCAGGTGCTGGGAAACCCAACGCTTTAGTTCGAAGCTGAAGTTCCTTTACTGGATATTTATGCCCCCAAAGACGATGTTTGTGACATCGAGCGTTGACGCACTGGTCTGCAGAAAGCAGCCGCCCAGAACCTCACACATGAGGTGCAGGAGCTGTCATCCAATCTGCAAACCCCCATTGCCTTTGCACAGAATGCCGTCGATATTCTCTGCAATTTGGGTGTCAACACGGAGGTGGAGGTGAAGGTCAAAGGTTGGGCCGAGAGTCTGTTGATCACCCTTCCTGACTGCGTCAAAGGCCTCGTGTAAGCCGCCCTTCTTCGTGGAGCTGAACACCTTCTGGCACCTAAAGAAGAACAATTAACTCTACCAGGCAGGAACTGCCGTTGTGGCTGGTCTGCGTTCACCGGTAAGTGCGCAGGGTAGTAATGATAGCTGACAACGAGCTCCTTGAATAATAATAGTGCTGTTCTTAGGTCAATATTCGCGGCGGAACTTTGTGAAATACAGGAGGAGGAGCTCTATGAGCTCTTAAATATTGAGTCTTCGACCTTACCCAAATGTGCCGAGCCCACAGGCCTTGATGCATGTGTCACCTCTCATATATTTTCTAGGCGTTGAACTTAACATGCCTTCCCCACATTGGACTCCGCCGGACTTACGCAGCAACTCCGTTCACGACGTTCTCCTGAGGAGCTACCCGTAAACGCAGATCAGCCACAGCTCCGGTAAGTCGCCACCACGACGGCGGTTCTGGCCATTCCAGCACGCATATGTATTTATGGTGCAGCTCATTGTTCTTCTTCAGGTGCCGTAATAGTTGAGCTCCACGAAAATGGGTGGCTTACACGAGCCGTTTGCCACAGGCAGGAATGTGTGCCGCGACTGCCTCACGGCCCAGCCATTGATCTTCACCATCACGTTGAGACACCTGACTTTCAGAGACTTCCGGCGACAACATATGTGCAAAGGCGGTGGGCGTTGGCAGATTGGATAGCAACTCCCGAAGTTCATGTGTGAGGTTCTGGACGGCTGCTTTCTGCAGGCCAGTGCATTAGCGTTCCATGTCACGACTTCGTCTTTGGGGCCATACAAATCCTGTGAAGGAACTGGAACCTCAAACTAGAGCATTGTGTTTCGCAGCTGCTGCTACTGATTGAGCGTGACCACAGCTCCATACCTCTATGTGGTCAGGGTCGAGCTCGGCGAGGACCCAAACTGGCGGATAGACATCGAGCATCTTGAAGGGATTGTATCCGAGGCATTCCATGCCCATTCTGACTACAACCACCGAGTAGTGGGGGATGGGCTCCGGTTCAAATGGAGAAGAAGAGACAGGACTTGCCTCTTTTGGCAATGGGTCGGACCTACCTCCTGACAGCGGCCTTACTTTCGGGATTACCACAGAGAATAATATTTGAGGCTCTATGATGATCTTACAAAGCACTTTTCCAATAAAAAAATTAACTCATGAATAACAGACATCTGGAAAACCTATCTAAGAACACAATGCCGCCAATATGGGGCAGAACTTTTACCGAACAAAATAATAAGCCTAGCCGCATCGTCACGTCAGAAGATTATTTTGAGGCCAGAGCTGCCACCTTTTGCAACTATAAATCGGTTCGGTGCGGTTCTTTTGATTCGCTTGGTGGTTCAGACGTTCAGTTTGGCAGTTCAGCTTTTAAGCAGAAAAGAAAAAACCTTCGGCGAAGGAAACTGTAACCAATTCCTAAACAAATTCATTGGCATTGTTACGCAGAAGGCAGAAGGTAACGCCTCCAAGAACTTGAGAACTCTCTGCGTAGCCAGAACCAGATAACCCCAGATAACTGCAAAATTTACTCGACTTAGAAATGGCGATGCGCAAGAAGAAGCTTCCACTAGACGCTTGCAAAGAAATCCTCGTGGTTCTGTTAAGCAAGAAGCACCGCGACTGTGCGTGGCCCTTCTACAATCCGGTGGATGCGGAGAAGTTTGGCCTGCACGACTACCACGACATAATCAAGAAGCCTATGGACCTGGGCACCATGAAGCGCAAAATGGACAACCGGCAGTACACGAGCGCGGCGGAGTTTGCCGAAGATATGCGATTGATGTTCAGTAACTGCTACAAGTACAATCCGCCAGATCATGATGTTGTGGCCATGGGACAGAAGCTGCAGCATGTATTCGAGGCACTCTACGCTGGGATACCCGACGAACCGGTGTCGAATGCGACATGCCACACAACACTGACCCATTCTCATACTCAGGGTAATGGGAATGGGCAGGGGCACGGTGCCAATGTGAGCGCCTCCCTCAATCAAGACGGCAGCGACTCGGAGAACGAGTCCCGCTCGGACGCAGAGTCAAGCTCCAGCTCCAGCTCGGAGGAAGATTCCGCAAAGCTCAAAGTCCTCCAGTCCAAATTGAACACTACCTACTCGAAACTGCGCGATGTAATGGCGGAGAATCGCAAGTTGATACAGGAGAAGAAGAAAGGGTGGATCGTCGGCAAGGAGCTCAGGGCCAAGGAGAGAAGCATCGATAACAAGCAGATTGATCTTGACAAGCAGATCGAGAACCTCACCGAGGAGGTTCATGCCTTGAAGATGAAAATGAAGCGACAGAGCGAAGCCCCCGGCTCCAGCTCGGTATTCCCCCAGGCCCAGGCCTCGACACCGATGTCCTCAACTCGCAGCGGTGTCTCCAGCTACAAAAATACTGGAGGGCGCAAGAGCCAGCGCAACTAACGATACTGAAGCCTGGGGGAAAGGCAACCAGGGGAAGCCAATACACAATATTAGCTGTGGTGAGTGATGGTGGTTATTGCAGCTCGAATACGACTCCTAACCTTTTGTTCATTTCTTACCCATCTACAGATAACTGCGAGGAAGTTTACTTTACTTGTGCAGTGCAGTTTATATACCCTTGAAGAGGGTATACCCCCGTTTAACTCAGTTTTTGAGAAGATCTTTTGTAAGAGAAGGACCACATCTGTGCTAGCACAAACACCGGACAACAGAGACCATAAGAAACATACACCTAACTGATAAGCCATCCCTTTTGTGTGTTGTCTTGAGCAACCACAAGGCTCTGATCAGCATATGCTTATCGTTAATTAGCTGTTAAATATGTAACTACTTTAAAGAATCGAAATCCAGCTTAGTTTTATTTCATTATATTTAGAACATTTTGAAATGAAATAAGTTCTACAATTAGACTTAAAAGATTTGTAGATTTTGGGACAAGCTAGCTTGTCCGTGGAAGTGTAAATGTGAATTTGTAATTCCTAAGTGCCTTGGTGCCAAGATCGGTCTAAGAAACTTAGACGCAACGTCGCCACTTCTGGTATTGTGTATTGGCATTGGCTTCCCCTTATTGCCTTGCCACCAGGCTTCAGTATCGTTAGTTGCGCTGGCTCTTGCACCCTCCACTATTTTTGTAGCTGCAGACACCGCTACGAGTTGAGGACATCGGTGTCGAGGTCTGGGCCTGGGCCTGGGAGAATGCCGAGCTGGAGCCGGGGGCTTCGCTCTGTCGCTTCATTTTCATCTTCAAGGCATGAACCTCCTCGGTGAGGTTCTCGATCTGCTTGTCAAGATCAATCTGCTTGTTATCGATGCTTCTCTCCTTGGCCCTGAGCTCCTTGCCGACGATCCACCCTTTCTTCTTCTCCTGTATCAACTTGCGATTCTCCGCCATCACATCGCGCAGTTTCGAGTAGGTAGTGTTCAACTTGGACTGGAGGACTTTGAGCTTGGCGGAATCTTCCTCCGAGCTGGAGCTGGAGCTTGACTCTGCGTCCGAGCGGGACTCGTTCTCCGAGTCGCTGCCGTCTTGATTGAGGGAGGCGCTCACTTTGCCACCGTGCCCCTGCCCCTGCCCATTCCCCTGAGTGTGAGCATGGGCCAGTGTTGTGTGGCATGCCGCATTCGACACCGGTTCGTCGGGTATCCCAGCGTAGAGGGCCTCGAATACATGCTGCAGCTTCTGTCCCATGGCCACAACATCATGATCTGGCGGATTGTACTTGTAGCAGTTACTGAACATCAATCGCATATCTTCGGCAAACTCCGCCGCGCTCGTGTACTGCCGGTTGTCCATTTTGCGCTTCATGGTGCCCAGGTCCATAGGCTTCTTGATTATGTCGTGGTAGTCGTGCAGGCCAAACTTCTCCGCATCCACCGGATTGTAGAAGGGCCACGCACAGTCGCGGTGCTTCTTGCTTAACAGAACCACGAGGATTTCTTTGCAAGCGTCCAGTGGAAGCTTCTTCTTGCGCATCGCCATTTCTAAGTCGAGTAAATTTTGCAGTTATCTGGGGTTATCTGGTTCTGGTTACGCAGAGAGTTCTCAAGTTCTTGGAGGCGTTACCTTCTGCCTTCTGCGTAACAATGCCAATGAATTTGTTTACGAATTGGTTACAGTTTCCTTCGTCGAAGGTTTTTCTATTTCTGCTTAAAAGCTGAACTGCCAAACTGAACGTCTGAACCACCAAACGAATCAAAAGAACCGCACCCCGATTTATAGTTGCAAAAGGTGGCAGCTCTGGACTTTGATTTGCTTGGAAACGGGAACGGAACAATTGATTCAGGCACAGTGGTGGCAATACTATTCTATTGCTGTGTCTCTGGCTCCTGCTATTTTTTTCTCCTGCAGATTAGACTTGAAGTCTGGTGGAACACGACCAATATGAACCATAGATTCGCGCCAACTGACTATCGATTGTTACACTTTGCAGATCCAATTTAGCTTTTCTAAGCTCTTCGACTGATGGTCGGGAGACGTCACTGGAGAATCGGGTATCTATCTCTTTTTGTCAGTGCAGTTTGTCAGCTACCAAAGTCTAGTGTCCACATGCCCAATGCCCACTTACACCATTATTCCCCTTCCCTTCTTTGAACTTATGTTCGATGGGAAAACAAATAATTCGCAGAATCGGATGGTTTTTTTTTTGTATGAACTTTTGTTTATTTTGCAGTTCTTTTGTAGATTTTCTTTTTTTTCATTCTGTTCTGCTTGTTTCTTATTGTTTTTGAGAACTCTTTCATTTAGTTTTTAATACTAGAAATTTGGTGCACTCGTACGCATGTATGTGCTACTCGTTAATTGGTTTCTGATCATGGTTTCATGGTTCATTCAAAATAGACTTACTCAAAAATGTTGTTGTGTGTGTGTGTGTGTGTGTGTGTGTGTGTGTGTGTGTGTGTGTGTAATCAATGGATCAATGGTCGTGCGCAAGGATTGGCGGGTAGGACAGAAGCCAAGTGGAGGTACAGTTGTGTTCTCTCTCGCTAAATCTTGTTGCTTTTGCCACAATTTTTGCTCACTGTCAGCTGTCACCATCTTGTTTTTCCTTGCTCTGATTTCTCTGCTTTTACTAGTTGTTAGTTTTCATGAGTTCTCTGTTCTCTGTTCTTCCTGTTCCCATCCCCATGCCTATAGTAAATCTCATATATTTTCACTATCTTCATCTCTAAATGTTTGCAGTTATGTAACCAAAAAAGTGCAACAATTAATTTCTAAATTGCCAATTGGTTAAAAATCGAATGCTTCGCTGTCCGTAATTATCAAATATCAGAGATACATAAATATATGTATTTTCATATGTAGGTATCTTTATATATACATATGTTATGTATACATATACATTTGTACATACATATTTACGTACTGGAGTGTCCGTCCGTCTGTATGAACTTTTTTTTGTATGGAAAGTTCATACGTCTTGTCTTGTCGTCACTGTATGAGGGAGGATTTTGCTCTGAATTAAAAACTTGTATTTTTTTATGTTGTTCATTTTCGGTTTATATTTTTTTGCTTTCAATTTTTCTTTTTATACAGTTTTCTTTTATCAATTTTTATTCTCGCGTTTTTTTTTTATGTGATTTTTGTTTTGTTTTTAATTAAATGCTAAAATTAAGTATAGAAAAAAAATATTTCTCTTTTTGCATATGTTTATCCGATGTCACCATATGCATATGCATTTGCATACATTTACATATACACACACACTCATACTTGTAGAAGATTTTCAAAACGAATTTACAATAATCAAATGACGTTTCTTGCGGGGGGGTTTAACAACATAAGGATGTGATGCCGGAGTATACACATACCCGTAGGTATTAGTTACACACACAACGACTCTATATATACATACAAGAACATACACACTGGGGGAACTTGCACACCGCACACCACATACCACACACTCGCAGACAGAGCGAAAGAAACCAACCTATTCACAAGCAGAGACCCTTCCTACTAGTACTATCATATCATCCACTATGCACTATTACTAGGTTTACAATTTGAATTTTCGCTAAATATATGTATGTACCGTACAATTACAATTAGAATTACAATTACAATAGTAAGATAGTATATAAAGTCATCATCTTAGTCGGTAATATTACTACATACACATATGTATACATATACCATATGGTCTCGCTCTCTCCTGCCTGGCACTCGCTACAAAAACTGCTTCACAGGAGTGGGGGGAGAGCTCTACCTGGCATTGGGAGCCCAAAACTTCCAGTTCAGATCAACATGGAACTTTATATACATGTACACGCATGGGGGGGAGGGGGGCAGCAAGGGGACTACAAACGTTTTTCTAGCTTAATGTTTTAAAGAGACAATTACAAACACAGAGACGGAGACGGGGGCACAAAGGCAAAAACGGAGACTGGACCTGGACCTGGATCTGAATCTGAATCTGTACTTGCCAGCTAGTTGAAGAGCTATGGAAGACAGCAGGGACTAAACATAGATATACATATATCGATATACAATACATACATACATAATTGTCACTGCAATTTCTTTGAGGGATCATCCTGCATTTATATAATCATCTTACATTATCAAAAAGAAAATTAAATAATGTGTGTGTGTGTTTCTGTACGTTTTATTTTCACAACTAAATATTGTTGCTGTTTCTAGTTTTCATCTTCTCTTAATAGTTTTTAGTCGCGTCACAATAGAAAAATTTCGTTGTCTACTTAAGAACTACATTTTTTTTTTCTCAATTTTATAATTTCTAAAAGGGATTTGGGTTCCGGGTTCTGGGTTCTGGTTCGTGTTTGGGTTCTGGTTGAGCTGGGGGCTGAGCTGAGGTGAGGGGTTCTTCTGGCTGGCCTATACATTATCTCAATGTAACTACTATAAAAAAGCCATTGCATGTTTATGGTGCATAGTGTGAGTGTGTGGTGTGTTTGTTTGTTTGTTTGTGTGTAAATTACAGGTGTAAAAATAGACTTGGGTCGCACATAGTATGATGTCTATGTAGGAGCGCACCTGTCAAGCCTTTCAACAGATAAGGGGTGCGTGTATATGTCTTGGTGGGGAGGGAGAGGCGGCGGCGGCGGCTATTACTGAATTAAGGTAATGAACATAATCGTATTGAAGAACCTGGTTGTGCAATCCCCCCACCCCCCCGATAACCACCCACCCGACCGCTTGGATAGATAGATCGATTGATAGATACATACATTGATTGATTTCGTTTCTTTAAATTAGTTAACAACTCTAAGCATATGTGTTTTTTGTGTATACTTAAGACAAACAAAAAAAAAAAAAAAATGATTTATACGTAATGTGTAAAGAACTACAGGCTAAACTTCCCTAAGCAATCAATATAATAATTAACATAATAAGATTTGAATCGTGTTCATTAAGGTAGTCGGATATTGATCATCATCGTCTCATCATCGCTTAAAATATTTTAATCATCATAATCGTAATCGTAATACAATACACAATCGCAAGTGAATAGATTAAAAATAAATGTATTTTAGATATATATATATATAGAATAATCGCCGATTCAATTGAATCCTAAAAACAATTTTTTATGAACCAAAGGAAATTTGCCTTTTTGTCGACTCTGCTGTTGCTGCTTTACAGATTCTGATTTATGATTCTGATTCTGCGTCTGCTTCACATGTTGCGTGTTTTTCTTTTTATCTTGTTGTTGTTGTTCTTGTTGCTGTTGCTGCTGTCGCTGTACATGCAGGATCGGGCAGCGATCCTTTGTATATTTATATGCCCTATAGAAAGATACTTACTAAATGTACGTATGAAGATTACGCCTTAAAACATTGCTTAATTGTTTTTATGTTGCTTTCTTGTTTTGTTGCTTCTTTAAATTGTTGTCGTCGTTATTTCTGTTGCTGCTGCTGCGCTGCTTGTGGTGACTGCTGCTGCTGCTGCGGGGCTTGTGGTGGCTGCTGCTGCTGCTGTGCTTGTGATCGTGATGATTGCTGCTGCTGCTGCGGGATTTATGGTGACTGCTGCTGCTGCTGCGTTTGTGGTCGGGATTACTGTTGCTGCTTTGCTTGTTTTGGTCGTGGCTGGTGCCGCTACTGCTGCGTTTATTATCTGGATTGCCACAGCCACCGCCACCACCGCTACTGCTGCTACGTTTGTTGTCCTGTTGACTGCTAATGCAACTACTTGTGGGCTTGTGGTCCTGGTTGGATGTGCTGCGTTTGTCTTCGTTGTTTCTGCTGCTGCGTTTGTGGTGGCTGGCGCTACTGCGTTTGTGGTCGGGGTTGCTGCTGCTGCGCTTGTGGTCGGGATGACTGCTGACGCTGCTGCCGTGTTTGGGGTCAAGGTTGCTGCTGCTACTGCTGCTGGCATGTTTCTTATGGTCTCTGTTGCTGTTGCTGGTATTGCTACTGGTGCTGCTCTCCATTGTTGTCTGTGTTGGCAGAGGCTTTGGCGTCCTCGCCGCCCGCCGCTTTGAAAGCGACGACGGCATTCTCGGAGCAGCAATGAGGATGCTGGTTCTGGGATGCGTATATGTCCGTTGCTGTCCTCCGAAGGCCTTGTCCTACAACGTCTCCTCAAACGCTGCCATTAGATCACTCTGCATGTTCATGTCGATTTGGCCAGCCAACTGAGGGAAAGAACAAACAAAGAAATCTTAGCTGGGGGAGGCGGGACCAAGGGGTATGCATTATTGGGAGACACCTACCGCTTCGCGTCTGCGTCTCTCCTGCTCCGCTCTTCGTTGCTCCGCACGCTTGGCCGCTGCCCGATCTTGCGGCGATTGCTGTGCCGGCGAACTCTGGCCCTGGCCGGGCGATGCCTTGATGTCCTCGACACGCGATATCTGGGACTGGGTGTCATGCACGCTTTTCCTGTGGTCACAAGTGGATTATTTTTGAGGTCAGAGGAGACATAATATTGGGCAAGAAAATGAGGCATCAACGATCACTTACCTGCCACTCTCCATGGCCTCCAGGGGCGAGGAAGCCAGGACGGTCTGCGCCGTCATTGTAGTCGATACGTGCTGGGCCTGGGCATTCGCCGCCGCCTGAGTGAGGACCACCACCTGCGGGCCGTATTCTAGGAGTCCGCTTCCCATCGTCCCGCCCCCACCGCTACTGCCTTGGCTATTTGAGCCGGGCCCCCCGCTCCCGACCACTCCGCCCACACTGCTATTGCTGTTGCTGCTTGTGGCCCCGCTGCCAACGCCGCTGTTGCTGTTGCTGCCTGTATTTGCCAATGGTCCGATGATGCAGCCGCCACTGTTGGGTCCGCCGCCACTGGCTAGGCCACCACTGACGGGGCCCCCACTGCCGCTACCCGCGCTGCCGGGTCCGTTGCTGTTGGCAGAGTTGCTGCTGTTGTTGCCATTGCCGGGTAGGAGTAGACCGCCGTTGCCGCCCCCACCGCTGCCCATGCGGGTGGCATCCACAGCGCTGCTGGACCTTTCCCTATCACTGCTTATCTGTCCTGCCCCAGACTGAGGCGCATTTCCGGTGGAGATGTTTGTTGAGGAGGCTGCCGCTGCCGCTGCGGCAGCTGCTGCTGCGGCGACTGCTGCAGCGGCAGCGGCAGCCTGGACCGCCTGTGCGGCGGATGAGGACGAGGATGACTTGTGATGCTTGCGCTGCTGCTCCTTCTCGGCAGCCTCCTTTTGATGCTTCTTCTCCTTCTCGGCCGCCTCCAACAGCTTGAGGCGGTCGCGTTCTTTGGCTTTGTTGCGGAATTGCTGGAATGAGTCCATCGCCGGCTTGGGCTTGCTGCTGCTCGAACTGCTCGAAGTGTTCTGCGGTGAGCTGGCTGATGCCAGCGATGACCACGAGCTGGCATTCTTCAGGTTCTGCTCGGCCGCCTTGAAGGATTGAGCCAGCATACTCTGGGCGGCCGCCGCCTGGCTTGAGTGCAGCTTCAGGTCGGAGGGCGATTGGGATACCTTCAGCATTACCTTCAGCTTGTCCGGCGGACTGGGCATCATCGACTCGATCGGTTTGATGAGGAGCATTTTGTTGGCCAGCTGCTGCTGGTGGGCATGCAGCTGCTGAAGGGACTGCTGTTGGTGGTGGTGTTGTTGCTGTTGCTGCTGCTGCTGTTGCAGCTGCATGTGCTGCTGCTGGAGTGTGTGCTCCAGGTCGAGGAATGCTGTTGCAGTCAGATTATCGAATCCTGGCATGCCAAAGTCCGCCACATTGAAGCCATTGTTGTGCGACGCCTGTTGCTGCTGCTGTTGCTGCTGCTGCTGCTGTTGTTGCTGCTGCTGCTGCTGGGTGTGCTGGCCATGGTGCTGCTTCTGTTGGTAGGCCGCCGCAGCCGCCATGTCGAGGTTGAAGTTCAAAAGGTTTCCGTTCATACCGGGCACGTTCTCTGTACCCTTTGTCAACAGTTCCGTCATGTAGTCCATAGGGTGGTGCTGCTGCTGTTGCTGCTGTTGCTGCTGCTGTTGGTGGTGTCCAAAGGGCGGCTGCTGCTGCAGACCAGGTTGCTGCATTAGGTGTCCCTGCTGGGCCATCAAAAAGTTATCGGTTAAGCCCGACTTGCCCGTGGAGGCCGCTGCCGCACTGAACTCCAGGGAGGCCAGCGACTGCTCAACGGGATCGTCGAACTGCGGGATTTGCTTGAGGCCCGATGCCAGCGAGGCACCCGGCAAGCCATCCCCCTGGCCACCCATTGTGTTGGTGTTGTGTGTGTGGCCCGAGGCGGTGCCACTGCTGGTGTTGCTCAGGCCGGCGGCCACTCCCACACCAGCGCCGCTGCCGCTGTTGCTGTTGACGGTCGACGTCAAAGCAGCGGTCAGCGCCGCGTTATTCTCGACCAGGTCGCCGCCGGGCAGATTGGGTTGCTTGTGCAGATTACTGGCTATCCGTATGCCCCCTCCGCCCAGACTTGCGGCCTGGGTGGGCACGCTACCGGCATAGCTGTGGGGCGGCAGGGAAGCGGCTCCGGCAGCCCCACCGCCAGGCGGCATTTTGCTAGTCATTAGGTGGTCGTTTTGTCCGTTCTTGTGGTGCGCCGTTGCGCCAACCTGGCCGTGCAGCATGCTGTTGTTGCCGCCCGCGGAGGCGCCGCCGAAGCTGCCGCCGACCTGCAACGTCGTCTTGTTGTTATTGTTCAGCATGGCAGCCGCCGTCAAGGGATTCGGATTGCCCAACAGATTGGCTGCGAATGGAATGGAGCAGGATGGACCATGGAGGATGGTTTTGGTGGTGGTGGTGGAGGTGGTCGGTAGATAGCGGGATTGAAGGTAGAACACACACGAAGGTTAGTTAGGCACACACAATCAGATCGGATGGGGCATCAGATAATTACCCATTTGTGATGTGGGTGAGTTTGCGTTGAGCACGTGGTCCAGGCCCATGTGAAGGAGCGTCGGCGTCAAGCCGCCACTCGGCAGGGTTCCTCCCAAAACAACGCTGAGGCTGGGATTATTTACCTGTATTTCGGTGGATCGATCGTGGATGATGTACACAAAACGATAACAAACGGCGAGCAGGAGAACAGAGAGGGGGAGACAAGAATGGAGACAAGTAAGCTGGTGTTACGACACATGCCACACTAAGACTATAGATCTATTTCCTATCGATTGGTGTTCAATTTAAATACATAATGAAATAGAAGGCCAGTAAGGAAGCAGTCTAAATTGGACTGCCACATACCCAGGCATATACTACATACATATGTATATAAATATGTATTTCGTTATTGTGATCCAATCTGACCGATTTCGATAAATTTCATTGAGATGGTTACAAAAACTGAAAGACTAATTTTACATACAAATGTGCATGGAAACAGACAGACGGGCTCATATCGCTAGATATCATATCATCACCTACTCAATATACTTCGTATACTTTATGGGGCTGGAAATGCTTCCCTGCTACTTACATTGCTGCCATTCGAGTCGCGTGGCTTCTTTTTGCGCGGAGGTCGTTCGTCTCCATCACCTGTAGTGGGGAGAGAAATTAGAGAGTGAGAAATTAGGAGGCGGACAGATGCTGGAGCAGGCAGAGCAGGACAAGGCGAGAGAAGGAGAAATCATAAGCAAAGAAAGACACCACACAAAAGCCAACACCATTCTCAACCTCACTCTCACAGCGCACACCCAGCTCAACAGGTGTTTAGCTAACGTCAACTAGTGTTGGCTAACGTCTGCTAGTGTTGGTTTGGCTCGGTGCTGCTCAGATGAGATCTGTGAAGTGCGTCGAATGGTTGGTTGGCACTGGTTAAACGAGGCTGCAGCTGATTTGCAGAACAAATACTTTGCCTCGCTTAGGCAGTAATCAACAAAAAAAAAAAACAGTTATACTTGAGTGGAAAAAAATAGATATATGGTGGGGTGGGGTGGGGGTGGTATACATGTGGATAAAATGTACATGTAAAATAGAACATATAATATGTGGTAAATAGGGTTTTTTATATAGTAGTAATAGAAGTAGTATGTGTATTAAAAATACCTCTTACAATGCCGATCGATGAAACAATTGTGTTGTTGGTGGTGCCGGGAGTGGAGACTGGGGCGTATTGGATGGGTTTCGGATGTACGCGCGCTTCTCTCATACGGAGACAGCGCACGCGCCCTCCCTCTTACTATAGCTCTGTTTCTCCTACTCCCACTCTCTCACTCTCTCTGTCTGTCTGTATCTCTCACTCCCTCTCTCTCTCTCTGTTTTTCTAAACTGTAAATGAGAAGAACTACAATCGGGCGCAAACAGAAATGAAAGCACCACAAAGACCACACCACACGCTCCACCACACCACTGCAGCCGGCGGATGGGGGGAGGGGGCAGCCATTCGATCACAGACAAACCAACCATCTTCTGTCTAGGTGTGTGTGTGTGTGTGAGTGAGTGTGTACTGTACCAACCAGCAGCTATGTACCGTACCGCATTTTGCTCTGCTTTCGTGTGGTACTGTACTTAATTTGTTGTTGCTCAAAATCTATAGTATAATTTAATTTTATATTTAAAACAAAAAACCACAAGCAAAATGCCAAATTTTTTTTGGAATGAGGAAGAACACACGTTTGGTATTTTTTTTTTTTTTTTTTTAATAAACATTTTCTTTTCTCAGTTTTGTTGTTGGTGTTGTTGTTTGTTGTATTCATTGCTTTTTGTTTAGTTTTAGTTTAGTTGTTGGTTTTGTTGGTTTTTTGGCGCTGCCATTTATTAATAATAAATATTATTATTTTTTACTATAAATATTTAAGTGTATGCTTGTGTGTGTGCTTGTTGTGTCTGTGTGTGTGTGTTGTTTTCATAATGCTAAATTTGTGTGTGGTCTTCGTTACGTCGCGTTGCATTGCGTTGCCTTACGTCAAGTTCTTCAGTTTCTTTTTGTGTTATGTCTTGCGTCTGGAGAATCGAAGAGCCGAATCTCTGTCTCTCTTCCTTTCCCTAAGATTTGTTGCTATTTATATTATTTTATATTATATTTGATTTTATTTCCTCCTTCCCCTTCCTGGCACTAGCTTTTAAATGATGAAATTTCTGCTAATTTTCCATGGTTTTTCGTTCGTACGTTTCCCACTACTCCCATTTTACGCCCAAGAAACCAAACCAAATTCTATCCGAAATATAATCTTCAAGTAATCGCTCAGGGGAGAGCATTCGCTATCGGTATCTCATCTGAGAAGTATCAAAATCTCAATGATTAAAAGTAAAAACTTGACAAAAGAATGGAGACGTACAAAGAATTTGCTACTTCCGACTGTCGAAGCTTTTTTTTTTAATGTTGTCGGCATGTTTTGCTATTCACACCATTTGCATCGTAAGGCCAGTTGGTTTTTGTCGTCAGTATCATTCGGCAGTAACTCTCAATGAAAATAAAACAAAAGAATTGACCCAAAAATGTACTAAGAATGTGAATGGCGGTTAGTTGAATAAGACGTAAATTATTTCATCGAATTTCTGGCTGAGAGATGCATTGGTAAAAGAAATATCGGTGGAAAACGATCGTCAAAGCTGTTGTTCTCTTCCTGCCTTTCTGGTTTCCTCCGTCTGATTCTATTCTCTCTCACTATGGACTGCCCTTTGTTTGTGTCTTGCTTTCATTGTGTTTTTGTTGTTAGTTATTATTATTGTTTCTGTTGTTTGTTGGTTGCTGTTTGTCTTCCATCATTCGTTTTCATTTGATTTATTTAAAATAGTAAAAATTTATATAGTTAAATTGATTCTTTTATGCAATTTTTTTTTTTTTTATAAAATGTTTTCTTTATTTCCATTGCATTCTCTTAATCATCATCCATTCCATCCTTCTCCTCTTCTATATGCATTTCTTCTTTTGTGTATATATATATATTTGTATTTATTATTTTTTTTTTTTTTTTGAAAAAAACGTGCAAACAATGTGTAAAGGGGAAAGCCGACAGCCGAAAAAGATATAATCAAATGCTTTCGGAAAACATTTGTTTGTTTTCTGTTTTCTTTGTATTTTTTTGTTGTTTTTTTTGTTTTTGATACCTTCTGATCAGTATTATCCTATATAGCAGTATTGCATATATCTATGTACATCACTATATCTAGTTGGAGTTTAGCTATAGAGAAAAATACTCTATGTGAAGTTATTTTCTGGTTTCTGTTCAGTTTCGTTTCCGTATCCGCTTAGCCTTATCCCCTGACAATAACCTCTACTACAGATACATAGGCAGTGACAAAATGAAAGAGAGCGAGAGAGAGTGACAGAAAGGGGAAGGCCTGACACTGACACCCGACACTGGGCTTCCCTTGACACGCGGAATTTTCTAAATAATCATTTTCAGTTTGTTCTTTTTGTTCTCTTGTTCTCATGTTTCGCATGTTTTTTTTTTTGTGTGTTTTTTTTATAGTTTATCTTTTTTGTTTATTGTTTAGCTGCCTTCTTGAATTGAATCGGATCGAATGGACTGAGTGATATAGCGGGTTGTTCCCGACTTTAAGGGGCATGGAAGCCATGTCTGTTGGAAGAACCGTTTCTTCATATTTTGTACAAATACACATACATTACATATAAGGGAGTGGAAAGAACAACGCCACAAAAAAAACGTAACACGTAACTTATCTCTCATGTATTGTACAGCTGTATGTACACATATATAAAATAAAAGAAAAAAACATTACGAAGAGTTTACGTTATTCTGGATTCTAGATGAAAATGCGATGAATTTATCGCGAATTGTACTATTTGTGTTCTTTATTTCAGTTGCATTGCGTTTCCACGATACAAAAAACATTTGACACACAATAAATAATATTGAATATTTGACCATACTAAAGGGTAGAAATTAAGTCGAGAGTGCCCGCCGTTCCGCCCTGTAAGTGGTGGTGGTATCAAATTTCGCTACTCCCTGAATGGAGTCCGTCTTCCTGTCAAGTCATCATTTAAAATTTGTCCCACTAGCTTGGACCACACCCTAACCTCCCGCCCGGCCCGCCCCGGCCCGGCCCCTCTCACTCTCTCTCTCTCTCTCTCCGTCATCAAGAACTGCACCTCTATCTCGATGTCCCGATATATTTGTACAGTTACGTTCGTCCAGTTCTTTTTTGTTGTGGGCTTCTTATAGTTTTTTGTTTCGTTTTATTGGATTCTTTTTGTTTTTTTTTTTTTTGTTTCTTGTTCTCTTTTCGCTTCGAAGCTTTTCATACCTTCTTTGTTTTTTTACACATTGTCTGCAAGTGTATAGAGAATTTCAAATATATTTTTGTTGCATATTGGCTTTTTGTATTTGCATTTGCTTTTGGTTTGGTTTTTTTGTTTGTTTGTTTTTGTTTTGTTTTCTTTCATTATTTTAAACATACTATATTGGTAATTGTTCAACATTTGGTATTATTAGAGGAGGGGGGGTTATAGTTCTGATTCAATTATTATTATATTTTACACATAGTTTGTGGTGTGTGTGTGTGTGTGTGTTGTTTCCTGCCGTTGTTGTTTTGGATCCTGTTGTTCCATTTGTGTTTTTAATGGATTCTACGAGTTTATATTCTAACGGCGAATGCGAGACCACGGATCCCAAGAGCATTGCGACACCCAAACATGAAGCCATACAAATGATATTCAGTATATTCGACTGTGGAAGGACACCCTGGACTAGGGATCAAATCAGATCACATTATGGCAATGTGGTGTATGTATGCATGTTTGTTTCATTATGTGTGCGTCTGTATGGATGGCATGAATGGATAAACGGATGTTTGGACGAGAAACTCGACACTCGAGATGGAATTTGCACTTGTTGAAGCGGCGCTTGCTAATGTAAACAAATTATGAAAGAGCGAGCGGGATGAGCAAGAGCTTCGCCCGGCCTCACACTCCCTTCTCCCAACCGCTTCTACAGAAATAGAGAGAGAGAGAGAGGGAGCCCATTGTCCAAACTGTGAGTACTGAGAGTCGCGGATGGAAGCATGGAAGAATGCGCAGCTCAGTCGCGTGGAAGGAGTGGGAGGGAGTAGATGGAGTGCGACAAGGTAATCGCACTGGCAGATAAATGGAGCGATCCATACCGGCCTAAGGTTCAAACAGAATGCAGTAAGCGATAGCTTAGGAGCCAGATCGAAACTAGCGCTACTTCTATTGTAATTTTTACGCTGCTTCTAAGGGCTGTACGACCTTAATTGACTATGAACATTATGGAAATAATACGAATTTACACAAAGTCATGACCAAAATCTACTGCTATTCTATATCTGCTGCTTCTTAGATAAAAACTATTGACTTTCGAATGACTCAATTGGTCTTCAACTTTGTAAAAAAGAAGCTCGTTAAACAGTAGTCGGTAGTCGGCACAGCCCTATCTCATGTGTATACACGCGCACGTATATACCAGTGCTAGGCACCAGTACAATATAATTTTCTGTTTTATTTTTTTGTCGTTTTGCCTGCTGTTTAAGCCCACAAACGCACGGCAAAACATCTGAATGTGTGCGTGCCGACCACCGATGCAAAACCTCTCTATGCAAGAACTTCCAACTACGGCGACTGCTTCAACCTTAACTGGACGTCTGAACGCTTACGCTTATAAATTTCTCTATTTAACAGCTCCAAAGAATTAACAATGGAGGACCATTTGTTTTTTCATTCAGCACTAAAAGATGGGGCATTCTTTTCGTCGCCCACAGTATGTGCTCCCACGAACGAATGAGTCCAGGACAGTGGCTGCTGAGGAGCTACAGCTTCGGTAAGTCTGGATAGGACTGAAAGATGAACGGGCGACTTTATAGTGACAGTAGTAAAAATTTCATTTGATGGATTTGGTGGTGGTGTTGTAGTGTGGTGGTGTCATTATGTGGATGATTCGTTTATAGATCGATTTATTCGTTGATCTTGGCTGTCCATGTAAGGCTGCTCTTTTGGCTTTATAAGACTTGATGAAAAGTTGTTGTTAAATCGACTGATTGATTGGTTGTTTCTGATTTGTTTGATTGGTTTGATTGATTGATTGATAAGTTGGTTGGTTTGTTGGTTGGTTGGTTGAAGTTGGAATCATTTCTTTCTTTTTGAAATTGGCTGCCCCCAATACACAATTGCTTCACGATTTTTTTCAGCATATTCTCATAATAATAATAATAATAATCATAATCATAATATTGGTAATAATAAGGTTTACTTGTTTGTTTTTTCATTTGTTTTGTTTTTTTTTTTTTGTTTTTCTTTCAAAAAAGACTTAAAGTAAAGAGCTTTTGTAAGCGATTTCTGTTCTTTTTTTTTTCCTCATTTTCATTTTTTAGATAGTTGTGTGTGTAAGATTTTTGTTTTTTTTTTTTTAGTTTTTTTCAATACAAGTGTATATACTTACATATATATATATATCTATATATATATACACATACATAGAATTGTAAACGGTATATGTATATTCACATTATTCTTGTGTGTTCTGTTGTGTTCTGCTTTTTGTTTTTTTTTTTTCATTTAAAAATACAATTTGTTTAATACCTATGAAATGCTTAAATATAATATCTATATGCATATATATTTTTGTATATATATTTATCTATATATATATATATATATATATATATATGTATGTGTATGTATGGATTTGTATATGTGTATGTGTATATATATATACGCTAAACTAGACCTAATTAGTATGTATATACTATATATATATATATATATATATATTTATAAATATATATACATTAATAGCTTAAAAGGTATATATATTAATGTATATGTATATATATATATGTATCGGTAATAGAAAGGTTTGCAGTGGTGTGTGTCTTTTTGTCTCTGTCACTATTTCGGCTCGTATGTCTGTTTGTATATATCATATATCTGTCTCTGTTTTGGTTGTGTGCGACTCTCAGGGGCCAGCTGAAAGAGGGGTCTTTGCACACGGTGCGTACATTAGGTGGGACATCCCCCCCCCTCCCCCCCTGTTGACAGACTTGGACCAAAATGCATAACTTTATAATACATTTATAAAAAAAAAAAACTAAAACAAAATTAATCTGTCAGCAAATTTGTTTAACAATTCTGCATAAATCAGTGTGTATGTATGTGGAGGTGGATCGTCTGTATTTGAGTACCATTTGAAAAAAACCTATCTAATTATCTACCACAAAGCATACAAGTATTTTGGATTAAATAAAAAAAAAAAAAAAAAAAATTCTCCAATTGATTTATAAATGGATCTAGTTTTGCTTCATCTGTGAATTTTTTTCCTTTTGTTTCCTTAGAATTAAATGCGTATTGCACTTTTTCGCGTGAACTTGGTTCTGGGGCATTTCTAACAATAAAAAAATTAATTATTTTTTTCATAAATAAACAATTTCGAAACCGACCAGGAATAGAATACAAATCTCTCTTTTTAACATAATATCGCACTTTTTTATTGCCACGTATTGCCAGAATCCGTTTTTTTTTTTTGTTAGTGGGGAACTGGGGGGGGGGGGCCTGCCTATTGAACGTAGGAGACTTTTGCCAGTTGTATTGTTTTGTTCACTTTCTTATTTTGTTTTGTTTTTTAGCACACCAAAACATTAACAAAATGCGCTAAATTCAATAAATTGAGTTGAGTTTGGTTTGTGTGTGTGTGTGTGTTTGCGTGTGTGTGTAGAGGAGCTGGATGCTCTGTCAGTCGGACTCTCTCCATTTAACAACCATTGTACAGTGCACCCCACCTTCCAGACGCCCACCCATGAACGATGATAATGAACGAACGAAGAAGAAGAAGAAGAAGGACTAAGCAAAGCATTGAACAGCAACACTCTCTCTCTCTCTCTCTCTCGCTCTCTCTCTTGCTCCCTTGCTCTCTAAATATCTCCTTTCTGGCACTCCTTTTTTGATCTATCCTTAAAAAATTATAAACTAAAAACACCTAATTTATATTTATGCGTGTGTGCTACTACAAGATATACATAATTATAGGTATATATAGAACTAGATAAATCTATATCCAAATTCAATTAATTAAGCCCAAAAATTACTACAATTTGCAAAACTCCTGCCACACCAATTCCCATATCTTTTCGCTATATTTTTCAATCTCACATTCCTTCCGTCACATTACACAATTTATGAGTTTTTCTTCATATTTTTACATAATTCAATACGAACCCCCCACACTACACTCACTGCTGCTCTATCTAGCCTTTCTAAAATGATGTAGTTTTCGTTTTCAGCAAGGGTTTTTCTAATCTGTTTCCTATGTCTTAAATAATCCATCCCAATCTGCACACACTCTTCTGCAACACTGCCTATTACTTCTATTGCTATTCCTACTGCTTCTGGTTCTGGTTCTGCTACCTGCTTTGCTATTCCTCTTCCTCTACCGCACGCTTTTAGTTTCGTAAGCTGTAAGTTACTGTCGGTTACTGTCGTCGATCTGTTCGATTTTGTTATTTGCTGCTTAAAAACGTTTCTATACATATATATTCATATTTATATATATATATATATATATATATATATATGCATACGTATATATGTCTATATAAACTAACAAAAAAAAAAGGCGTTATAAGGTAAAACAAACAAACAAAACGCGTCCTAACCTGCTTCACTGTCGCTCGAGTCACTCGAACTGCTATCACTCGAACTCGAGGACGATGAATCGCTGGAACTGGAACTCGACGACACGGGATTCGCTGGCTGCACAGCTTCCACTTTGTTTGAGGTGGAATCATCTGTGGGAAATGACCAATTGAATAGGTTATTTGTGGCATTAGTTAGTATTGTCTTTGGGCCCACTCTCTGAAGTCAGTAAATGGAGTATGAAGAGTATATGGGGCGCAGAAGTATGGCAGGTGTGGGGTGGTGGGGTTCGTCACTGGCTTACCTTTCTTGGCGTTTTTCTTGCTTGCACCCAGCTGGCCGGTGACGTCCTGCAGCCGCTTCTCCAGCTCCTGCTTCTTTTCCGCCATTTGCTCATCCTTCGATTTGCCGGAAGGCTTTTTATCTACATAGGTTGGGAGAGACGGACAAAGAGTGTTCGTATTAGTACAGTTGATCCACTTTCGATCAAGACGCGCAGTAGTCAGGGACAGGGAAAGATAGATAGATGGTTGGGTTGGTTGCTGGGTGCATGCTTGGTTGTTTTGGGGATAACGAATCCTTCTCAGAGACAACAACAACAACAACAAAAAAAACACAGCATTCTCAAGCTACGAAACAGGTAGGAGGACAAAAGGTTCATGCATTTTCTCATAGCTACAGACAAAAATCAGAAACAGATTGAGAGAGAGATACGGATACGGATACAGGATACAGACGGAGACGGAGACAGAGACAGACAGAAATATAGATAGAGAGAGAGAGAGAGGGAAAGTGGGGGTGGGAGAGCATTTAAATGAAAACTTAATGTACATAGTTAAACTTTTTTGTTTGTTTTTGTTTTTTTCTTGAGAGTTTGGCTAACTAAAACATGACCACTCGTTTTTTTTTTTTCAAATAATGTTTGAAAATTTTTACAAAAATTCAGTTTCGAAATGGAAATTTAGAAAATTTTGGAATTTTGCTAAAAGGCAAGGGTAAGAGAGAGCATAACAGCAATAAAGCTTCAACTTTTTTTCTGCTCTGTTTTAATTCTAATTTTAATACTGCTGCTTCTGCTGTTGTTGCTGCTGCTCTTCTTGGTGCTGACTGTGACTGGCATTTTGTCTAAAAATCAAACTCTGCAAAGAGCATACAAAGGAAAGCATCTCCGAACTCATAAAGTATATGTATATGTATCTGTATGCATATCTGTATGCAAACTAGTCTAATTTTTGCGAAGAGACTATGACTATTCATTTTCCTGCACGCGTTATATTGTTGTATATAAAAATTGCAACTCCAAAATGGATTAAAATTATGATAAATTCACCCCCGTTCTTTTTGTTCTTTCTAGCTTTAACTGTGCTTTCGTTTCTACTTCCTTTACATAATCCCTTTGCAAGTGTTGACCTTGCATTAGTTGTGCACTTTTGCTGATTCTGGTTGTAGTTATGGAGTTTTGTTGTGCTCACATTGTGGTTACAGACTGACAATATATAGTCAGCCAAAAACACAACCAAAATGCAATTAAATTCGCAACAGATCTTCTTCTACTTGTTCTTTGGCTGGATACTCTTTGAACTAATTGTCGAACATTTCCTGCTTTATATTCATCCTCTTCTCCTTGCTGTTCTTGTGCTTGCTCTTGTTCTAGATTTTGTGGTCCCGGTTTAGTTCCAGACTTACAACATGGCTTACGTGTTTTTTTGCGCAAACACGACGCCACATAGCTTTCAAGCTCGCGCAGCGTCGACGGCTTCAGCGTCTCAAAGTCGATCTCTATCTCGTCCGGATTGGAGTCCCGCAGCGATGGCTCCCGATTCTGGATAATGTGCACCACTCGCCCCAGCTTGTCGCCTGTCATGGGGAAAACGATCGTTGATTAGTTATTGACATGATTAACGGATGGATTTGATTGGAGATCTCGATGCTGCATCGAGAATATACAGAATTGTGACTCCTACCTGGCAACTTGTTGATGTCCAGTGAGAGTTGTCGCTTCTCATCGTACGACATGGGCTTGGCCGTGTCCTCCTCCTCGGAGTCAAAGTTCATCACCTGGCTGGGCTTCTTCTTGCTGCTACCGCGCGCTCCGGCACCGGTCGCACTGGTGGTATTGGCCGCACTGCCACTGCTGCCGCCACCACCACCGCCGGCACTACTACTACCCTTGCCCCGCTTTGAGGAATTGCCGCTGGGGCCAGTAGTCCCACTGCCACCGCCACTGCCAGCGCTGGACGCTGCGCCAGCACCGCCGATTCCGCTGCCCGCGTTGACCGTCACTCCAGAGGATGCTCCGCCCGCTCCCGCATTGCTCGAGCTTCCTTTACCGCGCTGGCCCTTGCTCTTCGATTTGCTGCTGCCGCCGGTTCCCCCAGAAGCCCCTGGTCCCGCTCCCGCCGCAGCCATGGCGCTGGCCATGTTGGCCCCCTTGCCGCCTGGCGCTGGTCCCGGTGGCGGTATGCCGGCCGTAAAGCCAGCTCCGGTCGCTGCCGCATTGCCCGTCAGTTGGTTCATGGCAAGGGTCATGTCGTGGGCGAGTGAATGAAGGGCCGAGACGTTGGGCACTCCGCCGCCCGCTCCGCTCGCGCCCACCAGCGAACCGCTGAGTAAGGCCGATAGGTTGGGTCCCGCTGCTCCGCCCGCCGATAGGGCAACGACGCTGGCCGGAACAGAGACGCCACCATGGCTGGCGGACGGACCACCTGCGCCACCACCAGCCGAGGCATGGGCATGATGAGAGGCCGAGCCGGAACCAGAGCCCCCACCGATGCTCTTCTTCTTCTCTTTGAGTTTTTTCTTGGCCTTCTTCTTTGCGGAGGCCTCCTCGGAGAGCTTTCGGATCTCCTCCTGGAGACCGAGCAGCTTGGACTCGAGCATTTTCAGCTTGGCGCTGCGCTCCTCGTCCGAGTTCGACTCGTTCTCTGTGCCGCTGGAGTCCTCGCTGGACGAGTCGCTGCCATCGTGCTTGAGGGAAGCACTCGAATAGCCACCGTGCCCATGCCCATGCCCGTGACCGTGACTCTGGCCGTGTCCATGGCCGTGCCCATGTCCGTGCGTATGTGCATGATGATGGGCCGCATTAGAGACCGGTTCGTCGGGTATGTTGGCGTAGCGCATTTCGAAGACGTCTTGCAGCTTCCGGCCCATGGCCACAACATCATGATCTGGCGGATTGTACTTGTAGCAGTTGGTGAATATTAATCGCACATCGGCCGCAAACTCCGGTGCGCTCTTGTACTCCCGATTGTCCATTTTCCGCTTGACGGTGCCCAGGTCCATGGGCTTTTTGATGATGTCGTGGTAGTCATGGAGGCCCAGCATTTCCGCATCCACCGGCTTGTAGAAGGGCCAGGCATAGCCCGAGTGCTTCTTGCTGAACAGCTCCTTGAGGATCTCGTTGCATGACTTTAGTGCATCCGACAGCTTCTCCTTTGACTTGGCCGCCGCCACACTAGCGGCCACACCCGCCGCCAATCCAGGCACGACACCCATCGATGGCGACATCGCATATCCCGAGCCCTGGAATGTAAGATCCTGTGGTTCAGTGCGGTATTCGGATGTAGTTGACCGATGATGATGATGATGCATTTGTTGTTGTTGTTGTTGTTCGTTCGAGTGGAGTGCAAAATATAAACGAAATAAATCAGAAAAAGAAAGAAAAGAAACAAGCAAAAAACATTGGATTAGCAAATGTCTTTCGTCTTCTCAATTTAGAAGAGCGCTAGTGTTCCTACGGTGTGGTGTGGTTCCTACATATAAATGCGTAGAGTACAGTGCGGCCTCGAAAGAGTGAACCCAGCGCTAATTGAATAACTCTTTAAAGGCTCCTTTTCTAGTGTAAACGATCGAATCCCTACAAAAACTCTGCTTGAACAATGGAGGTTGTTCCAATTACAAAAAATCTACACATACAGGAGCGGCTATTGCAACTAATCAAAATCTTTCCCGATGCTTTTTAGATTTTAGATTTAAAAACCAAGTTACAAAAGTAATAACTAAAACAACTATTTAAGTATATCAATGTGTTCCCAATGTATTTTCAATACAGATATTCTTTTATATGAATCCTGTTCCTTCGAATCGAATCCGAATAACATTATTCGTATTCATGTAAGTGTAAGTATATTTTGTAACCAAAGTACAGCCTCCATACAAAACTAATTTATCACTCAATAGGTCCCGGTCCCCCCTCGAAAGGTTTCCCTCACGTCACTAAATATTTGAGTCTTGGATTCCCCCACCCACCCAGTCGCACATCTCGTTTTTTGAGCACAGTTCTCCTTACACTTGTTCACTTTGGCCAGGCTGCACTGTAACTTAACTTGTACGCACCTTCGTTTGATTGTTTGCTTATATGTAAATGATATGTGTATGGTATGTACATCGAATGTAAAATGAAATCAGAGTAAGAGGCAAGGAGGCAGCGTGTTGTGTGTTGATTGATTGATTTAATATTTACTATATGTAATCGTACTATAATCGTAGTATTGTTCCACCTACTATTCTCATTCCCACCCCCCCCATTCACCATTTCGAATTTCGCATATCGCATTTCACATTTGGCATTCAAATCCTTCAATGAAGTAGAAGGAGCTTGTGCCTACCATTCGGCATGATTCGTGTGTGTTGATTGGACACAATTAAGGAGTTTTTTTTTGTGGGTTGTGTTGGGCGGTGTGTGTGGGTATATATGTACAAACATGTGTGGTATGCAATACTAACGAAGAATAATGTGGCGTCCAACCATGCAAGTAAATATTTTAATTTGAAAATTTAAATTAAAAAGACCGAGCCATATAGCAAACACAATTTAGAAGATTTCGAAGATATAGAGATCACCCACCATTTAGGGGCTCTTGGCAGGCAGTAGCATCGGACGGGCAGAGGTATCTTGAAGGGATTATTAAGAGCGAATATTTATGTACATTGTACATGCAAGAACATGGAGGCGCACTTTTGAGGTAAAATTGAACACATGTGTCCACTGTGGGCTGCTTGTGGTGGTGGTGGTGGTTGGTGGTGCTTGTGGGGGGGTTGCGAAAGTGTGTGGATTCTGCATGTGTGAAGGAGGAGGGAGGAGAGGCATCACCTCAAAACATATGCGAAGAGCATTGACTGTGGGATGCAGCAAAAATGATGAGCACAACGTCTGGCAATGCCCATTTACCCCTTACCTTTTTGCCCTTTACCTGACGATTCGATTCCCTTCGCGTCGCTATCTTGGCCGACTTGGAGTCCATTTGGGCGTAGGGCGACTCAAATGCATTGGCCGTCGGCGTCGTTGTGTCCGCCTTCCGTTTGACACCCTTCTTCATTTTCGCCGGCTGTTGGGGCGGTATAACCGCATCCACACCAACTCCGACGCCCGCCGTGCTGTTCACGTAGGAGGAGTGCACATTGGTGGTGGTATTGACGGATGGTATTGTCACACCACCCGCCGTACTGACTGTACCGGGAGCTCCCGCTCCACCGCCAGATGATGATGCTGCTGCTGCCGCCGCCGCTGCTGCTGCTGCTGCCGCTGCTGCTGCCGTCGCCGCTGCTGTTGTTGCCGCCGCCGATGCTGCCGCACTGCTGCTGCCGTCCAGTAGGGAGGAGCTGTTAGCCGCCGCCTGGGTAGCGCCCGGATATGCGGCCTGGCTGGGATTCCGAAGGCTGGCTATAATGGCGTCGACCATTGTCGTGGCCGTCGTCGTGGTGTTGGTGCTGCCGGGGACTGTGTGCGGAGGCATTGTGCTAATCGGTGGTATGGACGGTGCACCGCCGCCGCCGGCCGTCGATGAAACCGTTCCGCCCATCGCTGATACGGGTCGGGATGTTGTCCCCGACCCCGTCGCTGATCCATGGCCTCCTGCACCCGTTGACTGTGCCGCCAGGCCGCTGCCCATGATGGGCAACTGTTGGGCCGATGGTGCTACCTTATTGATAGATCCGCTGTTACTGCTGCCAGTGTTGCTATTGGCGACAGCTGCACCCGTGCTTGATCCCGTTCCACCTCCGCCTCCTGATCCAGACTTGGGCGTGGCCGGGGCACGTGCCTTCTTCTTGCCACCCTTGGCCGTGGCCGGCTCCAGTTCAAGCTCCTCCTTGGGCATCGTCTCGATCTTCTGCAAGAATACCTTCTCCAGCGTCTGGGCCATCACGACCACATCCTCGCCGGGCTTGTTGTAGACATAGCAGTTGTTGAACATGGTATTGAAGTCATGGATGGTCTCCTTCGCCGACCAGTAATAGTTGTTCTCCAGTCGCTTCTTGATCGTTCCCATGTCCATCGGCTGCTTGATGATCTTGTGGTAGTCGGGCAGGTTGAGCTTTTTCGCGTCGACGGGCTGCTGGAAGGGCCACGCAAAATGGTGTTTCCATATCATCTTCATTACGGTTTTGATCAAGAATTGCAATTGATTTGTATTGCGGCCGGGTCGATCAACTGGAGGCACAACCGCTGGCTGCACAATGCCATTGACCGGCTCCACAGGCGGCTCGTAGCGAGGTGGTGGTTCGTTGGACGACATGTTGTTGATGATGGTGATGATGGTGACACAGTGGTGCTGCGGCTACTGCTGCTCCTCCTGTTGGCTGATGATGAGGCTTCTGGTTGTTGCTTTTGTCCCTGCTCCTGTTGCGGTTGCTTTTAAGGTATCTGATCCTCAAGTGGATGCTGGTTGTACTGCTGCTGCTGCTGCTGATGCTGATTATGCTTGACTGAGACGGCCGACACACACACACACCACACACACGACAAACACACACGCCCGGGGCCGTCTCCGTCCGTCTCCTCTCCGGTGCGGCGATCGCCCGCTCGTGGACAAGTCCTATTATGTGGCTAACTTTTGGTAAATCCGCTTCTTCCTACTGGAAAATTGATCAAGGCCACCAGTTCCGCCTTCGGCTAGTCCGACTCCAACTCTGACACCGACTCCTTCAGTCGTTGCTATTGCTTCTGATTCGGTGGTTTCCACTGCCTCTCCTGATGCTGTAATTGTCTCTGCGCTTCTCCTTGATAATAGTAATCCGCTGATTGATGGAAATTGCTGTTGTGTACTCCGTTGCTTCATGCTAAGCAATGTTTCTCAACTGTGAAACGAATTCGAGGATTAATCAATTACCATCCAAATGCCAGTCAATATTCCCACTTACCAGATTCTCCAGATACTGCATGCGCTCCTGTTCCGGCGGCTTTATTGGGCCGGGCGTATTAAGGCTGGTCCAGCTGGCATTTGGACGACGTGGGGCGCAGTGTTTCGTATCGTTCTGATGATGATTATGCTGCTGCTGCTGCTGCTCTTCCTTTTCTTTCTGGCTTTATTGCTATTCCAATTCTACGGCCTGACGATTATTATTTTTTTTTTCTATTCCTACTATTCCTAATGCAAGTGCTCCTCCTGCGTTTTCTCGCGGACAGAGTAGTGGTGGGTCGTCTTTTTTTCTTTTCGAGCTAGCAGCAAGCCTTCAATCTGGAATGGAGATGAGAAATTGTTTGTCAAATGAAAAGTCAATTATTTTTTTTGCCGGCAACACTGTTTTTTGACAACTCTGGCCTGGGGAGGAGGTCCGGTTCCATTGCCCAACACTGATCCGGGGGTTACATAAACAAAGGTAGTAAGCACGCACAAATAGTTTATAAACAAAAAAAAAACTTTGTGGCGCCACACGGCATAGAATAGCTAGAAGAGAAGAGCGAACAGAGCAGGAAGAGGACAGAGGACAGATAACGGAAAGCAAAACACGGAGAGTATAAAACCGAAACAGAATGACAGAAGGGGGCCAATAAAGTGGGGGGGAGAGAGAGGGAGACCACGGGCACTGCCACTGACACTCACATCACGGAAAACACACGGAATAAAACACACACAATCTGTTTCCGTGCACTTCTTTGTCGATCCCGTAACATAGTGTAAGTGTATATTGCTTTTATTTGCGGACTTAGGTTTGGCTTAGGTTTTGATTTTTATTCTGTTTTGACGACGCCGCTCGTCAGGCGTTTTACGTTTAAACATTTCCATGTTTTTGCTTCTTCCACCGTGTATGTTGTAGTTACTTTGCCGCCGTTTTGCCACTCACAGCAACAGCGAGAATAGAGAAGGCCAAAGAGAACCAGAACCGCCTCCGTTACCAACAATGCCGCTCTCTCGATTCGAATTTCGAAAATACCTCAAAGAGAGAACCGAACCGACAACACAACATATTTACACGCTGCGCTGCCACATATAGAGTCGTCCCGCTTCCACTCATCTCGTGTGCGTTATCAAATCTCCAAGGGGCAAAAGGCAGACGACAAATGGCGGTTAGACAGACACTATTTGACAAAATTAAGTAAACTACACTTTAGTTCCCAATAAATGAAATGAAAATCAATTATTGAAACACACAAAAGAGCGTAGAATACAAATACAACCAACACAGACACATTTGCACACGCACACGAACATAGTACGGTGTACGTGCTGTGTGGCGTGTGTTGTATTTTCGAAATTCACCACACTATGCAACACACCACACAGCAAGCGCGCTGCTCTCACATTTTTGTAATTTTCTGTCGGTTTGTCCATCAAAGCATGATTCAACAAAAACTTGCTTTGTTTGTCGCTGCACACGCACACCAATGTCAGAAAAGACAACAAGTATGTAGGTAATTTTTAAGTAGTTTTTTTTAGCACCCTCTATCCCTGTTTTATAGTCGAGGGGAGGTACGCGAGCGAGGTCCTAAACTGACAACTAACAACTCATACTAGTGCATTAGCCCCCCGCACACACACACACACACACCCCAACTCGAGCACGCTCGCGCTCACCACTTTTTGCCGATATCCCAGTGCCGCTTGACAGTGGCACAAAAAGCATTCAAATTGCACACTTTAAATACATAACATGAAATGCACACATATGCATTGCATGTAGATCAAGGCCTTATTTATTTATGTTCATTCATTCATATGCGTACATTTATTTACACATGTGCGTATGTCTGTATAGTCTGTGCCGGCCGGCACAAGCTCTCTCTCTCCATTTCCATTCCCATTCAACGCTTTTCACACTCGTCGTATCAGCTGTCTGCTGTGTCACGACTCCATCAATTATTTGTGCGCCCCGTTCAAATTTCACATTTGGCCCACTGTAGCCGCCGCCACACGACTAGCTGTTGTTTTTGTTATTTGCCAAGTGTACGGCATACATGCCCATGTCTGTGACAGAGAGCTGCTTAATTGTGTGCGAGATTTCGTGTGACGCAAAATAAGACGAAGGAAAGGCAACGCAACAGAATCTAGATACAGTGAATTGCAACAAATAGAAAATGGGGGGAAAGATACAAAAGAAAAAAACATGGATGGCCATAAACAATATCTTTCATTATTTCTAAAAGGGAGAAAAAATGGCAATAGCGGGCGGCTGGTTATCTTTCGGTCTCCCGTTTCCCGCTTCCACACTCGCAACAAAACAAAACATTAACTGTCACTCACACACACACACACTCATGCTTGCTCTCTCAGAGAGGAAGAGAGAGTAAAGCGAGCGAACGTGTGCGGTTGTAATTATGTAGTACAGTAGACGACTTTGAGTTTTCAACAGAATTTCCGTAGAACCGAATCCCGAAGCAACCACGAACATCGATGCCGAACGTGAACAGGCCGCTCGGCTCTTGGCATCATCATCATGGCACGCTATTTGCTTCGTAATGAGAAATTCAAGGCAAAGCACAATGACGATGACGTAGAGTGTTATGTTGGAGAGAGAGAGAGAGAGGGGGTGGCGGGAAGAAGCAGCACACAGCAACGGCATGCAATGGGGGGAACAGGAATTGGGAGTACGATTCGGATTAGGGGGACTAAAATGGAAAGATTAAAGAGCCAGGCGGCGGTTGATAATTGAAATCGAAATAATTTTCCAATGATACTCCCTTCTGCCTGCTCTGCCTGCTGTCTGAGAGTTTTCTTGGGAGAGGCTCTCTCTCTCTCGGATAAACAAAGGTCAACAACAAATGTTTCTCAATGTCGACAGAGCTCAAAGAATTGCCAATTTCATTAAGAATACATGCATCTAAATTCCCTTTGTTACTCTTTTGCATTGGACTTGAACTATGCTCAAACTAAACCAACCCAACTATTCAAAAATTAAATATTTAAATAAATAAAATGCTCACACACACAAACACATATTCGAAAAGTTGCATCTGCTAGGGGTTTCGGCATGTGCTAGAGCGAGACAACAATATGACCTACGTAATACGTAGCCAAATGCAAATATGGCGGCATATCGACAGACACGAGACACAAGGCAATGAGAGAGAGAGAGAGAGAGAGCACGAAGAAAGAGAGACTGCCGAAATAGAGAGAGGAATCTTTTTCGAATGCTGCCGCTTGTGTATCTGCAAGTATGCCGAAAATCATTCGGATAGCTACTACACACTCTCTCTCTCTCTGTGCTTTGCTCTGCCGCATGCCTCTAGGTTAATAAATCGTGCTAATAGTGGCACGAATTTAAAGCCGGTTTACATGCGGCCCGAAACAGCAACGAAGTCAACAGTGACGCCGGCAGCGAATGTCAGCAGCGGGATTCACCAAAAAGCATCAATGAAATTTATGGGACGCTCATCTCAGAAACCTCTCCCACTCCCCCCTCCAATCACAATCCCTAGTGCATTTACGCATTTTTCTTTTATTTACCGTACAATTGAGGCTTTATTTACATTGTACTCTGTTGCTGACTCCGAGTTCCTACTGCTGCTACTGATGCGCGTAAATAAACCAAATACTTTTTTGCATCTGTTTGGGCGCGAAAGTAGTTCTAAACAAATGGCTGAAAGAACAATAAACAAACAGTAAGCAAAAGCAAAAGGCAAACGCAAAGACAAAAGTAGCCGGCAAACTGACATTAACCCAGAGAGCGAGAGAAAGAGAGCATCAAGCGGGCGCGCGAGAATAAAAGGTACGGCACGTAAATAGGAGGAAAAGGTACTTTGGGGCGGGTAGGCGCCCCCAACGTTAAAGGTAAAAACTAATGCCAAAGAAGGATATTCCTTAATATTTAGATATTTGCTACGATTTTTGTGTCTATGTAAATCCAATCAGTTTTTGGTTATCAGATAACACATGCCTTTTGGATATTGCATCGCGCCTCCGATGAAAGAAACCAATTGATAAGGACTTGTTCATTTTCATTGGACTTTCGTGGGTGAATTTCATTCCTGGAACGATTCTAACTTCAACGGTGCAATTGGTGTTTCCCCAATAATAAACCATTGGATTGGGACAGCTGATAGTGAGAATGTCCCTATATCACCGATGGAAAACCTGCTTCATTGGATCCGTTTGGTTTCTTACATTGGGTGTACAAATGCATTAACCATCCGTATAAAACGTATAGTGTAACACCAGCAGCTTTTGTGCGATTCCCCGTCTGCCAATGGCCGACTCAAGAGGGTTGGAAATGCTGCTTGGGAATGCAGCTGCCGCCTGCGGACCCTTTGGCTCTTATTCTCATCCTCCCTCGCTCTCTTTATCGAACCGACACTGACATCCAAAAGGTTTGGATCCCATGGAAGGGCCTCCCACGTGCTAGTGGCTTTAACTTACATTTTTTACACTTTCAGGGTCTTTTTGTTTTGTTTGGTGTATTTTATCCGAAATGATTTATATGGCCGCTGCTTCCGATAATGCTGCTGCTGGTGCTCTTGCCGGTCTATAAAATATACATTTTTTTCCGGTACTTTTTCTGTGTCTAATCCTTTCTTTTGCGCTGCCGCTGCTGTTATGTTGTTATTGTAACACTGTTTTGTTCCATAAATGATTTTTCAATTTATTTCCACTTAAGATTCATTCGGTTATTAGATTTGATTGGTAATTAATATTCTTGAGGCTGCATTCAATTGCGAATATATATGTACACAAATGCGCCAATAATCCTTAAACATGTTAAAAAGAAAGGCAACTGCAGATAAACGAAACAAGACACAAAAATTAACTTGGGAATCCTTTTTCACACACTTTTTCCCCACAACGTAACCGCCATACGACAACGTCACGTCATGAACACACACACGCGCGAAAAACATAATATTAATAAAAAAAAATTCACGAAACCATAATACATATTCCATATAAATATTTATATATACATACGTAGATGTATGTATGTTTCAATTGCCGCAAAGAAAACAACTAAATTCATGAAGGATAAGAAGAGGGACGGGACGAGAGGGAGAGAGAGAGAAGAAAGAGAGCAGTGAAACTTTTCGCATTTGGCGCGCGCGTCTCTGTGTTGCGTGTGTGTATGCCTCTCACTCACACACAAACACACACACACAGCACTCTTCTTCTTCATCTTCCTCCTCTGCTTCTTCATTTTGCTTTTGTTCCACCACCAAAAAAAAAAAACCCAAATGTCATGTCCATTGAAGTCTCACATTTTTCAAAAGCATTTTTGGCGCTAATTTCACATTATTTTCCATCATTTTTTGGATGAATTTTTTTCATTGCACCACACACTGCACATTGATCACAAATTTATATAATTTTAAGCGATTTTTACCAATATTTTTGAGTAATTTCTACACCGATATATGTACGTACCCGCGCGTACGATTTTTCGAGCGCGTTGTGAGTACAGCAGCTATACAAAAATTTTTTCGAATTTACTGAAAATGCGAATACACACACACATAGATATGCCCCGACAAGCACGCGCCACGTCTATACGCTCATCTCGCTCTGGCGCATGGCCACGAAGCCATGTGTGCAACAGAGAGCCAGGCCAGTGTACTCAGAGAGAGGGAGAGCAGCGCATGTATGTGTATGGATGTGTGAGCAATCGAAAATGTGTTCGTGCTGAGAGAGGGAGAGAGCCATATTGTAGGGTGGTGAATTTTCACATTCAACGTGTAAAACGAAAAACAACGAAAAATGCACGATGAGGAGCAGCGAGTAACAGCAAAACAAAATGGCGATGCCGCAATAGCAAGCACCTGATCAGCTTGGTTTGTTCTTCGCAGCCGCCGGGCCAGTCTATTAAGAAATAGAATATGTATCCATATCTAGGGATAAGATTGTCTCTTTTCGAATACCTTGGCTTGTTTTCATACATTTTCTGCCCTTCTTACTGCGATATTTGCCTCATATTAACTACATTTATGCAATTGTAAGAAACCGTAGCGAGAGACACCAATGTAGAAGTCGTGTAGAATGTTATGTATTTATTTAGCGTAAACTACAATATATATGGATGTGCTAGTTCATACAACGAAAGTGGCGCAGCTGAAGTTTCAGCGTACGGTCCCAGATCTTTGGCGCTGGGATTGACCGCGTTCCGCTCATGATGTGACACGAGCCGACTGACAGCAAGTATGCATGTTGTGTACATGTAACACTCCAAAATTTTAGCTTGTTTTAGTTTAGCTGCCGAAACCGAATTTGTCTTGGGGTTCCAGGTTCCGTAAATGTGTGTGTGCGACGTATTCTAGAATAGAAAATTTTATTTTGAATATATAAAGGGTACGCCAAACGATACCTTCTGCGAGCTACCGAAAGCGAAACTTTCACTGCCACAAACTGAGCGACTAGCGAAATTTTCGTACCATTTTCGGATCTGAATTCGATAGGCTTACGAAGTTTTGGTCCACTGGTCCACGTTACAGAGCATTCGTAACAAATACCCACAGTGTAGCTAAATTTGCCGCAAAATACAACATATTCGGCGAAGTTCACATTTCCCTCGTCAGATGTCTCTGTCGATAATTAAGTACTTTTTCGGTATATTGCTTCATCAGTATATTAATGGTATATTTTGAATATTAGAATGTATACTTTAGGTATATTTATGAGGGTCCTCAGAATATATTTGATTTAGAGCTGTCAAACGATTGATAGTTGAGCCATCGATAGTTTTGACTGTTTTGAAAAAAAAAATCGATACTATCGTAATAGGGCTCAAATAACTATTAAAAAACCATTGAAATCTTTTAGGAACTTGTCCATTGTAAAAATTAGATGCCACCTGTCGATTTGTCTACAAATGTGTCTTCGTATTTTATAGCAGCCAATCCAAACAAATCAAAAGCGCAACGACTGTAGCTCGATACTTTCAAGATAGTGGCAAAACCGTCGATAGTAGAGGCTAGCAGTAAAATATCGATGCTATCGATAGTGCCCTCGATGGTTTGACACCTCTAATTTGATCGATAATCGATAAGTCCGCGAGTTAACAACATCGAGTGGCAGTCGACACCGTTTTTGGTGAAAAAATAGTAATATTAATTCTTGTTTTATTTTTTTGTTGCAAAAACGCTGACTAGGTATAATATACCTAGCTGTGTATTTGATATTTATACATAAAACGAAGTGCTAATAGTAACAGTTCACTGAGCTGAGTCAGCTTCTGCTGCTGCTGTGCATGCGTGTGTGTGTGTGTGTGTTTGTGTGGGCAAGCAACTCCACAAGTGTGCGAGGAAATCAAAATAAAAGGCGCAAACCCGCCCCTGATGGAAATATATTGTTCGAAATCCAATTGAAAACGCATCAAACATTGCTTTCAAGTGCTGCCAGCGGATAGAGTGCGAGTGAAATATCTATTAAGTAGTGGAATTACGTAAGAAATGCTATCAATTTTGGCTGCAATTGACCAAAACGAAGTCATCCACACACAAAAAACCGTAAAACTGGATATGTGCTCTTTCTCTGTAGTGCTCTGATGATTTCATTCGCAATGACGACACACGCACACAGACACCTACACTGACACCCATGTATATATTTTATTTGGTTTGTTGAATCCTCAACAGGGTGTACTCTGCCTAGTGCGACAGTTTTTATTTTTTTTTTAAGTTTAAAGATCGGCCGTAAGCCTCGAATGTTGACGCAGTTGTTGATTACTCTTTATCTCCATTGCGATCCCCACTCCACATCTTACCCCCTCCCTGCTCAGATCCAACATGATTTTCCAATGAGAAGGAGACAGTGTGCGCCCTCTGGCGGCGTTGGAACTAGTACGCCCACATATTTATGTGCCACAGATGTTGTCTATTGGGTCTGTGGGCGGGCAAACACAGTGGAGATTCGGTGGGGTGAGCTGGCCGTAGGCTGACCTGATCGCGGCACTCCCCCCAGATGTGCAGATGTGGGATTCGGTTCAGTTTTGGTTTTTTTGGCGCTGGCGGCAGCACGAATCTTTTAAAAAGCGTCTCCACTGTGCGTGGGTGGCTATATATAGAGCCACTCACCCACACGCATACATATGTCGGCATATGTGTACGTAGCTGCAGGCTATGGCTAAGTGAGAAGCCCTTTTGAGATTGCATTGAAAATCTGTTCCGTTATTGAATTGGAAATGAATCATTGCAGACGTTTTCGGCGACTAACCGGATTCATCATGCGCGTGTTCCCGGAAGACGTGCTGAGCAATTCGGAAGTGGTCCAAACCCCCGTAATACCCTTTTAGGGAGGGGAGTGTGTGTGCAGTGCATTAACAAAGAGCTGGTATTGTCTGGGGTCTCGTCTCTTCGTCTCTCTCTTTTACACAACTCACACTCATCCTCTCTGCGTCCGACCTTTGTTTACGTTTTGCATTTCCTAATGGAGAGAGGGGATAGTCGGGAACGAGAGAGGGAGTGACCAAATGATGAATGAGAGGGCGAGTGGAGCGGATGGACGAGAGTGAGGGAGCGAGTGATGGAATAAGGAATGTGAAGAGGAATGGCCAAAAGGAAAAGAGGGAATAAGGACATTGAGGAGTGGTGTTGATGATAAATGAGAGGGGGGTGGGTACTATGCGTGCTAGAGAGGGAATTATGAATGAGAGGGGGGGTGAGCAGGTGAGCGAGGGAACTATGAATGAGAAGGGGGGGTTGTTAGCGGCAGAGAAGAGTGAGCGAATGCTAAATGAGAATGGGAGTCAGTGAGTGGCATTGACAGCTCCAAGGTGTTTATCACAGATTGTCCCCATCCTCTTAAGCATAAATATTGAGTGGAGCAAACATACACACACACATACATATGTACATATATATATATTTGCAAATGGGAGAGCGAATGCTACTGAGTATGTATGTGCGCGTGTGTGTGATGAGTCATCTGGCCGTGATGATGTTCCATTTCATATGAAGGCACGATGACGGGTGGGGGGTTCAGGTCGAGACAAATATAATTAAACGCAAAGGTGGAAAGAAAGCAAAAGACGAAAGCAAAGTGGCAAGTAAACCACAAACCGGCTTTAGCAATACCCTCTTAGACGGAAGTGGAAAAGAGATTAAACTGAAAAACTTAGTTAAATTTTCGCACAAATAAAAAATATTGCCAACAAATCCGTACATCCGAAGACCACAGGGTATGGATATCACACGAATGCATGGAAGTTTAAAGGAAAACTCGCGAATGCAAGCGGTGTGAAAGAGTGCGACAAACTCCCCACACACACGCACACACACACATACCATGCACACCCATACGATGCAATTCCTAACGGATATACTCCAATTGGAAAAAAATACTCGATTACTCAATTGCAGATATTTTTGTTGTTGTTCTTTTGCAGCTGCACAAAAGTGACAGAGAAAGCGGACAGCGACCAAGTGAGAGGTGCGACAGAGACAGAGAGCCGATCAACGGCTAACAATAAGTGCAGCAGCAGACCACACAGAGAAAGAGAGAGAGAGAAACAGAGACAGAGAGACAATGGCGATGATAATGAATGTCGCAGCTACAAAAAAAACCTGCCATTTGGCGGTGCTATCGGTCCTTGTTCTGGCCCTGATGCACGCCTCCCTGGTGCAGTCCCAGCTGTCGGGGAAGCTGGTCCAGAATCCGTGCAGCGGCAAGGACAAGTGCCACACGTGCATCCAGACCCAGAGCTGTGCGTGGTGCATGCAGCCAAACTTTGAGGGGCGATCGCGCTGTTTTCAGCACACCTCGCCGGATGTCTGTCTCGAGCAGTTCGTCTGGAATCCCGACACCTCTGAGCAAATTCTCATCAACAAGAACCTGACGCTAGCTGGCGAGAGTCAAGCCTATGGCTCAGCCGGTGGCTTTGGTGGTGGTGCTGCCGGCGGCGGCGGCGGTGGTCAATACATCTCTGGCGGCAGCTCTTATCATCAGAGCTCCTCCTCCTCCAGCTCCAGCTCCAGCGCCAGTTCCTATGGCTCCCAGTACTCTGGTTGGTCGGCTAGTTCCGGCGAGATTGTCCAAATCAAACCACAGTCTGTGAACCTGAAGCTGCGCATCAGTGAGTCATTCCCGGATCCACACAAGAAGCCTAATCCCTAATCCGGTCGCTCCTTTTCCATTTACAGATCAAGTCCACAACCTGAAGGTGAGCTACACCCAGGCCGAGGGCTATCCCGTGGATCTCTACT